TCTTCGTTGCTATATTTGGTTGTAAGTGGATTAGCGAACCTCTCAAATACCTGGGTTTCCCGCTCGAAGCCAAGCCAAACGACCCAAGGATTTGGGGGATTCTTTGCTTCACAAATTTCAGAATAAATTGAATGGGTGGGGGAGCAAGCTTCTGTCGTCGGGGGCAAGACTAGTGCTGTGCAAAGAAGTTCTTTCCAATATGCCGACCTATGTGTTCTCGCTGTTTAAGGCACCTGCATCTATTACTAAGGATATGGAAAAAGTGCAGAAGAGGTTTATGTGGAATGGTAAGGGAGAGTATAAGAAAATGGCCTTGGTGGACTGGAATCTTTGCAAATGTGAGAAGAAAAAGGGTGGACTTGGTATCCATGACTTAAAAGCTTTTAATGACGCGATGTTATCCAAATGGTTGTGGAGATATGCAATTGAAAGAGACAGCTGGTGGCATCAGTTAATCGCTATCAAGTATCAACATCCCGACTCAGTGTGGCAGACCGAGAGAGCGAGACATAGATTCTCTCAATCTGTTTGGGCAAACATCTCTAAGGAGTACGACCTGTTTTGAAACTTTGCCAGTCTAGATCCTGGAAATGGGTCGTCAATTTCATTCTAGCATGACTGCTGGACGCCAAGGACGATTCTGTCTAAATCGTTCCCTCGTGTTGCTGTTGCCGCCGCTGTCCCTGATGCGAGCTTAACCGACGCTGCATTCCTTAATGGCCCTGATAAGGTGAGTTGGTCTATTCCTTTGAGAATTAATTTAAGGGGGGTGCAGAGAGAGAGAGAGAGGAGCTTATGGAGTTTCTTGAAAACATTAGTCTTACTAATAATGTTTACAACCCTTGTAGAATTGTATGGAATCCTGATTCTAATGGCAGGTTTTCGGTGAGATCCCTGTATAAGAATATGGTGAATTGCACTCGATGTGGTGGCTAGTTTGGAAGGAAAGAAATCAAAGGGTTTTCGAAGAGAATGCTTCGTCTGCAATTTCAGTTGCAAAAAAGAGCAGCCAGAAGTGCCATGGAATGGATCGTGGTTCATGGGAAAATCGAAAACACACAGGGAGAGAGCTGGATTGGATCTCTCTTGTTTATCTCTTGTGGGCTCAATCCTGCTGATCCCCTTCTTTGTACAGAAATCTCTCTTGTTTTTTGTTTTAGTAATTTTATGCTATCACCATTATAAAAAAAAATCGTGAATAAAAAAGTCAATTGGAGGAATGGAAAGATGCATGGCCATGGCGTTACAGCCTACAACTAACAAATCCCCCAACTATTACTGTAGCACGTGGATGAATTTAATGAGGTTAGAACTAGAAGTATGGTTGGCTAAGCTTGAGAAGTGCTTCACAATTTCTTTCGATTTTGGATCCAAAATGAAAAGCAGTTCGGTGTACATCCTATAGTCGTTTTTCCCTTGGTTCAATTCGGTCCGACCGCAACCACAACCAACGTTCCAAATCCAGACCGACATTCTTTGGTGAGTTGGCACTTGGCAATCTGGTCTACACATTTAGTATTCATCATCGGAAGTTTGGAACAAAAGAGAATAGGAGTGTGAAGTAAAAGGGTATAATACGAATTTATACCATGGATTTTTATTAAATAAAGTTTTTATTTTATTTTCAACATACTTTATATTTTAGAGAAATTATTAAACATATTTTTAAGAATGGAAGCTAAGTAGGTGTCTTGGACGGCACTGCACTGCATAGCGGTCAGGAGGGCAAGAGTGGGTTAATTGTCGATGTATGGTCGCTAATTTATACCCCATTACTCGACATTGAACTAACTTTCATACAGGACAAGTTGCCCAATTTTTTTATTTTTCGTTGTTATTTACGCTTCCTATTTATATATTCTAGCTTGTGACGACAGTAGAACGTACGTGTATGACACCTGCAGGAGACATATTTGATCCACGTTAAATGCTAGTTGAACTAAGTAAGTATTCACACCAAGGATGGTAACAATCCATTTTAACACCCCTACCTGAACTTTTGGAACCATAAGAATGACCTAATTATGTCAATTCGAAATGCTTTTATCTCTATTCATTGTATATTTAATGCATGACAATAAAATTTAGAAAGGAGCTTTAGGATAAAAACAAAAGGAGTCAGAGGATTAAGATTAGAAGAATAGAATATAAAATTAGGAAGAAGCTTGGCATCAAGAGAGATAGAGGACGTGAGAGGAGTAGTCAACAGAAGAGGGAAGACAACTGTAATCCTAAATTATGATTCTAAATTAATGAAAAGAATGAAGGAACGAATTGGAGGTAGTTTGCGATGCTGTCATTTTGGAGAAGCAATTGTCTTTTTCTTTCATTTGATCATTAGTCATGCTTAAGTGTATCTTCAATTGACTAAGTACACCTTACAACACAATTATTTGATCGAAATTGAGAGAAATTTGTTGTGACTTTAAGGTTTCATTTTTCTTAAAGCTATATGTAAGAACTTTGATGGTTTGAGGTTAAAAAGTTGGGTGGGTCGTGGGTCAACCATAGTCCATCCGCACCCACCCAATCTTTTGCGAGTCACCTATTTGACAACCCACACCGACTCATAGGAACCACCCACATGGTAATGGGTGGGTCGATTGCGGGTGGTTTTATGGGTTTAGCCACCCAATGCTCACCCCTAATTAGGGTTTATGTAAAAAAAATATTTGATAAATTCCTAATAATCTCCAAACCCAATCACATGGTACTTACACTACAACAAATTTGGCCTATTTTGACGATAAATTTTTGTCATATTAGACCTATGTTTTGTCAGATTAGGTTTATTATTACAAATGATGTTGTTCACTGGTGTTAAGTTTATTTCTTAGTTCATCTACTTCTTTTAGATTTTTCTCATTCTCACGTTTTAACTTGGAATACTTATTCTTGACATTTTCAAACTCTATCTGTATTTCTTTGATTATCTCTTCGAGTACGTCATTATCAGCACAGTGTTTAAATTCGACTGAGTCATTAGTTTGAGTTATACTTACTTGCTCAAGGCTGAAGGTCGAGGGTGTATCATCATTTTCCACATCTGCTATGGCCATGTATGATCTGTGGATCGTTACTTCCTCATCGTCGTCACCTTCATCTTCACTGCAACTCCAAGTTGCTGCAAGTGCTCGTTCCTTCCTTAGTTGTGGACACTCTGCCTTGATGTGACCGGATCTGCCACGTTTGAAGCATCCGGTTGCATTTACCCCCTTGACCATTTGGCTTTGATCATTTCTTCCTCTAGGGAATAGTCTAAACTTGTTCCCTCCTTCATTCTTTTCGGGTTCTTTGCTCTTTGATCCAAAGTCTACACGTCGTCTTTCTTGCCGTCCCTTGAGCATCCTGCTGATTTGCTTGCTGAGAAGGGCAAGTTCTTCGTCTTCTAAGTTGTTGAGTTCTTCAGGCTCATCACTCGAAATAGCCGCTTTAAAGGCGATTCCCATTTTTCCTTTATCATTGATCTCCTTTTCCACTCCTGATTTGTTTAGTTTGTCTTTGTGAGTTGCCAGGGAGCCAATTAGCTCATCGATAGGTAGTCTTTCCAAATCTTTTGCTTCCCCGATAGCTGTCACCTTGGGAGTCCACTTTTCAGGTAGGCTCCAGAGTATCTTCCTCACAAGATATCCACTCTCATAGGATTTCCCGAGATTTTCCAGACTATTCACTATATTTGTGAATCGTTCATACATTTGACGAATCGACTCTCCTTCTTCCATTTTGAACAATTCGAATTGATGCTTCAAGGAGTTGATTCGTGAAGTCTTAACCTGAGAGGTACCTTCGTAGGTGACTTGAAGTTTATCCCAGATTTCCTTCGCAGTCTTACATCCGGCTACCTTGTGGTATTCCTCAGGACCAAGTGCGCAGTACATCAGGTTGGTTGCTTTGCAATTTTGTTGAAACTTTTCCAAGTCTTCGTCTGACCATTTTTCTTGATCACCCTTAAGCTCGTGAGGGCCCTTGATGACTCTAGCCCAGAATTTCGGATAAGTCAAACCCACGAACAACTCCATGCGATTCTTCCAGTAGCCATAGTTCACACCTTCAAATCACGATGGTCTGTTCTGTGAAAACCCATCTGCAAGATATAGCGGCGCATTGTTCCCAGTGCTCGAACCCATGTTGAATCCTCCCGTAGGTTGTTAATCCTTGATCTTCGTGAGCCGGGCTCTGATACCACGTGTTGATGGAATCGAGCGCGAGATTCTTTCACTGCGATCACTAGAGTTTGTAGTTTCTCCTGAAAACACAACCAGAGTGAAACCCTAATTTGATTTGTGAAACGGAATTGGAAAAACAGAAATGGAGAATGATAAAAAACAATTTGATTGAAAATGAAGTCAAATTAAACAAAGAGCAGGGTTTGAATAATGGGCTCTGGTTTTGGGCTTGAGTGGACAGGCAGTTATGCTTTGGTCCTTGGTTTGCACTGAAAGCCCGCTCAAACGAGGTTGTCGTTTTGACTTAAGGTAGCGAGTGCAGGGTAATGTCGAAACACAATCGTTTTGCAACTTCGTCTTCCTCCTTTGTCCATGCTTCTATGCTAGATACCCTGCAGACCTTACAGAAAAACAGAGCAAAGTGATAAACTTAAATTTAAAGAGACACGCTCAGTTTTTACGTGGTTTCCGGCAAGCAAATTCGCTTTGCCGACTAGTCCACGGTCGGATGATCACTATGGTGTGATGTCCGACGATCCACTATGTGTATGAGAGTTTCAGGTCCAAAGGAATACAACGTCTAACCGTCGATCAACTCAAATTAGATGATCGACGTTCTACCCACTGTGAACTTATCCCAGCTATCCAGCTACAACCCAGTCCAGCGCTCTCTCTCAATCACTGATTCTCCCCGAAATACAGTATTTGAGACTCTTTTCTAATCAACACTACTAGCAGGTTTCTTTGCTCTCCGTTAGTATTGATTTTTGCAAAAAGTTTCTTCTTTTGTGTTTGGCCGCTCTTTTTAAATAGCTTCGGTGGTAGCCGTTAGCTCCAAGTATTGGGAATTCATTCAATTCGAAAAGCTTCCTCTTTTGACTCTTGAATGAGATGTCTGTTTGATTATAATCGTGGAAACTTTCTTCTCCAAATTAAAAACCTTCCCGATCCTCCTGCTCTGCATGATCTTCCAGTCTTGCAGATTTGATCATTTTTTTCTCTTGTCTTCATATCGCCATTTGACTGGCTTTTCTTCCAACAATGGGTTGGTTCAATTTTAGTAAGAGATTAGGACTGCGTACCTGATAAAGTTGACACCGTTATGAGTGCCTTTTGTTTGTCCTTGTCGTCATTCAAATTCAATTTCAGCATCACCTTCTGCAGTTAACACAATAATTAACCAATCATTTAAAGCTTGCTAGCTACCCCAATAATTCTCAGATCATACGTGAGGCAGATCTCTGAAAACAAATGAATTATTTCCAAGGAAGGAATCATAATAACCTTTTCCTTGTTTTGGTTAAAAGGGTGGTCAATTTGTGTAAAGGAAGTGAGTTGTGAATTATAGCCAAACCCACGACCCCAGTAAAAGGAAGGAGAATCAGGATTCGAATAACCCACACAACAGGGAATCGCAAAAAGTGATAGAGAGAGACAGTGAGAATCTTGATCAGCAAAGTGTATGTGTTTAAGAGGAAACTAACCTTCATCTTCTGCCGCTACTATCTTCTCTCACTCCCCCCAATAGCTTTCTGTTTGGATGTAACCGAGCAGCGTGCTTAAACAAAACAAGACCCATAAATTAATTCGACAACTAGTTCCAGAATGACAAATTATTCCCTTGAGAAATAGCAACTTATATGATATTCAATAAGCTAGATTCTAACATACATAATCATCTAAAGGACCTTCAACCAAATTCCCTAATGGATGACACTGAAATTCATCTCCGTGGCTTTACCTGAGGAGAGAATAGAACCACTTGAAGAAAGGAACTCATTCCTCGAGACTTAACCCACGATTTCACATGCTCACCGCGACAAAGAGTAGTCATTTTTCAACTTTTTCAGTTGCAAACCATAAATACCAAACAAACGAAATTTAGAAACATATAGCGGTCGTTGTTGATGCAGAAGTCAGCAATTTCAGTCATTCTCAGAGAGCAACAAACTTACCAACAGATCCTACGAGAAAATAAGTTCCGAAAACCTAGCTCAGTGAAGAGTGAGATAGAGGAATCAGAAACTTATAAGGGAAGTAGATCATGGAAACGGGACCGAGCTTGAGGCGGCGCCCATCGGGAGTAGCTCTCTCGCAAAGGAAGGACCGAATAGGGAGGGTGAGGAGTAGATCCTTCAACAGCGGTGATATTATGGCTGCTGATGCCGTGTTGGTGGTGTTCCCTTTGGTAATGAAGTTGTGAGGAGACAAAGGAGAAGGCATCGTAGTAGCTCGGAAAGGCGCCGCGTTATTCTCAACCCCAGACTCTGTTTGCGTCGTCGATCTCCATTTAACGCTGCGATAAGTGCTGAGATAAGGAAGAAGAAGGATCGAGCAGAAGAGGAGATGGAATAGAAGAAGGTTTCATTTCCTTCTTCCTTTTTGTTCACCAGAGAACGAGAGAGAGAACAAAAAGGGGAGGGGGGAAATGAGGGATAGAAGGCGGCTAGGGTTTCTTGAAGGATGAAGGAACAAAAAGGGAAGGAGAAGGAAATTTCCCAACACTGAAAAAGTCGTCCACCAAAGAAAAGCCCCCCACCAAACTCTAATTTTCACCCGCTAAAACGAAAAGTATATTAATAGTTATTATGACAACCTAATTTTACATAATAAAAAGCAAAATCAATATATTATGACAAACCTGCATTTTGCCAGCTCGTCGTGGGAATAATAATATCTATTATGACAACAAGATGGTATAATATGACGAACGCTATTTTGATGATTAACTTTGTCACTTTTGAGTCTCTTACATCCCGATTTGAGACTCCTATTTTGACAACATTTTTTGTGACATAAGATATTTGTCACAGTACCAACCTACTATGACAAACTGTAATGACAAAACTCAACGTTGACACACCTAATACTAATAGGACAACATCGCGTTGTGTCATATTACATACCCTATTATGACCACTCAAAAATAGGAAAAAAAAATTGTCATAATAGGCCAAATTTGTTGTAGTGTTATTGCTCTAGTTTGCTGAACAACTACCGTTGGAAAGTGTAGTTTAAAAACTCACCTATGCTTAGACTCGTCTAGGCGACATGGATACGAAGTCACTGCCTCACTGGTGCTCGATCTAGATGTCATCCAAGAAGGCCAAGAAGTGTGGGACTGAGACTAATTGTGTGGGTGAGGCTAAGCAACACTAAAATGTCTCGCTAAGAGTTCCGTAGCAAATCATATATTGGTTAATCGTCGACTGCCTAAGGCAACATCTAGGTGTCTCCTAGGAATAATTAGATGGAGCTAGACATAACCAAAGTGAAATTAGCAATATCTACAAACTAATATCTATATCAATAGTTCGAGAACTTTTGTGAGCGAGTGAGCTATGATTTAACTATGTTATTAGTCTTTTGTACTCAAGTGTGAAAGTGTTAAAATTGTTATTTCATTCATCATTTAGTACAAATAGTTATTTCTCCTCCAACACCTAGGCACACTTTTAGGCAAGCTAGGTGAGACCACAACAACTACCTTACGCATAACGTCTTCTTGACTACAACATCAACAATTATGTGGCACTTCAGCCCTGAATTAAATCATTTCCTACAGTCACATCAGGCACATTAAAAGTCCTCACGATGCCATTTAGAATTAATTCGCGATAGCTTCGGTTGCAAAATCGTAAACCGAATTGGAACTGCATATATTACTATTCAAGATTCAAACTGAAGAAGAAATCTTGTTAGGCAGCATGAAACCTATTCCTATAGAACAAAAGAGGGAAGTGCAAAAAAGGGGGTGGAAGAAAGAAAGGGAAATCAAAGAAGGAAAGGCAGGGAGCCATTGCAGGGGAGCGGGAAAACGGAAGAAACATTCTTAAGCGCAATGTTATGGTGCCAAGTAGGAGCATGTACCCCCCTCTGACCATCATATTTCTCTTCCCCAACTAAAACTACAAAAATGGCGGCGACTACATACAATTTACAACACACAACAACTCCCTTTATCTAGTCCGCTGCTTTGCTCTCTTCCCTTGTGCATTCTTTCCCCCTATCTCTGTCTGACAACGAGCTTTTGCTTGATTCCTTTACGGAACACTCATATCTCTGTTTTAATTCCCTCCAATATCTCAAAAAAATAAAACAAACAAAGAGGATAAAACAATCCTGCAAGAAAAGAAGAAGACCATATACATATCATCATTTACACTTCAATTTATATGCAACTTTCATGCAAATTATGCTTATTTTAATGATAACTTCATGCAGATTATGTCCGCTCCTTATTCATGTATGGTATATGTAAGGTTTGGCCCATTTAAAGATGAACGAGTTTTCCCAAATTTTTTTATTTTCGTCACTTCCTACTTATATATTCTAGTTTGTAAGTTGTAACGACAATAGACAGTACAAGTACGACACCTACGGTAGACATACTTAATCCATCTATGTGTCATTATAAAAAAAAAATAGAGGCTCGCACTTACTCATACTAGCAGATTTTTTGTGTGTGAGATGTCAGCTAAATTTTCAAATATATATATTATCGTTGTTATTTTTCAAATATATACTCACTAAACATGGTAATAATATCTCAAATATTTACCCTTATCAGTTATCATAGGTGAAAATGTTGGGTAAAAAATAAAATGCAACAGCTGGACGTGGTGGCGTGCCGCTCACCGCTTTGGCTTAGTAGTACTAGGAAACTCCTCTCTTCGTCAGTCTCCAGTCGCACCACAAAATTCCTCACTGGGCCGCCCGCCGCCTCCGCCACCTCCGCCACCAGAGCCCCAACAATCAGCCGCCTGCGTCCACCCTAGCCGCCTTCACCTTCGCCCAAAATCTCAATCGCCATTTTGCTTCACTCTGTTATCACTCCGCCTTCTCAGCCGCAATCACAGTTCCCCGCGCTTTGCCAAAATCCTCCGGCTGCTCTTGCTCGCTCGTTCCTCCTAGCTGTCTATCTCTACATCCACTTCTTCAATTCGCGGAAGGAGCTTTACCGATAGGTATAACCCAACTTTCTGATTTGCGGAATCTCCTTCAGTAGGTTGTTTTGAAATACCGTTTAGAGGTTTTGGTGGTGGAGATTTTTATCACGTCTGGCGAAATTGAATCCTAGATTCTGTTCTTTTGAGGGAAGTGTTTGAGAGCTATGATTCGTCACTGATTTGATGATCTTTCAGGTATAAGTGTAAATAATTATGTATGATTCTTTACAGGTTACATTCTGCTGTTCTTCGACTACCCACCAATGGCTGCTACATCATCTTCCTTGTCATCCTGCTTGTTGCGCGATGGTGGACTCGGTCCTGAATCCACAAAGTGCTATAATGCTAAGCAATCAGTGTGTGGAAGTGCAAAGTCACTTTCTATGCCATCCAGGCTAAGACATTCCATGGAGGCTGGTAGCCTCTCCTCGACGAGAAGTCCAGCTCGCTGCTGCAGTGCAGTCAGGACAAAGGCCAGTCCTTTATTCACATTAGGGAAGAAGTTCCATCTCGATGATGTGATCGAGGCGCAGCAGTTTGATAGAGATACTCTCAATGCTATATTTGAGGTTGCTAAGGAGATGGAAAAGATTGAGAAGAATACACCTGGAAGCCATATGCTCAAGGGGTATCTCATGGCTACCCTTTTTTACGAGCCTTCTACTCGTACTCGGCTGTCTTTTGAATCTGCAATGAAGAGGCTCGGCGGGGAAGTTTTGACGACCGAGAATGCCAGGGAGTTTTCTTCGGCTGCCAAGGGGGAGACACTTGAAGGTAACCATTTCAATGTAGGTTCATTATTTAACTGAGTTTTTGTAGCGTTGATGATAACTTATGGTGGGAGTTTGATCTTTTCAGATACGATTAGAACGGTTGAAGGGTATTCAGATATCATTGTGCTGCGTCATTTTGAAAGTGGTGCTACGAGGAGAGCAGCGGCAACAGCTAGCATTCCGGTCATTAATGCAGGGGATGGTCCTGGACAACATCCTACCCAGGTTTTTAGCATATGTGTGCTCTTATTGTTTCATTCACATGGGAAAATCCTTGTGTGTGATTTACTCAGCAGAGACATGTTTAATAGAATATACATATAAAGGCCTAAAAGAAACAGATTATACAGATACTCAGATGGCATGCTGGCCATGATGTTGTCATGCTTACTCTATGTATAATTTGACAGAGTGTTGCTTCACGACTATCCTACGTGAGGTGTATTCGATGGTAGAAAATCTTATTATATTGCATACTTAAGGATTTGCTTTAAGTTACTATGGAAACCACTAAAATTCATACTTGCAAAACTTCTTGCTTGATTAAGTCTGAAGCTTTGTCTCTACTACACAGGCCCTTTTGGATGTCTATACAATCGACAGAGAGATCGGCAAATTGGATGGCATCAAAGTGGCACTTGTGGGAGATCTAGCTAATGGAAGGACAGTTCGGTCACTTGCATATTTACTTGCAAAATATGAAAATGTGAAGATCTATTTTGTCTCCCCTGAGGTGGTGAAGATGAAGGTAACAGTGATGTCACTGAACATGAAATGGATTTGGTAATACTTCACAACATATAGGTAAAATCATTGATCTCTGGATTTGTGTTGTTTCCACCCAAAAAACCTTACTCAGGACGACATAAAGGATTATCTGACATCCGAGGGGGTACAATGGGAAGAGAGCGGCGACTTAATCGATGTTGCATCTAAATGTGACGTCGTGTATCAAACTCGAATTCAGAAAGAAAGGTTTGGAGAGAGAACCGATCTGTATGAAGAGGCTCGTGGGAAGTACATCGTGGATAGTGATGTGCTGAATGTGATGCAGAAGCATGCTGTTGTCATGCACCCTCTCCCCCGGCTTGACGAGGTAATGCAAATGATTTGACCACTGGTGATAACTTGTTGGTCATAATGAAGCGACCCCCTTTTTAATGCTTGATGATTGATCTCTTTTGCGTGTGTTTGGAATGTAGATAACTGTGGATGTCGATTCGGATCCTAGAGCTGCGTATTTCAGACAAGCGAAGAATGGCCTCTACATCCGCATGGCTCTTCTGAAGCTTCTACTGGTTGGATGGTGAATATTGCTGCAGGTGGTGGCTTACTGAGTCGGGGATTCGTCGGAAAATTTTGTTGCATTCCCTTTGTTTACCTGAGCTGGTTTTGTAGTGCACTAAACTGATTAGAGTCGAGTTCAAGGAGAGAAGTGATTGTAGAGAAGTTGATGGACCAGGAGTTATTTTGTTTTTGCCATATGATTTTGATTGTCAAGGTTGATACTATAGCGGAATGGTATGAAATTTATCAACAGACTTTCTTCTATTGATTCTTGTCATAATGTTTGTTTTTTATTTTAATTTTTTATAATATTTAATATTAATTGTTAATTTAAACCCATATTATAGGAGCTCACAACCCTACTATTGGGTTTAAATTGTTGGATTCAGAACCTTAATGTATGCTTTTGAGGCATCCTGGACCTTAAAATCCATTGGTTTTATGATTCAGTATGCCAGTATCATTCCCAACTAATCAACATTATTTATATAAATTGTTTCTTTGAAAAGTTAGTTCTTTTTTTAAATCTAACTGCACATGTGTAAATGAAATATAATATTATTTTGAAGAGAATGAATCATCTGCAAAATGTTAGGTTAGTGTTCTATGCTGACTTCAGTTCCACGTAAACTGAATTAATTTAAGTGAATATTCCACCGATGATGATAATGATGGTTAGCATGTTCCACCTTCTAAGGGGGGAAAGATAATTTATTTTACACACTATTTGGTATCAAATGAATCAAGAATTCATTTCATTGTAAAATGAATTATCGTGTAGAATTCATTTTAAATGAAATCTTGTGTTTGGTATGTCATATTCAAATTTTTAGAAATACAATAAATTGCGGTGTAGAATTCATTGTCAAATGAATTCCTATGTTTGGTATGTCATATCTATAAGTAATTTAGTTCATAAAATAGGATAATTATATCATTCTATTAAAAATAATAAATACTTGTGGAATTCATTTGGAAATTCCATCTCAATTCCTCGGAATTGCTATAACTAGTTCTAATTCCGTAGAATTCAAAATTTAGAATTGAAAATGAATTCTTTCGGATACCAAACACGAAAAGATTTCATTTCAAAATGAATTTCTCAAAACTTATGGAATTCATTTATACCAAACAGTATGTAAATAATAGGGTAAATGCCATATTTGGACTTTGGTTAGTTAGATTACTAAATCGTGTCATGTTTAGTTACTAGAAAATTTTAATATTAATTTTGGTCACTCAAATTACTGAAACATGTCACATTTAGTCACTCTCCCGTGATCCTCTGTCCAACTCCGGTCACTCGAATTACTGAAACAAGTCACATTTAGTCACTCTCCCGTGATCCTCTGTCCAACTCCGGTCACTCGAATTACTGAAACAAGTCACATTTAGTCACTCTCCCGTTAGTTTCCGTCAAACTCCATTATTGAAGTTGGACGGAAACTAACGGGAGAGTGACTAAATGTGACTTGTTTTAGTAATTCGGGTGACCAAAATTGATTTTAAATTCTTCTAATGACTAAACATGACACGATTTAATAATTTCAGTGACCAAATGTGATATTTACCCTAATGCTGGAAATCGAGCAAACACAACAAGGGCTACAAGGTGCTCTGCCCATCAGTTTGAAAACTGTACCCACCCTTCTGTAAGAGGACTCCACGCAAGCTGCTACTTCTGCCTTGACCAACTATGGGGTTGAAGCATCGTGGTTTAAAAATGTGAATCAAACGTTTTATATCTTATCTATCGATTTAGACTCCAATAGAAAGTTTTCTAAGTTGAACGACCGATACGATTTGATTTTACAAACACTATGTTGAACCTTACTCCATGGAAATAGAGCCCTATCACCTTGTGTGATCACACGTTGCAAATTGCATAGTTATCAATGTCGACAGTGAATGCAGAAAAGCTTCTTGCTAGATACCCTGATTTCACACGAGACTCATTGTTCATCTTCTCATATCAACTCACTTTTTACTGTACAAAGACCCACTGATAATCACCTCAGCTAAGCCAAATAGGCAAATGCAATCATGCTAGCATACATGCTACATTGAGAGTTCAACAGATTAAGAAACCAGGATTCAGTGGGTTAGCAAGAATCTCACAGCTCATCCCTAATAATGAACTTACAATGAAAACCAAGAGAACGAAAAGAGGGCAAGTCCCTGGCAAACATGACTTCACTTCATTAAACCCCACCACCCTATGTCATACATTTCTCACACTTTCTAACAAACCAGCTTACAGAAGGATTAGCCATGAAGATCAACAATCTAAAATCAGAATTCTGCATCCTTCACTTCTACATTGTCACAAAAACATGGTCCTTTGCTAATAGGATTGAGTCATCGATCAGCTGCAGCAGTTTGATCCCTATAGGCATCTGCCATGAAGGTTAGCAAGCAAAATGTACACCGTCGTGAGAGAGAGCAAGAGAGCTTTGGACCGGAAGTCCTGCTAGTCATGGCAAGCGAAGACCAGCGCTTGCTCTTAACGATTCCCCGGCACTGCAGAAAGACTACTTTTGCGGGGGCCAGTTTCTTCACTGTAAACTAATCAGCCCACCAGTTGCAGGGATGGAAGCAGCAGCCTGGGTGAAACCATGCTGCTGAGCCATCATATTGCTGCTGCTCTCCACGGCATTTGCTGATAATGTGCTGCTGCCCTTTGTGGTTTGCTGCAGGTGATGAACAAGTGACATGAAGATTTCCATCCTCGTCACATCCCTGTTTGCCTGCGTGCACACATCGAGTTCTCTTTTAGCAACTTCGGAACAAATAACTCCAACAGCTTGTGAAATGAACTAGTAGAATTCCAAAAGAGTTACCTCCACCACGAAGTGAGCCCATATCTTATCATTGCGAGCCTCCATGATACCTTTCAAAATTGTCAGCCCCATGCCTCTAATCATTTCAGCTATTTCCAGAAAGAAACCTCGCTCTTCACAAAGCATCTGCCATTGGAAGAGATGTAAGATAATTAGAACAGCCATATAACAGAAAATCGCTGCAAACCTACAAGCGTGAAGTCCAAATCAGCAATTTACCTCAATAAGCATCTGACGGGGAAGATTCAAATCCTCGACAACAATAGGACACACCATAGACTGCGACCCAACTTCAAATGCCCATGTTGCCCCTCCCTCAAAATTATCCTTCAAGAGTACTCCGCCGTCTTTTCTAATAAACTGCTTGTTTGAATCAACAACATAACAAATTAACTTCCGCCTAATTGTCAGGGATACATTCCAAGTTAGTTGCCTTACAAGCAACAGATTACCTTTGACTCCGCAGTATGCTTGAGCTTGTCGGCATGCTTGGTAACACTTTGCAGGAAAAGCATATGCTTAATGGTGCGTTCAAGAAGAGCATCAATGCTACACTGTTAACAAATCACATTATCATCCAAAGAAAAGTGTCAACCTTCGACGTTAGGAAATAAATAAATAAATAAAAATTACATAAGGATAATAATAACAAGGAAACTAATTACCTTTCCTCCATTTGGTACAATGTCGCGCAACTCCTTCACACGATCTTGGATCATTTGGCGATCCTTGGGCCTAGGCCTAGGATTTTCTCCAGGCTTCAGCCGCTTACGGTTAGGTTTGTTGCTTGATTCTTCATTCTTCTTGGGAAATCCAGATGTTGATATACTATTGTCCCGCCTCCCATTATGGCTACCAAGTGAACTCAGCTGAGATCCATAAAATGAAGTCGTCTGAGAACAACTTCCCACGTCATCCGTTGTTGTTCTACCTCTTCCTGGAAGGTCAAAAGTTTCCCTTTTCACCGGGTCAGGCACGCTAACCAGGCCATACGTATGATGCGCACTAGGAACAGAAGGACTGCTTGCCTTGGTCACAGTCGTTCTACTTGAATTGCTGTCATCCGAGTTCTGCTTCGTGCTAGAGTGGGCCCTAGATACCACAGCTTCCAAAAGATGGTCACTAGTACCCGTTGCAGGTAAGGTAGTGCTGTAGAAATCAGAACCTTTCTTATCTTCAACCATAGTTTCAGACTTTTGATGAGACCCATCTGTGATCACATTATTCAACTTGCCACCCAATAGCTTGTTTCTGAAATCCACCCCCAAGATGTCATACAAGTCGTCTCCAGACGGATATAGAGCAGCAAATGAATTGGTAAATTCGTTGTTCACTGTAATTGTACTTTGACTTCCACTTTGATGCCCAGTTAGTTGGATTGACTGCAAGTTCAAGGCTTGAAACAGATCTCTATCCATCTTCTGCATTGTTGCTTGTGATGTAATGTCACCATGATTAAAATTGGTGGATGAGTTGAATCTGCAATTAGAATCATCTCCAAGCATACCACTGCCACCATTACTTGGTTGATCCACCACCCTTCTTGAGGCAAGCCTCCCCATATTTGATGAATCGGTGGGCAAACAAGGAGTTGAAGTTTGTACATTCCCATGTACTCCAATAGAATAATGATTTACATTCCCCTTTATTCTCATCATAGAAAAGCTGTCAGTTGCATTCTTTGTATTTCCAAAATGAGAGGGGCCACAAGATTCTAGCACTACCTGCTGTTCCGGTAATGATAAAACAGTGTTGCTGGCATCAGAATGACCAGTGGTAGGATGATGAAATCCAGTCACGGAGCTGAAATTTGATGTGCGGCAGTGGTTTAGCGATGGTTCATGAATTGGGGGAATCACTTGAGCTACTCCATCAGTTAGATTTGGCCCACAAATTATGGAAGCAGCAGGAGACTTTAAATTATCCTGGCAATGTCCAATCTGGGGATGAGAGGGAACTTTTGAAGAGTGCGATGATTTGAAGTTTTGCAGCTTAAAAGTTTCACTCAGCAAAGAAGTGGGAGTTGGGACCTTCGAGAAATGTGGGGAAATGGGCTGTCTGAAAGAAATAGGTATCCCAATTCTTTCAGTCAAGTCTTTTTCTTCATGGTTATCAGACAGCAGTGCTCCAGGTATGCATCCTAGTTCCAGGATCAAACTCTTTACATTATTCACAAATCCCGAGTTTTCTGAAATCTGAAGAAAAAAAACGTACCCACATGAGACACAACCTACATTGAACTTGCAATATAGACAAACCAGAATGGCTAAAGATCTTTTATCGTGTTATATAGTACAATAAATAAGAAATAAGTCTTACCGTCAATGAAGAACCAAGCTGCACTACACCATGGGGACATATGGGAATAACTGCAATAGTCTGCAGACAAGAAAAGGAGTCTCTTAAGAAAAATAAACACCACAAATTGCCAGGAAAAGGAAAGAGCGAAACAAACTGAAAATTATCAAGACCTGCATTCCAGCAGAAAACTGGTGGCGAATCTCATTAACAACCTGCAAGGAGACACATAATTAAAAAGAGGTACATCTCGACTACTAGACATTTGGCCTTAGCACAACCATATATACAACATAGAGACATCCACGTAGATTAAATGCACCATCTTTATTCTGGTGAATTCATGATTAAAGGAACAGCAGCAACAGTGACTTAATATTACCTGCGGAGGATGAGAGTGTCCTGTATAATTGTTAGAAAGAATCCAATCATGGTTGCCGGTAAATGCAGCTCGCCCCACAATTCTGATCACCATAAAGTGAAATACCGCACATATTGATTAAAATTTCATCTAAGTGTATAGTATATATAAGGGGAATGCGGATGGAGACAAGAATAAGAAGAAAAACTTAGGCATACCCTTCTCCCACTATGATAACCTGATTATCCATCATCATTTTGTTTACAAGCGAATCCACACCATTAACCCCAGCTTGAAGCCCCAGCATTGAGGACTGGGCATCAGTACCACGGAAACCTTCCCATTCTCCAAAGGAAGAGACAGGCTTGTGAGAAGAAGACGATGCAGAGTCGTGGTACGAATCTTCCCATATTAACAACCTGCAAATTGGGAGCAGGACTGAGAACCATGACTACATTTTCTTACAGAACTAAGGAAGAGACAGAGAGTAACTTATATGCAGGAGCGGATGAAACTACAGAAACAGCACATAGAAACAAGGGGAAAATAGAGAGAATAGAATAAAGCACAGAGTGGGAGGTGGATCTAGCAACAGGAAATCAATCTAAACAAGGAGGAGGGGTCAGTCAGGTCAAAGTTAAAACCAAATCCACTTTTCCACATTAAGATTCTTAAAGCCAAAAGAGAATAAAGCCATAACACAAAGTTCCAAAGGGCAAAGGCAGAAAAAAAAAAAGGAACATATCTGGTGAAGTAGAAGGAGAGGAAATTTGATAAAGACAACAGTAGCCAAATGAAACTTAGAAACCATCTCTTAAAGACAGGCAATCAACCCAGGAGTGGCAGAAAAATTGAGCTACTTGACAAGAGAGAAAATTATTAGTATTTTCTTCCTCCCCGAGAGAGCCAAAGAAGAGGTTTTAGTTCTACATATTATAATAACCTAAAGCTACAGTCTTTTGTGCAACCTGTCAAAGAGGTGAATCCTTGTTATGTGAATCAGATCTTAGTTTGGTGGCTAAGAAAGCATATGAAAAGATAAAGGCAAGCATAGCTAATACTTTTGAGGTTCTGTGATCCCCCTCCACTATATGGGCGGTAGAGCCAGCCATTAAACTTAATTAATAACCATATCGAAGTACCAAAAAGGATTAGGAACGCAACAAGATTTAACAAACCCGCATAATACCTACCTTATCTTCTCGGCTACCAAGCAGAAAATTGGAAAGATTCTAAACAGAGCCCAAATAGATCACAGTTTAATCAAAACTACAATCTGATTAGCCTATCCAAGTTGAATGAACAGCAAGTAAGAAAGAGAGCTCTTGTTATCATTACAAAACTAAAAAAAAAGCTGCCTTCTTCCAACTTTTTGACTTTACTATTCCCTATTCCTCCATTTTCCTAGCAACCAAACAAACCAGATGAAACAAACCTGCAGAATGAAAAATCAGAAAGAGACCAACTTACAGAGCAACACAACTTACTTAGAATTCTGGATGCCAATCTTCCAAAACACAGCATAAGACCAGTGATTGACGCCGCAGAGCAGCCTCAATACTTCTCTCAACAAAACCCCCATGGCAGCTCAAAAAACTATCTCGCAGAATTACTTTCCTCCCCAAAAAACAGAGCAGCTATCAACCTCTAAATCGGATAACACCACCACCAGCAGCTAGAGTAAACAATTTACTTTGCCAGAATAAAAAGAGACGAACTTTCAGCATTCCCCTTGCCTCTTCTTCTTCCTCCTAGCGGCTAACTACCGCGACACGACCCTCTTCCCGCCTGCTTAGTCCTGAGCCCACCGCTCCTTTTCCTCTCTGGATCCAAGTTCCGTACGATCTTTCTCTCGCAACCCATCAGATAACGGAAGAAAAAGCAAGTAGAAATCCGAACAACAACCACAAAGCAGAACAGCCTTTCGGAAGCGGGCTACTAGAGAAACTTGAACTGAAAAAAAAAACAGAGCCAGCCCTAAATTATCCCACAAGCTTCCTGCTTGAAGGTGGCCTTAATCTGCTCCATTTCTTTTCACTCACTCGTGAAAAATTTCGGGTTCCTGAAATCAGCTAATAAGAGAGCTGGAGGAGGTTGGGAAGCAGAGAAGAAGAGGTTGGGGGAGAGGGGAATTTGAGGATTGTTGTGGGTTCCTTTCGCTTTCTTTGTTTCTCTCTTTCGCTCAGCTTGAGAGCTCTCCCTGGCTGCTAAATGCTAAATATTCTGTCTTTCTCCTTTTGATGCAGAGATGGTGAGTGAAAGAGAGGGCGAGAATGAAAGAGAGAAGAGAAGTGATTTTTTTTTTTTTTTTTTACTTTTAAAGTGAAAGTGCGCCACAGACGATAAAAGCAGGAGACGACAAACGCAGACCCCCAAAATTAAAACAAAAATCAAATTAATATTTTTTAACAGTAAATTAAAAGTTAATTTAATAATTTAATTTAGAAATGTGGGGCAAGGTTAAGTTTGGAAAATAGGGGCTGGAGTTGGGAGGAAATTACGGTGAGATGCCACTGTGTGATGGGGAAACTGGCTGGGGTTTTTAGTAGGTGGTTTGTTGTTTTCCTTGCTAGTGCGAGTTGCTGTCCTGCTGACGTCATATATTGGAAATGACCGTTCTGACCTTGGTCCAGCACCAGCTTGCCTTGATTAACAGAAGCCATTTGAAAGATGTTGGGGGTTTTTCGTCACAAATTTATGATAATGACTGACCATAATCATATATTCAAAATGCTTAAATCAGGCTCTAAACCAAAGTTTTATGAAGTTCCTGGATATGGCAAAGTCTTACAGAAAGATCAGAATTTCTTAAGTTTAGTTGTTGATATGCAAACATTTATGGCTAAGAGATCCATTCCTTACGCGCCCTTTTGATCTGTGAAGTCTTTTTCTGTTACGAGAGTTTTCGTGTTTCAATTTCATGATGTAAATTTTCCTCTCTTGGTTTTCAGCATTTGCCAGATATTGTGTTGATAGAGCGGTGAGAACGAAAAATCGAGTGCTGCTCTTTGGGCATCGATTAATTAGTGTATGTAGTTGTTATATATGAGACATTTTCTAGTGGATTTGCCGTGTTTAAGTTATTACGACAACGATTATATGTCTCGTGTTCAAGAGAATTTGACACAGTGTTGAACTGCTCATAGTATGGTCACAACGTTATAGCCAAAACCCTCATTTCAAATCCCGCCATCAAACGATCTCTAAGTAATACACATTTTCGAAAAAAAAAAGGTTGATTGAGTATATACATGGAAAAGAATGATGACGTGGAGGGTTCAAACAAGGGGGATGATGGAAAAATGGAGCAATATTATTGTTCAATGGAGGCAAGGAATGATGGGATGAATGAGTGTCCATGATGACTCATAGAAAGTGAAGGATGAAAAAAAAAATTTGAAGGACAAATCATCATCAACTATATATTTGACTCACTGTTAATTTCTTATGAATGCTACTTTTTTTATTGATTGGATATTCCAGCAAGGAAAACACACACAAGTGACTTTGTTTAGGAGTCTTAATCCCATCCTTTCTTGACAAGAAATTGAGCGGTTGATGACCCGATTCCTAAGACTACTTTGTATAACGAAACGGATCGTATTAAAAATTGATCAGATTGAATCAAATCGATGAAATTCCTGTTAAAAAATTAATATTTGTTTTTTATTTTAATTTATCATACACATTCGTCCGTAATTAAATCAAACTCGAAAATATAACTAAATCCATATATGGATTGAGTCAAACTGAGAAGGATTGTTTGTGCTAGAATTAGAGGTAACAATTTCAATCTATTTCACAAACCCAATCAACTCACTATAAAATTCAATTTCAAGCCAATTTATGTGGGTGCCACCATTAATAAATGCAAGTCAAACAATTATTTTATGTTTACATGAATTCACAACTTCTTCTACAAAATACATGAGTCAAATACATGAATTCCTCATTTCATGCTTGTCAAACAACCTCTAGATATATCTCGTTATTGTCTAAAGTTGAACCTGCACTTGATTATAGAAGATACATGATCAAACTATACTCCCTTTTTAAAAAAAAAAAATTAGTGACAATATAGTATATATATGACCATGTCGATGATATGTCTGTGACGACTTACAAGTCATCGTGATTTGGAGAACATGCTAGACCGCTTCCAGTAAACGATCGGCTAGATGGCACACTTACCTTAGGAGAAACATTCAATTGCTACAATACCACACAAAAACGTAACGATAAAAAGGTCAGCTGGAACTAGTCAACCTCGTCATAGAGAGGTCGACCGACTAGAGCTAAGGATATATTCAAACCTGAAGCCACCATCATGGAGAGTGATTTAAAGGCAACGAGCCCCGTGATTGTACATGAAAGTTCGACATGACAACCTATGTGATCTACATGTCGACCTGTAGGTTTTGCACAAACAACTACCTTTCAGTAAAAAACGAATTGTTCGTGGCTCCAAAATTTAGTGAATATTTATGTAAACCATATAGGTCTCCCTTGCACTTGATTGAGGATAGATAGTATTCTGGGGTGAAAAAGGAATATGAACACATCCCAACCATTTTTGAGCCCATAAAACTTCCATTGTTCCCCATTTTCTACCCTAGAGAATAATATATTATACATATAGAGAATCGAAAATCAATGGAGTCCCTCAAACTCTTCCTAGCTACCGCATTGGCATTGGCGTTTCTCAATAGTTTCAGACCTCCATTGATGAATTCCACTGATAAAGCTCCAAGAGACCAAAATACACTAGTTTTTGCACCCACCTTGCTTCTGCTGCTGCCATGGTTTTTGTGCCCTTAAACACTCATTGGAGTCTAATGCATTTAACAAGACTACCCAACAAACAAAAAAATATATTAAATTACCCTTAATAATAATAATTAATTGATGATAATAATTAAATTAAATGTTTGTTCTTGATCTTTGTTGTCTTTAGTCTTTACACGACATTCTCTTTACGTTATTCCTTCTGCAAATTCTCTGTTTCCTGCAACTTTCCATTCTTTTCTTGCTCTCCGTACTTTGATGATAATATACCTTAGCTTGCTTAGGTCTAATGTTTTGTTTAATCTATGGGGTGATTTATTCTTTAATAATGAGGAAAAGGGCTCGTATCAACTTGATTATATTATACAAACAAGCATGTGATGGCTTAACGATGTTAAAAAAAAAATATGAATTGTTATAGGGTTTAGAAAGCCCATTTGTCACATGGGTGGGTAAGTAATTGCCAAAGTGTTCTAAAGTTTCACATGGTCAAGTAAACATTCCAAACTTCATAATTTAAAGGCACAAAAAAAAAGTTGTGGTAGAAGGATAAAAAAAAAAAGATGTTTTAGTAAAGGATTAAAGAAAACTTTTTATTATAGCCCTAGTGGGAGTGGATATTCTATCCAAAAAGCTGGTATAAGGGTTCGTTATTTTAACTCAAATTTACATTTGTGTGTTCTTTGAAATGAATGGTATGAACAGAGGGGAAATTTGGTGTAAGGATGCATCTGATCGTAAGGTCGTTTATCAAATGAATCCGATATCTCAATTATTAAGACTACACAGGTGTAGAGATCCGTTCCATAGAGTAGTATTTGGGTTGTATAAAGTCTCTCGAATCTCTCCGTATGTAAAGATCTTGTATTAGAGAGGGTTCGCGTGAACAACGTCTCTTATATATCTTGAATAAAGTTTTTGTCCAATCTTATTTATTGCGGTTCATTGTTATACAGTGCACGTGCGATCAAAAAACAAAGAGGCATGTCATAGAAATTTAATGGGTTACAATCAAAGATTAAATTAAAAGAAGTCAAGGTGAGCATAAAGTCAATGTAGTACATGCAAACAAGTATCAGAATATTGTACGTAGAGATAACAAAATGTATAATCTTTCAGGTATAAAACTCGAAAAATAGATACGAGGTATGTGTTGAGAAGATAAATAATTTTAGAAAGCAATAAAAAGTAAAAGATAAAATGTTTGGGACAAAAAAAAAAAAAAACTTTGTGTGATGAGAGATGAGGCATAAAAAGGATACATACATAGCCCTAGTTGGGGACACATGAAAGGGATATGTTTTTTTTTTTTTTGGGTTTGCTACTATTTCTTGGTGTGTGGTAAAACAAAAATCATGATTAAACCTTTTTAATTTTTGTGGTAATTTTGATAGAAAAAAAAAATAACAATATTTGTGGTAAATAGCGAAAGATTCCTTCCACAGAAACGCATGAAGGTGTTCTTGTTTTATACCTGCAGACAGACAACCTTTGCTTGTAGAATAATCATATATTTCTGCTATTATCAATGTACCAGGAAAGGAGTAAGTTCTACTCAATCAAATGAAATGTTATATAAATTTTTTTTGGTTTTTTAGGCATTACAAATATCATTGAAGGTGGATCCATACTCCATGCACATTACACTCACCACTCCATAGATACTTAGATGTGCTTATTGAAACTGGAAGTCCACACTTCAAGTCAGTTTCAAGGTCCCAGTTTGAGTTTGTGTTCAGGCTAGGATTCGAGTTTAAGTTTAGCGTCAACGTTTCAAGAATGATCCACCTTAAATATTTGGTTTGAGGTTATCATGTTTATGTATATGTTAAACCAACACAAAAAGTGATAAGATTATGTGACCGAGATTCATCCATACGATACGAGATTAGAATATAGTATCATATATATCTCATACTCCAAATTAATTCATGGTTTAAATAGCAAAATATGATTGACATACTAGAAGATTAGTTAACGTACTCTAGACGTACGTTAACCTGAACCATATATATAGTTTCCCCACTATCCAAGTTACAGAAGCAGTACATAGTAACGGTGGATTTGTACGTAGGAGATGGATCGGTCGATCGCCATGATCGTCTAGGATGATCTTTTCATTTCAGTCCCCTTTTACTTTTTGTTTTAATTTGAAGTTTGGTTAATTAGTGATTTCATGGCCTTCCTTTCTTTCTACAAATAATATTATTGATGAAGAAGAGATCTTGTTGGTCCACCCTTTGGATCTTGCTGTCCGTTCGAAACATATATAATCATCCACAATTTAGCATATTAACTACAAATCATTCAATACTACTAACCTCACAAAGCAACACTCACCCAATCGGCCAATCATATTCGTACACACCAAGTATTGAGAATTTTTAATGGACAACAGTATGTATGTGCATATATGTGTATAAGTTCATAGTTTAGGATTCGTACCCATGGTTACCCGAATACCCGTGGTTACCCGGTGGGTAGGGTATGGTTATATAGTTTTCATACCCGGTGGTTATTTGGTCGGGTATTTTAGAAGGCTCTACCCGGCGGATTAGGAGTTGGTATAGGGTAAATCCGCACCCGACCCTACCCATTGCCATCCCTAAGCAAGAGGTGATAATTAGTATCTAAATGCATGAAATTCAATCCAATCCATCCACTAAAATATTCAACTAAACCAATCTATTTGATCCAAATCCAATTGAATTGGTGATTTCATGGATTGGATTCATAGATGTTGATAAATTACAGCTTAGTACCTATACCTTTTGTATTATACATTTTGGTACATAAAATTTATTTTTTAGGCAAAAAATTTATGGATCAATCCACCCGTACATAAATCCAATGGCCATCTCTAGTGATGGATCATCTGTGTAGAGGCCCGTGAATCGATTTTTGTTTGATGAAGAAATGTAAAAAAGAGATATGAGACTTGTATTTAAACTTTCCAACAAATTGCGTCATTGAACGAACTGATTTTTACCATGCACGCATCTTTATATCAATTTTTGCCTCGTTGGTGTAAAAAAAAAAAGCACTCTTATTTGGAACTTTACCGAGCCAAAAACCCTAACCGAATTCAAAACTAGAATCTCATAATCTCAAATTGCAATAGGAAAGGTAAAGAGTAGAATTATGGGATGTCGCACCTGCTCTACTTGTGGCTCCACCACCAGAATCATCACCGGTCACCGCCCCCGCCGCCGCCGCCACCACACCTCTGCTTCTACGGCTACGGCTAGAATGGAGTAATGATGACAATGACCTATATTATAATTGTCAAATACAAGTAATAATTTACAGTGTTTTATAATCAATTAATTTTGTATCTTTATTGTCGGCTTCTCATCAATATGTAGCTTAATTGGATATAGATTTGGTTTGGATATGGAGGCTTTCAATAGAGATCGAACTAATTGTGATTAGGACAGAAATTTTGTTTAAATTCAATGAAACGTCTCAATAATGCATAATTTTATTAATAATCCGAGACAATTAAATATGTTTATCTTGGTTCAATTATAGTAACTTGGTCTAGACTCCATATAAATTGACTTTGACCCTTTATTAACATACAATATTGTTGGTTTGAGTGACAAGAATGTTCTTGTTAATTTTTTTTTTTATATATATATGGATATATGGTAAGTTTGACTTTATTAGTTTTAGCCTTTTAGGTTGTATAAAAAGGAATTAGAGAACAAGAGGACAAATCTTCTAACCGAGCATAATTTCGTGATTGCTGATAAATCTGTATACATATATCGTATCTACATAAGAAAGAACAACTTTTGTTGTGTTGGTTACATTAATGACTGCTACCTGCCATTAAACCGAAAACCTAAATGTTGTGCATGTTGCATACAACTATAGCGGGTAACAATCCGGTCTATACCAGAATAAATTGCACCAATTAATATTCGGACCGAAGCATATTGGATCAAATATATTTCGATTCAGTTTCGACCCCACGAATTACATTAAGTATGAAGAAAAAGTGGACCGAAGTTGAATTTGGACAAGTCCTAGTCGAATCAAATTAAATAAACCAAACATGCTCCGGTTCTGGTTGTTAATTTTTCCTTCAATCTTATTTCGGTCTAATCTTAATTGGATCCGTTCTAGTCCGAATTGATCGACGTCCACCCTTACATTCGCGACATCAGGTCGAATCATACCGTTTAATTCAAGGTTTTTAACCATTTGGTAAATAGTTGGCTTGCCACCACAAAAAATTACCCATCATGAGTTTTCACCCACACAATGGTGCTTGTTTCCAAACCAAACACATATGTCGACCAGATGCCAAACCAGAAACGTACTTCTTGCATTAGTCACCATTACACTACCAAAATGAAGGTGCCCGAAAGAAAGCCGATCGACAAGACTCTGCCCATTAGGGTTTTTGCAGCAAAATCCTCTGTGCTATAATTGCAAGAGATTTGTCAAAGTGGTAAGCTTCTCCTTAGAGGCATGACAATCTTGACTTTTTTCCCCCTCTCTCGTTAGGTTAAACAGAATGATGTGTTGTTATTCACTTACTCTGTTCATTGCATTGTTCTCCCATTGTTGGATGCTGTAAGATAGTGCTGTGCATACTCATTCATTCTGTCCACACATATCATGCCAACAGACGACAAACATCAATTTCACACTTCACTTCCTTTTTTCCCCTTGGCTGCTACCCACCCATCCAAAGTTCCCTTGATCATTCATTATCATCATGATATGCCAATGGGAAACTCAATCCTCCTCCAATTTCTCTCTTAGAAGTTTTTTATTATTATAAAGTTTTGTATGTTGTATTTTCTTAAACAACGAGGGCGATGTTCGTTGGCGCTTGACTGTATATGAGGGCTGTCATAATGATATCCCCGACCTTGTACTCTGTCAAGCAAGTGAGTCGACGTTACGTTCGAGCGGTCGAGGTCGAGACAACTTGAAATTGTGCGGTCGAAAGTTGTTAGAGAGAGGAAGTGTTTGCGGGGAGAGCAGAGGTAGAAAGAGTTTGGCTGACTCGGTTGGTCTGTCAAAGCGCTGAAGCCGACCAAATTGTGATTTTATCTGGAAGAATTTGGTTTTAAAGCTGATGAATCGACCTTGCGCAAACTCCTATAAGATGGTCAGCTATGGTCGAACCTGGTTCAATGTCTGCTTACTAACCTTCAACTACCCAGTTGTGGATTTAGGAGAGGGCCTCCCCAGGCCAAAGCCCAACCCTCCTCTAGCTCAGGAGCTAGTAATAGCAAACGAGACGTGCTTGCTTCTGACTCTCTTAGCCTCTTTCGACCCAGTGCTAATTAGTTAGGCCCACATGCAAATCTTATCGATGGTTGGTTGGTGATACGCTTGGCTAATCTTTGCTTGATCGCGCGACAAACAACTTAATACGTACGATTCTGCAGTCAAGCTATCTACCAGACGGGACAAATTATCACAGTTAGCAGATAATTGCTAGATAAGACATTAGATACGCTGAAGATTCTGTTTTTGGTTTCTCTGGCTTTGCCTTCGACTATGGTTCCTTTTGCTTATCACAATCTCAGCTGCTATGAATGCTACTGCCCGTCGGCGGATATGACTCTGCCCAAAAAACCCATACAGAAAAAGACATTTAACTAGCAGATCCTGGCAGATTGTTCGTTAGATTTGGTCTTGCCAGCCGCCATTAATAAGCTTCGCGTGGAAATTGTGCTCATATATATTTTAGTGTTATTTCAGTTTGATTGCCATAAGATCATCATCTGCGTCAGCAATCTGTGACTGCATTCTCTGATACAAGAATTCAAAAGTGGATTGCAGATGATCTAAGCATTTGGAATTTACTGCATATGATTGGGCCGGCAACAGAAGCATATCCATTTCATCATCCCTTTGTTTCTCTTCTGTCGTTTATGGAGGCGGTGGAGCTGACGTGGGCAGCTGATGGTGATATTTTACCAGCATATAGCCACATCAGCAGCCTCGTAGTCTCTTAATTGGACAATTATGGAAGTGACTGATGATGTGGATTGAACAGGAAGAAGACATCTGGAAGAGTGAAATTGCTGGTTTACACGTTGGACAAACAGTCCAAAAGTTCACAACTTTGAGGGTGGAAATATTGCAAGGCAAAACATGACCATTATAAAGCATCATCTCTTTCTGTTCATTCAGACTTGACTCCACCCTTGGCATCTCTCACCTTCATCTGCAAGAAGATCGGAGAACACCCCTGTCGTCGAATGAACACAGCCATAACGGCAGCATTCGCCAAAAGGAAAACCAAGCTCGCCATCCAGAGCTGAAGAAATACGTTCTGGCCTCTGAACTCGAGCAAGTAACCCCACAACAGCCAGTGCAATTGAGCTCCCATCCACAACCCGACACAGCTCAACCCTTCCCATCTCAGCTTCATGTCGCTCCACGGCAAGATTAAAGGCAGCAGGCAAAAGAACCAGACGAAATACTGTGCCGTGATTACCTTGTTGAACGCGACAAAGGCCACCGTCTGCAGGAAGAAGCAGAACGGGAGGTCTTGGGCAAAGCTTGATATGAGAACTAGTTGCACCATCGACTGAGGCAAGAAAGAGATGAGCTTTTCCACCAGGGAAAGCTGGTGGCCATAGTGGAGATATATGTGGTAGAAGTAGATGGAGAAGTTGTGCCTTGGGTCTGCACGAGTGAGATGGTACAACAGTGCTTCGTTCAAGAACTCCCATTTGTATAGATGGAAGAAAAGGCCGGTGCATAGGAAGAAGATGCCTCCGGAGACTAGGCCGAACAGTATTCGCTCTCTGGAAAACATGGATTTTGCTGCTGTCCATAGGTTGTATCGGGTAGATGCTTCCTCGCTGCTTTGAGATGATGGCTTTTGGGTGTTCGATTTCCAGTTCACAAGGAGAGGCTTCTTTCCAAGTTGGACGTAACGTGGATCAAGAACCACAATGATTGGCAGGGCATAGATTATGGGATAGATTCTGAAATGAACTACAAGTCCATACCAAACTGCTGCTTGGATTATTTTACCTGTACAGTGGAAGAACATAATCGAATTTAGATGCAGCAAAACGAACACCAACAAGAATTTCACTGCCTTGTCCTGCGCTACCAAGCACTATAACTGAAATGTAGGTTAAACCTAAATGCCGAATCACATATGCTACAAGATATCTAAGACACCATAAGAATCTAGTTAGTAGCTTTGTAACTAGAGAAACAAACTTAAGTCAGTTTTGCTTTATATCAAGCAAGAACATGACGATAACTAGAAGAAACTTCCGTAACTCGGATAATTTACTACAACAAACAGGTGATGAAACATAAAATTTCTCTGTTTACAACTACAGCTGAGCAAAAATATTGATGAGATTAAAACAGCCTCAACAGAGTGTAGAGACACATTGTCAAGAACACAACTCTGATTGGCAAAATGATTATTCAATTCTAATGTGAAGACAGGAATACAGAAGTAGGAAAATATACCATTCATCAGACAGATAAGGATCCACAAAATCATGGCACAAACAATGGGCTCACAGTTGCCACGGGTTCCAATGGTGAAGGTAAATGGATTGAGGAGCCATACCATTACTGAGTATAAGCATAGATCCTCAGCCACTTTACGTTGCTTCAAAATCTTGTATATGAAGTAGCCAACTAGAAGATCTGCAGGCAACATTTCAAGATACCCATTCAATAATCGTACCAATAAACAGCAAAGAGAACAAGGTCAATTGAACGCCAGTCAGCTACTCTTCAAGAGGGGAAATCGAGAACTTTTTAAAGATTCCAACTTGATAACTATCTCCCTAAACCCTAAACATGAAATGTTAGCTGCGATTCAAAACTGGATCAAATTCGGAAACTTTTTTCACACCTGAAGCAGAGAAGATGAATTTCCCCCATGCGCGGTGCAGAAAAGAGTTGGGAATCAGAAGAAAAGCGAGCAAAGGGGAGTAGCGGTAAGTTGTTCTCTTGTAAGGAGAAGACCCAGAAGCCATTAACGAAGCTGCATCGGAGAAGACGAGGTAATCGACGTCGGTGTATCGAACTTCCATGTGGGCGTCCTGCCACTCCCCGTACAGAATCAGAACCAGCCGGAAGACGGCGGAGGCAATTAGAATGCTCCGGAGGTTCATTATAGCTCTCGCCGTCATTTACGATCCTGATAGCAATGGCGCAAACTGGAGATAGAATGAAATCAGACCCTCGACTCCGAAGCTCTCGTTTAGATCCAGAGGAGACTGGAATGAAACCAGACGATGACGATGACGAAGTTACTGGGCCTGCAAAATGGATGAGCTTGTAAGTTCTGACTGGGCTATGCTTTACAGGCCCGTAATGAAAGCCCACTTAGCTGAGATCCACAGCCTTTGCCTAACCCCTCATCCACAATCACCACCACCACCATCCTCCGCCGCAAGGCGCCACCACCACCACCATAATTCTCCACTGGCAAATTCCGCCATAAACCCTAACCCTAACTCCGCTTCCCCTTCCACCCACCGCCAAATGTCCACTCCATCCCCTTCCTCCTCCTCTCCGCTCCACCAACCTTCGTCGACTCCATATTCGCCGGCGCCCAGCGCCGGCAAGAAACCGCAGCCGGTCCCCTGGACCCACCAGCAAACAGTCCACCTGATCCAGGCGTATCAGGAGAAATGGTACGCCTTGAAGCGCGGCCAGCTCAAGGCCGGGCAGTGGGAAGAGGTCGCCGCCGCTGTGGTCTCTCGCTGCGGCCACAACGGCTACCAGCCGGTGAAATCCTCCACGCAGTGCCGCCACAAAATGGACAAGCTCCGGAAGCGTTACAGGGAGGAGAAACGCCGCGCTTCCCTTGGGGGTGTGTGTTCCTGGCCTTACTTTCGGTTGATGGAGGCCTTGGAAAGGGGATTGCCGCCATTGCCGATTGGCGATGGGTTTAATGGAGAAGAGGGTTATGATTACGGTGTGGAAGAGGAGGGAGAGGAGGAGGAGGAAGAGGAGGATGAAGAGGAGGAAGAAGAAGAGGAGGAATCTGGGTATAGAAGTAGGTCAAGGAGTATCAATTACATAATTCGGCAGCCGAGTTCTAGTAATGGTTTTGGTGGGAGTGATTCAGGGAGTTTGAAAGAGATGGGGTGGAAGAAGAGAAAGAGAGAAGGAGTGAAGGAAAGGGAAGAGAATGGAAGAGGCGCGGCCGCATTGGCATTGGCAGAGGAAATGAGGGCATTTGCTGGGAAGATGTTGGGAGTGGAGAAGAAGAAGATAGAGATGGTGAAGGAAATGGAAAAGATGAGAATGGAGATGGAGAATAAGCGAATGCATATGTTTTTGGATGCTGAGAAGAAGATTATTGAGAGTATTCAAAATGCTTTTGAGACGCAGGAGAAATGAACGTAAAGGATAAGTCTTTTTGAAAGGTTCAGTCCTCTGCATTCTATTTTGATTCTGCCTTGAAAGTATTTCGTTTCCTAATTGCTTTACCTTTTCACTGTTGTATCACTGTTAATGAATCCAATCATCTAGCTAAATGTGCTGACTTGTATTTATGAGTGATAGGATCAAAGACCATGGGTGGATTTTTGTATTTCTAGTTGCATATGCTTGACTTTTGATGGTACTACTTGCTTTGCATTTCATTTTATGTCCCTTTTGGATACTTGGAGATGTTTTTCATACTGCTGTTGGGTAAGTCATGACCGACGATGATGAATTTCAGTTTTGTGATAGGATACCTGAACTGCAGCAACTTCTGTAAGTTCCCAGTGTTGTGATTTGTTCATCATTCCTCTTGTAGAAGGTTTAATGCCCTTCCGTAGTTGAATCGGAATCAGAATTGCAATTGTTGTTTCGCAAGCATAGCAACCTAACAGGTATAAGCAAGCCCCAAAGAGTGGCTATAGACTAAGTTAAGTCATAAGCAGGTCATAGAGCATACAAATGGGAGTCCATTCTAAGTTTAATGAAAGTGTTACAAGGAGATGGATAAAAATCTCAATCTGTTGATGAAGTATGTGAGCTTTCTTGTTCCTGGATGAATTTCACTGAGAAGATTTTTCTGATAGATTTCAGTTCGAGAATTGAGATATTTTTTCCGGAGGATAGAGTTCAAATTCATCGCCAAAGATTCTCATCGGCGATAAGTCAGTCGAAAAGCTGATAGGGTATAAATGTTTACTTTTCTTTAATGCTGCTGTTTGGTAACTGTGAAAGCCTTAAGTGGGTATTTCATGTAGATAGTCAGGAAAGTTTTGGAAATGCCTTTCTGATATCAAACTGTTCAGTCTTGAAGTAGGAAAATAGTGAGGAAATTATTGAAATGGACATGCCTCTGCTTGCATGATGTGTAGTTCATACTGGTTGTGAGAATTACTACAAAATTCTTTGGTCAAGGTCTAAATCCAAGGAATCTCTCCTCATGCTAGTAATTTGGAGAGTGGCTGCCAAACTATGCTGTGGCAGCTGTTTGTATGTCTCTAATTGTTTATTCCTTTTAATATTTACCATATTTGCTTTCTTGAATTTCAGGCATTGGAGATTATTTTGGCACATCTGACCAGACGGTTTTGCTGGTGTCACTGACTGTAATACTGGTATGCAAGTCAAAATAGTTCTGTTTAGTTGTGATAGGATCTTTCCTGATTATTTAAAATGTGATCATCATTTCATTAGCGGTAATTTCTGTTCTGCGAAAATAAAAGAAAACGGAACTTCTGTGCGTATTTAACGTACTTAGTTTTCTACGGAACTTCTGTTTGTATTGTCAGTTTTGGGGACGATGAAATTTCATGGAAATGTGGGTTTTGACAGAACATATTTGAATTTTGGCAGGTTCTGATAGTTCCCAGACTGACTGCAATCCGGGCTGATTTTGGAGTCAAAAGCTAAATATTCTTGCAGATTTTGTACTGTACATTGGATTCTTGGTACTATTTGCCTGGAAAATTCTTTGGGAATGGGGGACTGGAGACTGGAGAGGGTAAAGCTGAAGAGTATGCGTTGGATTGAAGTAAGGAAGTGCATCTCCAGGAGAGCAATTCGATTTTGCAGTGCACAGAGAAAGGCATTGAACTGTGGTACTGGCAGTGTACATTTTGTATTTATCAGTGCAGAAGGCACTGTAAATTTCTCTTCAGAAACGAATTTGCAGTCTTCCTTCCACTTCCTGCTTCAACTATGCCTTCCCTTTTGTGTTTTGACTTTGACTCTGTGCTGCCACCAATTTATTAGTAAACATAACTAGTTTGCTCCACTGCCTATATCTTGAATTGTATGCTTGATAGTTAGTCTAGGTACCACTGATCTGACCTTGGAAATGGTTCGATTTGGTATCGGACCTGTGATTTAGAACCAAAAACGTGTTCAGTAAACGCCGAATGTCAATTCGGTCCACAATCGGAATGAAGTTGCCTGATTGAATGAAGATCTGAACAATGCTATAGTACATCGTAGCTATCAAAATTTGCCTCGTCATAGTTTTCTGTTTACTGACACATTAATACTCTGGAAGCACCTGGGAAGTCTATGATGCAAAGCCAACGCCCTATAGAGAAAGGCAAAGTCACTAATTATGAACTCTTTCTCGAAAGGTTCTTCAACCCACACCCCATACATTTCAGTATAACTGTCTTTGTTGTTGTGTCCATTTTAATATTGAATTCGACGCCCAGAAAGTCTTTGATCTGCCTCAACGTTTCGACTCCATATGGCATCAACTTCCCCACCCGGACCTTGGATATGTCGGGAGGGCATAGAGCGCAAAGAAGAAACACCAAACCCTGCAGCCAAAGAAGAAACGAAATTATGATGATAATTCTTAGATTGGTCTTCTGAAAATATTGATCCTAGGGCGGAAATACACGGACCTGGTGTGAGGAGTCCACCACTCCACCTAGCTCGATCTCTTCAAGCAGAGCGGAAGCCATGTCTTCACCGACATCCTGTGGAGGCTTCAACTCTTTCTTCTCATCTTCCATGTCGCCAACATCATCTCCCCGTGCATAAGAAATCGTAGTATCAGCCGAGATGCAGCAGCCAGCATTGGTTTCGGCAACCAAGGAGATTCCATAGCCAGGAGAACTGTCATTTTAGAGTACTCTCATGTCAAACCAACCAGTTTCTGCTAGAAAAACCAGACAAAGAGTGAACCATAAACAAGAAACTCACTTTCCAGCCTGTAAGCCTGCTTTGTGATCGGTGAATATATGAACATCAGGAAGCAGATTATTGAAGATACCACGGGCAGCATGGATCATTTGGATCTCGAATTGAGAAGATACTTTGGCGGAGAAAGTCCACCCTCGAATCCTTTTGACCATTCCCTCATCAATCCAAGTGACAGCCTGTATTGCAAGGAAATGTATATAAAACGAGGAGGTCGAGACTATTAGTAACGTCTCCAATAGATTTAGAGTCTCACCGACAGGGCTTGAACAATAGGGACTGACAGAACAACTTCTCCTCCACCCAATGGTGGAACTCCACGACTCTCTATTTTAAGATCCAGTCCTTCAGAAGGAACCCCAAATCGCTTTAATATTGGCAGGGTAGTCGAGCGGAATGTGTCTACGCACGGATCCTTCGAGTCATTCGTAATCCCTGGAAATGACTGAGTCAGGTGACAAATTTCGACCGAGGCCGTGAAGAAAAATCAATTGCCATGTATTCTTGTTCCGTGATAAATACAAACCAAGAAGCTATCATCATATACCGAGCTGCACAAAAGCTAGGTAACCCACGACATTACATTGTGACTCTAAAACAAACAATCAGACCCCTTGATTTCTTTCATAAGTTTAGTTATAGCAGGTTGTAGAATGCACCTATGAAGAATGTGCCTAAGAGTAAAAATAGCTCAAAAGCTCGTACCTTTGAGCCTTATCTCAAGCGGCTTCTTGCCAAACAATCCGAGAACAATCAAAGGTTCCAGAAAATATCCAATTGCTCGACTCACACCACAGTCATGAGCAACACGCCTTCCCCCCATAACCACACCAGGCTTGTACTTGAACTTCGTACCTGTAAAGTATAAGTTCATCAAACATACGTATAACCAACATAGTCATGAGACTATTAGGATACCTGAGCAGGAACAGAATATCATAACGAGCCAGAAAAAAATTATCATCATTACTAGTCCTCCTCTGATAAAGCTTGAAGCTTTGCAAAGAATAGTAAGCTTAGCCTACAAACCCAGAACATCCTTAATCCATCAAAACTCCAAAACCCAGTAACAGTTGACACTAACACTAGATTCTGTAACTTCGAGTAAGAAACTAAGAAGTAGGACTTACCGGTATCATTGATTTCGACGACGCAATCATCGGTGACTCGGTCAAAGAGGCGGAGAAGGGAGATTTCATGGGGGCGGAGGCCGGGGAATTTGTCGTCGGCGCGAATGTCTTCGACGAGAATAGGAGTGCCGGAGAGCGTCGATAGCAGAAGCCTCTGCCGAAGGTTCTGGGAACCCTTCATTTTCTTGTAGTTTACTTTCCCCATGATCGGAATCGAAAAGTTACTTCGGCAAGAGCCACTTCTGGGTTCAGCAGCTCTCCTTGGAGTCTCTCTGTGGTTGCTGAATCGCAGCTCTGAAGACTGAAGGAAAATCGGCAAATTAGGGGTTTTAGGACCCGACCCGAATCCAATACACCGTTTTGGCCGCGAGCGGGTACGGGTTAGCTAAGAGGCTGCCGGCGGCCCGATCACACGGCCCATGGCCAAAGGAAAGGTTGAAGAAGTAAACGGTTACCGAAGTTTGTATGATTGACAAATCAATCACCCAATTTTGATTGTAATTTGTCACGTCAAGTAATTTGTTCGTAGATTACATTATTATCGCATATGAACATTCCTTAAACGGTTAAATATGAGGTTGAAATTCGAACTCGAAATATCAAACTCAATTGTGCCATTGTAGAGACCTTAATTAACCAACTCATTTGAGTCGAGTCTCCAAACTCCGAGAGCTCATGTATAGTCAAATATAAGTTTATGGAAGACCTTTCATCATCCAAATCATAGTGAGATAGGAAACTTGTCAGGAAATAAATAAACATACAAGATTTTATGATAGGAAATATGGAAAAAGTTAGTGCCTCGATAAATGGAAAGAATGTTGATTTTGTTTAGCACTCAAACTATCATCATTTTCAGCGCTTATCACAACTAGTCACCATCATTTTTCTTGGGGGATAATGACATCTAATTTTCTTAGTGCTTATCAAAACTATTTCTCGTCGTTCGCAAAATGGGTCGAGCTCATCGACGTCAAAAATCACCACCCAACACTCTATTCATCCATGCTGTTTTCTTTCTCACCTCTCAAAAGAATTTCATGTTCATTACTCACCGGTTGCGGTTAGTGGTAAGTTATTCTAAATGATTCAATCTTCGGTTGTTAAATAAAATATAAGTACTGAAATGATAAATCTAGAAAAGTTTGAGGGCCAAATCGTTGTTTGGCGGCTTGTTTCTTGCAAATGTGCCCCCGGTTTCTCAATCTCTTTCTCTCTCTACATTCCTTTTCCCAAAACAAAACCCTCTATCTCTCTGTTCTTCTTGCCCTTGTTCTTCTTCAATCTTTCGCTTCCTCTCCTCAGTTCTCTTTTTCTCCTCCAATTCACCCGCTTCTTCTCTCAGTCCAATCTTTTCCTTCGCCGATCAGCTCGGGACAGCGTATTTTACATACTCAACAGTTGTGTTGGATATGCTGGATACAACTGGTGCTAGCTAGAGCTTGCTGGCAGCAGTTTGGGCTGCCGAGTCGCATAAAAAACGAAGCTGCTGAACAATGCTTTCTCTAAGGTTTGCTATTCTCTTCCCCACATTGACCTGTGCTTGTTTGCTGTCTTTGCTGTGGAAATTTGATAAATCAATCATCCAATATCTGGTAATTCGTGCTGGTCAGTTTTTCTCTGTGCAATGGGTGAATGTTATGAATACAGACTATTGCCTCATGGGTCTTTTGGATTTCTAAAGCAGATGATTTTACTGCAACTATCTCTCCATTGTTCTTACGTTTCATGTTCAATTCTCTGATTGTTGCATGAAGTTCTCTGAAGACAATTGGGTTGTCCGGGATTGTGGCATTGCAGGGATTTTTGGAGAAGGCATAAGAGGAAGATTCTTGTTTCTGCTGGTGTTGTAGGAACCGGTTATTGCTTGTACAAAGTGTATAATACATACAAAAAGCAGCTCGCTGATCTGGAGAGACATCTTGCTGCTGAGCTAGAGAAGGATGAACTCGTTAAGGCCCAGTTACGAGAAAGAACTCTGCTTTTTGTGTGTCTCTTTTCAGTTCCCATATGTGGTTGGGAGCTGGAAAGCTGGTTTCTTTTGTACTATATTTTGACTGGTTTTAGTGTTTTTTGGTTAACAGGATGCAAGCTCACTTCGAGAACATACAGAGGATAGCTGATACTGCAACACTGCCCCATTCTATTAGTTATTTGAATAGTCGGATAGCAGAAGAGTTGGACCATTCGTTTATCACGGAGGCCTTACAAAAAGGGAAAGGTCAGACTACTGCTCTGACAACGGCAGAGAAACTTGAGCTATGGGACAAGCTAAAAATCATAAGTATGTGCCTGGAAGATTTTGTTTCTTATGTTTGTTGTGCTTGGAAGATTATGAGTGCCGTGTCTACTTGTTCCATTGTTGGTTAGCACACATGTTTATGATGGATGTCTCCTTGTTGGTTCTTCAGGTTTCACAAGGATGGTGACATCACTGTGGGCAGTGACATTACTTTGCTTGTATATTAGAGTTCAAGTCAATATTCTTGGAAGACATTTATATATTGACATAGCACGTGGTCTGGAGAACTCTTTTATGTCGGTAAGACCCGGTACATTTGACTCTTTTTTCCCACTTATATCTTCGTACTGTCTAGTTGATTCTGTGTTATTTTGTTAGAAAGCACATTCAAACTTAAATTCAATGAAAGGGTGACATAGTTTAAAGAGAAAACATCCCAATTTCTCATCTAAATTGCCATTAGTTGCCTCTCTTAGCCTGTCTTTTCCTCAGAATTATGTGCCTGTAGTATCTGCATTTTTGCGCTGTGGCCCCATAGTTGAACTGAGCACATATATATATGTTATTAAAAGGCTAGGCGAGTCAGGTGTTGTCTTTGCTTATATATCTTGTTTGTTCAGCTGACACATGTTGTTTATTAGATATAGTTTCATAGTTCCTTCAGAATGAATGTTCTTACTATAATTTTCATGCATCGAGAGAAGTAAGAATACTGTACATTGTTGCATACATAATTAGAATTTCTCGAGTGAACATTGTTGCTTGTTAAGTAGTTTTTAAGAAGAAATTATTTCCTATGTTAGGGAGTTTAGAAGGGAGAAAAGGTTTGACGAAAGGAAGCATTCAACTCTGGTTAGGGTGAGTAAGTATGAACTTTTGGTAGGACCTCAGAACTCTGATACATGGATAATATTTTGAATTTGGAGTCTCTCTTCATCACAGTCGGATGGTTTGTTAGTATCCCTTGTATCAGGATTGGGATCATGGAATTGAAGTCTTTGTTTGATTTAGGGTCCGTGGCAATTATCCTCCTTGGATTTCTTACATGGTTAATTGGCAGTTCGACAATTACCACAGTTGTGGTATTGAAAGTATGCAATAATCCGGTTTTTCTGAAATGAAATTGCTCATTCATAAATAAAACAGCTTATCTATTTCTCCCAGACAATTTGATTTTTAGCTGCACTTTAACATATGATGTTCTGCATTTTAACGCGAGTCACGTGTTTTCCTTTCTCTCCCACTTTTTTGTTTTGCTGTGTGAACTACCTAAATAGTAAGCAAGCAATTAGCAGGAATATCTATACTAAATGTGAATTTGGCTAAGCAGTTCGCTTGCAAGAGGTTTCTGTCTCAGAAATTTTTCCTTCGCGTACTAGGTTTAGACCATATGGCTAGAGCAAGAATTGGGAAAAGTTTCCTTTAGAAAACTTTGCATGGTTTTAATTGGCGCCGTAATGTTGAATGTACACTTGTGACTTTAATAGTCAGATAACCTTTCCAAATTGTGTGGAATAGAGCTCACTGTGGTGCTATAGTTTCTTTCTTTAGGAAAATTGCATGGTTTTAACTCACATTGTAACGTTGGATGAGCACTACTGACTTTAATGGTAGCGTAACCATGGTATTCTTCCAAAACGTTTGGAATTGGGTTCACTGGGATGCTGAGGGTCCATCCGGACCTGCCTCCACAAAAAGGAAGACAAATAAAACAGAAGTGGTGGAGACGATTGAAAAAGTGAAACTGTATGTTTTTCGACAAGTGGCTCATGGAATTATCATTGAGGAATATTGAGGAACTGACATTGGTTCTGAACTCTTCACAATCGATCTTGCCCATCTTTTTTAGTGTCATCTAAAGATGCCATACCTGTCATACTCAAGTTTGAACCCATGATACTGTAGAATGTAGTTTAACTGTTAAGGTTATTGTCTTATCGAATTATATAAGTTTCTACTTTAGAACCACTTATGTCTGTCCTTTTCCCTTAGCGACAAATGAGGATCAGATTTGTTTTCACTTAGTTCCCCTGGGTTATATTCTTGATTACAGTTCAGGGTATTGGCGCCGACTTTTTACATACTTGAATTGCATGTGCTATGTTCCTCAAGGGTTTTCTCCTTGCAGGTAAACTGTTTAATGCCTTTATCAAAGTGGTAGTAGTAATCTGTCGTATTCCCTTGTGTAGGAGGATTCTGATCTCATAGACAGAGATGACCAGCAAAATTTTTTAGCTGCCTCCGATTATCTCCCTCATTCTGGCTTGCTTGTTTTGGCTAATGATATCCAAACAGCAGTGACAGAGGTTTTAAAGGGGTAAGGCTCCTCACTTATGCGCAATGTGCTTGTATGACCAAATAATCTGCTTACTTGGGTTTCTAGAACTCTACCTTATATTCCGTTGGATCACATTTTGTCACTTTACTCGGATTTGAAACGTACGGTACAATTGTGAGTGATGCAAGTTCTTAACTCATGAGAATGTTGGTCTTAAAATCAATTTTTTTCATGAAGGTTTTCTCAACTTCTATTTCCATCCATGCAGGAAACAATTGAAGGACTCCTTTGACACAACAGCACTTCGTGAAACTGTCATGCAGATAACTGACAAATTCATAAGCACGGGGAGTCCCTGCAGATGGGTAGATTACTTAATGCCTGAGGACAGTAGGTTGCACAAACAGGCAATGATGGTCTCTAGCGGCGGGGACATGTTTCCCACTGATCTTACAAAGTTTGACCATCTTATGATGGAGACACGAGAAGTAATACTGAGGTTTGTTTCATCATTTAAGTTGCATAGGAAAGAAATTTTTTAATAGCAAAAGCTCAAACAAATACACCCATGATGGTAGACAATAAATCACGGTGTTCTTCTTTGGCAGCCCGGAGTTTGGCAAGGTCGTGGAGGTATCTCTGAAAGAACTGATTGATGCACTGGTGGAAGACTTGGAAACGCAGACCACCGAGGGTACTTTAACATCAGGGCTGCCGCTGGTGAAACTCCTGCCTCGAGTCGCCCAGGTGGGTTCATCGCTGCTCAAGGAGCCAAGCGAGAATCGTTATATCCAGATAATCCAGAAATCCCCAGAGGTTGAGCTTTTCTTCACTCTCTTGTATGCCAATACACCGCCGCAGCCCTAGATAGAGTAGACATGATGGCTTGGCTTGTAACACCATCACACTACAACAAAATTCATTCTGGTTTTTGTTCCAGCATTTGTTCTTTTGTTCTTCTTCAGGCAGCAGCATGAAATGTAAATGGGTTTGTATTACGGAAGTATGTAGGTTTTGGGTTTCCAGTATTTGAAGAATACAGAAAATGAATACTTGGAACACAGAAATTCCAAGGTGGAAGGGAAATGGAATTGGTAATGGTTTTCTTTTTAGCGTTCTTGTTGAGTTTAATAATATGCTTAATTATAATAATTAATTATTCACAATCTTGACATCCTCTCAATAATCTTGTTGTCATTTAGATTTTAGATGTTTTATTGCTTAGTGCTTACAATCATCAATAGAGTTTTAATATGTTTTCCTCAAGTCCAAAAATGCTCTTATAGAGAATAAGTTAGGCTCTTCTTAATTAATATTAAAATAAATAAAAATCAATTTTCCACTCATATCAGAGTGCTCCATATCATGCTCTATGTTCTTCATTTTCCCTTCACAATTTTTTTTGGTGACTTAACAATTAATGTTAAATGACTTATATATACTTCATTTAGACTCTTATCTATAAACGATATCCCCTTTATATATTTTGAAGAAAAAACTACATGACATCATTAACGTACTCATACGCAAGTGATTTGTCATATACCATAACAGTACATCAACCAAATGCATTTGATCAATCATGATTTGATTAATTTGACTAATTTGTTTGATTACGTAAAAGTTCTTTGAAAGTTTGTTTAACTTTAAGTGGCCTGATTTGCTCATTGACTCTACTTCATTATTTTGTTTTTTATATTACCAAGATGACTTCAATATTTACGCGTCGATTAGATGAGAATTTTGGGACAATTGCCATGTTGTATAGAAAATGAGGCAATTTATATTATTATCATCTTTCTATGGCGATTCAAATAGTTACAAAATACCCCGTACTAAAATGTGGTGTACATTCATATGTCTCGGTATAAAAAAAAAAAAAGAACAATTGTTGTAGTAAGAGGCTTATAAAAGAAATTGAGTGGTGGATTTGATAATGGTATAGAAGTTTGGGCACTAATCATGTAAATTTACCCCCCGATTTTGGCCACAGCTCACAACTCACAAGTGACCAAATAAGCAGCGAAATTGAAAACCCTAGCTTCACAATCTGCCGCGCCCAAGCTCGACGGACATCAAACATTCAAGCCTGGCCATCTTTCATCCCAGGACTTCCGACTCCGAGCTGGAGTTCGATAGTCTAAATTGCGAAGTTATAAGTCTCGTTCCCTCCCGCCGGTGAATTACTACAATGGCGACAGCTCAGGGCAGCCAGAACAATGGGGATATCTTAATGCTGGAGGCCGCTCCAGATGCCTCTCGTCCCTGGTCAAGCGCTTCCAATGCTGAATTTATCGACGCGTTGCCCTACATCGACGACGACTATGGAAATCCTTCGATCAAGGCAGAGGTAGACCGCCTGGTGGAGGAAGAAATGCGAAGGAGCTCCAAGAAACCCGCAGACTTCTTGAAGGACTTGCCTCCCCTACCTCGCTTCAGTTTCGAGGTTAGCCTCCGAGAAAGCAATTTCCTTTCCGCCAAGTGCCATTTATTGTCGTTGATTGACGAAAGAAGGGCTATAATTTGTACAATGGTGCGGTAGAAGTGCTCCTGATGGACTTGGATTGGGGTTTCATGTGCTTTAGGGGGTGTTCTGACGTTCTTTAGTTAGGTTAAAAAAACCACCTTTTGCTATCGTTGTTTCTCATTCGTGATGGTTTGTCCTAGTGATGGTTGGTTTTCAAGTAATGGGCTAATGGCGTGATTTAGGATCTTGTTATAAGGAATACATTATCCCCTACTGTCCAAAAGTGTATGGTGTTCAACAGGATATACCGTTTGTTCCTTGGTGAGCTGAACTAGATTTTATCTGCAGAATGAGTAATGGCGTGTTTCTCATATTGAAATTTTGATACAGAACTATCCCATGCTTGCCAAAGAACATGACCGTGTGAGAGCAGGGAAGCCTCCAGTTGCTATTGATTTTTCACGGTATGCCCATTTGGATCAGCCTTCTGCAAATAAGGTGAATGATGAAACTGCCTGGAAGCAGTCACTTCAGAGAGCACAACGCTTGCTTCAGCATCAAGTCCTTAGGTGTGTGACTGTTTCCATAAATTGCTTTGCAGCCCTTTGGAATGTCAGATGATAGATATACAGGGTAAAGTATTTGAGCTAGAAAGCATCTGAATTATCTTCTTAGGATCTATTTACTTTTTGTCTGTTAGTAATTGTATTTAATTACATTTTCCTGGTCTGTGCTGGAAGTGACTCACTTTGTCAAATCGAGCATTTAATTCTTTGTACTTACTATCGAGTTGGTTTTCAGGCTGGAGAATTTGGACTTGATGTCAAGGTATGGTCCTGATGTATGGGTACAAAACAACCGGCAACTCGAAGGAATGTTAGCAAGGTATACATTGGATATATTCAATACTGTTGTTCTCTTCTTTCCTTTTTCTCTTCATTCTCTTATGTCTCTGTCTTAGATGTGAAATTCATCCTTTTTCTTGCTCAAGGTTGAATTTCACCTCTTGCATTCAAGCTTATAGCATTGCATCGATCGTTGAAGGCACCCTTTGCATCTTTATGTGCCATTTGCATTGCACTTATATACTCGTTGGTATGATGAAAGAAAGGAAAATTTTATAGCTGTTCCTTTGGGCTGTATTTTTCACATCTGTTGGCTTGTTCTTTTCCCCGTCATAAATCAATAGGTTTCTTTTGTTTCTATTTGTGTTCTTACTTGGGTTGGTTGGGGTGCGCGGTAGAAACCAAAGAAACAGAAGTCCTTTATAAATGGAAAGCTATAGGTAGCTCAGCAGTGACGCTTATGCTGATTATTAACCAAGTAGAGATCTCTGCATATTCTCTCTTCAGGTCTCGTCGTTGGGAATCGAAGTATTGCTGAACTATAATCTTACCCTTTACGGAATCAATATCTCATTTTTACTGTCAATACTGTGTCACTGGTTTCAGGATGCAGAAACTGGCTCAGGAACACAATGAAAAGATTGAAGCAGTAAACCGTGAGAGGAAGTACCACCAGGTGATTTACCAAGACTTCATTACAGCCTCCTGTAAGGCTGTAACTAATTCAGTAGAGTTCTTGAACTTTTAAACAGACTAGATGACCTTTTTCCATTAAATGACAGGAAACCACTGCATATGAGCTGAATGCTCTGTCGACACAGTGGAAAGAGCTTACCTTGAAAAATATTGAAATTCAAGCAGCATGTGCTACTGTTCAGAGTCAGATAGACGAGCTGAAGGGAGAAGCTTCCGAGAGGTATGTACCCATATCGATCATTTATTTTCTCCAAGGAGCAAATTAATACTCAGCATATGAGGAGCTAATTATTTTTCTTCTTATATTCAGAGGATGGAACTTGGAAGCTATCATAGAGAATGGTTCTCAGTTGCATTGAGAAATTATCAGGTAGCTTTTTCCTTTTTTTGCACCTGATGTCTTTCTAATTGTTGTGGCGTGTAAACAAATCCTCCAGAGTATTTTTTTACCACATATGCATGCCATGCCCACCAGTCATGAAGTCCATTTAATAGGAAGTTGTGGGTCGAGCTGTTCTATATGCAATTGAAACGTTACTTCTAATTGATCATGAAATCGTTATCAGATGCGAGATGCAGCATATCTTTGCTTGTTTGGCTGCAAATCAATCGCAATGTATAGCGATGTGCTCTTAAACCGTTATGACGCTTCTGACCTTGTTTAACGCATGCGGACGTTGGTGCAGGATATAAGTAGGAATGGAGAAGTGGATCTCTACTCTTTTATTAGAAGTGGCATGGTACACGATTAGGGAACTTGCTGGATGCTGTTCACTCAGTCTGTGGTGGTTTCATTCATCTTTTTCGATAGCGTCGCAGCGGTGCGGATCAACATGATATGGAGAGGTCGTGATTTGAAAGTACTGTAAACATGCATTGGGGGTTATTCCTCCCACTTCGGTTCTCACAGGGTGTAGAAAGAGCGTTAGAATGTTGGCCAGAATAGATTGAGCTTATAGCCATTTATCAAGAACTATTGAAACCTCTAATGCCCTATCTATATCTTGTTCCTCCTCAATTTCTTCTCCAAATCTCCCAATTTTCCTTCAGTTTTCAATCTGTAACCCTAATTCTCTCCTCCATCTTCCCTCAATTATTTATATTTCTTACATCGTAGCAGGGGATTTTTCCAATAATAGCACTATTTAAAAAAAAATTACAAAAATAGCACTCAACCGAAAAAATTTACACTAATTGCACTCTTTTTTATGGACTGCACCTTAGAGATGCGTTATATATATAAAACGCATCCTTAGGGTGCGATTTATACATAAACCGCACCTTTAAGGTGCGTTTTGCGCCGGAACCGCACCTCCACGGAGCGGTCTGTGTTGGGTAGGGGTGAACAAACACACCCGCAAACCGACCCACCCGTCCAACCCGACCCAACCCATCCGTATTTATCGCTAAATCGAAGGTTTTGGGTTGGGTGAGGGTTTTCTTTTGTACAACCCGCCTCTTTTGGATTGGGTTTGGATTTTGGATTACACAACCCGTAGAACCCGACCCAACCAGTGTTCCAATTGTTGGTATGAGTTCGTATCCAAAAAAATATTTATGTCGTATATAGTCATACTTATGAGAAAATTAAGATATTTCACCATGTTTTTCTCTTAAAGTCTCACTAATCTAATGCATTCTTCAACTTAAAGTTTAGACATATATTTAATATAGCCATGATTCATGTAAAACTTTTTTCTTGTGTACAATTTTAAAAGAATATCATATTATGGATGCGTTCATTTGTAACCTTTTTAGCCTATTTCAACAAATGTCGTGAAAAAAACTAGACATAAGTTGAAGTAAATCAAGTTTTATTAAAATTCAAACAATATTTGTGAATTTTGATACCTTTCACCTCGGTTTATTCGTTTGAATTTTTAATTTGTTATAAAATATTTTTATGATGTAGAATAATTACATATTTTGTGTTGGGTTGGGTTTTTACTTAAAAATATCGCCAACCCGACCCAACCCAATTAGAAACAAACCGTAAGGTTTAGATTTTTTTGGATGGGTTTGGGTTTAATATTTCCCAAACCGTAGTGCATGGATCGGGTGATTAAAATGCCTAAACCTGGACCACCCGACCCATGTACACCCCTAGTGTTGGGTGGCAGCGGCCTTGCAAACCGCAGGATTGGGTGGCGATCCAGCGGGCAAGAGCAACGCCACGTCAGCGATCCGCTCCGTGGATCGAAGAACGCAGCGAGGAGGAGCGGTTTTGGAGCGTGGATCGCGGAGCGCAACGGGAGGGAGCGGTCAGCGCCTCGGGACGCGGAGACCGCATCGGGAGGGAGCGGTTTCTGCTATGGCAAAATTACCAGACCGCCCCTGAAGGGTGCAGTCTGAAATAGTATAAATACCCCATCCCCTCTCTCATTTTTTCACACCACAACCATTCTCCACTCTCTCTCTAGAATTATCTCTCTAAACCCTCCCCTCCCAAAAGCCTAGGAAATAGTGGTCTGTTGGTTGCGGCTAAGTCTGATCTGCCATCATAAAACATTTCTTAGGTTTTTTCCTCAAAACCCGCCGAGCCGAATCCCTGTCCGAATTTCCCGAAAAATGGCCGATTGGTGGCAAGGAGAGGGAGTTTATGTTGATGAATTTCAAGCGGTACGTACTCATTATTCTGGTTTAATTTTTGTTGTTGTTATAAGCTTTTTAATTAATCTATGTACTAACCTCGTTGTTATTTTCTCGTAGGTTGGGGAGAACGTGGATATATACAACCAACGGTATTATCTCGAGCAAGGACCGTTGGATCCAACCGACTTGTACGACCAACCCAACCATCGGTCAAGGGATGTTTGGAACGATCACCCGGTACATACAATTCTTTACCATTTGTCCTTTTTTTATTTTGTTAATGTATTTAGTGGAATATAAAATAAATTTATGTTGAATTTTTAATCGTGTTGGTTGTTTTCAATAATTTAATCAAATACATAGCGCCACTTACTTCGACTCTTTATAAAGAGATGCACGTCTAAGAAAATGGGGTTTTAAGCGATTATCATATCCTCCCATTCCCTGGTAAAATCGGGTATTAAGAGATCCTCGGATCCCCCCTTTTTCTGTCAAAAAGACTGCGTTTCTAAGAAGATGTATACCTCTTCTAAGAGTCTAACGAGTGTTGCTTGTATTCGATTAAATTATTTAAAACAACCAATACGATTAAATTATTTACCAAACAACCAATACGATTTATTTTGATGTGTACAAAATGAATTTTATTAATTTCAAACATTTGAATATGTATGTTTCTCTTTAAATTATTATTCATTGACAATGTCATTTATTTTAGTTAATTTAGTATGTTTGTTTTACGATAATATGTATGTATCTCTTTAAATTATTATTCATTTAGAATGTTATTATGTTAAATAATTTAGGATGTTTGTTTTATGATAATATGTATGTATCTCTTTAAATTATTATTGATTTAGAATGTTATTATGTTAATTATATGAAATGTCTTTTTATGATAATAAAATTCTGCTTGAAGTTAAATAATTTAATTTAATTAATTTAGTTATAAGGAAAAAACCCTTACTAATATTTAATAATTAACGTGTAAATTTTCGCTAGGAGGCACAAACAATACTCCGCTACAGGGGTACGACCAATGTGCTCCCATTCCACCCAGCTATCTTGCTCTTTCTAAAAAGGGCATGGTTGGACCCGATTAGGCATTTTAACAGCATCAAAGTTGATCGCCAACTCATCACCGCATTAGTTGAGAGATGGAGAAAGGAGACCCATTGTTTCAACTTTAGAGAAAGAGATGCCACCATCACACTAAAGGATGTCGCCATCCTAACCCATCTGCCCATTGATGGCAAACCGGTGTGCGTGAGTGATCATCCCCCCGAGGATTGTGACGATATGCCCGGTTGGGTTCATTTCATCCACAGTTTTTTGAGAGTGAAAGTACCAGTGAAGGGGTGCGTTGATGCGACCGATCGCTTGCCACCAATGAGGAAACACCAAGTCTCAATTACTTGGTAGGCAACCACTGAGGAAGACACAGAAAAGTAGTACGTTAGTCAATTTTCGGCAGTTTAGTACAGTTCGAAAAACCCGGAGGTACTCTCGTTAGACTCTTAGGAGAGGTATACATCTACTTAGAAACACAGCCTGTTTGACAACAAAAGGGGGATCCGAAGATCGCTTAAAACCCAATTTTCCCAGGAGAGGATCATGATAATCGCTTAAAACCCCATTTCCTTAGGCATGCGTCACTTTAGAAAGAGTCTAAAAAGTGCACCACTCTCCTGATTACAAGATATTGTTAGCTGACAAAATTATACGGCTAATAGAGAACTTACCAATCCACCACAAATTATCAGCAAGATTCTTCCGCTTGAAATGATGGTTCCAGTTGCTCTTGAAGTGTCGTATGCACCAACTTTGGGACCACTTCCAGGCTGGATCTAAACCTAAGATGGCAGCTCTAATGCCAGCGTGCCGATCAGAGATTATTGTCAGGTTCGTCCTCCTAGTGACGTGGAGCTGAATTTGCAGGAAAAACCATCCATAGCTATCAGGATTCTCTCCCTCAACGATGGCGAAGGCTAAAGGAAATACTTGTATGTTTGCATCCGCCCCACTGGCAATCAGGAGAGTGCCCTTGTACTTGCCGGTAAGGAATGTACCATCCACTTGGATCACAGGGACACAGAAGCCAAAACCATCAATAGATGGCTTGAATGCCCAAAAAAGTCGTCTGAAATGGCGCTTGTTACCTGGCTCTGGGGTTGTATCTTTTCATCTTGGTATCGAGGGGAGAAAACCGTGCCAGGGTTAGACGCCTCCAATGCCAAAATTAACCTGGGAAGAAATGCATATGATTCTTCCCAATCACCAAAGACGGCGACCAGAGCTTTCTGCTTTCCATGCCACGCCTTCTTATAGTTAATCATATAACCATAACGACTTGCAATGTCAGCGATTATGGCTTTCACCTTCAGGTCCGGATCTTGCTCAATTAGATGCTTGATAGCCGCAGCAACCACCCCGGATTTCAACTGTCGATGGCTTTGGGAAGTTATGGATGACACACATGTGTGTGTTCACCGCACGGGATATGACCCAGTGGTCGTGTCTCTTGCTGTTGATGGCTCGAATCCTAACATTGCACCCCTCGTGATGATTACGACATCTGACTATGAGCCTTTTAGTGTTGGAATGAGTTGTGTGTCATTCAAAATGCCGAGTCATTGCTTCTGTCTCAATGGCGTGTCGCACCTCCTTCTTCGAGCCAAATTATTGGCCCTTCATAAACCCAGTGAGTGGACCCCATATTGGGACCTCTGGCGGCTCCATGTCGCTGTCGATCATCCAATTGTCCTCTGGAATGTGATTGTAGTAGGGGACTGGTACACGGTCACGAGCCACCTCATCATCATTAGCTGAGTCTAACTCTGGTCCTGAATCATCAGCACCTTCAAGAGGGTCGGAGCTGTCTGCACTGACGTTGTTATCTCCTTCTTCATCGGAAGGGTCACTGACTGGTGCTGGCAGGGCATCCTCCATCTGATCCAGCTCATGAAAGGCACCTTCATCAACTCCATAATGGTAGTTGTGAAAACTATCGCTGCCTGAGTGGAAGTTGTACTGAGGTTGGTTGGGGAGGTCCGGTTGAACTTCTTCTTCATATGACGGGAAAGATTGATGATGACCTTCACCTTGCTCTTGGTACTGAAAATATGAATGAGGATCATAGTAACTTTGGTAGGGATGATCGCCATATAATTCACCTCCACCACGGATACCAGATGTTTGACCGTGTCCAGAATGACCTCCAACGCCTACGACCGGCTCGGTGTAAACGAACATCTCGGCTTTGGAAAGATTGTTGGACCTCATGAATTCGAGCATGACATCTACCTCATCCTGAGTGGTTATGAGATATTCCTCATGCCACAATGACCCACTTTCTCTGTTTGGATATCGGTACACCATACGATAAATTCTTCTCGTGCCATCCATGCAAGTAACGTTGGTGCACATTTGATGGAGGTCTTCAAGCAGCGGTCTGGTAGCGACCTTTATCTTCTGAAAATTGCCACCGACGTAGGTGACCCCCTTTCCGGTCTCTTCCGTGTAACCATTCCACCGTAAGCCAAGCGTGAACTTTTGGAATGCCATATGCAAAAAAACCGTAGTTCAGTTAATATCATAAAAATCATAAATAAAAAATAACAATAAAAAGTAATACAAAATAAACTTACGAGTTAACGTTAATCGCAAAACTACTAAAGAAATATAGAGCTACAACAGAAAATTGAAAAGGGAGAAGAAGAGGTGTGAAGAGAAGTGGTTTTCCGGGAAGTCTTTTATAGGTAAAATCACTGATGAAAACTGCACCTTAGAGGTGCGGTTTTCGTCTGACATGCAGACCCACGTCTATTATTCTGCATGCATGTCGGAAATTAATTGACCAAAACCGCATCTCCAAAGTGCGGTTTTGCTAGGTCAGGTCAAAACCGCACCTTGGCCACGCGGTTTCTGTAGGTCAGACCTGAAACCGCTTGACCAAGATGCGGTTTTGGTCCAGAATTATAAACCGCACTTTAGAGGTGCGGTTTAATATAAAACGCACTCTGAGGGTGCAATTTATATATAAAACGCACCTCTAAGGTGCGGTCCATAAAAAATGGTGCTATTAGTGTAATTTTTTTCGGCTGGATGCTATTTTTGTAAATTTTTTTTAAAATGTGCTATTTCTGAAAAAATCCAGTAGCATGGAGTATGGGAATGGGACGACTGAAAGAACTCTGGCCGGCCAAAACTCTCCACCGCATATTTTCTGACAATTTCGAATCTCATGGGATTTCAGCGCCGCGCCGGCAGAAAAAAAGAAAAAGGCCCAACGGTCAATTCCACACATACAAATCACACACGATACGCAATTCTCATTCAGACCTTTCATCAAACACCTCCCCTGCAAGAACAAGCTGAAGAAGAGATTGAAGAGTAACTAGTGATGAAAGGGTCGGCCGTGACATTTTTCTTAGTGGTGCTTCTGGTAATGTCTTGTTGTGGTGTAACAAGCTCCATTCACGATGTAGTATGTCAAGCAGCAAGGGGCAAGCCCGGGCTGTGCAACCACCAGATGCTGAAGCTGCCGAGACCGGAGAAAGCTCAGAGCAACTTGCTTTTCTACTACGGTGGATATTTCTTCGACAATGGCACCAGCATCGGTTGCCACCACGGTAACGCGGACTTGATCTTCGGTCCCAAAATCTACATCCATTTCGACTGCGACGGCGATTCCGACACTTGCAAGAGCTGCTACTGGACCGCCGTCCGGGCCCTGGAAGAATCCTGCCCCGGCAGAGCCGGAGGTAATGTGATGCTCAAGACGTGCTGTTTGAGGTATGAGCTTTACGACATCTGCACTCCTCATCATCACCATTGATTCTGTATGTATTTACGGGCCCTCAAAGGACCGGTTTGTTAGGGACAATTCGAGTTGCGACACACATTCCCATCGAACAAAAAGCCACTCATATAGACTTAAAAGTTTGCACAAGTCTGAATATCATCTGCTTAACATAATAGAAGAGGTCGTTGGACTACTTGTATATTTACGAAAAGAATCCTGCCCCGGCAGAGCCGGAGGTAATGTGATGCTCAAGACGTGTTGTTTGAGGTACGAGCTTTACGACATCTGCACGCCTCATCATCATCACCACTGATTCGTAGCGTATTTGCGGATCGTCAACAACTGGTTGCTCATAACAATTCAAGTTGTTGAGAGAGGTTTAATAATTAATAATATATATATATGTCATTTTACTAACACCTCCCTCAAACGAAAATCACTCATGTAGCATGTAGGCGTGAAGTTTGCACAGATACGATGTACGGATATCGTGTGATTAACTAAACGGATGAAGATCGCCAAGATTTAAAAATAAGACCACTCAATTATGTCACGAACTCTTATATTTGCGAAGATAATTCATAAAAAATGGAAATTATATTTCCGAGTAATTTTTATCAGTTATCTGCGCAAATTTACTCATATTCAAACACATTGCTTACATTTGCAATTGCAGACGGACCTATCACCGTACCGGATACAAGTAAGGAGGCGAAAAAAATCTGCTCAATCGTCAGTTCATCACTGCATCAACTAAACTGAATACATACCCTTGAATGGATCATACAATGTCTTCGGTTTCTACCGTCACTAAAAGGTGGCCAACATATGTGAACACCTAGAACCGTCTCATGATTAGTGACGATTTTAGCGGGCAGTAGTTCAGGTGGAATTTGTTAGAAATTTGTTACCAGTTTTAAAGTTTGTGTCACCGAAATATGCAAAGCTAAAATTTTGTGACTATTTTATTTTGTACAGAAGAATGGCGGTACTTGGGCCCAATTGCAATTCCCTTTACCAGAGGCCCGTGGAAGTAAAAATGCGGTTATTTTAAGCCCACACCATGACACCAACGGCGATCACTCGGTTCTTCAATCTTCATAGCTGCCGCCAATCACCTTTTCAGATATGAAATGTTAGGCAGGGATGGAAGCTTTCTGGTGCGAGGAATCAACGATGGGTTTGCAAATCGGAGGAGAAATAGAGAAGGTGGACGGCAACCAACTGAGCTACAACGAGTTCGCGGAGAAATATTTGGCCAAGAACTTTCCGGTGGTGTTGACTGGTCTCATGGACGATTGGATAGCTTGCAAAAACTGGGTCACCGAAGATGGCCGTCCCAACCTCAAATTCTTCTCCACCCACTTCGCCGAATCAACAGTTCAGGTGTTTTTTTTAGCTTTTGCTGACTTCCCTCTCTTCTAGTTCCTACACTATGGCTTAGTTTCTTAATTCCCTTTGTCGTTTTTGCTGGGCGTTTTGGTTTTTTAGGTTGCGGATTGCGGCACTAGAGAATTTACCGATCAGAAGAGAATTGAAATGACTGTCGCGCAGTTCATTGACCAATGGGTTAACCAGAATGGTGCTGGTGGGTCGAGCACCGTGGGTTCAGGCCAGTCTGTGCTGTACTTGAAGGACTGGCATTTCGTTAAGGTAATGCCGCTTCATTTGAATAGTTTTCCTGTGATATGGTGTTTTCATTTATGGTCTCTGGTGGTCTTTTGATTCTCAGGAGTACCCAGATTACGTACCATACAAAACGCTGCTGTTCTTTTGTGACGATTGGCTCAACCTGTATCTCGACCACTATCGTATGCATAACGATCCTGATACGTATCGAGAGAGCAATGAAATAAGTTGCTCCGACTATCGTTTCGTATACATGGGAGCCAAAGGTTTGATGTTAGTCGTATTGTGTTTTGTGAGTTCTCTTTTCCTAGCAGATGATACCTGATTCCATTCTTGAAATGTGTGATCTGTAGCTGAGAAAAACCATCTATAACTAGCAATTGGGGTTGCAGGATCTTGGACTCCTTTCCATGCCGATGTTTTCAGGTCATATAGTTGGTCAGCAAATGTTTGTGGAAGGAAGAAATGGTTTTTCCTCTCCCCATCTCAAAGTCATCTTGCATTTGACAGGCATGTGAAGTACATCTTGTCTCTTGATAACATACCAAACTTTTTTTAAAGGTTATATTAGTTGTGGGAGGCATTCTTTTCATTTTCTGCGGATGGCAGTAGTTGAGTTGCTCTAGGAAGCATGCTTGTTGCATATTCTGCCTTCCTGAACTTTCAGTATATAGTTTGCTCTGTGTAGTCACGATAGTCAATGGAGTTTCTAAGTATTCCTTTATGTTCAACCCAGGAACTTGAAGAACACTGTATATAACATATTGGATGAAGTTGATGAAGAAAAATATCCTGAATTTAAGAAGGTACATTGCATGTCGGTTCGCCAACTTCCTTGTGCAGCCTTCCTTTCATGGCTGTATGTGTCCTTTTCTTACGAATGAATAATTAATGGTCGTGTTCCTGTCATGTCTCTAGGGTGTTTGGTTGGCATGTACACAAGAACAAGATGAGATCATCTTTGTGCCTAGTGGATGGTATCATCAAGTTCACAACCTGGTAACAATTAATTGCACACCAGCTTTCTGTTTAGAGCATCTGCAAAAGCTTAGATCTTATATTAATTACCTTGTGTGGTTTTTCAAATGACGGTATGTAGTTTGTTTCCGTGTTCATATATGAATAGGTCCTTCTCCTGTGTAACTTGTATATCTAATATTTCAGGAAGATACAATATCAATAAACCATAATTGGTTCAACGGACATAATCTTTCTTGGGTGGTAAGTCTAACACATCAATACAGCTGAGTGGCTTTATCATTACATGACAACAAAACTCTATGCTGCAAAACACTTCTAATATATGCTCTGTAAATCTCAGTTTGATCTTCTTTTAAGAGACTACAAAGAGGCACAAGAGTACATAGAAGACATTCGGGATATCTCTGATGACTTCGAAGGTCTCTGCCAGCGCAACCTTGCTGCTAACACAGGTATACCCAAGTCTAGGAACCTACTGAGTGATTCCTTGAAGAAGAATCTACGAAGTCAGATGCTCGTCTCTAAGTCAATTTAGTCTTGCAAAAGCCAATTCATTTACCCTTTTCCTTGCAGGCATGAATTTTGTTGACTTCTCTATTTTCCTGTTGCGGCTGTTCTTGGCCAACCTGACTCAAGTGTTCCATCGATACACAGACTCTAAAACATCATCCGTCTCAAGTTCATCCCAACTGACTCAACATTTCACCTTCAATCTGTCCGCCATTCGGAGGATTGTGGTGAAAGTGGAGGAATCCATGGATGGTCTTGCAGGATATCCAGGATTTTCAATTAATTTGAAGGACACCTTGGAAGATCCAGAATTTCTCAAGCTGTGCATCGACGTGGGCAAGACATATGGGATGATACATGATCAACCAAGTCGTAGTTCTTACGAACACGAAGCTTTCATTGATGAAATTCTGGACTACGGTTCTCATATAGTTAGTACCAAAGTTTTTGTCAAATTCATAGACTTTTTCTGCCACAAGTTTGGGTTGATAGTTCAGAAGGCTGAGTTTTAACTCAAAACTTCATTCTGTCAGAAAGTTGGTCTTTTTGTTAATGAAACCAAACGGCAGGAACCTTCTGCCAATCAAACAGGGGGGCGGGATTCAAAAAGCTGAAAATAAGCTTTTAAGCTGAGTTTAATGTACACCATTAATTTTGAAATATTTCTGTAAATGGTTAATAAAAAAATTTTACTTTATAACATAAAATATGTGCTTGGATCTTATACCACTCTCTAACACGCCCCCTCAAACAAACATCACTCTCTAACATGCCCCCTCAAACGAAAGCCAACTCATGGGCTTGAAGTTTGCACATGCCCACCATACCATGTGCTTGAAAGACAACGATTAATATTGGGGGTCGTGGAGATTCAAACACATGACCTTTCGGTTCTATACTCTGATATGTCAAAAACCAGTTGATCCCAATAACTCGAGTTGGAGGCGGCTCCACCTTTATCCATGCCAAACCCATAGCTATGGAGGGAGAATTTTCCTTCCCTGCTGGGGCTGATTGGAGGCGGCCCTGCAACTTCCCTAAATTGTCCAGTTGCTGGATTCCATAAGGTAAGTGCAGAGGATCATAGCTATCCTGAGGATTCACCAACAAGAATATGCCATTGCAGGGTCCGGAGATTACCTGCATTTGGACTTTCCATATACCGGACTTTCTTCACATCGCCATTACTAGGAGACACCTGGATGACCTTTTTGTTACCCAGACCCTGTTGATCCTCGTAGACTATCAGGGTTCTTGAAGGCGTCGCGAGCCGAGGAGCTTTTGTTGGTGTAGTTGGTTAAAGTGCATGGAAGCCAGTATGGGGCTTTTGATGATGGCGTTCCAATTTCTGCAAACGGACTTCAATTGGAATAGGGTTTTCACTGGTAGCCATGAGAAAATCTCCATGAGAATATCTTCCTGCAGCAACCAAGGTCCCAGTCTGTATGATTCTGTTCCTTCATTGTCTGATCTGTAACTTTGTAACAGAGAAAACTATCTATAACTAGCAATTGCGGTTGCCGGAGCTTGGACTCCTTTTCGTGCCGATGTTGTCAGATCATACAAGGAAGGAAGCAATGGTTTTTTTCCTCTCCCCAAGTCTACCAAAGTTCATCTTGCATTTGACAGGCATGTGAATCACTTTTGTTTTGTCAATTGATGCCACATTTTATGAAGCTCACTCCCTGTGGATGGCAGCAATTAATACTTGCTATAAGTAGTTAGGGCAATTGCTTGTTGTCTTGGCTATTTTACCATGGTTACTCTATGCATTTGAGATTTGACCCAGGAACTTGAAGAACAGTTTTCATAACATATTGGATCCTACTTTGAAGGTCTCTGCCAGCACAACCTTGCAGCTCACACAGGTAAACCCAACTCTTGGATCCTACACTGACTGAGTTTTTGAAGAAGAATCTATGAAGTCATCTACTTTTTCCTCCCAAGTCAATTTAGTCGTCCAGAATATTTGAAGTAGGTCTATTTACTCCTGGCTCTATGTTTCATTCAGCCTTCTGGAGTCCATGCCATCATGTTCTTGTCCTTTATGTTAGTTCATAATTTCGGATCTTCTCCATATGTACAGAGGGTCAATTTCATAATTGGAGTTTCTCAAGCTGTGCTTAGATGTGGGTAAGACATACGTGACGATACACGATCAACGAACTCCTGGTTCTGATGAACACAAAGCTTACATTAATGAAATTCTGGACTATGGTTCTCTTGTATTTGTTACCAACGTTTTTTTTTTCTTTCAAATTCATAGACTTTGGTCTCTGAAAAGTGGTTTATAGTTCTCAAGACTGAGTTTAACAGAGCTTCATTTTATCAGCAAGTTGGGTCTGTTTATTAATGGAACCAAACAGCAGAAAGCTTGATTTCATCATTTTCTTTGCATCTACTAGTTAGAATAAGCCTCAACGCTATTCGTTATTTCTGCTTGTTCGAAACTACTTCTCTCGATTCGAATTCGATTGGGATTTCGGTCGAAAAAGCCAATCCCCAAAAGGAGGAACATCTGAACATGATGAAACTGGTTCAGCTTTTTCTTTGCATCTCTACGCGTTGCTTTGCTTGCAATAGTCCCACAAAGTTGGTTCCTTTTTTCCACTCTTCAGGCCATCTTTTCGTGCCTCCTTTTCTCAGTTGAATTGGCCTTTTGAAGACTCCCCTCTCCTCTCAAATGTACTGCACAAGAATTGGTCATTAGCTGATTGCCAGTGGAACTTGGTGATGACCTTTTCCCACTTCCCAGTCAGGGTTTTGGTAGCAGGACATGACCAATATACCATACCAAAAAGTAACCTAAAACAAATTTGTCAAAAAAAGGACTGTAATTGCAATTCTCCGAGTGACTAAGGTTTCAGAAGGTGTGATTGAACTTACGTCTAGACATAGCTTATGTGCTAGACAACACCAGAACGCTTCATTCAGGAGTATCATAACGAGTTAGATAATAAGAACACATCGATTCAGTAAAGCTGCACCTAGACATTAATCGAATGGAGCAAGACAATCAATATCAAATGTGGAAATCAACAACGTATACAAATTTAATCTTCTATCTTAATCTTTTCAATAGCTCGATAACTTTGTGACCATTGAACTATAATTCTATGAACTTATGAAAAATTAAGCCCTAAGCAAAAATTAGAACGTCCGCGTCCGCGTCCGTGTCTTACTATTTTGTTGAATCTTGATAATTAATATATAAATAAATAAAAATAGTTGCATGTTGGGAAAAGGACAAAAGCTTTGTTGGATAATATGATTAATGAGGGTTGGTTGGCTTGGCTGGAAGCCTGAAGACATATTGGGGGGTTTGACTCTCTTGGAAGCAATATTCTTTTCTTCTTCCCAATCTTGAACTTCACTATTATAAAATAGCAACAAACCAAGCAACTGAGATTCTCCATTTGTGGGGTTCTCAACTGGGATCCTAATTAAGATATATACATAACAGAGAAGGTTCAGTGGCCAACCCTAATTTTCAAACCCACCCCTCTCTTAAACTATCCCTTCCCACATGCTGAGTCTCAATTTCCCATAACTAAAAAAAATAATAAGGGTCCCCGAAATTAGGCATTTTCATGCTCCAAATGTTATCAACACATCCTTTTATCAAGGATTGCGAAACCCTGTCCGTGGTTGTATCGGAAAAGTCAGTAGGAAATAATTTTATCTTGAAACCATAGTTTAACTAGGATTGTACCATTTCATGCTGCTAAAACCGCCTACGATTTTAGGTTTCGATAGGAGAATTTCCAGTTGGATCGCCGGTACGTTACGGTTTCACAGACACTGTTTTTTTTATTATTGGTAGTAGTTAAATCGTGTCTTGGTAATTATCCGAACAAGGGCTTATAACAATTTGATTTTGTTATAAATCATAGTGTCAACGGTTGGATGTAGAATAACTGTTCAAAAAGGTTTCGGTACCACCGGTCATCTGTGATGAAATTATCAGCAGGAATATTTGGCTTTTGTGAACTTTGTAAGAAAGTTGATTGATTAGGTTGAGTAGAGAGTGATTGCTTCTAAACATTCAAGGTGGATAAATAAGAAATTCTCGAACATATTTGATTTTGTTTCGAATTTCATAAACTGTAACTCAACATCAAACAACTTCGGTTTTACATTCTCACCTATCCATAAAATTTTATTTAGTCTCGATTAAGTAAGTACGGAATGAATTGGATGGATCAAATGGTAGATTTTAATTCACCCATACTCAAAAGTGAGAAAGACACCAATCGATTCCATTCACATCATGTATTCTCAAAATTATGCACAATACTACCAGCCTCTTACACACAGAAAGAAAAATGGAGGAGCCCCTTCAGATAGTAAATAAAAAAAGCCCAAGCCAACCCTAATTATTAGATAGTAAAAAATTAACACAATGATCATACAAATAAATAACAACAACAAAAAAAGCCACTTTTTTTTGTAAACTAAGGGCACCGGATATTCCTTCCTGGACCTCCATAGTAAAAATAAGTCCCCCAAACGCCATTCCTCCCCTGCCTTATATCATAACAATTAGAATGATCAGCCAGCAAATGCAGGTTATTCAGAGGCAGCAAATTGTTATCCCAATCCACCGTCTGCAAGTTCCTGAAATACGACGACTTCCCAAACCCTTCGTCGGCGAAATGCCCGCTCCCCATCTGCGTGTAAGTATGGGCTCCGCCGGTCGACCTCGAGTTCACGATCTCGCCGCCGAACTGGACCATGCTCGCGTGGCTCCTCAGGTGACTGAACAGGAAATCCGGCCAGTATCCCACCAGGAGACCCGACCCGAACTCCAGCCACCAGTGCCCGTGCTTCGGATCCTGGCATTTAATTCGGAGTTTTTCGGTCGGTTAGTAAAATACGGTACGAGTAAGTTGTTGCGTATTAAGAGGGTTAAGCGGTACGTTTGTGTATGATGTACCTTCCAGACCATTAGGCCGATATCAAACTGTCTTCCCCTGTAGGACGACCTGGGGGATATTGCAGCTCCAATGGCAATCTTGTTGTTGGTCTGGATGAACCCGGAACAGAGCAAGTTGTAGCATCCTGTTGCCTGATACGCATCCGTCTGTCGATTCGATTCGCGCCGCGGTTAATTGCAGTGTTTAATTGTTCCCTAATCATTGATTCCTTACCCAAACAAGATAAACAGATCTAAAATTAGACTACTCACTGTCCAATAAGTGAAGAATCTTGGGTAGCTGTCACCATACAATTCAGGGCTCACCTGCAAAACCCACCAAAACAGAGTAATTTACAAACGCACAAAGTGAGCTTCTTTTTTCCCCCATTCAATAATTAAGCTGATGCAAAACTCGGTTTAGGGATATAACTTGCCTGCCAACCAGCTTCAATGGTGTTGAGATCGTTCTCAAAAGAGCCAGAGATGACCCAAATTTGCGACAAGCTGAACTCGTAAGGATCGGTGACCTTTGGCGCCCATACGTTGATGTTCGCCTTTGCTCCGTAGTATTGATCTCCGTTCACAAACACCACAGCATGCTGGAGTAGTAGTGGTAGTAGTTAGTGCCGACATTGAAACTAAAACCCAGAAACAAGAAGAGAGAGAAAAGATTGTATCTTTCATTGCTGAAGTGATAAAGCAATTGCTAGCAGCGAACCTCGTGGCCGTTTCCTGATGAATCTCTCCTGAGATGTCTGATGGGTTTCTTCCCGAATCGCCTGAGCTTATTTGCTCTGAGAACGTCTTTCTCTGTAGTTCGTCGGATTGGAACAGTGCCTTCAGGGCAGGATTCCCCTGAATCGTGCCATTGCTGGAAGCTCTCTGCTATTTCCCCTGTTTCTGCTGTCTCGTTGCCCTTCGGCCTCTCTGGTGGATCCTGGAGAGAAACAAAGGCACAAACTTTGTTCAAGAAATGGGCTTTTTCTCGGGAGAGAAGAATCTGTGAATCGACGAACCAATGGTTTGTGTCCTTTGAGCAGGGGATGATCGAATGCTGGTTGAAGATGCGATAAGACGCAGTCGAACACATCTCCGTCGGGGCTCTGTATCAAAAACCCAACCCCAAATCGGGTTTAGAAAGTCATGAAGGACATCAAAGGGAGAAGGAGGGAAGGGGAAAGGGAAAAGAACCTGAATTGTCTTGACAGCAGGCTTGTTGATCTTCTTGAGATAATCATTGACCCTCTTGAGCTTGAGAAACTCTTTCTTTGGCATGAAAGTCTGGGTTTCATTGGCAGAGGAATTCGACAAGACAGGGGATATGGAGCAACAGAGGGAGACAAGGAGAAAGGCAACAAAAATGTGGGATAGAGATACAGAAAGAGCAAGATTAGAAGGAGAAACGGCCATTTTTGAAGAATAAGAATGTGGTTGTTTGTGTATTGTTTGTATCGCAGAGGCTAATGTAGTAGGTTGGTGTAGAGGAAAGGCGCTGTCCTGTTGTGAGATCAGCAGAGGAAGACGAAGAAGAAGAAGAAGATGGTGGGTTTTCCGTTGTCTTCTTCTCCGTGGAAATATTGAGCCATCTTCTTCTGCTGCTACTGCTTCTGTTTCATCTCTCTTCTTCATGTCAATCCAAAATTGGAGCACACTCTCACCACCATTCAAGGAAAGACAAAACTAAATCTGCAACTTCAAGGCTTCAATTACCCACCTCGAATAAGAAACTATAGAAGCAAGCAACCAACCCAACCAGCTGTTGTTTTTTTCTTCTTCTGGGGTTTTGTTTTTGTTTATTTCTTTGTTCAGCAGTTGGCTGTTCTACTCAAAACACTCTGTTTCTTGTAAAATACTCTGGGTTTTGTGTAACAGAGATTCTGGTGGTCTCTCTCATGGGTTTTGAAATCTGACAGAGAGAGCACACACACAAATGCACAAAAGAAAAAGGTTGGGGGAGATGGGGGAGCATTAACTGGAGAGGAGCATATTAAAATAGGACCCAGATGGGCAGAGCTGTACCCTTTCTTTTTCTTTTTTGTTTGCTGTGGTGGTCAGTTTGGAGAGAAAGAAAAAAACAGAGTAATTTCCTCTGTTTTTCTATTAGAGTTGGGATTCTTGTTCAAGGTTGGGCTTAAACTTCAACAATGACACGGGAGAGTGAGAGTTATGGATAATTGTTTTTTGACATGGTATTAGAGCGTTATCTGATTGGGAGGTCTTTTATTTAAATTTCGATAATCCCGTTTGTTAAACATATGGTATTCAGATCTGTGCAAACTTCAACCTATGATAGTTTTCGTATTAGGATAAAGGTTACTACATGTCTACATTAGTGTGATATTCCAAATATATCAGTCTGCTATATTCTCTAGGGGTATATGAAGAAGGTGATGAAAGAAAGGGAATCACACATCATCATATTTGCTTTCTTGTAAGTAGATAGGTGGGTAGCAATATAATTTTCTTTGTCCTCTTCTTTCTCTTTACATTTTTAGGGGTTGAACTTGGCAAAGGATTTTCAATTTTGTCCGGAAACCAAAAAGGAGTCAAACTTGGCTTGTGTGTTTCTGCATAAAATTCCATTCCTGTCTCTCTTCACAATTTTCACTTCTGTAAGGATCTTGTTTGATGACTATATACCATTAAGGAAATCTCTTGAGTTTTTAACCAACAGTAAAAAAAAAAGAAAGAGAAATCATGGCTTTTAAGCCTTGAGGTCCAAGACATCCATGAGATGGAAACACGGAATGGTAACATCATATGACATTACAGGTTGCGAAGTTACAACGTGAAAACAAAGAATTGCGAGTTACATTAGACAGAGTTATCCGGGATATTGTTGATGTCCGTCTTACTAACGAGAATGGTACACCATGTTCGTCTTAACAAGATGAATGTTGTGATGTACGTCAGGCTGATTTCATCCATGAGTTGGCAACAATCATAACGAAATTTCAGCTTTTGGGATTTTGCCATTGTTTGCAAGTTGAACATGATTACTAGTTATCGTGCTTTAAGGGAACGTAGCCTAGAAAAGGGAAGACCCTCATCCAAAAAAGTGCAGAGACCAGCACGATGTGGAGGCAAACTTTGCATCGTGAAATTTAGTAAACTTTGGGGAGGAATGGGCCAAAATGGATCATCATAATGTTTAAGAGACACTCATGATGATAAACTACACCAGCTTTTGGCTCTCTTTTTTGACTTAAATTGTTCTCTAACAATGATATTCTCTTCTGCTTTAGAATGCTAATTTGATAGCAAAGAATGATTAAAGCAGTGCTTAGAATCAGACATGGTCATGATTTCGTCTAAGGTGAAAAATTAAACATGATAAAATAATTTTTCTTGAATTTGCAATCATCAATGAGATAATTTTATATTTGAAAAACTCGGTAAAAATACAATAGTAGTCAAAAATATAAAAAAAAAGTATCAGTCTTTGTATACCAAATAAATATTCATAATTTAGTTAGTTGTTCAGTTTTCGAATGATTTTCTTTGTCAACAAAAAATTAGGATTTGTCCTTGGTGTTGAATTTAAAAACCCAAGGATTTATTGGGGATTTGGTGCATTATGGATTTGAAACAATTCTTCGTTTATTGAGTTGTTTTGGTCATGGATTTAAGGAATTGAGATTTGTAACTTAAGAAACTAATTTACCTTATTACCCTTTTATATTATACTAGTTGGTTGGTTCGCGCTTTGTAGCGGGATGTTTAAAAGAAACATATCAATAATTATCGGCTGATGTCTCTTTAAACAATAATTACTATGTAAATCTCATTAAATTAAGAAAAATACTTTGCTCAAGTCGTGGTAGTAGCGGTTGAGATAATTTGTGTCCATTTGGTCGTAATTTAGAAGATTTTTAGGAGAGTGATGCAAGATAAGATGCCGAGATTGAACTCACATCATCAATATGGCACTCAATATTACAATTCTTTCAAATTAGATACTATCCTCTAAAATTATATAAATCATTGCGATGTCGCGCCTAAATAAAATTCTACATTCCATGATTACGTGATTGTCCAACAATACAATCTTGATGAGTTCCATTACGAGAAGGAAGAGGTGCTCCGTATTTATGGGGAAACAAAATCGACAATAGAGAAATATAATAGAAAGAGGATAAACTTGGAATAATAAAAATTAATAGGGATATAGGTATCATTTTACAGCTTGGTTTTTCAAACATTACCCTAATCCCAAGTTATCATGTGAGATTTGTAAATCCGTGGGGCCCACGGATTTGGAACCAAAATAAAATCCAAATCCGTGGCCCCACGGATTTGTCTCCAAAAATTTTGGCCAAGCAAACAAAGGATTGTGACCAAATCCTTGATGGTTTGGTTTTTTGTACCAAATCCTTGATGCAAATCCATGAAGCAAACGACCCCTTAGAATCATAACTTGAATTATTGAGAGACGTTCAATAATGGATCTTATACAATTTACTAGCACAAACATTGAGTGGGAGTGTAGCTAATGGTGAACAGTCAGTCTCATGATTTCATGTTAGACCCTACTGTAAATTGAGTTTCTTTTGATAGGATTTAGCACATTAAATAATTAACCATGTGCTTCCCTCTCATTCTTGTTGCTCTCCAAGACAAATTTACGGCTGCATAATTGTCATTAATAATGTCTAATAATAATTTATATGCAATCCCCACATTTCCTTTGTGTATATCCTACTTGTTGATTTTTGCTCACTATCAAGACTATAAACCTTGTGCTACACGAATGGAGCAAAACTTGAAGTTCAAACAGTCAGAGTGGTGCGTTGTTAGTGGAGCAACCATTTTATGGAGGCAGCATCGCGAGAAGTCTCGTTTTTCTCACTCACGCTCGTACAGTCGTATGGATATCGTTATGTTGTTCAGATACTCAGTCAGTTTATGGGCGTTGCTCATATTAGTCATCTTGATGTTGTTCATAGTTTGTTGCGTTACTTTCAACATACCAAGGCTGTTGGTCTTGTCTTTCCCGTGGGAGGGAGCTAGACAGCTAGTGTTAGATACATTTGCGTTGCCTATGCTCGTTGTCTATATACGAGAAGATTCATGCTAGGTTGGTGTGCTCGTTTTGGTGGCTCTTTTGTTCCTTGGAGGTGTTGCGCGCGAGCATGATCGAGTTTCCAAATAATCTATCAAGGCAGATTATAGATCGATGTCCGAGGTGGCCTCATAAATGGTTTGGCTTCAAACATTTGCTTCATGAATTGTGTATTGCCGACTTCCTATGAGGATTTTTGGGGGTAATGCGGGTGTTATATATACACATAGCAATAAACTCAGTTCTACATAATCATACTAAACATATACAAGTTCATGTGCACTATATTTGTCAATTGGTAACAAAACGGGAACAATACAACTCTGTATCTATCGACAAAAGATCATACAACGGTTATCTTGACGAAAGCTACGACTTCCAGTCGATATTGGTATATATTGTCTCAACATTAATTTGGGAGAGAGTGTTAATCATAGGTAACATTAACATTTAACACTTGCTGTTAGAGTTAGTTGGCTGGGTTGCAGGTGCAAGGTACTGTGATTAAGATTGGTCTATCCCTGATCCCCCAAAATCAAAAAATTTTACAGAACAGGACACCTTCGCAGCTGCATGCATTAATTAACGTTCATACTGGATCTGTATAACAATGGTCCTCTCTTCATCATCACCCATCCAACTCTTGCAGTACAATGTCACCCGCTGAAACGATATATCGTACCGGTGATTCAACCGTAAAAAAAAATACTCTATCGGTAGACAGTTTTTAATGATATGAAACGATTAAATCACGGTTTCGATAATTTTTCTGACACAACCTCCAATACGGTATCGCAATCCTCGATCAAAAGTCGAATTGGAACCCCCCAATCGCATTAATTACTTGGCCATGATTGTTGTCAACATGGGACCTAGGTGCATCCTGCAAATACAGTTCATGATATACGACCTTTGATTTATAACCAATGTCACCATCTCCCATCACCACAGCCCAATGCAACATGGCAGGGAGTAAATTTACCCCTCTGATGGCTACAGAAAATTGACCACCATGCTCCTCCTCACTGTCCCACAAAAAACCAATCCCAACTTTGTTTGCAAATAGGCGGGGATAATTACGTGTTTATGCCTCTTCAATTCTCCGATCAACAATCGGATGTGTGCTGCACGAAAATACTCTGCATATTTTTCTTATGTTCCGTATGCACCATAATCGTCTGACCACAAATCGAACGATTGAGTAGGTGCAAGCACGATACTTAATAAATTTATACCCTACCCTAATAAGAGGATAGCCAAACAGATTTCTGGTCTTCTGGGTTTCTATTTCTGCAATTACTTTACCTTCAAACAAAGAGAAGAACATAAAAAGATCAAAAGAATACCCTGTGCATGGACGCTGATAATGATAGCATTTTAGGGCTAAGCCCAAAAGTAAAATTCTCCAAGTTCAGTGAACCCATAGAACCAAAAGAAGAAACACTATGGGATAATGGAGACAATGACAGAAGAAAGTGTGCCTCATATAGGTATATTTGTCTCATTACAGCCTAAATATGACCATTCCAAGGCTACAGTAAACAGTAAAAACTTGAGCAACATTGTTAACTATACAAAAAAAGTGAAGGAATTGAGGAACATGGAACAATGCAGTAAAAGAAAAAAGGAATCCAGGAAAAAAATTTTTACTACAAACTATGAGTTAATAAGAGTAAGGTATGGTCATAACCTTTTGAAAATGTGTGGGGAGCATAGCAGAGAAAAAGTATGGGGCTTTATTAGGGCCATTTTGAAGGCTGGGTGGCCTTTTTAGGGCTCTTGGGGTATGATGCTTCCCACTTTCTCCAGCAGACAGACAGTAGCACCTGGGTTCTCTCTTCTTTCCACAACACTACTAGCTCTGCAACCAGTTGTACATAATAAACAAATAAAACTTCGGCAACGAGATTCGCGAATTAATACTGGTTGCGTCGATAGAATCGTAATCAAACTGGTTTTAACGGTTAAATTCACCCGACTAACATCACGAATCCGAGTTCAGCACATTTTTCACTCACTCACTCACTCCTTTAATATGAACAAGAATATTACTGGCAGGAGCAGGAAGGAATATAGAGAAATAAGGGTATGTGGTGAGTGGGAGAGGGCATGCTTGGCTCTTGGTTAAAGTTTGGGTCTACAGAGAGAATGGATTCCAAGTTTCCAACCCCACCAAGAAAAAGGCTGCCACCATTGCCATGCTTTTCTTGAAATTCAGAAAACCCTGTAAAGAATAGGAAACAATACTATAAAAGAGATTCATTCCTGAAAGTGATCAACACTAATAATACACCAGAAACCCTTTTTCTTATAACTAATCCTGGAAATTGGATTGTGACACTGTGTCTACATTTACAATAATCCACCCCAATAGCTACCAGCTGCCAGGCTGCAGAAATAGTTGAGAGGCATTGATGATGCAGCCTGCAGGTAAAGGAAAGAAAGTGCCCCCATTTTCCCACTTTCTACCCCCACCAGACAGCCACCAACCACAGCTCAGTCAGTTTGTTACATTCCCAGAAATGGGGTTTTTCCTCAAAGTGGGTATGAAATGAGACATACCCTTTTAAAGTTTTAATCACTGCTTGCTTTCATGCCCACTTGAACTTCATGGTTGCTGGTGGAGATGGAGATGGAGATGGTTCATCTGATACAGATGTATATATCAAAGTTATGGAGTCTAGCTATGTGGGGGATAAGGTTTCCTTCCTCTGCTGCAAATTTCCCTTTCAACAATCTATCTGAACCAAAAGCTGGAACAAAGAAAAAGAGGAAAACCTATCAATGGTGGCCTGAGTTAAGTGGTTGCTATTTTCAAGAGAAAGCTAACAAGATTTTGGGGGAAACCTTCTGAAACAAGGGATGGCTACTTTGAGTAATTTCTACTCTTGGTTTCATTCGATATTACCTTAGAAATGGGTCACACGTTTTCTGGTTAACTGAAGTGGTGTTCGTTGAATTGTACATCATACCGAAAATTGCTGCTGCTGTAGGAAAATCAATCCCACTGTGACGCTGAAGGGTAGCTTGTTTCAGCACATTTTGAAGATATGATACTTATCTAATATCTTCTCAATTCATTAAGAATATGCGCAATCACAGGCTATAACAATGTCTGAAAGTAGTTTTTGTCTCTGGAGATTCCTATAACACAAAAGCAAAGTGAACTAGAATTGGATCCTCCACCCTCCACCACCACTGTCAGCATCTATCTTAGGAATGATAATGGGGCAGGTCCGGGGCGGGTTTCTTGGTACCTAGACCCGTCCCGTGGCAGGTCGGGTCCAGGTAGGGTAATTTATCACAGGTCGCGGGTCGGGGCAGGTCGACCCAAAGGGTATGCAATTTATATGAAAAACATTAGAAATAAATGTTATTTTTATTATAAGACCAAGAAAACAAACAATATTATGATAAATGTAGTTAAATTATTGAAGAAATTGAGGTTTTCACTAATTTACAACTTTATTATAGATAAAATTTGATGTAATAAAAGGAAAATCCTGAGTAATTTGACTAAGATTACTTGTAATTTAGGCAAGAACGGGTCGAGAATGGAGAGGGTCAGGGCAAGTCGGACCCGCCCCAAAACAGGCCAAACAGATCAGGTAAAACGGGTCAGGTCGAAATTGTCATCCCTAATCTATCTCTCAGCTCACCTTTCCTTCAAAACAAAATGCTAAAATATATGATAAAGAATTTAGGTGCTCGATGGGCTGAAAGGCCCGCTCGGCCCATGCCAACTAACGTCCGCCATTTCTTTCATCTAGGCCCAATACAGCATCTAACCATTTCATCCCCGGCCCAAATTGGCCCATCATCACACGAGAAGTCAGCAACCGCACCAACTTCCATCACCTAATCCACAAATGACAAACCCTCACCGTTAAATTATAGTCATCTAATCGCTAACCTTTTCCAGTACTCCAACAGAAGAAACCAAGAAAAGGATCAAATGCGTCATTTTCCCGGGAAAACGAACAACAGGTTCTGTGAAAAATAGTGAAGCTCGATGCTGGTGAACACCGAACCACAGCTTGCTGCAAATCCAAAATCGCCACCACCAAATCTTCCACTCCCCCTGAGAAATGGCGCTTCGGATGTGTCCTCACGGCTACCGCCAGCCGCTAATCTCCGCCGTTAGTTTCACCAAATCGGCCTCTCGGAGCTTCAGATTCTCGGTTCGGAGCAGTATTCCTGAATCCGGTCAATCGAGAAAGGTTACGCCATTAAACTACTAGCTCTTCGACTTTTCTCCTCAGTTTCTCTGAAGGCAGGGGGGGCGATTCGTTTAGGTTTGTTAAAAAAAAAAATTATGCTGCAGCTTGTCTTAGAAGTTAAGGAGAAGCTCGCGAAGGATTACCGGAGCCTCCCCCTCGGAAAATATGGAAGAGACGATGAAGAGATGATTCTCTGGTTTCTGAAAGACCGGAGGTTCTCCGTCGATGAAGCCGTTGGGAAATTGACCAAAGCAATTGTATCCTTCTCTCTGTTAAAAACTACTGCGGCATTGAATTTTGAAGTTTCAGTATCCCGATTGAGATTGCGAATATAGATGGCCGGTTTGGCTATTTAGGGGTCTCGAGCTTTTCCTTTCTACAAGCTTTGATTAGAAATGGAGGCAAGAATTTGGGATGTCTGAGTTGACCGAGGAGAAAGTGAAACGTGTAGCAGAAACGGGGAAATCTTATGTGCACGACTCTTTTGATGTCAATGGCAGGCCAGTGCTTCTAGTTGTGGCTTCTAATCACTTCCCTGGTGTAAGTCCTGCAACTTGAACTATCCCATTTTCTGTTGAGATTATTGCATTATCAATGAGGAAGCCCCTTGATGATTGCTAGTTGGGAATCTCAGTGATAAATGGTATCTTGATGTATTCTGCATCTCTTCCAGTTCCGGTCGACAGACTGGCTTGTTTATGTTCTTTTTATCATAAGCTTTTCGGTTGCCTGTTTCCCTGCTTGACTGGCTTGTTTTAGTTACTTTCATTCTGCCCGTGTTCTGTTGGCTGTAGCTTAGGTTCTTGTAATCGTTAACCGGTGACAAAATGACCGATGACACAGGTGCATGATCCTGAAGACGATCAGAAGTTGTGTGCTTTCTTGATTGAGAAGGCACTGAGGATGCTACCACCAGGCAAAGATGACATACTGGGAATTGTAGACCTCAGAAACTTCGGTCCTGCAAATGCAGATTTGAAGTTCCTAACTTTTCTGGTAAGTTTCGTGAATAAGTCTCGGTTGACAATTGGGGGGAAAAGAAATTCAATTCTGCTGGTGTAGATCCTTGAAAATGGGAAGAACGATCCAATTGTTGTCATGGTAGCTTTATTTCTCATCAAATAAACCTCAGGAATCTTCACTGGGGATAATTAGATTTCAGTGATGAACATCATTAAACTGAAAAGCATGCTTTCTTCTATCAATGAAGGCAATTCTTTGTTGACACTCACACTCCTACTGTCTTTTCATTTCTGCAGTTTGATGTGTTCTACTACTATTATCCAAAGCGGCTTGGTGAAGTCCTCTTCGTTGAAGCTCCCTTTGTGTTTCAGCCAGTTTGGCAGCTGGCGAAGCCACTGCTAAAATCTTATGCTTCACTGGTATGACTCAAATCTCAATGCTTCAAACCAGAATGCTAGATTTTAAAAAAACTTACAAAACCAGTTTGTTGATTATGCATAAAGAAAATGCATGTTTATGATCCGTCTTGTACTGCTCGGTAGTTCATTTCTCCTGTTCGTTTTGGTGTTTGTGAAGGTGAGATTCTGCTCGGTAGAGACGGTGCGGAAGGAGTATTTCACAGAAGAAACTGTGCCGACCATCTTCAAAAATTAGAGTTGCATTGCTTACGTCTTTACACAACTACACTTATCCCGGGGGTTGGTATTAGCTGTGAAAGGGTGAGACTTAGTTCAGCCAACAAGAGATCTTCAGAATACGATTCAAAAGGGTACTGGAGTGGCGGATTTCTTGACGATCGAAACTGTTTCGTTCCATGCTTCCGGCACTACTCATGAAACAGTGAGTAGCGATAACTCGCATGGTATATCAGAGGCTTATTCTAACGTACGTGAGTGTGTCGATTTCGGCTAAGAGATGGATTGAGTTACAAGATATTGTGTCCCTTATTCTTCATGCATCAGCCTTCTGTACAATGTCATTCTTGAATAAGAGTATGCTCCCGGTTCAAAGGGTTCAGCTATGTGTCTAGACTGTCTTTTATGTGTGCTATCCCATATTGTGGCAATGATTAACACCTCCCCGACCACAAATTAAACCAATATATAACTTCCAATCGTCTGAAACTACACAGGGAATTCGAACACCACCTTAAATTGCGATCGAGGTAAAGGGTAAATGTTAGACATCGTCAGGATCTCGAACAAAAACATGTAGACTTTTACTTGCGGTGATTGCGGTGAATTTGTGTTAGCCAGATGAAATATTGGCACTACTCACAAGGGAACACTTGGCCCTCGCCTAGGGAGTCAAACAGCTCACAGACTAATTTTACACACCATCTATCATGCCCAATTGGCCATGACTATGTATCGTAAACATTTTAGGTGTTAAAAGAAAGGGTGATCCGAGCTAAAATTGCCAAAAAAACCACTTTTAGAAGTTCACCTTTGAAGACACTTTAGCATTTGGGTTCTGGTTAGGTTTAGCATCACCTTTTACTTTGAGGGTTGTTATTTGCTGCTCGAATGTTTACTATTTGTCGTCCATAATTTATGTAAAAATATCATTTTTTCCCCTCAGTCATTTTTTTCATAACACAAATCCCCATCCGCCATAATTTCCTTGTTTAATTTCTTGGGTGCAAAAACGTTAGAGTTGTGCTTAGAGGTGTCAATTAGAATCCAAATCCATGAATCCAATCCAATCCATCCACCAAATTATCCACCTAATCCAATCCATTTAAATCCAATCCATTTGATCCAAATCCAATTGGATTGGTGGATTCATGGATCAATCCATGGATCCAAATAGCAAATTATGATTTGGTACCTATATTTTTTATATTTTATATTTCGGTACCTAAAATTTATGTTTTTATACAAAAAATACCATTGGAAAATTATATTTTGGTATCTAAAATTTTTCATTATGACATTTTAGTACCAAAACTTTTCAAATTTTACATTTTTGTCCAAGCCTTGGATGTCATTTGGATTCATGGATCAATCCACCAATCCATTTGATTCAATCCATGAATCCACCAATCCGTTTGATCCAATCCATTTGATCCATGGATCCACAAATCCAATCCACCAATCCAATCCAATTGTCACCTCTAGTTGTGCTGACTATTTTCCCCCTACTGGATTCAAGCCCACATAACCAGAAAAATACGCATGTCCGTATGTATTTGGGCTGCCTCTTCTCTTTTTGTCAGCCGGCCCAATTTGTTTCCTAGTTTATAAGTTACCAGTATCTTCTCGTCTTCTCCACACTCCCGAGTCCCGATACCCTTCCATCCTTCGCTTTGGGAAGGCAGAGAAAGTCGGTAAAAGAGAAATGGAGAATCCGAGACTGTCGATCGTATTAGCCTTGAGTTTACTCTCCTTGGTGGGTTTATCCGCCGCAATCGAGTCGCCCCAGTTCTCAGTAGTTCACAAGGAATCGGATTTCGAGATCAGACTGTACAGAAGATCGACATGGATGGCCGCCCAAATCAACCAACTTTCATTCCAGAAGGCCACTTTGCTCGGCTTTCACAGGTACAAAAACCCCCCACCCAGCCACCATTTCGATCAAATCTACTCGTTGCTTTCCTCCACTGATCAAGGATTCGATAAAGAACCTTCCTTTCTGCAAGATTGGTCAAAACCCTTTTTTGTTCCATTGCTTCTGTATAAGTAGTTTTAAAGTTCAATGCTCGATTCTTCCATATAGGCATGCCGTGATCTTGGGATTTCAATCGATTGGAAGTAAAAAGCACAGATAATTACTGAGTTCCATCAATCTTATATTCTGCAGGCTGTTCCAGTTCATTCAAGGAGCCAATCTGAACAATTCCAGGATTCCAATGACAGCACCAGTAGTGACCAGCATAGTTCCAGGGTCCGGTCCGTTCCACTCGTCCTCCTACTCGGTTCGATTCTACTTACCGGTTAAGTTCCAGGACGACCCGCCAACGCCTCTCCCTGAACTGAAACTGGAGCCTTATCAATGGGATGCTCACTGCGTGGCTGTCAGGAAGTTCTCTGGGTATGCAAAGGATGACAACATCGTGAAAGAAGCTCAGAAGCTGGCCGTCAGCTTGAGCAGGTCTCCCTGGGCTCTTCCGAACGACGGAACTACTGATTATGCTTACTCCATTGCACAGTATGACTCCCCGTTTCATTTCATTGGTCGGGTTAATGAAGTCTGGGCTGATGTGAAGAGTTCTGGTGGTGGTGATGATGATGATGCCTGCGGTTCCAGTGGTATAGCAGCTTACTGAAGGAGGAATACTTCTAAGTTACCTGGTCTGTTGTTCCATGTATGTACATGCTATGTAGTTGTCTGGTTACTGTATCTGTGTCCCAGGCAATCCGACTCCGAGTAGCGAGAAGTCATATGAATGCTGGATTGTCGAAATGGATGGATTGTTACAAAATACGTGACTTGTGAAGTGTGAAGTAGATGGATTTCCAAGGAATGCTGAATTGTGTTGTAGTTTGGACTGATCTAAATAAGCAATACTAATAAGTGAATTGTGGGACAATCTCTCCTTTGAATCCATCATCGGCATGACGACTCAAGACGATGTCAAGAATGCTGTTGAGCTGAGATCATCATGACCATGTGCATCTTATTAGGTAAAAAGCCATAAGATTTAGCAAGAGAGACAATAGATAGTGGAAAGAGAGGAACTTCTCATTTTGCGTTACCAAGTTGCGATTGAACATATACAAAATCCAAACAGCAAAATGTTGAGATCCTAATATAAAAGAGTTGCAACTTGGTACAGTAGTTCAACACCAACAGTGAGTTCAAGGCCCTGAGTTTTGTATTTGTTCTGTATCTCTGACGAAGAGTAGTATTGCGGTACGAGCTCCTTGAGACTATCTGCAGCCTCTGCTATTCTTCTGGCCAACATGTTATCGGTCTTCTCTGCCTGTTGGTTGAATTCAGCTAGTTTATGGTCCACGTGGTTGTAATGAACCAGCTGCTTACCATATCTTATCCCGAATTCTCGCAGCTTCTAGCTATGTTCAGTACAGGAAGAACTGCTCAACATTCAAGTGTTCTCACAGCTCAAGCTCTGTCTCATATATATCAACCTATTACTGTTCTTCATCGAGCATCACTGATACACATGCAGCTGCATCCAAGGGAAACTTCCCAAATGTCGCAATGGTATAGAATTCTGTCAATCAGACGTCAACAAGAAACTGTATAACTAAGAATCACACTGGAGGAAATATGGAAAGAGCACAGTGCAGGAATCTACTCAGTGAAGACACTACAAGGGACATAACAGGTAGAGAAAAATAAAAAGGTATCAATTACCTGGTTTAGCGGTTAGATAATCATTGACAAGGTACTCTTGTGAGTTGTGAAGCTGTTTCCATAAAATACAAGTCTTTTCAATAACTCTTATTGTATTCCTTAAGAAGCTTTGAACCTGACAAAACATGATCCAGATATAAAACAGTCATCTAAATGCAGACGATATAGATCAGGACTCGACAATTTTGGACTTGTAACAAGTTAACTGACTATTTGAGGTTTCTATAGTTTATTATTGAGCCAAGTTTGTAGCCACACATATCTCAAACATAAGCTAGTGTAGACAAGAATAGGAAAGAAGCTAGATACGGTCTACTGCAAAGAAAGACCCTGGCCTACTAGAAACAGCTGTGCAATAGACACCACCAAATACCTGAATTTTTCCTGGCTGCTAGCATCTTCTTCTCCAAATTTTCTGCAGCTTCTGTCATTCCTTGATCATTGTAGGCCTGGATCATGGTAGCATAAGTAATGAAATCAGCCTTGCAGTTTTTCTCTTCCATAGCAGAAAACAACTCTTCCATCTTGTCCAGTTCTCCAGCACGACCATACGCACTGATGACACTATTAAAGAAAGGGGTATCGAGAAGTACATCAGAATTCTCCACCTGCCTCAAAATCGAATCAACCTTCATCATATCCCCAGCTTTGCTGTAAGCACTGACAAGAGAACAATAGGTGATACTGTTAGGCTTTACGCCTTGATGCTTCATATTCTTGAAATATTGATCCATCTCATAAATATAACCACCCTTTCCATAAGTCTCAAGGATAACGTTATGTGTCACAATTGTTGGACTAAAGAACCTCTTCTTCATAAACTTCAAAACAGATATCATCTTCTTGTGCATCCCTGCTTTCCCATACGACTGGATCAATATATTAAACGTCTTGATGTCTGGACTTATACCCATTAACTGAAACTCAGCGTACTTCTTCTCCATCTCCTCAATCTGGCCACTTCCACCATACGCCCCAACAACAGAATTTAAGGTGAAAACATCTGGAACTGAGCAGCCATTTTCAAGCATTTCTGCCAAAGAATTCTCCATCTCAACAAACATTCCAGCCTTACCATACCCATCAACGATCGTATTAAACGTTACGGTGCTGGCTTCAATCCCCAAGTAGGACATCTCATCAAGAATTCTCCTAATAAGATCAAATCTATGGATCTTAGTGCAACTATTTAACAGAATTGAGTAAGTATATACATCTGGTTTGCAGTCAGAGGCGGATTTCATCTCATCGATGATTGAAAAGGCCTCTTGAAAACGGCCACTCTGACCATATGCACTAACAAGACCTGTATAGACATCTATGGTAGGTTTCATCCCATCACAGCGCATCATCTCAAACAGCAAGCTAGCCTGCTCTGGCTGCCGACATCTTCCCAGCATCATCATCAATCTAGAGTAGATTCGACTTCTGGGTTCGTACCACTGCTGCTTTCGCAGCAGCCCTAGAATCTACAAAAAATGAGCAGCCGCCTTCATTTCTGAAGTCACCCAAAAAAAGCTACTGAAGGACTTGCTACCAGAAAGAAGAAGAAAAGAAATACAGACCAAAATGGAGATACTTTAGTATAGAACCTCCAACACTACCTTAAGAGCAGACTCCCAGCTGTCGTCGCTAATTGCGTCGTCAAGAGCGTCCAAAACAGCCTTGGGCCAGAGTGTGTTGTGCTTGTTGGAGTTGGCCTTTTGCTCTATTGCTTTTATGGCGGCCTCGGTCCTCAGAATGTTGGATAAAGTCTTCTTGATTGGCTTCTGGAGCCCCGTACGAACCAATTGGGTGTTTCGTTTCGAGCATTGGACGGTGGTGATAAACGGGGTTCCAGAGTCAGCTCTCGCTTCCGTGAGGTTTCCCGTCGAAAGGGTGGCCGGTGGTGAGGAGACCCAGACTGACCAGCTGAAGCTGGCGGTGTTTAGCTGCATAGCGCCGGCTGCGAGGCGGCGAAGTCGTTTGCCTTTCTTTCCTTTCGCTCGCCGGAGGATGAAGAAAGTCGGACTCGCGCGGCGGAACCGTAGATTATGAAAAAGGCTGTTTGGGTTGCGGATCAAACGAACCGTTTTTATCTCCAGCTGCGGATCTGGCCCAAACCCTCACCCGGTCGAACCCGGCCGCAGTGATAGTTGTTGAATGATGGATCCTTAAAATCAAAGTAGTCAAAACGCGCTATGCAGAAGTATTTTGGTGATCAAAAGGCGTAAAAGCGTAAGCTTTTTAGCTTTAAAGCGCATATTTTGACTACATTAATAAGGAAAAAGCGTTTTGATGACCTAGAAACGATTCTCAAAATGCTGGATTCTAACATTCAATCATGTCTTATTTTTCCCGCCAAGCAATTCCTCCTTCTGATACGTCATCCAAATCCAAACGATGCGATGTCTCAAGAAAATGATTATGTGTTGCTGAGTTGAGATCATGTGGATCTCATTAGATAAGAAAGCCGTAAACAGCAATCTAAACAGTGAGAATTTTTCATTGTGCATTGCCAAATGGTGATTACACACACATATACAGAATCTAAACAGCAAAATCTAGAGATCCTAGCATAAAAAAGTTTCAGCATGGTTACAGTAGTTTGAAGAGCTAGCTACCCTTAGTTTCAAGGCTCCAAGTTTTGATTTGTTCTCTGTGAGGAAGAGTAGTAATGAGATTCGAGCTCCTTGAGACTAGCAGCAGCCTCCTCTGCAATTCTGGCTAACATGTCATCAGTTTTCTCTGCCTGTTGGTTGAATTCAGCTATTCGTTGGTCGACGTGATCATTGAGAGATGCAAACCCAGAGAAAATGGCAGACTGTTTTAACTCGGATACTAACTTAAGTAGCGAATCGGCTGCCTGAACCTGTATTACAGAGAAGCAGGCATAATCAGCTGTCAGCTGCCAACAAAGGAGTGCAGAAATCTGGAGAAAGTGAACTATCAGAAATTCTATGGTTGAAAACAATTAACTGGAAATGGGATCGAATCGAGCGAAAAGTTCTAGGGGCTGCCGGGAAGAGCAAAATCACAAAAACTTCTACCTCAAACAAGCTCCATGGCCACAAATAGTAGAGTGCTAAACTTATAAAATCTCACAACTTCTAGCTATGTTCAACACAAGGAGAACTGCTCAACATTCAAGTATGTAGCAGTCAGTTCCTTCTGCCCTTTCATCCCAACCAGTGACAACCCTGAGAAGTGAAGTAAGAACCCTTTTCGAAGTGTCGAAAGTTTCAACTAGTTCGAAGTCCAACAGTTCCTGGAGCTGCTAGGGTCTGCCTCCTAATACCATTGAAATCCAGAAAAGGGTCACACAAACTACAGACCCCAACAATGTTCCTCTGCCAAAAACCTACAAATTTCATATATTGGTCTTGGAGAAGGCAATCTTACCATTCTGGAGGCACGCATTTCCATCATGAACGCTTCCTGCGTGTTCCTCACCGGGGGTTCATTGACCTACAATTTATAAGCAGCAACCGCGAAATTGAGTTCAAAACAGTCAGCGGATCAGTAAATTTTCCAACCAGATGCAGAAGAATCTCGAATGAGAAACGAAGAAACCTACTCTCCAATTCGAAATAGAAGAAGGGGAGAGCGAAAGTGGCAAACTTTATACCCTGGCAACGTTGACGAGGTGGGTGAAATTGTCGACGATGTTGGCAATATCGGTTTCCAACCTCTGCATCAACGCTTTCTGCTTCTGTGCCGCAGCTGCCGCGGCCGCAGCCGTCGTGCCGCTTCCCGCCCCTCCGGCGCCGCCTGCTCCTCCCTTATTCATTCTTCAGTGATTGGCAATCGGCGGAGGGGGATAGAAGCGTGGAGCCGGCGGTTCGTATGCCGAAACTGGGAGGCTGAGCTGAAATGGGGATTTGGGACGGGCGAGAAGATTGTGTGAGAATGTAGCTGGTGATTATTCGGCCGATGCGTGAAGATTTGGGTCTAATGCCGCCGCCGCTGCGTTTGAAGGGTGTTCGAGGAAGGAGAGACTGCAATCTGCAGGCGAGAAGGAAAGGGATGGGATTTATTCTGAATTCTTATTTATAGCCCTAAGTTTTTGAATTTATAGCCCTAAACTTACATACATGGACGATTTTACCCCTCATTTAACCTAAACCCTAAATGCACCCACCCAACCCTTCCCTGCCGTTCCCTTACCCTGTTCTCCCCCAAATCAACAAAACACAATCTCAACCACCAAGACCCGCCGCTGCCCTAAACTATCGCCATCTACCACCAAGACCCGCCGTCAACCAGAGCCGCCGCCCAGAGCTCCGCCGCCGCCCTAAACTATCGCCGTCAACCAAACTCACCTCCGCATGTGACTGTCGCCGAGGAGAAGCCTCCAACCCGCTGCCGCCACCAAGACCCGCTGCCGCAACCCTTCTCTTTTCAACCCGCTGCCGCCACCGCAGACCCGCTGCCGCAACGCTGCTCAGACCCGCCGGAGGTAAATCTCTCTCTCCCTCCCTTCTATTTTGGTTGAGTTGCGCCGACTATACGGGTTGAAAACCGTCGCCAGTGGCTAGAGGCAAGTAGGGCGATCGATTTGGCCGGGGGTAGACGCAGGCAAGGCGCCTGCGCGGATTCGGCGGAGCCAGGTAGCCCACCTGCCCCGACCCTGGTCCGATCCGGTCTCCGACCCGCCCTGACCCTAGTCCGACCTGTTTTCCGACCCGCCCTGATCCTGGTCCGACCCGTTTTCCGACCCGCCCGAACCCTGGTCCGACCCGTTTTCCGACCCGCCCGACCCGTTTTGATTTTTTTTTCAATTAAAATGCAAATGTTAATGATTAGAATGTTCATTTTAATTAATAATATATAAATTTGAATGGTGAATTATAATCAATATATGACATTTTATAATGGGAAGGAAGAAAAGAATCTGTTTGTTGCGTTGTTGTGTGATGAGAGGATGTTAATTAACATTTGACAATATAAGTAGTGTTTGAATTGAAAAAGTTGTTGATTGTTAATAATGATTATAAATAGTTAATGAATATAGGATTGTTAATTGCAATACTAAGAAGAATTAATTTTATTTTCTTGATAGTTGGTAAAATAAGCGAAAGAAAGGGTAAGAATTAGTACGAGGGTTTGTGATGATTAATATAATTAGTATTTGACAATATAATTTGTATTGGAATTCATAAATTTTATGGTTGTAAATAATTATTATGTATAGTTAAAAGATGTATGGTTGTCAATTACAATTCTGAAAATAAATAATTTTATTTTCTTGATAGCAGGCAACAATGAGCGAAAGAAGGGGCAAGGAAAAATCGAGGGTTCTCGGACGCAACGTTACAGTATCTGAGCGGAAAAAACGTCAGGAGGAGTCAGATAGACTTCGTGAGGAGGAGCGTCAGGAGAAGCTTTCGCGTCGTCAAGCAGCAGTGGATCCTCCCCCTCATAGCCATGTTTCCCAGCCGATACCAGGCATCACATTTGGATGTTGGATATTTTATGTTTTGATGTTGGATATTTCTTAAGATTGATGTTGAATATTTCTTAAGATTGATGTTGAATATTTCTTAAGGTACATTTGGATGTGTTATGTTTGAGTGTTTATTTACTAATTAAAATTTTTAACCACTACTTATATATCTAACAAAAACACAACAAACAACAATTTTTAATGATCACACAAAATTACTTGCACCATCGGGCGGGTAGGGAATATGGCTCAACCAGCGGTTAGAAGGGTAGAAAATATGGCTCGACCTCCAGGAGGGCGGGTAGGATATATGCCCTCACCTCCAGGAAGGCGGGTTCACAACATGCTTTGTCCACGGCCTGTGTTGGAAGGGTATATTCCTGCACCATCCGTCAGGTGGGTGTGCAACATGCTCAACCCACGGTGAAGATGGGTAGGTAAAATGTTTGGTCCGTGGTGCAGGCAGGTTTTCAACCCGCCTAGTCTATTTTTTCAGCAACAATAATTGTGAACACAATTGATTAATTTCAACTAAATCCACATAAATTTGAACACAAAATCATTGATTAATTCCACCTAAAACCACATACATTTTAACACAAAATGTCAATCCTTGATAATTGCACCTAAATCCACACATGGCATACAATTCCTGCTCCTGTTGGTATAACTCATCTCAATGCGGAATTGTGCTCATATTCCAAAAATGAGTCCATTGTGGACTAAAATATGGCATTGGTGTCACCCCATCGACATTGTCGAGAACTAGTCGGACCCAATGAGCCCCAGTAAATCAATGCGAACCCAATGTTGAAGTTCTTCTTCACCAGACTAACACCAATCAACTGAACCAGTGGCTGCTTATACTTGTTAGTCTTGTACGTCGAGTCTATCAAAACAACAAAATACCATGCCAACAACATCCGAATCGACTCAGGATGGCATAGGAAGAGTCTAGTAACACGACGTTGATCATCAAATTCACACTCAATAAAGTAGCCAAGACGTTGAGCTTCTATCAATGTCCACCGCATAGGTTTCAACCCACCCAATCACTCACGCCTAATTTTTGCTGTCTCATTATAAATCTGAGTCATGTTGTGATGAGCATCGTACTTCATATTGAGCAAACTTCTGATATCTTTCGCCTGAGTATGTGTTACCTCCAACTCCTTAATATTCATTTTTTCCACCTGCGAAAGAGCATTCTTTTGTCTGCTTCCCTCAGAGTAAACCTCCAATCTGTGACTGTGAAATCCCCTCGACTTAATCCCATGAATTCTCCACTTACAATTGCCATCTATTTTTACGGATTGCACCACCACTCGGAAACGACAATCTAACTTGCCTGTTGTAGATTTGCTCCGTGTTGTCTTTGCGGGATCAGACGTATATGAGTTGCTCCTACTACCATGGTTGCAATCCATATAGATCCGCGGATTGCCTTCTCCAACGTTTCTCTTGACTGATGCCACTATCAAGGAAAAACTATTACTCATGGCAATCTCCTTTGCCGCTTTACAAGCTTGATCATGGGCATCATAAACATCACTTAGAAACAATGATGTGCAATCAACATTGTCACCCTCATTAACTCCGGATCCACCCTACAAGAAATACAAGGTAAAAACATTTACTTGTGCAACAATTATGTTACGATAATTAAATTATAAAAAATAACTACTTACCGAATCACCCATAATAGTTTCCTTGTTAGTAAATGATGGTGGCACAAGATTTTTATCCTCCTTCCTAATAAACACAATTAACAACGAAACTTAATGAACATAAATATTATAATTTATGTGAATTTTCATTAAAAAAGGTCCATGACATCACAAAATTAACTCGAGCATGTTCAAAACTAGACCAGACCAAGGGACGGGCATGTTAAAAACAAGAAAGAACCGTGAGTCGAGCATGTTGAAAACATGCCGAGACAGGAGGACGAGCATGTTGCGAGCATTCCTGGAGGATGGAACGGGCAGGTTGACAACGCGTCCGTTCCATGGCTGACGCATGGTTTCAACATGTTTGACCACCGGTCGAGGCAGATTTTCAACATGCTCGACTTGTTTTCCAGAAGAAAAAAAAATTGCAAACGAAATCTTACCTTTAGTCCGAGTCCCTGCATGTTATGACGATCGAGACCGACTACTTCTCTACCTCCGGCAAACTCGTCAGAATCCGGCGAAAATTTATCAATGTAGAAGATTGTAGTTGGATTTTGTTGTTGTGTGGTTTGGTTTTAATTTTTGGTTTGATATTTCTGTTTTGTGTTGGAAGAAAGAGTTAAATGGGTTGGGTTAGATGGTTGGAGCATTAATTCTAGGTGGTTGAACCATAAAATTAAATGAAGGGTTGTTTTGTAAAATTGTATGGTTTAGGGCGACGAAATTTAAAAATTTAGGGCGACGAATAGTAACTCTCGATTTATTTGGAAGGGGTAAAACTTAAAAGAAAAGGCACCAAAAACAAAGGAAAATGAGGACCATATTTGCTTAGATTTTATCTGGCCCAAACTTAATTTTGGTCCTAATTTTTTTTCATACTTAAAATAACTCATAAGACCAAAATCGAATTGAAATATATTTATTTCGACTCAATTCGATCCAAATATCAATTTGGTATGATTTAGTTCCGTATGAACTGGATTGTTACTTAGCCCTATACGTAGCAAAATTGTCAAACTAATAATGATAATTATTATTATTATTATTATTTTATCTCTATAAAAGAACAAGTAGAAGATTAATATTGCATAGTGTCCCATCACAAGAATGGCCATTTGTAATTAACCAAAGTCTGGAGGGGTTTTTGTGCATTAAGGTTCTAATTAATTCTTTTATGACAATTGAGTTTAAATTGAATCCAAATCAATGGATATTTAGCCTACTTGAACCCGCTTAAATAATTTTGTATTTTATCTAATGTCGAGCCGGTTAAAGCGAGTTGAACCCGATGTTAACGAATTCTATTCGACCCAGGTTTGATTGTTCTTTCCTTGCAAAAAATTTCCTTGTGCCGACCTTGCAAATGTTTTGGGTTTATGGTTTTGGGTTTATGTCATGTTTTAAAATCATTTTCTCGATCCCGTTAAAGCGAGTTAAACCCGATGTTGCGAATTTGTTTCTAACCACGGAGGATTTTTTTTAGGTTTCGATTAATAAACTTATGACAATTGAACCCGATTTGATCCCAAATCAATGGGTGTTCGACCTAAATCGACCCGGTTAAAGCGAGTTTACGCGCTTTTACAGATGTTGGGTTGTCGGTGATTAAATCGATGTCAATTCCATTCGACCTAATGTCGAGCCGGTTAAAGCGAGTTGAACCCAGTGTTGACAAATTTTTCATTGTGCCGGCCTTGAAAATATTTTGGGTTTTATGCTAGGTTTTATCATCGTTCTTTGACCCAGTTAAAGCGAGTTGAACCCGGTGTTGACGAATTTTGGCTCGACAACGAGTTTTGCGCGCTTAAATCAATGGGTATTCGATCCAGTTAGCGCGAGTCGAACTCAGTGTTAACAAATTTTGGGCTGAGAATGAGTTTACATGTTTTGTTTTACATGCTTTTGTAATTGCCGGGTTGGGTCAGTGTGACTTTTTTAAAAACTTTCCCTACTTGCCTTTGCTATCATTTTAAACTTTCGTCATTTTGCTTTCTTTTTATTGTTAAGCGAGTTGAGCTCGGGGTTCACAACATTTTTATGGTATTATTTTCGAGCGGCACAACGACATTAGGTTGAACCTGTTTATGTGAGTTTACACCGGTTTTACGAATTTTGGGTTGCCAGCGAGTTGTACGAGCTTATCGATCTCATTCCATTTGACCTCATGTGGAACCGTTTAAAGCGAATTGAACCCGGTGTTAACGAATTTTATCCGACCCGACAGGTATTTGTAAGATTGTCAGGCTACCTTCTTCTCGAGCTTATTATGGTTGTTTCAATTGCCCTTTGGGGAACTTGATTGATATTAAATTTTTTGATTCTTTGTTTATGATGTACATTGATGATAATGATTTAATTTGTCATTTGATCTTTTATTCAGTGGTGTACTAAAGTGGCTCGGGTGGGTGATGCTGCATTGGGATACTTGGATTGGCATCCCTTCCAAACAAAACCCATTTTTTTCTTAATGCTCACAAACTTAGATCGAACCATTGATTATAAATTATCACCATTAGTGGGAATTTTAAATTTTATTAGTGTTGTGCCTTTTCCATCCCTTCAAAACATCAAAGCCTTTGTCGAGTTTTGAATCTTTGCTTTCCACATTGTTTTTTTTTTTTTTTTTGTAATAGCTTTCCACTTTGTTCTAATTTAGGCTCACAATAATTGCGTTGTCGTTCAGCCTCCTCACAAGCTATAGTTCTAAATTACTAAATTCACCTCCCGCTGTGTAGCGCGGGCTTCCGTTCTAGTATATATTGTTATGTTAGTTTGGCAAGCGATATGATGCAACCGATAGTACAACTGGTTTATGCCAGTTCATAGCGATTTTAGCAAAACAAGTAAGAAGGTGTAAAATCATACAATCTCTCTAAATTTTACCTCAAACCCCTGAATTCAGTAGAAAATATGATACCGAATTGCAAGCGAATAGTAGGTTTCCTGAGCAAGGTGATAGTTCTCCCGTACCTAAATCACCTAACTAAACTACCAACCTTTAACCTAAACGAATTGAAAGAATCAGTTAGGCCGTTGTTTCGGATAGATGTAAGATGGCAACGACGGGCCAAGAGAAAGAGTAGCAGCAGCCTTCTTCCTCCCCAGCATAGGCAGCTTGATCTGGCTGTAGTAAACAACAATCAAAAGAAACAGAAGCAACAGGAACACAAAAACTGGGGAGTGAATGTAGTAATCCATGCTTCTCGAGAAACCAATGTCTTCTTTTCCTTCTCTTGTAGTAGTACTGCTTTGTTGCCCGAGGTGATAGTCTTCTCCTTCAACCAATGCAGCTCCAAGTGTCCAGGACAGATCTCCAGGGCCGAATGCTATCTGTTCGTCGCGAAGACACAGCAAGTCCTGTATGAGCGACACCATATAAGGCAGGCTGAAACAGTACTGGCTACCATACTTCTTGTTCCCGAACATGCTGCTCAACTCGGTCGACAACTGTTGGGAAGAACATAGCTTCCCGGCTGTCTCCCAAATCTTGGTAAAGTTTGCTCTTGCTTCCAGCTTTAAGATGTTGTGAACTGCAAAGAACCCGGATAGTGCATGAAAGTGCCGGGTTTTGTGGGAACCAGATGCCAGGTTGGGAATGTTGCTGCCTGCTGAGGAAAAGAAAGGAAATGAGTTAATGGTGCTGTCTAAGAAGAAACCGACGAGGGAAAACACATTTTGAGAGCATTTTGTTGGAAAATATGCCGAATTAGGCTCATAGATTCTTCTATAAACTGTTTATGAAGATTGATTTTCTGGTTAATTAAGTGAAATGATGTGCATACATGAACAATCATTTTCAATTCTCAAATGGTTACTGACAGGAAACCGAAAGGATCAGAATCAGCAACCACAAACAAAGATTGCATATTTCCACCATTGCAAGGTAAAGATTGCATATATCCCAAGGTGAACTTAACTTGCAGGTGTGGATATGACTGAATGCTGTGGCTACGCAAGATCAAGCATTGAGAAAGTACTTCGACCTTTAGGCTAAGAGAATGTGATGCTAATAACTAATCTACCTGTCTTTCGGATAACCATATAACTTTTTTCAGTTTTCACACATGAAACTACAACACATAAACAGATGCTCATTGGAAACCAAGAATGATAGGAGAGCTGAATTGAACTTACTGTTGTTGAAAGAGAACTTCTCTTTGCAATAACTCCCAACCATCATCGAGGTTGGCCAATCAAAACTACTGACGTTGATCGCTGCAGCCCTTGCAACAGCTTTACACCTCTTCCAGTCAGGGTCTCCAACTACATAAGAGTGCTCAGTTTTCATCATCTGATGCCTCGCGTTCATTTTGTCAAATTCACTACTCAGACAAGGATGCTTTATTTTGACGGCATCACCAGCAGTTCGATCAACAGGAAGCATAGAAATTGTCCTGTCAAATGCCTCATTCAACCCAAAAGACGGTAATGAATATGCTAATATCCAGTGTTCTACTAACCCAACTTTTGATCTCATCAAGTGCTCATCAGCTCGATGAGCATCAGTGCCATCAACTTCAGTCACAACCTGCAATGAGGAACCTCCTAAGTCGAGAAGTCCCAAGGTAGGCTCTATTGAGGAATTTCCTAGCCTCCCCATCCGATAATTCAAAGCCACCCAACCATAGTAAGCTTCTTCTTTCCCACTCAAAACTCTCACCCAGTTCTTCCTATAAACAAAAGAATGTTCCTTCACAACACCTACCACATCATCCAAAACCCGCCTCGCATCTTCACCCTTCAACCTTCTCAAACCAGCAGTTGCCAGAACAAAAATTGGAGTCTCCTCGTGTCTTTCACGAGGCACCCACCTTTCCGCCAATCGAATCAAGGGTTCCAGTGCTAATTTCACTCCTGAAGAATTGCCAAGAAAGCTATCCAAACCTGGCTCGGTCTGAAAACAGTGATACTTACAGGCAAATGTTCTTTTCAGAGTGGAACTGCGAGCTGAATGCTCAAATTCAGGGTAAGAATTCACCAAAACAGGCAAACCCGAGTCCTTCGAACGATTTGCTTCCCACTTGTACACGCTCACTCTTGTTCCGGTGCTTCCACAATCCAAAACAACCGTGTGATGATGCCCGCTTTCGCCATGGAAATGCACTTCTCCAAGTTGCAGTGCATAATAAACACCGACCAATAACAGCAGAACCAGTGAAGCAATCGTACATATTCGCAGAACCCGGGCGGGACTCCAGATTGAGAGCTTAAATTTCGAGGGAGAGATGGGTTCCACTTCCATAGCTAAATTCTCAGAGTGGGAGCGATAGCCCTACCGAATTTCTCACGAAGTTCGCTGCTTTTCTCCATTGCCCTTCTTGATTCCTCGGTTCTTTTAACTTTCTCGCTAAATTTCTCAATCAATATCAAAGGAAGGGACCAGATTTGAGATTCGCCTGGAGAAAACTCTCGGCACAGGTGGGTTTGGGAGTAAGATCCGAGTGCGCGATGAAATGGAGGAGACCGGCATACCTGTTTTCACTACTAATTTCTATGCTTGTCTGTTTGCTAGGACTAGGACCTAGGAGGCTAATTTCTATAGGAGAAATGCGATCAAACCAGTGATTTGTGAAGTCGGTCGCCATGGGGATCCAACCAGGGCAGCAGACTGCTACTTGGATCGGGGTCGGGGATCCAAATTTTGCACTTGGGTCATTTGGATCCAGGTTTTTAATTTATGGGATTTTGGCTTAAATTACTGGTTTAAAAACTCAGATTTTTAATTTGTGGAATTTGTGTGGAATTTTAGGCAAATCACACGTTTGGGAACATATGTGACATTTATAAAATGATTATGCAAGATTACATAATTAACCTTTCCTATTTATTTGTACAAGGGCCCAAATTTGGCCGTTCACTGCTGCTATTTCTTCTTCCTCGACAACAACTAGGGTTTCTTCTCGTCATTGTCGATCCTTTCATTCGCTGCGCTCTGGAGGACAGCAGCTGCCGCCGTTCGTCGGTCACAGGTTCATCGTCGGTAGGGCGCCGTTCTTCATCCGCCATCTCCAAAGCCAACATGCATCCACCACTGGGTGTATCCCGTTACTTTCCCGTCCCAACATGGCTCCGACGAGGATATGGTTCTACGCAGGTAACCCACAAACCAACAGTACAAACAGATGGGAGAAGAAGCCCACATCACGCAAAAACCCAAGAACAGAACCCTAAATATCCATATTGTAACCCAGAGAAGAGCAACTAACCTGAAAAGACTTGACCTAGCAGACCCAACGTCTCTGCTACTCGATCGTCGCTTCAGATGCCCACACGCTCGTTGAGCTTCCTTTCTTCTGTTGAGAGTGACGACAGGCAAATGGGTTGATGGATAGGTTAATAGAATGAGGAGGGTAAAGTAGGATTAACACAAAAAGAGCATGGGCATTTATGGAACAAAATGCCCAAATATTGTGAGATTTTAAAATAGCTGATGACCATCAGCTATTTCATAATCCCACAATTGTGGGTTTCTGAAATCTCTACTATTTAAAATCTCTTATTATATAATTGCTTTCCAAATGAGTGATTTTAATTAAAATCCCACACCCTAATCCTGCATCCAAATGATCCATTAATGTTGTGTTTTTTTTATTAAAACTTAAACTTGTGCCTAACTTTAATCCAAAATATAAATTTGGCCAATTTTTTTTTGAAATGTTCATCATAATCTAGATTTATGCTCATAAAGGCCAATCAGATCATTCACTGTTATTTTTCGAAGTTACAAAAGGATAGGGACGACATCAGGGTGGATCGGGAATGAGTATCTACCTCTTTATTTCCGTCCGTTAAGGCCGACGGATCTCTCAGTCTCCCAAGGTTAAAAGGGGGATTATGTTTTGTCGTCACTGTTAGCAAACGGATTTGGGTAACCCACAGATCCTCACGGATTATGAACACAAGAAAAGGGAAAATCCTTCAATTGAGTCTAGGATTTTTGCCCCCCAAATCGAACAATGGTGTTATCAAACAAGAAGCAGAAGCAGAAGCTAAGACTTAAGAGAAACAAATGCCGAAACTTTGGCTTCATCGATATATGGGGAATCAGTATCCAATGCAAATGGAGATGTGAGCGCAATTTCGGGGTTGCTAGAGCGGTGGGAGGAGGGGAAGAAGAGGAGGACAGAAGAGGAGAGGAGTGACTGAAGAATGGCGATGAGAAGAGGGAGGAGGGGAAGATGTGGAAGATTGGAGAGGGAATGGGAGCAGTCGGCCGCCACAAACGAGAGGAAATGAGGATTAGAGTTTTTTTAACCTTCATTTAGTTCATATAGTGAGCGTCCAAAACGACGTCGTTTTGGGGGATGGGTGGATACCACGAGAACCATCGCTACCGGTTGCCCGTTACTCATGGATTTCATGTGCCCGGTCCGCCCTTTACCCACGATGGTTGGTAAAAGGCTCATCATCTGGGCGGGTTTCGGGTGGGTATCTGGCGGGTTGGTCAAGGTTGTCGTGCCACAAAAAGGAAAAAGGAAGCGTTATAGGATGCTCATAAAATAGTCATTTGATTTTAGAGGAACAAATCCTAAGCTGCAAACGAGCCGAGTCGAGTTTTTTCTTAGTTTGAACTCGACTTGTTTATAAATTTTTTAGTTCGAGTTCAACTCAAACTCGAATTTTGATAATCCAAATTGAGCTCGAGCTTGACTTGAATAAAAATAACCCAACTCGAGCTCGACTCGGTAGAGCTCGGTAAATTCTCATTAACACAGTTTGTCAAGTTGAGTACAAGCTCGACTCAAGATGAGCTCGATTTGAATCATTTTTGCTGAAAAATGTAAACATAAGAATTTAAACTATAAAAATATTACTAGAAACTAAAAACAACAACTTATATCCATACACATTCATGTTCAAAAGAGTTATTAATCAGTCCACAATTTCTGAACAAGCCAGCTCGCGAGCTTAGCTCAACAAGCCACCGAGTCAATCTAGCTCACAAGTTTATTAAGCTGAGCATGGTCTAGCTCAAACTTGGTTCGTTTACTATCGAGTTGGCTCGTGAGTCGGCTTGTTAAATAATGAGTCAAGTGTCGAACAAGTTTTTTTCAATCCGAACGCCGAGTTGCTCGCCAGCGACTTGGCCCATTTGATGATTTGGACTTGGGTTGGTAGAGTGTATGTTGGTTTTCTTTACAGTTTTTGTTTTTTTTATAAGGGTGATATAGGTTTATTTTTTTTGTTATTAAGGTACTATTTAAAGCAGTGCTGTCAAAGCCGAACCGAGCTGGCCGGCCGGACCGCCAAAGCCGCCACCCGGCCATAAAACCGGCTCGGATCAGCTATTTAACCGCCACGGTTTTATACAGCGGCCGACGAGCGGCCGAAGCGGTTAACCGCTCGAGCCGGTCGCACGGTTCGATCGTTTGATTTACCATAAAAAAAAATAGAAAAGGCCAATCGTGGAATCGGCCGTCAACACCTCTTGTCCCGGCATCGGCGCTTCCCGATGGCATCGCCATCCCCAGTCGCCATCGCATCGCCATCGCCAGTCCTTGTTGTAGCAAGCAGCTCCCCGCTCCCGGCGCTTCCATCCCGTCGCCACCGTCGCAAGCAGCTCCCTGCTCCCGGCGCTTTCATCCCGTCGCCACCGTCGCAAGCAGCTCCCCGCTAAGCTGCCCTGTCTCATCAGAGGCTTGGATTGAATCCGGGCCATTTCGCGGATTGGGACGAGGAAGAGCATTTACGGGTTATGAAAGGATGAGGTGATGGATTTTTGAGGAATTGCAGAAGGCTATAGTGGCTGAAAAATGAAAATAGGTGCGGCGGTGGGAGAGGAGGAAGGAGAGAGGGAGGGGGATGGGGAAGCGGAAGGAAGGAGAGTGATGGGTGGGGAAGCGGCGTTGTCGCTTAGGATTAGGTTAGGGTTTTTTTAGTTGATGTATATATATGTTGTGTAGAATTATTAAATGGTACCTGTAATTATCATTTTTACTCATTAAATCATTGAATTATTACTTTATGTGTGTTCTACTATGATATTATATTGTTTATAATGTACCGGTTCTCAAACGGTTTTTAAACGGTCTAATGCCGGCTGGACCACTAATGACCGAGCCGTTCACGTTACCGAGTCATACTCCGACTCGGCTTTGACAGCATTGATTTAAAGGATTCGAACCTGAAACCTCCATGTTCTAGGTTAGTGGCATTACCACTAAGCCAAACACTTGTTCGTTTCGTTACCGTTTTTGTTATAGAGAGTATTGTACACACTCTTTTAGATGTTGATGTACACACTCTTTTATATTTTGTATGGTTAGATAGAAGGCGGCGACAACGAGGAAGAAGGCAGGGGACGACGACGACGACCGAGGATCGACCTGCTGTGACTGCCTACGGCGAAAGAGGATTGATCAAATCGACCTACTGCTACGACTGCCAGGCCTTGGATATGGAGGATGAAGAAGGGGCGGCGACTGGGATCACTTCGACTCTTTCCAGTTCTCATCGACCTCCGAGAATGAAGAAGGACGAGATGGCGATGACGAACAACGATCGATCTTCACTGCTACAACGACCCCTTCTCCTTCTTGACCTTCATTCGCTGGATCTCGATGGCGGATGGGTTGCGATTGAAGATGGAGGGGCAACAAAGATTCTTCTTCTAGAGAGCCATGGAGGGGTTGGGACTTGGGATGGGAGGGGGATTAGGGAAAAAGGAGCGGGGGGCAGTTACTCGGTGCACCAAGTTTATATCGGTTAGCCACTTGCGAATGCCGGTTAACATAAATTTCCAAAACAACCCATCGACACCACCATCGAGGACAAGCTATCGATCTTCGATTTCGGTGAATAATCGCTAAATTCAAATTGGTTTTCGGTTTGACCAAGAAACACCAACTGATTATCATCCCTAATTGCTAATTGGATACCATGGGTCCCGGGATTCAATTGCAATCCTAAGCAAACGTCTGTCTTCCTCAGCTCTCATCCTCCTTCCCTCTCTCTCTTCCTTTCTCTCCCATCCCCGTGTCCGTTCTCTCTTTCCCTCTACTTCCTTCTTCGATCTCGTATACGAAAAAGCGACCCCCTTCTCTCCCTTTCCATATTAACCGTAGCTTTTCATCCTCCTCGGATCTCTCCCTCTGCCTCTTGTTGCTCTCCTACGATCTTCCGAACACCGCTGAGAGCACTCCCCCTTCTCTTGTATCGTTCTTTCTCTCCACGAACCCATCCTCGCTCGCTCTTCCCAAACTCTAGGGTTTCTGAATACCGTATCAACCCCGCCAAAGCTTTGGAACGGAAAGACAGATTTCCCCGACAGAGGGGAGAAGGACTCCTGTTAACCTCAGGCAAGTGCCTCCGCCTTCGCTCGGCTCCTTCTTTAATTTCGGCAACCTTGCATATCGATTGGTCTGTGTGTGTGGTTACAGTAAAGAGAATTCGACGTAGTGGGTAGGAGAGGAAAGAAGGAAGAGATAATTGGAGAGATTGTTACGTGCTAGATTCTTGAATTGGATTGCAACTTGAAACTTAATCACTGCGTTTGAACTTTTGTTTTGATGGTTGCTTGCTGTAGTTTCCGATGAGTGATTGTTTACTGGGTTTTGCTTGTTGTGCTTTTGGCGGAAAGTGTTAGGCCTAGCGTCAAATGTGATCCCGTTTTTGTACTCCACCATTCGACGTGACACTGTTTTGCTTCTACTTTCCACAAATGATGTGGAAAGTGGTTGGGAGTAGCTTGTTTCAGACTCGGTGCCACGAAAGGCAAGTTGGACTTGTAAAGCTGGAGAAGGGCTTCTCCTCTTAGGAAGTTTGTGGCGGGGTTGGAATGTGAGAAAATAGGCCTTTAGGGTTATAAAAAGATGCATACTGCGGTATCGGTAACTAGTGAGGCTGCCTTTAGATTGGGTGTTCTGCAATGGATAATATATTCCCTCGCTCCCCTGTGTCACCTAAGTCATTATGCGAATTGTCTGTGTCTCTTGCTGAAGCATGGATACTTGGTCCTTAATTTCGATTTTGGGTTTTCCCTTTTAGGAAAGATTGCTTCTTTATGCAGGCTCACTACATAAAAATTGCTTTGATTGTTTGGTGTAATTTGGACACTCTGTGCTTATTTGATTTTCAGTCTTGTATACTGCTTCTTGATACTGTGGTGCGCAAATTTATACTCTGAGTAGTGCCTCTGTTCTTATTTGTTAATCTCCTTTTTTTGAAAGACCGTCAGGTTTCAACTCTTAAGCCATCTTTTGGAGAATATATTCACGAATCATGATAGTTAGAGTTTCATGCAATATTTGTGTGTCTCATTGTTGTGTAGGTATCTTTAGTGTTTTTGGATGACCTTGCTACGGCAAATTAAATATGGCATCCAGTGCGTTGACGGGAGAACGAAGGTACTGGTTCACCTTTATCCATTTGCCTTTGGTTTATTAGCTATTACATATACGAGCGTATAAGTGCATGTATAGGTTCATGGACATGCATATATTATTATGAATCATTTCTGTTATTTTTTACGTTAATATATGTTTGGTTGCCCGATTAATGATTAACTTTGTGTGCTTGGTTGTAGGTGGTCTGCCAGAAGAGGTGGCATGACTGTTTTAGGGAAAGTTGCTGTACCAAAGCCAATTAACTTGCCCAGTCAAAGGTGTTTTCTATGATCCTTGCTATATCTCATTCTAATGAGCAACTTGAAATTGTTTTCCTTCCAAATTCATGTTTCCACTCATGTTTGAAGGTTGGAAAATCATGGTCTCGACCCAAATGTGGAAATTGTTCCCAAGTGAGTAGATCTTATCTAGCAGTCTTCTATCTTGTATGACCTTCTCTTCTGTTTCTCTTATCTTCTTTTCTAGCAATAAATAAATATATAATCGGGATCCTCGCACTTGTTTGCCAAATAATTTTGTAATCATGCTTTGTCCTCATTAAACTGTAATGTTTTTGACACTTGGTAGGGGGACCCATAGCTGGGGCAGTAGATCGTCTTCATCCTCATCAAATGCATGGGGTTCGTCTACTCTGTCTCCATCTGATGGTGGTACTGGTTCCCCTAGCTATCTTAATGGCCGTCCTTCATCTGGTGGCGGCACAAGACCATCAACCGCGGGTAGCGATAGAGGCCATGAACCCATAGCTAATGTGTGGAGTTCTAGCTCTAGGCCATCATCAGCCTCAGGTCCATTGACATCGAATCAGACAGCGATCACTGCATCCCGTCCTCGTAGTGCTGATACAAGACCTGGTAGCTCTCAGTTATCTCGGTTTGCAGAACCTTTATCTGATAACTCGGTAGCTTGGGGTGCTCTTGGGACTGCTGAAAAACTGGTATGGCTTTCTTGACTTAATCAGTCAATGGTTTGTCCATCTTGTTTTCATCATGATAAATGCACAGCATAAGTATTTTTACTCTATTTTTCTCTGTCTCTCTGCCTGCATAATAGCATGGAGATTGATATCGGATGCCTTTGGCACCTGACAAGGAAAACAGTAATATTTCTGGCTCACTATATATAACTGGAGACTTTTCTTATGCTTAATTCTTATCCAGTTCCATTTTTCGATTTGATATTCTGGTGTTCTTCATCCTCACACTGATATTATAGGTTTCATACAGAGTGGTGTCCTATTTAGCCTGCTCTGCCTTTCATTTGTAAATGTGCTTGGTTTTGTTTGTTGGCATTTGTTTGGGGTGCTCATCGGAGATATACCAGTGCATGCAAAGGTCAATCAGTATTGATTCATAATTAGGGTAGTTGTTCTGCTGTAAAAGGTCAAAACTTGCTCTTCACCTTTGCATGTTGAAACTAGCTGCCTATAGCTGATAAGGGCTTGCACCTGAACTCTAATGCGTTCTGAAATTCTTGCTTACGCATCCTAAAAGTATCTGGAGATGGGGGGACAATGGGCATATAGTCTAGCTCCCTTTCTAAAGCCAAGAAGTCTGGGTGTTTTGAAAATTAATCACAACTTTGTGCTGATGAGAGGGCTGATAGAAGCATGCTCATTAAAGTAGCCAACATGATGCGTATTTGCAAATAGAACATTGTCCATGAAAATATATGTTGTAAATGAATTTATATACCGAATTGTTTTCTGTTGTCATCTTTCATTCTTTTGCTTGACATATTTTTCTCATAAAATCTGTTCATTTTGTTGTTTCCTTTGCAAATGCAGGGGGTGGCACAGTCTAAAAAGGATAGCTTCTCGCTTACTTCTGGCGATTTCCCAACTCTTGGCTCTGAAAAGGAAAATTCTACAAATAACACAGATACAGCAGGTTTTCCTCCTTAAATATTGTTTGAGCTTGAGCAGCAGTGGCTCATGTTCTTATGCTAGATTACTGTTGAGTTCCCGCAACACTTAGGATTGTGCTATCGTACTGTGTTTGCAGATATGCATACGGTTCTGACCTCGTCTAAAGTTATCTTCATTTAGATAAGAACATCATCTATAACTCTGTTATATGCTATATTGACTATCAGGCCAATGAAAATCTCTCTTCTTTTAGGGAAGACTGTTGGATTAACAAGTTTTTCCCCCTTTGCATCATGTGCTGTTATTTATCTGGATTTCTGTGCTGGTTGGCTGAAGTGTTAAGAAGTATTATTGATTTCGATGGATACAAGTTGATGGCCTACTGTTGATTCTATGTTTGTTGATGCATGTATGTTTGATTCCTTATGCAGTGGATAAACTTTCATATCTTGTTCTTTTTTTTATTTGTTTATGAACTGCTTAAATGCAGAGCATGTTTTTCCTCATGACTCGCCTTCTGATGGAGAATCTGTGAAAGAGAGGACAGCTGATGCTGTAGGTTTGTGTTTTGCACTCGACTTTTTTCTTCTGTATTCTTGGCTATAACTGATTTGGCTGCCATATTCTAATGTTGGTTGCATGAATTTTACTGGTTGATTTCCTTTTCAGCCGTGGATTCTGGAAGTGCAGATGTGAAGAGCGACAATACAAATGCTTGGAGAAGAGAGAGTTCCTTTTATGAGAGAGAGGGAGTTAGGCCCAATGTTGAGCAATGGCATGCTGATCCTCATTCATATCCTAATTCTACTATCCCTCAACATTTCGATGCTTGGCATGGCCATCCCTTGAATAATCATCCTGGTGGTGGTGGTTGGTATAGGGGTCCTCCAGGTGGTCCACCATTTGGGGCCCCAGTTGGACCTGGTGGATTCGCTATGGAGGCATTTCCTTATTACCGGCCTCAGATTCTCCCAGGCGCCATGGCAAATGCACAGCCGGTTCCCCCACAGCCATCAGGTGGTCCAAGAGGTCCTCACCCACAACATGGAGATGTGTTCAGACCACCTCCCATGCATGATGCTTATATTCGTCCCGGCATGCCAATTAGACCTGGGTTTTATCCAGCACCGGTTCCTTACGAGGGTTATTACGGTCCTCCCATGGCATACAACAACAATGCTAGTGAACGAGACATTCCTTACATTGGAATGCCTGTGGGTCCTGGTGCATATAACAGATATCCAAATCAAAATGCTCATGAATTTGGTAATTCCCATGGAAGATCCAGTGGGTATGGCTCTAGTACTGGTAAAGGATTTGTTTCAGAACAACTGGAATCTGGTCATCATCCTCATGATGCTCAAGGGCCACATAAAGTTCTTCTGAGGCAGCGTGAAGGGTGGGATGGAAAAGCTGGGGAGCAGAAGTGGGATGATAACAGAACAGCCAATGTGGTACATCCTGGGAAGGGAGACCACCCAAGAAAGTCAGCTTTGGAGAATGGCAGGAGAACAGACCAGATCAAGAGAGACAATGGTGTTGAAACAAAAAGAGTGCTTTCTGGGAGAGATTCTGTCACTGTTGACCACAAAGTTGGTGCTTCTTCTGTCAGATTGAAAGGCACTGAAAATTGTGGGAAGTCAAATCCATCTGATATGGGTCTTGATCAGATATCAGATCATGGGGAACACGGAGCTTCCTTTTCTGAATCAGTGTCATGCTCTAGAGACCCCAGTCTTATTAAAAAAATTGAAGGTCTCAATGCTAAGGCTCGGGCTGCTGATGGAAGGCAAGATGCCAAATCTGTGAGTAGTAGAGATGAGCAGAAGAATAGGCCAAAATCTGACAGTATCAGGAACAATCATCATCCTGTAAATGAAGCTGTCATTCCTCTGGAAAAACCAGTATGTGATGGGTCTGTCAACCCCGGCTCCTTTGATGATCAGAGTTCTGGAAGAGATAAGAGTCTCGACTTGACAGTTAAAAGTGGTGGAATGGGTATAACAAGGTGAGTTTGTGACTCTCTGACTTTAAACGTTTCTACTACCCAGTTTAGGAAAAAGAGAACTAATATACAGGTTTACAGGTCTACTCAGGGCATCCATATTAGAACGATTTATCGTGATAATAGAAGATCTAATACTCAAGATACTGATAGTTGGAGGCGAATGACTCAAGTTACCGAATCGAATGATGATGTTTCAATTGTACATGGAAGTTCTGTTGGGCACATCCAAGACTGTGCATCTGTTGAGGTCACTGAGAAGTCTGTCTCACATCAAGGCAATGATGGGGAGTCAATGCTACAAGCATCTGAGCCAACTGATACCCAGGCTCAGGTAGTCTTGCTTGTTGTATTTGTCTGTTTATGTTTTACTTTCTTTGCATTGTTCTTAATATGTAGCCTTGTGCTCATTGTTTGGTTTACTTATCAGCGAGCTATGATGAGAGAGCTAGCTCGTCAGAGACTCAAACAGAGAGAGAAGGAAGAAGAAGAGCGAACTAGAGAACAGAAGGCGAAGGCTCTTGCCAAACTAGAAGAGCTGAACAGGCGAATGCCTGCGGGAGAAGGTTCTTCTCAGAAGCTTGAAACTTTATCTAGTACTACTTTGCTCAATGAGCAAGTGGAGTTGCTGAACTCTGCACAACCACCTGTAACTGTCAACGCGTCTACAGCTAATACTGTTGTGGCTTCCAACTCGGTTGCAGTGGTACCTACTAATGAAGGAATCACAAATAGAGTTGAGATAACTACCCGTTCATCTAATGAAGTACTGTCACAAGAGTCCAAGAAGAATTCCAGCGAAGCTCCTTTTGTGATGCATGAGCCATCAAAATCACGGTGCCAGGAATCTGGTGGTGAAAATGTCATTAATAATGTCAGACAGGAGCATGATGAAACTGGGGATTCAAAACAGAAGCACATGAACTACAGGCAGAAGCAGAACAGTTATTTGGAGAAGACTTCTGGTGACGAGGTCTCCTTGACCGCAACTGATGCATCAAAAAGTCATAATACTGGTGCAATGCCTGATCCTTCTGCCCCTCTTCAGGCTATTGCTCATGGGACTGCTTTGCCTGTCAGCCCAAGTGCAACAGCTGAGTCTTCAGCAGCACATCCTAGGAGAAAAAACAGGAGTACAAGGAACAAGCAAAAAGTGGAGGATGCAGCACCTTCTACTGCGGTTTCACCAGCATTGGCTGTCTCCAAAGATACAACTGCGTTGGAAGTTTCAGACGAATGTGTCAAACCTAAAACTCCAGAGTCCTCCGTTGCAGCTCCTAGATCAGTTCAGCTGGTCTCTGGTCGCAGAGGAGGAAACAGTCAGCAGCATATGGACCAACATCCTACATCACCAAATGAAGATATCCAGGTCAAGTCTAGTAGTAACCAGTGGAAACCTCAACCGTCTCGAAGGATGTCAAGGAATCCACAGGCCAATAATAAAACGATGGATAATAAATTCCATGGAAGTGATACTGTCATCTGGGCTCCAGTGCGGTCACATAATAATAAATCTGAAGTTGCTACTGATGAAGGGGATAAGAAAGTTGCTGCTAGTCTACCTCCTGTAAAAAGTGGCGACCAGCAGGTGCATAATACTCCTACAAAGAACAAAAGGGCAGAAATGGAAAGATATGTTCCAAAGCCAGTAGCCAAAGAGATGGCCCAGCAAGGAAATGCTAACCATCCTGTGGCTTCTTCTCCTGTCGTTGTCCAGATGTCTGCACACGAGACTGTTGTTGGCAGTTTATCAATTCCTTTGGGGCCTGTAAGTTCACAAACCACTGTCACCCTCCAGTTTGGTTCCATTGCTGAAGCCACCAGGAATGGGGAGAGCTCCAGACAGATTAAGCCTGGGAAGGTACAGGGGTCATCATGGCACCAACGTTCTTCAGCTGAATCACAAACTTCAACCTCAAATCCTAGTTTTCAGAAGTCAACCGAGAGTCAGCAGGAACCTCAGAACAGATCAGACGCAACAAGTTCAGTGAAAGAGCAGCTGTCAGAACCAACTGATGAATGGACAGATGGTTGGACAATGCCTGAAGAGCCTAATGCACCAATGCCAGTCTCTAGTTTTAAGGATCAGACAGCTACTGCCAGGGGAAGACGGCAGCCACAGAAGGGGCAAACTAGAGTAGGACACAATCCCGACAGTGTGGAGACACAAATCGGCGGGGACAATGAAAAGGCTCATACACAGTCTTGGCAGCCCAAGTCCCAGTCAACTTCTGGTACTGGTCAACGGGCAAAGAAGCCTAATAATAATGATGGTCAGAATGTTGCTGCAGAAGCAAGTAGCAGGGCAAATAAAAGGGGTCCAAGTTCGACTGCTGTGGGGGTGTCTGTACCACCACCTAAAGATAAGGAAGTAGCTACTGGAAGGACAACTGAAGTGTATCCTTCTGATAAAGAGGGTGGTAGGAGGGAGAGGAAGGTGACCTCTCACAAAGGACATAACAACTCTACTAGCCCTGTGGAGCCAGCAGCTTACGACCAAAACTGTCCCTCTTCAGGATACAGGAGAGGCGGTGGAAACCAGTTCAACAATGATCATCGCGAGGCTCGTGAGGAATGGAGTGGAACTGCAAGAGATAACAACAGGCAACATAATGTACCAGCAGCAAACAGGGAAAGGCCGACGAGGCAAAGTTCTCATTACGAGTACCAACCAGTTGGGCAACAAAATAAAAGCAAGGGAAGTAACTTTGAGCCTTCTTCCAAAGATGGATTTCATGCTTCTTCAGGCTCAAGGTTTAGGGAAAGGGCTCCGAATCACACTAGACGTGGTGGGGGCGAGTTTCATGGACGTCGAGGTGGCAGTTTTAGGGTATTAGAGACTAATAATGATTAGAGATGGTTATGATGTGACATGGGTTTTCTCTCTGAGGAGTGTCTGCTTTGCGTTGCGGGTTTGCAGATTGGCTCGTCCTTCTCCACGCTTGCAGGTGACTGGAGTTTGGTTGTAGGGTTGAGCTGTAGGTACAGCTTAGCTTAATTACTTTCACTGATGATGCCATGATGAGTTAACCAGGATTTGGAGCAAAAAGAGAACATATTCGGCTGAAGGAGAGATGGTGGAGATTGTGGAAGTTGGTTGATGCCTTCCTTTGATTGCATATTTCTTTTATTCCCCGTCTGTCTTGTTGGTGGATGAGATTTGAACCAAAGTAATTTGAATGGCAGCAAGCTTGCTGTTTGGAACCCCAGTGGTTTTGAGCGGCAGTAGTTCTCAGTTTCAGTTTTCTTTGCTGTCTGTTATGAAAAAGGAACCTCCCTTTTGGAAGGAATGAAAGTAGAATGAAGAGCCTTTGGTGGCACTTCCACTTTAATCTCTCTCTGGGCTTCTGGCTTTATAATTTGTAGCCCATGAAGTAGTGCCAGTTGCTTATAATGAACTCAACTTGTTGAACTTAGGGGGAAGAGACTTGACGAGTTGAGGAGGATTGGCTTTGGTGGGTAAAGGTTGGAGTAGTGGTTTGATTTGGTTCAGTTTGGTTAACTAAACTGAAAAATCATTAGTGACCGAAATCTGAATTAAACAATTGCCCAAAACCTAAAATGAAATGTTGAGGGCTTATCGGTTTTCAAATCGAAAATTGAAAAGCTCTCAACTGTTTCGGATAGAATGAACTGGAACCTGGAAATTGAACGTGTGTTGTCATTTGTCCCTTCAAAACATTGGTTTTTATCGGTTTTATTAAGTGGCTTTTTAGTTTTACTGAAATTGTGAAGAGTTAGCGGCTTTTGCCTATTAAGAGAAATCGATTAGATTGTTGTATCGATTTGGTTTTGCTTAAGATCGAAACCTCGAAACCAAACTATCACCCCTAGGCCGGAAATATTTTTAAGCGTCTCACAAATTCAATTGAACAAGTTTATGATGTTTTACCTACCATTCTCCCGTGAAAATAATCTAATTTCAAAATTATAACAAACAAACACTCAAATGGGTTACACACTTTGACAAGGTCGACTGAACTACAGTTGAGCAAGGCTTGTAAGTTCCAATTCTAGTTCATCTTTAGTAAATGATACGTTCATAGTCATAATATATATATATAAAATAATTATTTTATTAGTATTAAACATATTATACGAATAAGGGCGGAGGCAACATTTTAAACCATCCATATCCTCTTTTCATAACTTAAATATATAAGATCTAATAAAAGAATTATTTAATAAAACCTAATTATATCCAAATAATTCATTCATAAATTAAAAATAACCGATTATACTATCATACTTTTCAGAAACAACTACTAAGGAATTTCATATAGTGAAAGAAGTGCAAAAACATTCGTTGTCTACACTATTATATAAGTCTCTTTCAATGCATCTTACTAAACAAGTATTAGCAAACTGGTCGCCAAATCGACTTGGAAACTTGTTCTTAATATAACTCAAAGCTGAAAAATGCTCTTTTTACACTTGCAGTTGTAATTGGTAGATCAAAACTAGTGGGATTGTTGTTGTCGCTAAAAAATTTCAGGATAGTTGGGGAAAGATCGAATATGCATAAGGAGAAAAGAGACCCGATTAGTTCTTTATTGCAATTGGAATGTCGTTTATTGTACAATAAATTAATTTTATGTCAATTTTGGACAAGTAATGAGTTGTGTTGTAGTGACAAAGTACTCTAATACTACCTATTACGTGTTGTGTTCCATCGCTAATATAAATATATATGATGTATTTTTGTTCCACCAAAATTTACTCATGTCTCGAGACAAGGCCTAAAGGTCCTACCTCCGCCATTATATACGAATATTACAAGTGTTTAATACGAGAGTCATTAAAAGTGATAGAGAACCCGTTCGAGTCTTCGAGACAAGGCAAGGCATGGCCGAGCCGCCGCCTCGCACACAAACCGTCTCTCTCGCGTCCTTCTGTAGTCACCCACTCAGACTCGGTTTCTGTTTGTCTGTTTCCTTTCTTTTTTGTCTAATATTATCCAGATGGAAAACAATTTCTGCCAGGGTTCCTTTCAGCCGGAAAATTAACTTTCAATTGCTTTTTTCTTTTCCGATTCCAAAAACCCTAAATAAATTCCAACAACAAGATTCACAGCGGTCCTTCCCCCTTCATTTTCATTCGTAGTCATATCCTTTTATCCACTCTTCTTATCGGAAATTCAATTCCCCCTTACCTCTGTTGAACCCGAACCCTCTATTAAGCAAGCCGCTTTCCTTTCACCATTACCATCCTTCTCGTGTTCTTCTTCCTCTCCGGCGTATATAATCCACCTGGGCTAAGAAAAGAAGACTCTCCCGCCGTCTTTGGCTTCCCCTGAGGGGATTCCTGCTGGGTCATGAGCTCGCGCGGCCAAGGTTTCTCTCCATCTCAATCTCATGCTGCAATTTGTGTCCTAATTTTGTTCTAGGTGTTTGCTTCGGGGCTAGGGTTTCGCCTGATGGGTTGTGGATAGGTTGGGTTTGCTTGTGATTTCGGGGAACTAATTCTGGTGGTAGATAGAAGAGAAAAGTGGGTGTCTTTTCATTTGGGCAGTTTGTTTTTTGTATAGAGATTCTGGTAATGCGTTTGACTTTCGCTTATGCTTTGGTGTGGATAAGGTTGACCGAGAGTTAGCCTCTCTCTGATTGGCGAAAGTGAACAATAACCTGGGAGCTGTCTGTTGTTGTTATCTTATTGGTTTATGAGAGTCCCGTAGATTGAAGAGCGGTTCTTTGATAAGGATTTTACTACTTGTTCTCTTCTTTCATGCTGAAGTTGCTTTGCTTCTGTCTGTTATCTTTGATTGCTTATCTAGCAGTTTTCTTTGTTTCCTTAGGCTCCATTGGATAGATGTGTTGGTGCTTAAAACCGGAGCAGAATGGCTTTGGCGACGCATCAAATGCGGGTAAGTCAAAACAAAATTTATATACCCGTAGTTCATAGGGTCTGAACTTTATGTTTCTAAATATCTTCATAGTGGGTTTCCGGTTGTAGTCAATTTTGATACCTACTATGCTCTTACTTTGTCCTACTTCAATCAACCAAAGGTTTGCCTGCTTTTTGTTTTTAGATGTCTACCTTGCATCTTCATTAGGTTGTTGAATGTATGTCTTTTGTAAGTCTTGATTTCAAGTCTCACATGTCCGGTTTTGCCCTTTTCTTCTCTACCAGGGTTCATATGTAGCATTTCCCTCAAGGCCTTCATCATGGAGCAGAGGTGTCAAATTAAAACAACATGTCATGTCACTTCACATGGTTGGGAGATTAGATAGGCGTTTCTCAGCAAAGTGTTATCTTCATTCAAGGTAATCATGGCTTACTAGTTGGACCACTTTTCCTTCCTATGTAGCTTGCTCAATCTGCTGTTTTGAGAGTCGGTCTTGTAAAATTTTACAACATAATGCTGAGCAGAATAGTTTTCACAGTGTAGGGATTGGTGTTCATGGGCTCAAAACAAAACTGCTGCGAGTTTCGTCCTTTCAAGGTAGTGCAAAGAACGATGATGCAGGGGGCAGATCAAGCTGGTCCAAGGGTTCAAAAAATTCTGTCAAAATTTCATATGTCTCAGATGATAGTGGAGAGAGCCTCAGAGAGCTTCCGAAGGCTCAAAGTGTTCCAGTTTCATATACGCCTGAACCAAATGAAGGAGTTGGAGGATCTCCTGCTATTAATAATTTATTCAAGAAATGGTTAAACCTGCTGCGGTCACATTCGTCTAGTCAGGTGGCTGATGGTATCTTAGAGGGACCAGGTCAAAGGGAAGAAGTAGCTCAAACTCAAAGTATTACTCAGGAGACGCAGAGACGTAGTTTTCTATCCCGGGGTTTCCATCACTTTTGGCAGCTGGATGCAACAATAAAAATACCGATACTGCTATTGTGAGTATATTACTTCTGCTAGTATCTGTCTTTATTTACTGCTATTCAGTGATTGTTCGGTAAAATTGAACTGGAGATTGGTGTGCATAATTAGGGATTTGGTACGACTACTGAATATGTGGTTTTGAATTAGAACATGCTCACCTGAATTTATATCAGTATAAGTTTTTCATTACCATTGGGTGATTAAAGGGATCGAAATGAATTATTTGGACAATGGTGACAAGTATAACTTTTCTAGTATTTAGGAGTTGTTTGGAACCTGTGATTTGAGAGTGCATGTAGTTCAAACACATAATTTTTTCGGTAACTAACTCTTCATTTTTTGCACAATACTTTTTAGATATATATGCATTTCAAACAAGATGATGCATCTGATATGCCTCATCTCAGCTTCTAGGTGAAGTCAAATGCTAAATTTGTTCTGGAAATGGATTATATATTATTTCAGGCAAGAGCTATTTCTGATTAATGTAATTAAACCATCTATTGCAATTTAGGATGGTTTTCTTTTTATCATCTGTGAAAAAGAAGGAAAACTTTGTCTAGAAATTTTATCAAGTTACAGGCTCGGTAGATCCATAGACGAGGGCAGGGATTTAAATTGTAGCAATTAGGAATGAGGCTTTGTTTGATTCTATGGGATTGGTGCAATTCATACTGAAAGACCCTTTTGATGGTCACGACACTTTGGAGCTTGTGCTTTGTCCTTGTCAATAATGTTAGGGTTTTATTGCCTCCTGTGAGTTGCATTACAAAGATGGTCACTTCTCAATTCAGCTAGCTTTTGATTTGGCAATGTACCAACTGGGTTTCCTGTATTTGCAGTATTCCGTTGTATCTTGGCATTACTGCTATATATGGAGTTGAAGTATCAAAGGAATTGACTCCTTTGTGGATTTTGGGTCCCCTCGTCGCTGCTCTCTATGTCAAGCTGCTACAGGGTCTCTGGGCACTTTACGTCTTCACCTTTCGACAGACCGTCAACATAGTGAAGAATTTACCTACTTACTATCAAGTGGCATGGAGCTACATTGCAGGTGGGAAGCTCAAAGAAGAAATCGGTGCTCGTTTCATACAACCAATTGTGACAATAAAGAACTCGGACCATAAAGAAATGGGGAGGCAAAGGATGATGGTATTCAAGGAGTGGCTGACTGAGAAGTACCTTGACTTTGTGGAATCTATATGGCCCTACTACTGCAGAACAATTAGGTTTCTGAAGAGGGCAAATCTCATATGATGTTGGGTAGTTTCAATGTTGTAGAAGGATGAAGTTCGCGAAGTTGGATTTCCGGCAGAACATGATGAGGTTCAATGAGAGAGATCTTTGGAATACAGGGAGGGCTGGCGAAGAGTGACCTTTAGATTGGTGATTCATCCATCTGCCTTGGTTAATCCCTTGTGTTGTAGCATGTTCTTTTGAGGGTTCCATGAGGGCATGGAACAAAGTTTCGACACCATTTTGGCTTATGATTGAATAGCCATTATTATTCTTTTTCCCCCCACCTTGTTTCTATTAAGTGGTGACTTGCTATCAGCTGAGAATTTGTCTGTGCGAGATCTGCTCTATTATCAGCTGTATGTTGTACTTTCATAGGCCAAGTTGACCCATCTGCAAAAAGAATATTTTGGCATTCCTTCAAATGCTATTATTGAAAGACGAGCGATGATATTATTTACTTTCATTTAGGTTACTATTAACTTCCATGTTTATTGTGGTGAGAGTTAGTTTTTGGCTCGCTTTTGCTTTTTTTGTCTTCAAATGTCTCGAAACTTGGTTCCAACCTTCACCACATCATGCTCTAGGACTTTAAATATGACAAATGAGAACAACCAAGATCAAGTATAAAAAACTCAAATATGTGTAAATTAGTATGAATAAGAAACTAGCATGATATATTCAAAAAACACAACCACGGTTAAATTAACACATTTCAACTCATCAAAATTGTCAACTATTATTTTTATTAAATTCAATTTATTGTTTGAGTTTAGGGAATTGGGATATGAGGTTAACCGTTAGAGGTTATTGTAACACCGGTTAATTCATTGTTTAAATAACAAAATTTTTTGGCATATGGTAAGGATAGTGTATGCCCTAGCATGAATCATATACATATATACACGAGGCATGTATATTGATTGTTGAAGTCCTATTTGTGTTTTAAAATGACTAAAAAGTTTTGATGGATTAGTTCTAATGAAAATTGAAAATAACCCCCTTTAGAACACGAAAATCAAAGAGCTTTTGTATATATTTTTTTTTCAAATGATGCTAGAAAGGTATTACCTTTTACATAACGATGCTATGATGGTTTTTCATTTTATTATAGTTAAAAAGATTTGAACATGGTGTCGACCATACATTAAACGGCCAACCAACGCATGTTAGTAGGTTCACTTATAAATGTAATCGTTTGTTTGGTTATTGGTTAACCATTAAGTAATTTTTGCTTACCGTTAACCGTATCATTTATACTAGTAAGCTATTATTATTATGTCGGTTAACCAACAACAGTTAGCAAGTGATTCAACAAAATTAGACAATATATTTAATTTATAACTAAACCAACAAAATGTCCCTTTTAAAAAAAATTGTACCCTTTTTAGATTCCCCCATGTATGTTCTATTTCATATTTTTATCATTGATTTTGGTTTGTTTGGTGAGTTGTTGTTTTTATTGAAACCAAGAGAAGAAAGAGAGGAAGGAGAAGCGTGATGAGTGCAATATATGTGTGGAAAGTCATTGATTCAAGAAATTGGGACGCGATTTTTGCTATACTACCTTTACCATGAGTCATATGATCTTCTCAATCCAATCTTGATGCTCACATTTCAATCATAAAATCGATGGTGCTATTTGCCTCTTTTAATTTTAGGGTTCTATTGGGAGGAAATTGAGAAAAGAAGAAGAGGGTCGAGCAGAGAGGAGATTGTTTGCTCGAAGTTCGAGAATATTTGTGTTAGAATATGACTTGAATTTGATTTGGGTTTGTTTTGTGTTTTGGATCTATTTTGTTTGGGTTTTGTTTGACCTTTTCCTTGTATGTTTGGGAAAAGGTGTTTGGTTTTCTGTTTGGGATTATGAGAAGAGTTCTATAAATACTCTTCATCACCCTAGTCTGTAGTAAGGTCAGTCAGGTTAGTTTGTTTGGTTTGTCCGTTTGGAATTTGGTTTGTAACCTGTACTCTCCTCAAATCAGTGAAATTTGTTCCCCCCTGCCCGTGGATTAGCTAGCACACATTGTGTTAGTGAACCACGTTAAATTTGTGTTCGTTCGTGCTAGTTTGGATTATCGATTGCACGCTTCTGTTCTGACAAGTGGTATCAGAGCTTGGTTGAGTTTCAAGGAATTGCGTACTATTTTGAACCGGAGCTTCTGGTTACATATCTGACTGCGAGGGGGTAAAATTGCAAACCTTGCAATTCCAATCCGGAGACCGCAGGCAAGAACATCCAAGAACGCTTCGTGTGATCGTGGCACAATTAAGTTTTTGTCTCGTTGCACAATTAAATTTCTCCGTTTGGTTAATTGTGGTGGTCTGTTTGGAGGTGGATTTATTGTGATAATCATCAAAATTCTGCCGCACCCACCGGGAAGCAAGCAGCTGAAGCTTTTGTTGGATTTTGGGTTGGCAGTGGCCATTATTTGCTTTTGGTGGAGATTCGGATTTGGTCTTGTTTGTTTGTTTGGTGAGAGGTTTGGTTGGAGTTTGTTTGATAGTAAGAATGGCTGTTATCAGTATAAAGATTGAGAAGTCAGTTTGGAGTTGCATGTTTGGAGTTAAAGGTAAATTTGATATTGGTGTTATGGACGGAAATAACACCAAGCTAGTTCTAGATGGCAAGTTACAACATGTGTTGAACTTGCTGCATGTTTTGATTTGTTAACCGCCCTAGGGCCATTTGAAGGCAGGGGAGGTTCTGGCAAATTCAGAGATTTGAAGAGTTTGGTGTCTGAAAATTTTGGTTGAATTTGAGTTTGGCGATTTGCATCGCGTTTGGGTTTGGTGATTTCGATCACATCTAGATATCTGGCGATTACGATAGCATCTGGGTAAATTTGGCGATATGTATCGCGTCTGGGTACATCTGGCAACTTTGGTTGCATCAGGTACATCTGACAACTTTGGTTGTATCTGGTACATTTGGTATTTGAGAGAGAATTCAAGTCAAGGTGGAGATTGTTAGAATATGACTTGAATTTGATTTGGGTTTGTTTTGTGTTTTGGGTCTATTTTGTTTGAGTTTGTGTTTGGGCTTTGTTTGACTTTGTATGTTTGAGAAAATGTGTTTGGTTTTCTGTTTGGGATTAGGAGAAGAGTTCTATAAATACTCTTCATCACCCTAGTCTGTAGTAAGGTCAGTCAGCTTAATTTGTTTGGTTTGTCCGTTTGGAATTTGGTTTGTAACCTATACTCTCCTCAAATCAGTGAAATTTGTTCCCCCTGCCCGTGGATTAGCTAGCACACATTGTATTAGTAAACCACGTTAAATTTGTGTTCATTCGTGCTGGTTTAGATTATCGATTGCACGCTTCTGTTCTGACAATTTGGAACGGACATGATTAATTTTAGGAAGAGAAATATAAATATTTATATTAATTTAGTTTTTGATAAGAGTTAAACAACTATTCGATTACATCATAAATCATTTCAGATAGATCGTTAACTACCGGTTATCGATTAGCTTATCAGCGTACCCGCTAACCGAGTAAGTAGTAACCCAATATCACCTAGCCTGCCTGACCCTAACGAGAGCACCTATTTATATGATAGAAACAAGAAATCGACTAACGGGGCCGCTGGTTTCTTTTCTTCCCAAGTCTTGTATTTCACTTCGCTTGGTCAGCGTCGTCGTGGCGGAAGAACTCCAAAATCCAATTCCTTAGTTTCACTGAATCCGTCAATTCCGACGAGAAATATCTAATGGCTCTTCCTGGCTTAATGGGTGTGGACGTTCTTTAGTTTAAAGTCTCCGACTTAGGCGGCGGCGACTCATCGTTGCAACACATAGTTTAGAAAACTTTGGTGTAAATGGCTGTTAAAGCTGGTTCCTTTTCAGTATCTTGTGACGCTTCGTCGCTTTCTTCTCCTCTCAAGCTAAGCGGAATCTCCAAGGTTTTCCCTTTCTCTTGTCCTCTAATATCAATACTAATGAATTTTGCTGGGTCATTTTGTTAAAGCGGCCTGCTGTTTGTGTTTGGATGGTGAAATTGGTTTCTTGGCGGTGTTCACCCTTGGTATCTTTGACTCCTTAATCATTCGAACTAACTTAGTTTACTCGAGGTTTCTTACTTCAATGAAGCCCTCTGTGGTTACAAGTATTTGGCAATTCGTGGAGTTAGCAAATGTACATTGTGAATCAGCTGTCATTGTTAAGGATCAGTAGAGTGTCGCTTGTTTCTGGGTCTGAAAAACTGATTGGCGCTAATCACGTCTTTCCTAGCAGAATCGATGTCTGAACTCTGAAGGATCAGTGGAGTGTCGCTTGTTTCTGGTTCTGATTGGTTATTATCAGTCCAATTTGCTGTGTACCTCCAGTATGCCTAATGATGTTCAATATCATCTATATGAGGTGCTTCAAAAACGTTTTCCAGTATTTTATCTCACACTTGTGTTTTCTTGTCCAGCTAAGCTCAGGAGCCGAACCATGTGGTAGCTTGCACTTTGGAACTCGGAAGTATCGAAATGCTACAGGTGAATTTCAATGACGACTGCCATTGTTGAATATGTCAAACTCTTCTATGTGACTATGTGAGGCTTTACGTGGTAGCATTTTTGGAACTTGTGTTCAGTAGTGTGTAATTGTGTATGCTTGGTATTTGACTATTGAAGCAATAACCTGGTTTTAGTTAGTCTGTCCAAAGATATTAATTTTAGGCCTATTAAATTTCAATGTACGATGGTGAATTTTTTTTTCTTCTTGATGATTTTGCACAGTGATGAATTCATTTATGTATTTCTGAGCATCTTCTAATTGTTGTCCTGTTTCTTACAAACAGTTAGCTCGAGAACCTTTCTCAGTTACTGGCTGCAAAATGACAGAAATGTCAAGAGGACCCGAAGTAGGCTCTCTGCAACTTCACAAGAGCAGTCAGAGTATGGTGAGGTTAAACCTGAAGTGACCGATCAAGAACACTCTCTTTCTAATCCAGAATCCAAATCCATCCCCAGCACTTCATTCAGTGATGTTCAGGGAACTGGTGGAAAACCGGGTCTTGTTTCATTTAATGGACATCAATATAAACCAAAAGCTGCGGTTTCTGCCTCTAGCTCTACACAAAACAATCAGAGCAGCCTATTGTGGTTCCTTGGTCCAGCTGTCCTTGTGGCTTCGTTCATTTTCCCTTCTATCTATTTGCGCAGAGTACTCTCCATAATATTCGAGGACTCTTTGCTCACAGGTATACTCGTTTCTGTTGATGAGGTGATCTAATAATTCGCTTTTTCAGTTTGCTTCCATTGAAAAGTAAAAGGAGCGTGGCCATTTCTGTTGGTTCCATCTTTGGATACCATGGAGGATGAGATGCCTGGATGAAAGAATTTTTATTTGCTTAGTGTTTAAGTGATGTTCTTAGGATTAATTTAATTGTTTAGTTGCATGGATGTTGGATATCATTTGTTCTTTATGTCAATTTCCCAGTATGCTATTTTATTCCATACAATCTGACTAAGGTGAAATAGGAAATGAGAAGCACAGTACCTTCTGATAAGGTCTAAATTTGATAGATGATATTGGTCATTAACTTGAAGAGTGATACTCTGGTTATTTAGAGGATGGTAGCTAGAGAATTTTATGGAGGAAACAATGTTTTTGCTCAGAAATTATAGCCTAGTTTAGTGGCGTATTGAAATATATTCCTCAGAGATAAAGGCCAGTACTTATTGGCAGTTCTCATTCCTTCTTCATGAAGGTTTAACTCACCATTAGTTGCACAAAGTTGACTTCTTTCTCTTTCCTAGTTCCCTTGTTTACTGTTTCAAGGTCTCATGAAAAGAATGTTTTTTCCCCCTTTATTTGCAGATTTCCTCATACTGTTTTTCACAGAAGCGATCTTCTACTGCGGTGTCGCTGTTTTCCTTCTGCTGATTGACCGTGTGAGAAGGCCTGATGATGAATCAGAATCCCATCCAAGCAATCAAACCACAGTCTCTCCTCCTCAGCTGGCCCACAGAATATCCTCTGTTGCTACGTTGGTTCTGAGTCTTATAGTTCCTATGGTGACCATGGGTTTGGTCTGGCCGTGGACTGGTCCTGCTGCTTCTGCCACTCTCGCACCATATTTAGTTGGCATTGTTGTCCAGTTTGCATTCGAACAGTATGCTAGATCTCGAAAGTCGCCTTCCTGGCCAGTGATTCCTATAATTTTTCAGGTAAGGATAGCTGCGCCAATTTCTGGTGCTCCATTTTTAGGACTTCTGTTGTCTTTGAGCAGCTGCATTGTCACATACTTGTCTGTCACTTAGTGGAACTTCAGTCCGTTTGGCTAGTAACCATATATCCTTCTTATTGTCAGCTTTATCGACTGCATCAACTGAATAGGGCGGCCCAACTGGTGACTGCTCTCTCATACACAGTGAAAGCGGCCGAGATGACCACACATAACTTGGAGATAAGCAGCTCCCTTGGGACACTTTTGAATGTTCTGCAATTCCTTGGAGTCATCTGCATTTGGTCTCTGTCAAGCTTCCTCATGAGGTTTTTCCCATCAGACGTGCGAAAGGTGGCACCCTGATGGCAGAACAACGTCAGCTGGCAACCTGCGTTCTTCATTTGGTCTTATGATTCCACTGATTCAATGCAGTTGCCCCATCTAACTCTCCTATGTCATGGTATTAACGTTGACAATTTTGATAACCCAGCTGGAAGTAAAGCTTTAAACTTTTTAGTAAAAGATGACACCAGGATGAGTTCATGCTGATGCAGACATGCTCTTTCTGCTGTATTGGGCTACTGCTTCCTGTTTCTGATCTTTTGTTAGGATGACACATACACCGCGACAAGTTTGTAAACCAAACAATTATTCGTTCGTTCTTCATCTTCCGTACAAGTTCGTGATTTCTTTTTTCTGAGAAGCCATCTATAGCTAGAGATGCTTGGAATAGAAATAAGAGTGACTTTCTGGTTGAAGGCATTACAGAAGTCAACAGCTATTGGTAGCATGTATGGACCATTTCCCTCATCTTCAACCCTGTATTTTGGCCACAATATCCTCAACCAAAAAGGCTACCACCTTTTTTGCCTACATGCTTGAGAATGTTCATCTGCTCACATCTATTTTCTCTTCACCTTGATGGGGGTTGGAATTTAGTTGTTATGTAGAAAGGTGGGGACATGATGATGTTGATAGAAACTTGCTATGGGCCTATGGTTAATATTGTTATAAATATTTGTTATTAGGGATAAATGTTGAGATTTTGTATTACTAGGATTTAATTACTGGTTTATTAAGTTATTCGCTATGTCTCGGTTTAGGATTAGAATTTAGGGTATTTCCTATAAATATTATTCCTTTACGATTATTAAGCATAATAATGAGAAAAGTATCTCCACGCCTTAATCTCGCTATCTTTTGAAATCTCATCTCATTCGCCAACCACTTTTCAGGTTTTTTCCCAGTTCAATTCTCAAACCCTAATCCCCAATTATGTTCCCTTCTATCCTAAACCCTATTTTCTCTCAAATTCCTAAATCTCTTTTATTCAATCCGGTCACAGAGTAACTGTGGGTGTCCAATATCCATGTTTCTATCCAAGGTAAACTGATGACTTCCCAGGCAAGGAAACTGATTCCTGAGGGTTGAAATATTGACATTCTGGTCTATATAATGTAAGCTAAAATGGAGATTATGTGTGGGTGGGTCAATATTTCTATATTCTATTCTGAGATGCTTTATCCTTTCCTCCCCATGCAAAGAATATTTATTGAAAGTTTGCATTGATTTCATCACCTTGCTTGCACTTCAATTATGTACCTTCTCCTTTGGAATGTTCCCTTTTACTGAGACTTTTGGAATGAAATGGTCAAATTATTGAGCATGGTAGTCCAATCCCTAACCCTAATTATATATCTGCCTATTTTGATAACTACCCTTTTCTTAATTCATTGCTGTTTTGTCCTGTGAGTTGAGCTTTTGATTGCTTGGCAGCTCTTAGCTTTGGCCCTCTGTCGCCTGTGAAATTTGTCTCCTTTCTCCTCAAATTTGTGCTTTTCTTGTAATACACGTCTGGTAATAACATAATGGGTAGATAGGAAAAAGTAGAGTTGCAAGTTGGTATATGAACGTTCTTGTCAATCAAATTCTGCAGAAAGAATCCGAGTAGAGAATAATGGTGATGTTATTGACTTAACATCTCAACAAATGCAAGTGGGAGAGAAGTTTCAAGCCCTTGCTTGAAGGGCTAATTAGCAATAAATCGTATCGAAATTTGTACTGAAAACGTTAATGAGAATATTTTATTCTGAAATTGTGATTCACGCGTTTCATGTTACCGCTAACTGATCGGAGATTTTTCTCGTCAAACCACTGATACGGTACAGTTTTTCAATTTACTCATTAGTAATATGATATTTTGGACCTAACGTATCTTTAAGTGAATTCTCTCTATGTTTGCTTATAGGTCTCTGTATCTCAAATAATTTAGTTTCAGTCGTGTTATTCAGTCTCTCCCTATTTAATTTCGTAAGTGTTTTTCCATTATTTTAATACAAAATCATGGTTTTTCCATTATTATTTTTGGATCACATGTTAGAACGAGTCGACTTTTAGAACAAAATCACTCTACCTTAGTCGTGTCATACTCGTTCTGCTTAGTAATGACAATGCGGCGGGTCGGGGCAGTATCTCGGTATCCTTACCCACCCCCGGTATCTATTTACAACCGTATTGTAATTAAAATTTGAGGTAATAAATAAATAAAATACTAAGTAATTTGTGTAAAATTATATAATAATTTAAACAATAACAATTGAGAACGGATGAGGTTAGAGACATTGTCCACTCACCAGTCACCCCATCCCGCCCCAAAACAAACCAAACAGGTCATATAGAACGGATTAGGTTGAAATTGTCATCCCTAACCCTGCTTTGTGCCACACCAGTAAAGGCTAGTAAAGTGTCTGGGAGAGCACATTTTGACAGGAACAAATGGTGCATGCTGATATATCCACTTTTGTCTTCCTTTGTCTGGGTGATTGCTCTTGATGGAAACATTTATCCTTGAGACATCCTGAGATCCTAAGCAAAGGTGGGTGACAATGAAGTGAAAGGAACCCATGCCATGCCAGATGCCACCATCCCCCACTGAATTCTATGCTGAAACACTTTCCACATTTGTTTATGGTTTCCTTCAACTTTTTTCCATCAGGGAGGAGGTGAAGTTGTCTTGTCATTTTGTGTTTGGTTCCTTCTCCAGGAGAATCATCTCATATCAGTATGTTATCAAGATGGGGCTTAGAGAAAATGAATTCTCTTTCCCTTATATTAATCTCAAATTATCATCAAGTTTTGTCCTTGGAATGTCTCTGTACTACCAAACCTCACATGGTGTTAGAAGTTATTTACCATCATCCCCAAGTTTGTTCTTCTTGCTCTCTTTGTGTCTTCTTCCCCTATTAAATTTGGTATTAGGTGGTGGTAAGTGACATTGATTTGAAAGCCAAGATACCAACTTTCTGAAAGATTTGGGGAATTGGGTAATGCCCATTTTATCAACTCAACCTCCCACATGATTGTGTTGAAGAAACCCATCGTATTGGCCAGTCAGATTGGAAATACAGAGAATTGGACCTAAATTTGTAGGAGGTTTTAGAGATAGAAAATCGGTTGAAGTAAATCACAATTTTAATATAAATACTCTATTGATTTGCATTTGAAATTTGGATACATGAAAGCCAGCCCCCAAATAGTTAGTGCACAAGAGCATCATGAAAACAAAGCCATTAGCCGCAAAGCAACTGTAGCACCCATCCACTTGTAGCCATTAAGACACAAGGTAGAATGAACCTGGCTAGTAGCTGGTCCATCAAAGAAATTTTGGGTTACCTCTAGCTTGACTCTTCTGTTTTACTAAAAATTTCAACTTTCTTCTGGTTCTTTCTTTACATAATGGGTTTGTGCCTATTTATCAATGTTATCAGGTTGACTTTAGGTTTGGTGTAACTATCTGAATCTTGTCTGAAGTCAAAGCTCTACTTAATCATTTGGATGAACCCTAATTGTCCCTCTCTCTATCTGCATAAAAACTGTCTGTTAGTTAATGTGAACATGAGAACCCCCACTCAATGCGAAGGTATGCTAATGAAATGGGGCAATCTCTTCTTGTACCATACAATGGCTAGAGAGAGAGAGAGAGAGAGAGAGAGAGAGAGAGAGAGAGAGAGAGAGAGAGAGAGAAGTCACCTTTAGGTTGAGTATCCATCCAACACAATTCCCATAACTTTTATCTTATCTGCTAAACATTCTGATCCCAACTCCCATAATTCCCTGCAGAGAAAAAGGTGGCCAGCCTTTTCAGCAGAAACTGAGAATGAAAAAAGAAAAGAAAGATTCCAACAACTACTGATTTATCCATATTCAACTTTTCTCCACTGATAATGATTTATGCAGGCCCTCCTTCAACTGAACTATATAAACCAACTCGTGTCATTTTTCCAGTACATCCAAAACCTCGTATTCTCTCAATCTCATTCCTTCCTTCCTTTGTCATCCCATTTCTTCTTGTTCCCTCTCTTCCTTTTCCCAAGCACAGGGAAGAAGACAATGAGTCACATTTGAAGCCAAAGATACCATCTTTCTTATGAAACTCGATATGGGTACCATCCAAATCGCGCTAATCATTCTGTTTATGTCAGTAATCCATGCTGTTGCAGCAGCAGCTTCAACACCCTCCCTCGAGCTACTGAGAGTCAAGTCAGAATTGGTTGATCCCACGGGAGTTCTCCACAGTTGGTCTCCAGAATCTCACTTCTGCAGGTGGAATGGAGTCGAGTGTTCAGAAGATCAAACCCAAGTTATAGCCCTGAATCTATCAGACTCCGGATTATCAGGTTCCATCTCGGCGGAGCTTTGGAATCTAACTTCACTAGAAACGCTCGATTTGTCATCAAATTTCCTGAACGGCTCGATCCCTGTCGAGATAGGAAAGCTTCAGAGTCTAACAGCACTCCTCCTCCACTCCAACTACCTCTCTGGTGAAATTCCTCAAGAGATTTCCCGTCTGAAGAAGCTGCAGGTTTTGAGAATCGGAAACAACATGTTAACTGGGGTGATCACGCCGAGAATCGGTGAGTTAACCGAGTTGAGAGTCCTGGGCTTGGGCTACTGCCAGCTAAACGGGAGTATTCCGAAAGAGCTTGGGAATCTGAAGCAAATGGAATCTCTTTTCCTGGAAGAGAATCAACTCCAAGGTCCCATCCCAGAAGAAATTCATGGCTGCAAAAACCTTCAGACTTTCGTGGCATCAAACAACAGGCTTGAAGGAACCATCCCAGCTTCACTAGGGAGCCTTCCATCGCTGGAAATACTCAACTTGGCAAACAACAGCCTCTCGGGTTCAATTCCTGCTGATTTAAGCCATCTCTCTAGCTTGCAGCACCTCAACTTGTTAGGGAACCGACTGAATGGTTCGATTCCAGCTGAGCTCAACCAGTTGGGTCAACTCCAGTGGGTTGACTTATCATTCAACAGGCTTTCAGGAAGCATAACACTGCTAAGTAGCCAGCTGCACAATCTTGAAGCTTTGGTTCTTTCAGGTAATGACTTGAAAGGCAGCAGTGTCATTCCTAGCAATTTCTGCAGCAGCAGTCAGTCGAAGCTCCAAAAGCTCTTCCTCGCTCAAAATTATCTCTCCGGTACCTTCCCTTTGGAGATACTGAATTGTCTCTCCCTCCAACAACTAGACCTCTCAGAAAACAACTATGATGGAGATCTTCCTTCCGCCATTGGAAAGCTGCAGAACCTCACCGATCTTTTTCTGCAGAACAACAGCTTCAGTGGACAGATACCTTCAGAAATTGGAAACTTAACCCAGTTGGAGAATCTCTACATGTTTGACAATGCAATCAGAGGGAATCTTCCACCAGAAATCGGGAGACTTCATCAGTTAACCAACATTTATCTCTATGACAACCAGATTTCAGGACAGATCCCAAGGGAGCTGACGAACTGCACAAAGCTGACAGATATCGATTTCTTCGGTAACCATTTCACTGGTCCCATTCCTGAGACTATCGGCAAGCTGAAGAATCTCGTTATGCTTCAACTGAGGCAGAATGGCTTGTCAGGTCCAATCCCACCAAGTTTGGGGTACTGCAGAAGCCTGGAGATATTGGCATTGGCAGATAACAAACTTTCAGGAACTTTGCCACCAACGTTCAGATTCCTTTCGAAGCTCTTCAAAGTAACTCTTTACAATAACTCCTTTCAGGGTCCTCTCCCTTCATCTCTTTCCCAATTGAAAAACCTCCAGATCATAAACTTCTGCCACAACAGGTTCAATGGCAGCATCTCTCCTCTCTTGGGATCAAGCTCTCTTTCTGCCTTGGACTTAACCAACAATAGCTTCTCAGGACCAATCCCTTCAATGCTAGCCTCGTCAATAAACCTGACCCGTCTTCGCCTGGCACACAACCATCTCACTGGAACCATCCCTCCTGAATTTGGCCAGCTCACCAATCTCCAGTTCCTCGATTTATCCTTCAACAATCTCACAGGCGAACTGAGTGAAGCTCAATTCTCAAGGTTCAAAAAGCTTCAACATTTCCTGCTGAGCAATAACCAGCTCACAGGGATAATGCCTTCCTGGCTGGGCACCTTGGAAGAACTCGGAGAGCTCGATCTCTCATCCAACAACCTCCACGGCGACATACCAAAATCCCTCGGCAACTGCTCAAACCTACTCAAGCTCTCTCTCCACGGAAACACCCTCACGGGTTCAATTCCAGAGGAGCTCGGCAATCTCACTTCTCTCAACGTCCTCAATCTCCAGCGAAACAACATTTCAGGCACTATCCCTAAAACGATCGAAAACTGCAGGAAGCTGTTCGAGCTCAGGGTTTCCGAAAACTCACTCACCGGTTCGATTCCAGACGAGATAGGGAAACTTACCGAGCTGCAAGTGATACTAGATCTCAGCCACAACTCCTTCTCCGGCGAAATCCCGACCTCCCTCGGAAACCTAATTAAGCTGGAGAGGCTGAATTTTTCGTGCAACCATCTCCAGGGTAAGATACCCAGCTCGCTCGCCAAGCTCACCAGCCTCCACAGGCTGAACCTGTCGAACAACGACCTTCGAGGGCGAATTCCCGAGACGTTCTCCGGTTTCCCCGTCAGTTCGTTTCAGGGGAACTCGCCGGAGGGGCTGTGTGGCCGGCCGATGGAGGTGTGTTTGAAATCAGGGGGAAAGAAGGGGATGTCGAATGCTGCAGTGGTGGGGATAATTGCTGTGATTGTTTTCTCGTCGACGGTGATATGCTTGGTGATGGTGTATATAATGGTGAGAATGTGGTGTCACTGGAGGGAAGTCGCGATATCCTCCACCGTGGACGGCGGCGGTGGAGCGGGAAGAGAGCAGAGGAGAGAAATGAGGGGAAGGAAAGGTGGTGATGATCAGTTCTGGAAATTGAGCCAACTGGTTCAGTGAAAGATACTGCTCTGAATTCTGATGATCGTTTTTTTGATCAGTTCTCTCTGCAATTCTCGGCGCTGTTCATGAGACGTTTGGAATATTTGGAAAGAAGCTGTGGGTTCAAGTTTTATTGGGTCTAGGAGTCGGGGCCCAATTTCCCAAGCCCAATTCTTCTTGGGGTTAAGAGATTGGGGTGGGCTGGATTTAGATTAGTTGGGTGTCTTATTAGAAAGCTATTTTCTGACGGAAGTTAAAAAGCGATTGTCAATTTGTTTCATTAAAAAGTGGTATAGATAAATTGCAAGTTTGGTTACTCACACTGTGACTGTTAAATTATTTCACTTTTTTTTAAAAAAAAATTGCTTCATTTTTGGCCTAATTTGGTCATGTTATCAGTGTTATCTACATGTTTTGGATAGTTATCATGATGTACGCCAAAAACAAAATTGTGTGATGGTACACCTAAAACAAACAATATTTTGGTAAGATGAGGGTTGAAATATTATAAGTGGTACGAGAGTCTCTTCTTGTCTCTCTTCAATGATGGTACGGTAAACCTCAACGAGAACTTTGAGTCCCGAAAGGGAGTGTAATGTAACGCATTAGGCAAATCTCACACCAACAAAGTACAAGAATGATTCGTGATTCATAGGAACAACCCCAACATTCACTGCTAAAATGAGTTTTGTAGTGTGGAGCACTATGCTAGCAAAATTATTAAAGTTATTTTGGTCAAACACCACTCCATTTCCTTCCAAGGCACATCAACAACCCGAGACTTTGATCATCATCATCCAAATTCAAAACATGAAGAGAGAGAAAGAGAAGTTTCAGGGAGAGAGACACAAGACCTTATACGCGTCGCCGAAGAGATAAATTGTGGTATGATCAAGGGATGGAGTGGATGGTGTTAATGATTGCTCAATCGAAGCTCTCATCGTTTACAAAGATGTAACTGATAACACACTATTTTATACATATTTTCATATCCTTTTTAATGTCTCTTGTTTGACCATTTTAGCCATATTCCTATGTTTTGCCAGCTTTATGCTTGATTTGTTGTTTTAGTGTGTTTCAAGCCATTAGAACTTAATTTTGCGATATTTGGATAAGAAATGCACTAATGAATAGATAAATTGAGTTTGGGATGCTCCTAGAGTTTTTTTAGACGTCTTCGGGGTCAAATTTACTAGCCCAACATGGCCCATAACACGGTTGTGCCCCAAGGTGTGCCCATTCCTGGAGTTCGAAACCGACTGCAAACACGTACGGTCGTGTTCTCTACCATTTAAGCATATTTCAGGGTTTTAGAAGGGGGACTTCAACCAGTTTTGACTTAAAACCTAAAATACGAGTTAGAAGGGGGAAAAGATTTTCCTGCGGTTCAACCCCGGAGAAGTCTATTATCAATGAAGCAATCAATCATGGAGATCATCACTCATTATTCTTTTTGTATCTACATCCCTTATGAACTAATCTCCCTCGTGGTTTGGATGAGTTGAACCCTTAATTAGTGATTATGAACTTATGAACCCTCAACCACGTTGAATATGGGCGTAAGCCGTAAAGGAAGGAAGGTCTCAGTTGCAGCCCCAGTTGGCCAAAACTTGTGAGGGAATTTGAAGAAAGTAGACTCTGCCATACTGAAATCAGCTATTGCAACTCTATTCGGCCATCTGGAAAAAGAGTTGAGCAAGCAGGTCCATTTGAGGTTCAATTTTGCCGGCGATTTCGGCTCCGATCTCCGGCGTCGCAGCACATTGAAAATGTTAATGGGGAATAAAAATAATTGGAATGCGCATCCGGGGAATCGAACCCCAGTCAGTACCGTGGGAGGGTACTATGATACCACTACACTAGATGCGCTAACGGCGTAATGTTCTAGAGTAAATATAATATGTTCACTACTCTAGATACGCATTAGATGGCCTTAACCAACGTCGATTAGGGCTTTCTAATGAGTCCTAGAATGAACCCTAGTAGGCTGGCATGCCATGTGGTAATTTTTTCGAGTTGAATGTTATGGGTATGATTTTTGCGAAAATTCCGGCTAAGTCATTGATAATTTCTATTTATATTCATACGACATCTAGTAAAGATGTACCGGCTGGTGGCTACATCAATGTTGTTGCTACTGTAATTTCAATATCAATCATTAATCCAATCGAGATTGTCATAAACCATATTCTGACCCTATATGCTTGAGTGAACACTTTGCTTGAATCATTTCTCCCCCTACCTTATAAACCTATGCATTCTTTTTCTTTCTATCTTGGAGGCAAAACATAAAAAAACAACAATATCAAGTCTCACAACGAGGTGTAGATGGAATTTATCTCATTTTTTCGTCTTAATTAATCTATTGAATTTTCAGGAAACTCTCACTAACTATTAATACGAAGTAGGATATATGTGCTTTCTTGGGGTTTCAAGTTGAATTACAAAATTCCCCATCTAATTGGTCTCGATTTAGAATTTTCACCGCGTTGCCAAGAAAATTTTCTGACTGATCACTTTCTACTGACCTACAAGCTTTTATAATTTACTTCTTAAATCTTGTATATTGGTTTTAACTATTTTATTTCTCTGCTTTCATATTTATTTATTTATTCTCTTCCCACTTTCAGGGCCCTGTTGGTTATGAATATGCAGGCCCATTGAATTTCCGAACTCGGGGGAGGATTGGGCTAGATTTGGACCCGCTGGAGAAAGAAAAAAAAAAGTGACAGCCACACAGGAAATTAGGTCAAGAGTTTAGAGCCACCTATCTGCTAGGTTCAAAAATCACAAACTCCTTCTTAGCAAATTTGTGGTCCAATAGAAAGTTATCAGAAGAAGAAAAAAAAAACCCACCACAGTTAAAAATTTGAGATGTTAAAAAACTTTGAAAGATTTGTGCACAAATATACAATAAGCCGGTCGCTAATCAAAGATCAAAACAACAGACTGTATCAGATAAGCTCTTTAAACTCTTTAGTGCATTCGAATTCTCAAATTGATATATGCAAAAATATGGCCGCTCTGCCCAAATCCCTCATTAGTATGTAACCAACGAGGTGTCGCACGCGGATGGAAGTCTTTTGCATAAACATGAATGATGATATGTACAAACGTTTTTCGAAACATATAGAAGCATAATAAACGACTGGTTTGGCAATGGCTGCCTCCACGCCTGCAAATATGTTTTCCCGCTACTCATGAATAAATGGGTTCAGTTAAAGGGAAAAGTAAGAAGTAAAAACTAATCGCTAGTAAAAAGAAGAAGGTAAAGAACAGCGCAAGTTGTAGGTTTATTTACTGGTCGATTGGGCTAATGTCGAAACCAAAAATATATAACCCGCGAATTTGGCCGTCGAGGCCAGCCCTAGCAGATTCCTAATCCAGAAGCGCCACGGCCACCGTTACTTACTCCTCAAAATAATTAAACCCAAAATAATTTCCTAACTAGTCTTATTATTATACTTATTATTATTAGTCATTCAGATTTAATATATATTTATAATAAGGTGCCTTCTACGGTATCATGGGTGAAATCTGGGGTACCGCATACCTTGAGCATGAAAACACTATTTAGACCTCGAATTAGCAGGATTTTTGGGCATGATACTATAGCCTAATTGTTAATGAGTGAACCCTAGGTCCTAATTATCTAAATCATAAACTATAAACCCGAAGATGGTGCATTGTTTTTTTTTTTTTGCCTATATTTAGACGAATCATAACCGTCGATTATTGTTTCTAATTAAATTGATCTTGGGGTATACAATTTAGAGAATTAAGACCTAGATTTTGATCTTTAAGGGTTAGAGTGTAGTATCATGTCCGAAAAATCAGTCAATTTAAGTTATGGATAACATTTTTTACTCAAGATATGCGTTACCCCGGATTTCGCCCTGGGTACAGTAGAACTCCCCTTATAATATAAAATATATCGACAATATGATGATTTTTCCCCCCATATATTCGAGCTAAATCGGACTAAAAGGATAGAACCATTAACTATCAACCCACTTGCTCAACCGGACTAACGAGTTAAACTGGCTCGACACCCTTACTTCGTTGCTTTAATCCAAATTAAAAAAATATTGCAAAAAGGGAACGAGGTCAATGTGATCTACGAAATAATATCCATTTTTGTTATATTTCGAGAGGAAAATTTTCTTACCACTCATTACCATCCACTTCCACTTTGTATCACCTTCATTCTTGTAACTCGAACCTTAAAATTTTTGCACGGAACCAACGTGTTCTTCGTGATCAATTATGATTTATAATTTTTTGAAAACAATGTATGACCAAATATATTACGCTTATATAAGGTGGTAACTAGTGACAGGTGCTGGCAAAAGGGTAAATGATGGTTATCATAGTCCAATTATCATGTATTCAGTTGTTTAACCTTATGATAAATTCATACCATCATGATATACTTTTATATCGGGTAAATGTCACATTTGTTCATTGAGATTACTAAATCGTGTCATGTTTAGTCACTAGAAAAATTTAGTATCATTTTTTGTCACTCGAATTACTGAAACATGTCACATTTAGTCACTCTCTCGTTAGCCTCCGTCAAACTCCGATCACTCGAATTACTGAAACATGTCACATTTAGTCACTCGAATTACTGAAACATGTCACATTTAGTCACTCTCCTTTTAGTTTCCGTCCAATTTCATTAATGGAGTTGGACGGAAACTAATGAGAGAGTGACTAAATGTGACATGTTTCAGTAATTCGAGTGACCAAAAATGATATTAAATTTTTCTAGTGACTAAATATGACATGATTTAGTAATCTTAGTGACCAAATGTGGCATTTACCCCTTTTATATCACTATAATATAAATTTATGTACTACCAAGCATTACTATCCATGGTAAAGGAAACCGGATCGTACCGGCCGGTTCAACCGGTAAAACCGGGAATCCGACCAACAGCGAAACGATACCCTACCAGCCACCTTTCTATCGCGCCGGCCGGTTTAATCGGCTTAACCGGCATGAACCGGTATACCGTCCGGTTTAAATCAGACCGGCGGGGCTGCCACTATGAAGGCACCCTCAAAGACAACAACAACGGCGGTGGCGGCGGGGCTGCACGCGAGTCGTCGGAGAGCACCATCGGGACAGGGGCGGCGGCGAAGAGCCAGAGCCAGAGTCAGAGTCAAAGCCGCGGCGGTGGTGGGTTTGGATTTGACTTCGATTTGAATCTGCCGGCCAGCCCTGATCTGGGATTGGCCATCGGCGGCGGCAGCGTGGTTCAGAAACCTTCCGGAGGATCGACGGAGTAGTAGAAAACGAAGAAGTGGAGAGTCCTCTCCCCGGGAAGAAACCAAGATTGTCGCTCGGCCTACAAGTCACCACCGACCTGATTGGAAGTGTTTGGAATTCACAGTTGTAATAGAAAAGAAGTTGAGATCTGGGTTTATTTGGAAGGCTAAAGCTTTTAGCTACAAAGCTCTCCCAACCCAGAGAGAAAGGAGATTAATTTTCTGGTGATTGATGGAAAGACAGAGGGGCGGTGGAAAAGAAAGGGAGAAGATGGGGGCTCACGTGTTGTCTGTGATAGTGATTTAGGTTTAGGATTTTTATACTAATATATATATATATATATTAAAGGTCAATTACTATATGGTACTCAAAATTGAATTATACACCAGTCATCAAATTCCTTACTCATTGCATTTTAGGCATGTGTTTTAATGATTATTACAAAAACGGTATTTACCGGTATGAAACGGTTGAACCACGGTCGTACCACAAAATACCCTACCAGAAAGGAATCCGGTTTGATGTCCGGTACGGTTTCCTTTACCATGTTACTATCATGGTATATACTGATAATATAAGTGGGTAATGTCTATATTTTATCCAAACCTTTCTCAGATTCTTTTATATTATAGAAACCTATTAAAATTCTACTAATTATCCAAACCTTTCATAATGCATCAAAATATTAGACATTTTTACTTTATCATTAATAATTTTGTAACTCTTTTCTCAGTTAAAATATTAAAATTTTGGAATGTTGACCTTCATGAGTCTCTTCCAAGTCAGTATCATGTAGCCAAGTCAATATTACTAACAAAATTGCTAACTGTAAGTTAACACTTGGCTAATTCTTAGTATTTCCATAGGTTTGGATAATATAAAAGAATCTAAAAAAGGTTTGGATAAAAAATAGACATTATCCTATAATATATGTCCCAATTTGTTGGTTTCAAAATATATCAAAGTTAACGTCATTTTGAAGAAGAGAATTAATATTATTTTTTATGAAAAAATTGAATTCCAATTTAAACAAAAGAGCTATAATCTGTTAAATTTAATATATATATATATATATATATATTTATTTATGGGTGAGACTGACGTACGTCAGGCGTATACTATACGTCGAGGAGGTTTTATCACCTGGACCGCTAATTGCCTTAGAAAGAGTGGAATCAGATCACAACCCGATTGTCCTTCAATAGGGTGATCGTGAGTACTCCAATCGGCCGTGGAAATTTGAAAATATGTGGTTGGAAGAGCAAACCTTTCTTCAAAAGCTGGTTGGATGGTGGAGTATCCCGGTAAATGGTTCAGGGCATTTGTTCAGATGTAGCCAGCGCTTAAGGAATGCTAAGCATCTCATCAAGGAGTGGAATGTGGAGTTCTTTGGAAAGACTGATTCGAAGGTGGCTGATTTGCTCGCAAGAATTAAGGTAATTGACAGGGTGGAGGAACAGGGCCCTATTATTGATGTTCTTAATATTGTAAGAAGCAGATTGAAATGTGAACTAGATAAAACGCTCTTGATGGAGGAAATTTCATGGAGACAGAAATCTCGTGCGCTATGGATCAGAGTGGGGGATAAAAATTCAGGCTTTTTCCATCGCATGGCAGTGAACCATAGCAGAAGAAATTGTGTTAGGAGTCTGATGATTGAAGGAAGATTGGTGGAGGATACAGGTAAGTTGAAAGAGGCCTTTGTCAACCATTTCCGTGAAAGATTTATTGAGAAAGGCAAGAGCAGACCTTTCCCGGCTGATTTCAAACTGGGGATAATTAGTGTTTAAGAGAGTTACCAGCTTACAACGCCATTCACAGAAACAGAGGTTTGGGATGCAATACGCTCTTGTAATGGTGATAAAGCTCCCGGCCCGTATGACTTTACGCTTTCTTTCTTTAAGAAGTCCAGGCACATCATCAAGCAAGATATCATGAAGGCTCTTGATGAGTTTTACTTATCTGGAGTGCTCCCTCATGCAGTAGCTCATTCTTTTGTTTGCTTGATCCCCAAGAAAGAGGCAGTGGAAGAGATTAAAGACTTTTGGCCAATCAGTCTCATTGGTAGTTTAAATAAGATAATTTCGAAGGTCGTCTTGGTGAGGTTGCACCTGGTTACAGAAAAGGCTGTCTCAAAGTTCCAGTTCGCAGGAAGGAAAAAGAAGCAAATCCATGAAGCCAGCTTGTTAGCGAATGAGGCAATTGACAGTAGAAAGAGGAGCAGAAAACCAGGAATCATCCTCAAGCTGGATATAGAAAAGGCTTTCGACTCTGTAAGCTGGGATTGTTTGTTCAGAATTTTGGACAACATGGGGACGAATGCAAAGCTGAAAAAATGGATTTCGGGGTTAGTTTCCTCAACAAGACTTTCGATCCTCGTTAATGGAGAGTCGAATGGCTTTTCAAAATGGAAAGGGGTCTTAAACAAGGGGATCCGTCATCCCCATTCTTGTTCAGCCTTGTTATGGATATTCTATCTCGTATAATTCAGAGGAGGCTGGATGCGGGTCTAATCACAAGTTTCTTCTTCGATGAAAGTGTCCAACGATGTCAGATTTCTCACTTATTATATGCAGATGATACTATTATATTTTGTGACGCTACTGAGAACGAGGTTTTTAATGTGATGGCTGCCTTGATCTGTTTCGAATGCATCATGGGACTCAAAATCAACCTTAGCAAGAGTTTGATGTACCCTGTGGGTGAAGTAGAGAACATTGATCGACTTGCTGGGATCCTGGGGTGCGATTGGAATTTTCTTCATACGGTCTATCTCGGGCTGCCTCTTGGGGCGCATCCTACCTCGACTTCAATTTGGGAGCCCGTTCTTTTGAAGATGCAAAGGAAACTAGAAGGTTGGCAAGGCAAATACTTGTCCTTAGGGGGGAGAATCACCCTCTGCAACGCAGTTCTTGCCAGCCAACCTTTATATCTATGTTCCCTATTTAAAGCGCCAGCCAACATAATTGCAAAGATGGAAAGAATACAGAAGGAATTCATATGGTCAGGGTCGAGTCAGGAGAAGAAAATGCATTTGGTGGCTTGGGAGACTTATAAGGTGCCAAAGAAGCTCGGTGGTCTGGGAATTGCTGATTTGGGATCTCATAATGTCTCTCTTTTGGTTAAATGGCTGTGGAGATTTGCCAGGAAAGGAATGAATGATGGAGGGAGCTGATAAGCACTAAATACCCTCACGATGCATCGGAATGGAGGCCAGGGGATCACAAAGGCTCGACGGGATGCAGCCCGTGGTCACAAATCATGAAAACAGGGAAAGAGTTCTGGCGGTTTGCAAGGGTGGAATCTGGGGAAGGAGCGTGGACTTCTCTATGGTACGATGTTTGGATTCAGGGTCTTCCTGCTCTCGCTGAAGCCTTTCCAAGGGTATTCGCCGCTGCCGTGTCACCAAGCTGTCGAGTTGCTGATGTGCTGCAAGTTGGGAAGGGAAATTTTTCTTGGGATTTACCTCTTAAATACACCTTGAGGGGAGGGGTTGAGAGGGAGAGAATTAGCTTACTAAATTTACTGCAAAGCATACCCTTCACTTCGTTTGTTGCAGGCCCTTCGAGAATAACTTGGGAGCCGTCCCCAAACGTTGGCTTTCAGGTGCAGTCGATGTATGAGAAGCTGGTTGCTGAGCGGGTCTCAAGAGATGCTGATTTTCCTGCTCGGACCATTTGGCAGCAAGTTGTTCCACATAAAGTTTGTGTTTTCATGTGGATCGTCTTCTGGAAGAGAATACTAACTCAAGACCTTTTGCGGAAGAGGGGATGGGTAGGGATGGCAAATTACCCACCCATGGGTAATTATACCCAAACCCAAGTAGACCCATTGATAATGTGTTGGGTATGGGTGAAGTGCATATGGATTTGGGGGTTTATAGATGGGTTTGGGTTTGGGTTTGGGGCTTCCATAATCTAAATGGGTATGGGTTGGATATGGATATCCATTTACTTGAGGGTGTTTTAACTACACATGCAAAAATTGGACCTATTTGCAAAACTTGAAAAGTTTAGGTACCAAAATGTAAGACCAAAAAAATTTAGGTACCAAAACGTAATTTTCCATCGATATTTTGAGGACTTATATGCAAAAAAATTAATTTTAGGTACTAAATATGCATGTCTATTAAGTTTGGGTATCAAACTGTAATTTGTATTTGGGCATGGGTACAAACCCAAATCCATTTGATATAAACCAAACTCAATCCAAAGTAAATGGGTATGGGTACAAACCCATCAAACTCTACCCATATCCATCTATTTGGATTTCATACCCAACCCAATTGGGTTGGATAGTAAGAAACCCATGGGTATGGGCAAAGTTGCCATCCCTAGGGATGGGCAATTCCGAAGGTGGCAGCTGCAGGATCCACGATGCCCTGAACAGTGGTGCTCAAGAATATTTCTTCACGCTCTATTCTTGAGGGTGTGGCTCGAAAGGAACAGAAGAATCTTCATAGATGAGGAGGAAGAAAGCAACATAGTGTGTTATAGAATTGGTCGCTCCATTGCTGACTGGTTAAGCGCCAATGAGAAGGTGGAAAGGACCATTACAGAAGGTTGGATGAGAACTGTAAAGCTGCGTCTTTTGCCAACAAGAGCTCCTCTCAGCGACCAGACCTTGCATCCTTGAGTTTTTGAGGGTATTTGATGAGGCTCTGGTGTTCGGTTTGGGGTTCTCTTCTTCTTTTCTTCCCTTCCTTCTTGAGTTGGATTTTTGCTGGGTATGTTGGGTGGTTTTCTTGAGTTGGAACTCTGATGCGATTTCCCCCTGCTCGCCCTCTTGACTTTGTTCTCGGCAGGGCGCGTTTGCCTTTGCTCTCTTGTTTGTTTCTTTTCTGTTTTGTTTTTTTGTTGGGCGGCGTTTCTTGTCTCCCCTCTTTGTAATTGTAATTATAATTGATTTCGCCATTAACACATAAATTGAGTTTGGGGTATGATACTATATCATAACCTCTAATGGATAAACCCCAGGCACCGATTTTCTAAACCCCAACCCGAAGTTTGATTTAATGAAAAATAAAAATTGATCGTGAGATCGGCCGGAGCTCATCTAAGTACATCTAACGGTTGGATCACCTGTTGTATACTATATGCTTGACGTACACCAGTTATTACCACATATATATATATATATATGGGGAGTTCTACGGTACCCCGGGTGAAATCCGGGGTACCGCATACCTTAAGTAAGAAAACGCTATCTAGAACTTGAATTGACTGATCTTTCGGACATTAAACTATACTCTAACCCATAAAGATTAAAATCTTTATAGTTTATGATTTAGATAATTAGGACCTAGGGTTCACTCATTAAGGGTTAGGGTATAGTATCATGCCCAAAAATCATGCTAATTCATGGTCTAGATAGTGTTTTCATACTCAAGGTATGCGGTACCCCGGATTTCACCCGGGGTACCGTAGAAGGCACCATATATATATATATATGGTGACTTCTACGGTGCCCAGGGCAAAAGCCGGGTACGGGTACCTTGGCCGATCTTAACCGTTCGTTTTCAATCTCCACGGCTCACGTTTGTTAAACCTAACTGCGCCACTAAATAACTAAACAAATTACAAAAAGCCTCCTCCGCGTTAAGTTTGTTTTCATCCTAGTCCAACTAACTGCCCCGATTAAATTAAATGGATTAAGACCCAAACCCAATTGGGTAGACCCACTGCCGCCCAAACCAATTTCCAGTCTCCCTAACCAATTACACGATCCCTCTCTCGTCTTGGAGGGACGCCCCTTCACAGTTCCAAGAGAAGCTCCCCATCCACATTCGACGTAGATTGAATTTCCCAAAAAAATTTTGTCTTGTTTCTTCTTCGCCATTGTATTTCCCCTCGCCTATCTCTTTCTAACACGATTACGGCGACCATGTCTATTATTGTGTTCATCGAACTTATCATTTGCAAAAGAACCCTTGAAAGAGGTTTGCTAACCCTAGGGTTCATGTCCCTATTGCTTTGTCATCTTGTCTTAGCGTTATTGTGATTTTCTCGAGCCTTATATCTCTCGGTGAATTTAGGTTTCCTGATATGTAGTGTTCGTCTCGCCCAGAGGATTGAGGAAGAAGATGAAGAACACATAATTTGATTCGAATCGGATGGAGAGGTCTCCTTAGTTTGTGTTTATGTATTAACGGTACGTTTAGGACTAATTCTAGTTGGAATGGGTCTGATCATTGATTTTTGCAGGCTTTTAAATAACATTCAAACGTGGGCTTGTACATGACCCATGCAATATTCAAAAGTGGGCCTGGAACGTGCGAGCCCATTAGTTTTCTCCTGCGGTATCAGCGCCAACCCTAGTTTAACTAGCTTTAGTTACCCTAGTTTAACCTACACGAGTTAACATCATTACTACATATCTTCCCAAATCTTCTAACTCTTGACATTCCAGACTCAACCGTCTCCATCACACGTCTCCACACTCAACCCCCACGATCACTTTTTCTTACACCTACAATCTCTCTTTCCTCCATCTTCACCTTCCCTCATTCCTTCTTCCTCTGACTCCATGGCAAACAAAGGCAAATCGTTTGCGGATATGGGCATACTAACTCTATCAAACGACGACTGCCGATCCACCCCAAGTCTCGCGGACTATCTTTCATTCACGAGCAAGACATCTATTATGGCCGAGTATGAGTTCATCCACCTGTCCCCTTTCCCTCGAGAAGTGAAGCAGTTAATTAAAAATCTTGGCTGGGAAAAGTTCTTTGATCTCCGGAGTCGAGGAAGCACCAGTTACTGCCCGCATGTGGTGAGGAAGTTCTACCACAATTTAGAGCTGTCTGGTCCCTCCGATTCTCATCTCGTGTCGGTCTTCCTGGGTTATAGAGCCTGCTTCCAGCCTCATCAGTTTGCTGAGATCCTCGATCTCCCCGCCGCAGGACACCACATTGATAGCAGAAGCGATCTTCGGCTGTACGATTTTGAGTTCGAAGTTGAACTGGCGAGACTGACGAATGGGCGCATCCAGGCTTCTTTCCTCCCAGATCCTCTTCGATTCCTCCATTGGATGATCGTCAACTGCTTCATGCCAAGGTACAGTGGTCATTCGATAATTCGTAAACTTGACCTGTTTATCCTTGTGCAAGCTCAAAGAGGTGTTCCTCTTAACCTCGCATCTCTCATGTGCATGAACATGGTTGAGGCTGCTCCTAGAGGGGTAAACTGGTACACTGCCTTTCCATATGCCACCTTCTTGACCACCTTTCTTGGAAGGGTTGGGATGGATATGGGGGTTTATGCTAGGGAGGACCATTCCGCCTATTTGCCAGTCTACCGTATCGTCGAAGTGACCAATACTTTTTATGACCTTCGGCATACGGAGCATGAAGAGACCCCTGAGGCATCCTCAAGCAAACGTCCTCGGCTTACATGAGAGTCGATTGATGCAGGGCGGGGTGGAGCAGTGAAGGGGCCAGCATTGGATGTGTTTTGTTAAGAAGTTTACTGTAAGGCTTCGTTGTTTTTTTTTTCCAGTCTTTTTCTCCAACACTCAAAACTGTCAGGTACTGAGGGGAGCCAGTACATCATCTGACTAGGAAAGTCTCCCAACTTTTTAATTATCCAGACAAATATTTTTCTATGCATGCAGTATTTTGTGAATTTGCCATGGCTAATTTCCCTAAGACAGGTGACGAGATGCAGTAATGGTCATCCCTAAGCAAGGAGGTGCAATTGCATCCTACACTTGCTATGATGTGAGAAGCTATTGCAAGGGTGCAAATTTGGTTGCAATTGAAATTGGCCCACGAGTGGGGACTATTGATGAAATTGCAATGTTTTCTCAAAATTATAGAAGTGGAAGTAGGGACTACCTATGAAATTGCAAATGAATTTCATTGGGGGAGATTTTAATCCGCTTTTGTTCTAAGCAGTTCCAATTAGGTTGATTATAATGATTTTTTATCTATGGTGATTTTTTTCCCCTTTTTCGTCAAGACTCATGCTTCTTTTATCCCCCTGTGGATCTATCATGCTTCGTTTATAGTAAAATATCCTTTTAATTATACACAATAAAGAATCCATTAATTATGTATGCCTTTTTATTGTATTTATTACTACAATGAATTCTCTGACTAAAAGGGGAGTGAAAACATCGTTGGTGGAAATTCAAGGAATGGAATGATAAGGGCTGTGCATAAATTCAATTTCTGTAAATAATTAATTTTATTATTATTAGTTAGTAACGTCATAAGTTTTAGTTAGTGGGTTAGTGGCTCCTACTTTGTAGCTTCAATCTGTTCAAGAGTTGGTACTTAAGCCACTCTCATCATCAATGTAAATCACTACTTTCAATCCTTTACATGGAAGCTTTTCCATATCCTAGGAACATTAAATTAATTACATAAGAATTTTCTATCTGCCTTGTACTGGGTTTGGTCATTATTTATACTGATTGGGAGCCAATCAGTTTTACCTTTTGGGTTACCTATACATGAATGCAAATTTAATTATACGATTGGGAGCCAATCAGTTTTACCTTTTGGGTTACCTATACATGAATGCAAATTTAATTATACGATTGGGAGCCAATCAGTTTAACTATACATGATCCCAATTAAACCTCTCTACAAGATACAATGGCTTGAAGCCTTGAACAGAAGCAACCTCACTCACAAGTTGGAAGCTGGAATTTTGGCGAAGTCCCTTTGCCATTTCCACGAAAAAACAAACCAAACCAAACCAAATATAGAAAGCATTCACAATACCAAAAACCAAATATAGCAAGCATTCACAATACCAAAAACCAAATATACAAAGCATTCACCAAACCAAAAACCAAACCAAAAACCAAATATTAAAACCATTCACCAAACCAAATCAAAAACCAAATATAAAAAGCATTCACGAAACCAAAAACCAAATATAAAAACCAAAAATAATAAGCATTCACCGAACCAAATTAAAAAACGGTTGTCCATCATCCTGAGAAAAAAAAAAACATAACTGTTGTCCATCATCTTGGAAACTAAAACGCAAAATCAGGTTGTTCTTGGGCTCGTTGACTGGGTTTCCTTGTGCTCTTCTCTTTCCTTTTTCCTCTTTTCATGGGTTTTCTTGTACTCTTCCACTGCAGCTTCAACTTGAGGTGCAACTCTTCTTGCTTCCGTGAGCACCATATGCCTTATGTAGTTCATGGGCTCTCGAACAAGGTACAAAGCGATCTGCATCCTCCTCACTTGAGTGCATGGCTATCAACATCAACAAACATGGTGCTTACCGCATGATTCAAAAATAACAATCAATTGTGGTTTTCTAATATGCGAATTAGAATTGTCTTTACCCAAATATAAGAGGAGTCCCAGCTTGCGCCAAACATCCACATGCATACCCAGACTCCACTGTCAGACCTACATAAAATAAAAGCATTGCGTGATAAGAACCAAGTTGATAAGTCGTCGTTTAATATCACAAAAAAATGGGCATACTTACCGATTAAGTTGTTCTTGATCCTTTGAAGGAGTTGGGTACGCAAACTCCGCAATCCTTGGTGGCGACAATCCTTGTTCACGATAGAGAATCTTCCACAAGGCTTGCATAAAGCTCATCTGTATAAATTAAGAAACGTTTGTACTTAGAAAGAGTTATTTACATTTTTTTGCGTTATAACGGCACAATGTCACAAATTTACCATTGTTTGAACAGATTGTAGTCGAAAGGAATTGCGGTCTTCATTTGGTTGTGGATCCAAGATATGGACTTCTTCCTTGTCCAACTTAATGACAGCCAAGTATCAATGGGCATTATCTCTCATCAGAACACACACCTACATATGCGGAAATTGTCAACACGTATTAAAAAAATAAACTGCAAACCATGTAATACTTATTAAGACGAACAGTTTACCTTGTTCACCATACTGGTTCGACTAAGGAATTTTGATTGGTATAGGTCTAATGCCATCTTGGGTGTTATTCCACATGAAATCACTAGTTCCTGCCCATGTGGTAGTTGCACAATTGAAATTTTGTCAACACAATATGATTCACGTTAAAAACACATGTGTTGTAATTTTTTTGGTGCGAGGAAATTGTCATTAAGTATAATCGGACCACAACCTGTAGTTCAGCAGGCAGATAGCACACTCCTTTTCCGTCCTTGGAATTTGTCCACAACTCTTCTAGAGTCAAGTGGCAGGCCATCGCTGTTATAACCTAATATAACATGGACAAAAAACACTTCATGATACTATCGAGTTGTTATAAAATAATTCTACGTAGAAAGCATTGATAGTGGACAAACAAAACAAAAATTTGGAGTTCCGTTGATTACTTCAGCATCTACGAATGAGCGAGGGCTTAAGGACCACAATGACTTCCTCGTACAAGAGTTGTTAGAGATTTTGACCAATACTTCGTCAGGTGGCAGATGGGCTAAAAATATATAGTGAGCAAGCTGGATTTGCTCATCATCGTATTCCATAGCGGTAGGTAGCTTAAACTTCAAAACAACCTGGAATAGGGGCCACAAATAAACACGAGTGGAAATGCATTCGTTATGACGGAATAACGGCAAAGAACACTTCAATGGCAAACATGATACCTTTATTACCTTGTCAACAGAAGGTAGACAAATACTTTTTCCATTTGGCTTCTTTGGTGTGACCTCGGAGTCAGATTCATTGTCCGAAATAAAAACGATGACTGAAGCAGGAGTGGGTGGAGTGCTTACACATTTGGGTATCCTTGGTTTCTTTGTTGGAGTCACAAATTCGGCTGTCTCCTACAATGACAGTGAACCTGCGATTAATAAATTAACTAGAATGAATTTCAATGGTAAAAAGAGTTATTATACATACCACAAGCTTGGACGAAGAGCGAGTAATTCTCTTATTTTCCATGTTGTGCCTCTAATCTAAGCTTTACTCTGTACTCAAAATCGCGGCAAAGAAGGATATGGAACCACTGCTCTACCGATGAAGGTTAATTATATATACAAGGTTAGGATAAATTGTGGCGCCATATTTTTCCCGCGGAAAAATAGTTAGGGTTTAGTCTAAGGTACATTAACTTGGGATAAACATGGGTAGTCATTAAACCTAAAATTAAAAATATACCTTTTTCGATCGAATAAAGAATTGAGTGCTTTTAGTAAATATTCGCTCATATTAATATTTGATCCTTCCCCATACACGTAGTAGTACACAGCTAGAGTCAGATGGCGTTTGGCTTTACTAAGAAAGTTTTTTCATTTTAAATATTTTCGTTATTTGTGAAAATGGTAAAGAAATCACTAAGATAAAGAACAGAAAGTTCAACTCGTTCCTACCAAAAATATAAGATATCACAAATCGTGTTATTAATGGGGATAATTATTAAGTGGCCCATTGAAGCATTAATTCGGCTGTCATTCCCAGTAGGGTCTTGTAATCTACGTCCTTGGTTCCCCAAAATTTCCAGCAGTGACAATGACGTCGGCGGCAGACTCACCAGTGACAATGACGTCGGAGGAAGTCCTAGCATTGACGTCGGAGGAAGTCCAAGAAAACGCTGGTGCCGGAGCCAGTGACACCACCCAGGATGATAATGTCGCCGATCTCATATTTCTACAGCCTGAAGATATTAAAAAAATGAAGTTCGATGATACAGAAGAAGCCTATGATTTCTACATGGACGACGGGTTAGTCAAAGGCTTCGACATCAGAAAATCAGACATTGGTCGTGATAAGAACAAAGTTATGATATGGCGTGACTATGTATGCTCTGGCGAGGGAAAGAGGCGCGTGAAGAGCACAGAACGAAAGAGAGAAGCAAGAGGGGAGACCATATTTAACTGCAGAGCCAAGATGCGTGTTAAACAAGACAATGTCGATGGGAAGTGGTATGTGCACCAGTTTGATGATGTACACACACATGAAACGATCCCCAGAGAATATAGACACTACATGAAAGGGAAACGTCGTATGAGTGATGCAGTCAAAGCAGCGATAAATTTTAGAAGAGCTGCAGGTATGAAAACTTCTCAAATTGTGAATCTGGCCGTATCAGAAGCAGGAGGCTACGACAATTTGGGGTACACGAGGAAAGATGCATATAATTATGTGGACAAAGAGAGGAAAGAACAAATCAGTGAAGGTGATGCCGCAACAGCCCTAGCCTACCTGCAAGCTAAATGCAGCGCGGACGAGCATTTCGTTATTGAACTAAAGAAGGATGACGACGACCGGCTTATTAACATTTTCTGGGCTGATAGTATTTATGTTGCTGATTATGCATGCTTTGGATAATTACTGTCATTCGATGCTACTTACAAAAGGAATATTTACCAGATGCCTCTCGTGATTTTTTCAGGTACTTTTCCTTCACACATAGAATTATCCCGAGCATGCTAAAATAACCCTAGAAGTTTGCATAATCTAACTTTGTTTGAACTTTTTTAGGTGTCAACCACCATTCGCAAACTTGCGTATTTGCATGTGCTTTCTTGGCTAACGAGAGAGAGGACAATTATATTTGGGTGTTGGGAGCTTTGAAGAGAAGGCTAGGCGGTGTAGATCCCAAGACTGTTATTACAGATGGGGATAGAGCAATGCGTAATGCTATTCAGAAAGTATTTCCCGATGCAACACATCGTCTATGTTCCTAGCATATAGACAAGACTATAACCAGAAATGTGAAGAATCATCCTACTTTTTTGCCCCGATGGAAGCATTTTGTGTCAGCTGACTGGGAACCTTCAGAATTCGAAGAAAAGTGGAAAACAGTGGTTGAGGAATGCTCCCTTCAGCACAACAATTGGGTCTCCAATTTATTTGACCAAAGACATGAATGGGGGTATGCATATTTGCGTTCGAAGTTCTTCGCAGGCTTGAGTACAACATCAAGATGTGAAGGACTGAACTCTCAACTTGCCAATTATATCGAGAAGGATAAAAATCTCCTTGAGTTCTTTATTCACTTTGATCGTTGGACTAGGGATATGAGGGAGAATGAGCGTCATGCTGATTTTGAATCCATTCATCGAGAACGAACCATCACAAGCAATGTCTTAGTCTCACTTCAGAAGAGTGGAGCGGCGGTTTTCACAAAGACCGCATTCTTCTTATTCACAGACGAGGTTGAAAAGTCGGCATATTGCATAAGGTTGGAGACAGAGCGATCGGAAATTGAGCGTGTGTACAAGGTTAAGGTGTCTGGCATGGATAAGGTTTTTCAAGTCACGTACGCAGTTGAACCCTTTGCAATGGAGTGTAGTTGTAATCACTACAATTATATGGGAATACCATGCCGTCATATGATTTTTGTACTGAAAGAAGAGAGCATACTGGAACTTCCTGAAGGCCTAGTACGTCGAAGATGGTCAAAGAAGCCGAAGACACTAGAGAGCTTGGAGGAAGCAGACATAATAGATGAATCTCAACTTTTCGCATTAAGGTTTGCCATGACTATCACTTTTAATTTTTTTTTTATATTGGTTCGAAGCTAGGTGAACATTAATTTTACTCACTTTGTATAAAATATTGTGTCAATCAGGTATGGTAGTATTCAACAACACAGCTTACAACTCATGTTAAAAGGGGCAAAATCTAGTGATTGCTTCAAGATTGCTCGTGAGGGAATTCAGGCATTATGTGAAAAGTTGGACATGGTGGACACTGGCAACGTGGACATACCCGGCATTAATAGACCGAAGGCGAATGAAATTTTGTTGGATCCATTACAGGTCAAAGCTAAAGGTTTGGGGGCTAAAAAATCTAAAAGGAAGAAAGGAGAACCACGACAGTGTAGCAATTGCGGTGAATGGCGCCACTATAGGACCCGATGCCCACATCCTGTTGGCTATGTGAAGCCAACCTCAAACGGTGATGCCCCGAATGATGGTGTTTCGGAAGAAGGTGGCGGTGGCGATGACACCGATGTTGATCCTCCCACCACTCAAGATCAGTCGGAAACAGTACAGAAGAGAAGGCAAAAGCATTGCAGTAAGTGCGGTTCTACCAATCATAATGCAAGAACGTGTACTGGGTCTGGGGCATCCGATGATGAAAATGACGATGATGAAAATGACAATGACGACGATTACGAGCAACCTAGGGTAAGAATAAGATATAATTGTTCGTGTCTACACAATGCAGCTGCATCCAATATTTGTGTACGTCTAAAATCGTCGTTATCGATTTTGCAGAAGAGGCCTGTTACAAGAAGTAGCAACCTAAGGATTGTTGAAAACTTGAAGTGAAGATGGACGTCCTTATCCTATTCGGATTAGGACTAATGGACTATGTGAAGACTGCCAGTATCAGCTTGAAGCGGCGTCGTTTGAATTATAAGAAGACTGTTGCCGTCTGCGGTGTCGTTTTAATTGTGTGTAGTTTTATTTATGTGTCATTGTGTCTCTTTGGTTTATAAGAAGACTACTGCCTTCTACGGTGTCATTTTATTTAGTTCGGATGGATTTGATTGAATTCGATATGGATGTTGCTCCCTAAATAAATCATGTACAACATTTCAGTTAAATTATTTTTCTCACTCGTTTTTTTATTGAATTATTAAATCGGATTTTTTACTTGTTTATAAAGTTACTTAATTTTGGCTACTAAAATTATGAAATGTAATTTGGGCGTGAAATGACAAGAGCATGCCCCGATAGAGGACTTATGAAAATGGAGGCAGTAATCAAGAAATAAACTACAGTATTTTTATTGATATATTATTAAGATCTCAAACACTAAAAGTACAAATCTTGAAAAACAAAAAGCTGTACTTTCCCTCCTCCCACTTTTATACTATACATATGGCAACTTTCCCCTCTTGTATATATTTTCGGAGCATGATCAACAAGTACGCGTCAATGTAGCCCAGAAAAACCATCATATGACGTAGGGTTCCACAACACCTATTATGGAATCGTAACAACATATGATGATTCTTCCGGCTATATTCAGACGGCGACTTATTGTCATTGCTCCCCTCCCTGCCTCTAACAAAGACCCTGCATGGAGAGCAAAGGAGAAACAATACAACGAAGGATTTAGTTTAACAGTCATGATCTAACAATGACATAATGAAAGGAAATGAGATCTAAAATAATACGCAGTCTCATCATTACCACTGCACCCGAAAATAAAGCATGGGATAGGAGGACGAAGAGGCGGATGGGGTTGATTTTCGGAGCATGATCAACAAGTACGCGTCAATATCGCACAAAAGAACCATCATATGACGTAGGGTTCCACAACACCTATTATGGAATCGTAACAACATATGATGATTCTTCCGGCTATATTCAGACGGCGACTTATTGTCATTGCTCTCCTCCCTGCCTCTAACAAAGACCCTGCATGGAGAGCAAAGGAGAAACAATACAACGAAGGATTTAGTTTAACAGTGATGATCTAACAATGACATAATGAAAGGAAATGAGATCTAAAATAATAAGCAGTCTCATCATTACCACTGCACCCGATAATAAAGCATGGAAGAGGCGGATGGGGTTGATTTTCGGGGTTGAGAAGATGGGAGAAAGGGGTCTTTTCAGGGATTGAGTGAAGGAACGAACAACAGCAGGAGATGAGTGCCTCTCGGGTTTCGGAGCATGGTCTCTCCCTCTCTGATTAAAGAATTTATAAATGAGCTCATAAATTTACTTTGCCTTTCCAGCCCTTCCCATTTACTGAAAATCACACTCCCTACCGCTGCCTCGGCCTTGGTAACGTCATCACTGGTTAGGGGCAAATGCGACTTTCCGAAAACGGCGATATCTGATTGGGTGACACGCCGCGGTTAGGATTGAAGCTCTTTCACCATCGGATTAAAGGAAAAGTTTAGGAATTGACGGCCGGAGATGGGGATGTGCTTTTAGACTGGCTTTGTAGATTAACCAACTTTTTCGTTTACCAAAATTAATCTACTGATTTGGTACATGTAATTGTAACCCTAAACCCTAAACCTGAACCCTGAACCCTAAACCCTGAACCCTAAACCCGAACCAATCAATACCATATACTCTACAACAATAACACCTTATAGGCCTATACCCGAACCAATCCATCCCATTGCTTATTTTTAGATTAACCAACTTTTTCGTTTACCAACATTACTCTATTGATCTGGTTTATGTTATTCTAACTTGAATCATAACCCTAAACCCTAAACCAAACCCTAATACACGAACCAATCAATACCATATACTCTACAACAATACCAACACCTTAACTAGGCTTATAGGCTTATACCCTAACCACCATTGTGGATGGTCTTATAGGCTTATACCCTAACCAATCAATACATATATACTCTAAACCATCAACACCTTGCTTATTTAGACCATCTCCAATGGTGCAATTCTTGAGAATTGCAACCTGATGTGGCAAGGGAGTGAAAGTGGGATGGTGAGTTGCATTGATGTGGGATCAATTACAAAAGTTGCAAATTTGCATATGATGAATGTTTTCTCATGCAGTTGCAAATTTTCATGCAGCACACACATATATACAATTCCAATCATAATACTTTACATAATTCGAATAACACAACAACAAAAAACAACTTGAGAGAAAACTCAAATTAATATAACACACTCACCAATTAATATTGAATTGCATTGAAAATTAAGTAGGACCCACGGTCACAATTGATGTATAGTTAAAGTTGCTGAAGTGGCAATTGGGACCATATATTTGCTCGGTGTTGGAAACTTGAACTGAAACTGGAAGTCCTCCTATGCCGAGTCGTTTGGTATATAAGAAGACTGTTGGCTCTTGCGGTGTCGTTTAATTTATGTACTCATTAATGGTCAGTTGAAGGCAATTTTTAAGCACTCTAGTTTTTTTTATTCAATTATTATATCGTATTTTTTGCACTAATTTTGAGCACTCATTAAATGGGTAGAGCATGTGGCGACAGAGGAGCAGAGTTCGAAATCCGGCAAAAAATCCGGTTGGCCCAATCGTAAAGACTTCTAAAAATGGAGTCAGTAGTCAACAAATAAAGTACACTATTTTTATTGGGAGTGTAGGATCCCCTGCAGATTTAGAAGATCTCAAACGCTAATAGTACAAAGTACAATATTTTTATTGGGAGTGTAGGATCCCCTGCAGATTTATAAGATCTCAAACGCTAATAGTACAAAGTACAGTATTTTTATTGGGAGTGGAGGATCCCTCGCAGATTTAGAAGATCTCAAACACTTTTGGAAGCCGCCATGGAAGCGAAGAGAGAAGCAGAAGAAAAAATAACAAAACAGTATACAAATATAAACAAATGTTACATATAGTCCAACAAAAACAAAAAGCTGTACTTTCCCTCCCTATTTTATCCTATTATACATATGGCAACTTTCCCATCTTGTATACATTTTGGGAGCATGATCAACAAGTACGCGTCAATGTCGCCCAAAAGAATCACCACATGAAGTAGGGTTCCACAACACCTATTATGGAATCGTAACAACATGTGATGATTCTTTCGGCGATATTCAGACGGCTACTTATTGTCATTGCTCCCCTCCCTGCCTCTAACAAAGACCCTGCATGGAGAGAAAAGGAGAAACAATACAACGAAGGATTTAGTTTAACAGTCATGATCTAACAATGACATAATGAAAGGAAATGAGATCTAAAATAATACGCAGTCTCATCATTACCACTGCACCCGAAAATAAAGCATGGGATAGGAGGACGAAGAGGCGGATGGGGTTGATTTTGGGAGCATGATCAACAAGTACGCGTCAATGTCGCACAAAAGAACCACCACATGAAGTAGGGTTCCACAACACCTATTATGGAATCGTAACAACATGTGATGATTCTTTTGGCGATATTCAGACGGCGACTTATTGTCATTGCTCCCCTCCCTGCCTCTAACAAAGACCCTGCATGGAGAGCAAAGGAGAAACAATACAACGAAGGATTTAGTTGTACCACTGCACCCGAAAATAAAGCATGGGATAGGAGGACGAAGAGGCGGATGGGGTTGATTTTCGGAGTTTCATATTGAGAAGATGGAAGAAAGGGTTCTTTTCAGGGATTGAGAGGAGGAGGAACGAACAACAGCAGGAGATGAGTGCCACTCGGGTTTCGGAGCACGGTCTCTCCTTCACTCATTAACGAATTTAAAGATTGACTCGTAATTACTTTTACTTTCCCTCCCTTCACATTTACTGAAAATTACACTCCCTACCACTGCCTCGGCCTTGGTAACGCCAGCATTGGTTATGGGCAAAAGCGACTTTCCGAATTCGGCAATATCTGATTGGGTGACACGCACGCGACAAGGATCGAAGGTATTTCACCATCGGATTAAGGGAAAAGTTTAGGAATTGACGGTGGGAAATGGGGATGTGCTTTTATAAATAGTCTGAATTTGTAGATTAACCAACTTTTTCGTTTACCAACATTACTCTATTGATCTGGTTTATGTTATTCTAGCTTGAATCATAACCCTAAACCCTAAACCCTAAACCCTAAACCAAACCCTAATACACGAACCAATCAATACCATATACTCTACAACAATAACAACACCTTATAGGCTTATACCGTAACCAATCAATAACATATATACTTTAAACCATCAACACCTTGCTCCTCCCTTATACCATAACCTTCAAGACCTTATACTGTATACCAACAACACCTTCTTCTATCTCCATCCCAAGGACTGCTTTACCGTGCCGCACCGGCCGGTAGAACCGGGAAAACCGGAAACCGGGCAAGTCCCGATACGGTAGCTGATATTCCGAGAAATAAGAGTGTCGGCCGGTATTTTCCATTGAACCGACCTTTCGCGAAATACCGGCCGGTTTTGATTCAGCCGGCGGTTCTTCAATTCCTTCTCCCCTGTTGTTCGTCATTCGTCTTTTCCGACCGTTGACCGTCAGCCGATTCTTCTTGAAGCCTCGCTGGTCGCTCCCATAGACAGGCCTATGGAGAAATCACAGAGGAGAGGAGGTGAGAAGATGAAGAAGATCTCGACGCCATAATCTCCGTCACAAACGACGATGATCTCGTGCACACGATGGTCGAGGAAGACCGCCTCTGCCGCGGTGGCGCTACCAGCAAGTCGGCCAGTGGTTCAAGGACGCTTTGAATTTCGTCCCCGTTGGCGGCTGTGTTGCCATCTCAAATCAAATGCAATCCCTTCTCCGCCTCCTGCCATTATTCCCTTCCATCTCCGCCAAAATCATATCGTTGAGCGACGCCATAAATTGAAATTGGAACCGTGAGGACGGAGGAGGTGAGCAGGGATGCTGGATTCTCAGCTTAATTAATGAAGAGAGGGTGATTTTTGTTGAGTTGGGCAAATCCACCATTGAAGAAAGCTCTGGAATAGTTGGTGGGGAAGGAATACGAAGTGCAAAGGAGAGTGAAACATAAAGGAAAAGTGAAGAAGGGAAAGTAAAAAAAAAAAAAAAAAACTCGATTGGAATAGAATGGAAGGTAGACAGCTGTCACAGACTAGAGAAGAAAGAAACGCATAAGTAATGGTGATTTTTTTTGGGTAAATACAATTTAATATCCAAACCTTTCATTTTAAACAATATAATAACCAAACCTTTTCAAAAACAATCAAATATCCAAATAGTGTAAACTTACGTTCGTTTGACCGTTAGTTTACACTTCAAAAAAGCTTTGTTTAGGTGAAATTGTCACAATACAACTTTGTTTTTTGTTTTAGCATTGCAGATGACTGAATATTTAGATATTCTATACCATCATGGTGGAGTCATGGACTTCTCGGGTTTGGAACTACGATATGTTGGGTGTTTTTCGGAGAAGATATCGATGGATATTGATGAAGTGTCGTACTTCAAACTTTTTTGAAGTGTCAACTAATGGTCAAACAGACAGAAAGTTGACGATTTGGATATTAGATTGTTTTCGAAAAGGTTTGGCTATTATATTGGTTAAAATAAAATGTTTGGATATTAAATTGTATTTACCCTTTTTTTTTTTGTCAAAGATGGGTAAGGAATTGAGGATTTAGAAAATAGTAAAATACCAAAATAGTATTTCCTTAAATTATATTTATATAATAATAATTAAGAATAATAAAATATTGACGTTTTGTTCACGCTCTCAAATTTGAATTCTTAATAGATTGGCGCTCTGACGCTCTCCCTCTTGCTCCCGCTCCCGCTCTCGCTTCACGCTCTGGTTACCTAAGTTGGGAGGCGGTATAATCCGGTTTTATTCCGGTATTTTCCCGGTATGGTACCCTAATTTTGCCGGTACGGTTTTTTAACAAAAAAATAATTTTTTTTATTTCAAAAACGGTATTTACCGGTAGGAAACGGTTGAACCATGGTTGTACCACGATTTACCATGCCAAATACGATTCCGGTTTGATGTCCGGTACGGTTTCGTAATCCATGCTCCATCCCCAACTTTCAATGTATAATAAGTGTTTCCTTTGAAATATAAAATGGAACCCACCTTGGCAATTGCTAGCATAATTTAGGGATGTAGATGAATAGAAATTGATAAGTGATGAATTGCTAAAATTGATGATGTGGCGGTAGGGACCTCGTTTAGAAATTTTTGTTCAATTTTAGGGATGAAGATGATCAATACACTAACCCAATACCATATACTCTAAACCATCAACACCTTATACAATATCGTATTTTAGGGATGGAGATGATCAATACACTAACCCAATACCATGTACTCTAAACCATCAACACCTTATACAATATCGTATACCTATACGCTTATAAATTAAAATTATAACTTGCTTTTCAAAACATAAATTAAAAATTGATACTCACTAAGTATCGAACCACAAACCTCTACTTTATTGACTAAGCAAATAACGGACAATTAACCAATTAAGCTACATCACATTGATGACCATTTTGCATAATTTCGCTTTCTTATTAAGTGAAGGGTTAAAATGAACGATAAATATATCACAGGGGATTGTTTCAACTTCGGCGGGGACTGAGAGAGTGGAAAAGGGGTAATTATTCTACCAAAAAAGAAAAGAAAATGGGGAATTAATGAAGAGTTAAATTGGACGGATTGTCTTTACCACGCCACTACAAAATCATTCGGAGCAAAAACACGCAGGTTCAAATCAAACAATAAATGATCAGCATTTATAAGCAGATATAAAGAATTATGTCTAAGTACTGATAAATGTGTCACGCTACAATAATTATGTCTACGTTTTTTTAGTAATAAGGCATGATCAGCATTTATAAGCAGATATAAAGAAAATATAAAATCGAGAAAAAATAAGACAACACCTACCCTCACCCTTTAACCAATCGATACCATATGCTCTAAACCATCAACACCTTATAACCTACCCATATACCATATACTCTATACCATCAACAACCTAATACCCTAAGCAGTCAGTAACCATTTCCTTTAACATCAACACCTTATACAAAAATCGTATACCTATACGCTGATAAAATTTTACATTTTGAAAATACTTGCCCAACTAAAGTACATAGGTACTTCAAAAGTGAAATTCTAACTTTCGTTTCAAAACATAAATTAAAAAAATATCCTCACTCAGTATCTAACCACAAGCCTCTAATTAGTCTACAAGAGGTTTGTTATGTACGAGTGCATTGCATAAAGAGGGGAAATCGGTGAGAGAGTGGAATGGGATCTCAATTAATGAAGAGTTAAATTGGGCGGATTGTAGTTTACCTCGTACCGCTAAATGTGTAAAGAGACACGCTAGCATTTACCAAATCCCAAAAAAGATGGAACACAGAATTATGTTTAAATTGCGTGAACTCAATGAATGATCAGGATTTTAGAAGCAGAAGCAGATGAAAATAAGTAAAACAAAGAATCGCCACTGAGATAGAGAATTATCAAAGGCCCAACCTAATGACAATCCGGAACTCAGTATCTATTATCAACAAACTAGGTGTCATGGGTCCATGTACAAGCCCATGTCTGAATGTTATTTAAAAGCCTGCAAAAATCAATGATCAGACCCAGTCCAACTAGAATTAGTCCTAAACGCACCGTTAATACATAAACACAAATTAAGGAGACCTCTCCATCTGATTCGAATCAAATTAGGTCTTCTTCGTCTCCTTCCTCAATCCTCTGGGCGAGACGAACACTGCATATCAGGAAACCTTAATTTCACCGAGTGATAGAAGTTTCGAGAAAATGACAATAACGCTAAGACAAGATGACAAAGCACTAGCGACATGAACCCTAGGGTTAGCAAACCTCTTTCAAGGGTTCTTTTGAAAACGAAAAGTTTGATGAACACAATAATAGACATGGTCGCCGTAATCGTGTTAGAAAGAGATAGGCGAGTAAATTCCGCACGGAAATAAAATGGCGATGAACAAAACGTCGATTTGTGGATAAAAGGATTTGGGGTTCAAAATGATGATTATGTGAGGATTTCATATTGGATGGGGATCTTCTCTTCGAATGTGGATACATAGATTTGGCGTATGAAACATGATGATGTTGGGGATTTGAGATTGGATAGGGAGCTAAATCGAATGTGGATCAAATAATAAAAGGATTTGGGTTTCGAAACGATGATTTTGTTGGAGATTTCAGATTTGATAGGCAGCTTATGATCGAACTTCGAACTTAGAGGGGACCCTCCAAGGCGAATGAGGGATCGTAGAAGGGAGACTGGAAATTGGTTAGGGCGGCGGGTCGTATCCATAGGGTTTAACCTCTTAATCGATATCATTAAACCGGGTACAGTTAGGTTGAAGTCCAATTAATAAAGCATAAACGCTTCGTGATGCTTTTGGTAATTTTCCTTGCCCCCGGTTACCCGTACCCCGGATTTTGCCCTGGGCACCGTAGAACTGCCCATATATACATACATATATATATATATGTATATGTATATATATGGGGAGTTCTACGGTACCCAGGGTGAAATCCGGGGTACCACATACCTTGAGTAATAAAACGCTATCCAGAACTTGAATTGACTGATCTTTCGGACACGATACTATACTCTAACCCTTAAAGATCAAAATCTAGGTCTTAATTCTGTAAATCTTATACCCCAAGATCAATTTGATTAGAAACAATAATCGACGGTTATGATTCGTCCTAATATAGGCAAAAAAATCAATGCACCGTCTTAGGGTTTATAGTTGATGATTTAGATAATTAGGATATATGGTTCACTCATTATGGGTTAGGGTATAGTATCATGCCCAAAAATCCTGCTAATTCGAGATCTAGATAGCATTTTCGTACTCAAGGTATGCGGTACCCCGGATTTCACCTGGGGTACTGTAGAGGGCTATATATATATATATATATATATATATGGTGACGTCTTTGGTGCACTCACTTTTTTGGGTGCATTCAGTGCACTCGTCTCATAACCGTCATTTTAAACATGCGAATCATGTAAAACTAATGTCAATCATCACTTATGATGTGATGAACAATAAAGCACATGAATTCGCACAAAAACCATTCAAGATTTACTTTAATTTGAAGGTTAGGGTTTACAATTTGGTAGTTTAGAGATTTAGGGTTAGGGTTAGGGCTACAATTTGGGATTTAGGAGTATAATTCAAAATTGGAGGTCTAGGGCTTAGGGTAATGCATTAATTAGTTGGGGTCCTATGTTATATCATCATATTACACCAATTATACGGAATGCGTTAGGGTGGTAACTGAAATTCTAATAACCACCATGGCTACATCCGTATCCACCATTTTTTTTTCTTTTTTTTTTTAATCTACCGGTTAAGATTGTTCCAAGGTAATTTCGGAAACAAAAAAAGAGACCACACCAGATTATTATATATATTCTACCCAAACCCTACTTCTATCCTCCCTCCAATCAAACCCGCCGCAGCCGCAAGCTTCCATCGAGGTCAGGAAGAAGGATGATTATGTATAGCTCCGTTGATCGACTTCGTGCAGCCGTCGCCGCCTACTCCGTGCAGCCGCCGCCGCTGCCAACTTCGTGCATCCGACGACGATGCCTCTGTGCAGCCCACAATGATGACTCCGTGCAGTCGACGACGACCCCGTGCAGCCGACAGCGCCGTTGTCTTTCTCTCCGGGTCGACGACTGTTTGTTTCTCGGATGGTGAATCGGCGAGGGGTTCGATGGCTCTGTATCATTTCCCGCGACGGCGACTGTTTGTTTCTCTGTATGGTGAAGACGGCGCACCCGCAAGGTTGATTTCACCTCCTCCGGATTCTGAGTCGGCTATTGGCGAGATTTGATGCATTGGTAGTGATATATTGTTTTGGTAGTTATCTTCTCACATGTATAGCTTGGCGTGGAATGGTAGTGTTCATTGGTATGTTTGCAATGGTAGTGTTCCAGTTTTATGCAATGGTAGTGTTCATTGGACTTTTTGTGTGTTCATTGGTATGTTTGCAATGACTGAAATGCATACCAAACTAATCAGACACAACAATACGTTGCACAATAAGGCAAAATCAATACCATTTCAATAACGATAATTACAATACCAATACCAATCCAATTCATACCACCAGAATCAATCCAATATTAAATTTGTACCAATACAATCTGTACAGATTTAAGACAACTACCAATGCAGATCTACCAATGCAGCCATACAAAGTGATTAACACTACCAATCCAAACCTCACAAACGCTTACGATGGTTTAATTGCTCTAATAATTACTTTTCATAATTATCAATTACTTTTCATAATTATCTCTCCCTTATTATCACGTAATTAATATGATAATTATGATTATAATAAAATTAAAATATCATTTCTATCCTTAGTAACCACGGTGATTACTAATACCAAGTAATCACATACCCCCCAATTATACCAATTAAAATTCAAAGTTCGACACCTTAAGACTAATTTTAGAATTGGGTACATTGAACGCACTCATTTTTGTAAGTGTACCATATATATTTCCGAGTCATACTTTTAATTTTGGTTTAAATCATGCATCATAAAAAAAAAGTCTTATTATAATAGAAATATTAAGTCGTTTTAATAACGGGGGGAGGGGGGATATTACGTCGTTTCGTTTTCCTATGCGGAAGCGGGAAAATCTCCCTTGTGCTAGGCTTCTAGAAAGTACTAATCCTTTTCCGTTCTGCACTCTTGCAGCCTTCCCGTTTCCTTTCCCGATGCGGCCAATGAAAAAAACCCTGCCTCTTCAATTCTTTTCTAATATAAAAAGCCCACGCCCTGCCAAAGCCGATTCACAAACCCCAATCGACTCTGCAAATCTCTCGCGGCAAAGAAATACACACACCGAAGAGAGAAATCAATCAACGGAGAGAATCATCAATCGCCACAATGTCGACGGAGGCGGCCGCCGCGGCGGAGAAGAAGGTCATCACCCTGAAGAGCAGCGACGGCGAGTCGTTCGAAGTGGAGGAGGCGGTGGCGATGATGTCCCAGACGATCAAGCACATGATCGAGGACGACTGCGCCGACAACGCCATCCCTCTCCCCAACGTCACCGGCGGGATCCTGGCCAAGGTGATCGAGTACTGCAAGAAGCACCACGACGCTCCCAAACCCGACGGATACGGCGCCTCGGCGGCGGCGGGCGACGGGCTGAAGAGCTGGGACGAGGATTTCGTGAAGGTCGATCAGAACACCCTGTTCGACCTAATTCTGGCTGCTAACTACCTGAATATTAAGGAGCTGCTGGATCTGACCTGCCAGACTGTGGCGAACATGATGAAAGGGAAGACGCCGGAGGAGATCAGGGCGATTTTCAACATCAAGAATGACTATACGCCGGAGGAGGAAGAGGAGGTGCGCAGGGAGAACCAGTGGGCGTTTGAGTGAAAGCTTCCTATTTTGTGGTAGTGGTGATAGTATAATAGCAGTATTATTAGTATGTTTTTGGTTTGGAGAATTCTAGGTTAACTTTTGAGGTTTGTGTGTTGAATTAGAATTTTGATTTGGTGAATGGTTTTTGTGCAATGATTAGTAATATGTGGTATGGCAATTTGTTCAATGTTTTGGTGTGGATGATAATATTCGAGTATGTAGGACTTTAAACCAACGCGATCAGCCGATTTCTTTCGACGCTGTGGTGAACTCATGTTTCGGATTAGCATTAATATGACTGTGGCCTACACTTGGGTGTGTTGTCAAAATTCAGAATCGCGCTTTAAAAACTAACTTTTTCACGCTTAAACGCTTTTGACTGCATTGGTCGCGATATCTTTTGGCATAGTTTTGATCGAAATGAACTGCCCATTAACCTCTGAAATTGGGTGAATCCATCCACCAAGCAGGAAAGAAAAACAACAGAATGTGCAGTGGGTTGTGTTAACGATAAAAAGACATTCAACCTTTAGTAACTCAATTGAGGGAAAAAAACCTAACCCAGATCGCAAGTCCAATTGATCTCCCATACCCTTTATTTGTTTAAGCAAATCTCCTGCAATTGGCATTCAAGATCATGCAGAGAGCTTAGCCTTCAACTCAGCAGCAACAGCGTCGATGAACTCTTCCGTGTTAAGATAGGTGTCCCTGCTCAACCTATATACAATCCAACCACAAGGATCAAAGTGTTATTTTTACCGAAGCAAGCATCGAGCCTGGAAGGTGAGAACAAAGTCAAACTGCTGCTGGTTTTGGTACTCACTTGGATCCATGAATAATCAGCGCGAGATCTTTGGTCATCTTGCCCGACTCTACTGCGCCGATGCATGCTGCCTCCAGCTTCTGGGTGAAATCCAGGAGTTGAGCATTGTCGTCCAACTTTGCCCTGCCAAAGCCACAAACGTTTGATTATGTCAGTTAGATCTTTTTAACTGAGAGCTACTTAACTTCTTCCAGCAGCAAATTCCTTGTGATTGATATTGATGAAGTCGGAACATAATGAAATCCAACAGGGTGGGTGGTATCAAACCTGTGTGCAAGTCCTCTTGTCCAAGCAAAGATGGACGCAATGCTGTTTGTGCTGGTTTCACCACCTTTCTGGTGAACCCTGTAATGGCGAGTGACTGTACCATGTGCTGCCTCTGCCTCTATAGTCTTCCCATCTGGGCACACCTGAAAACAATAGTAATGAATCCCGTTAATGGATAAGAGGGGTGTGGCGGGGAAAACAGAACCGTAAACACAACAAAGGTTTAAGAAACTGAACAGGACTGTCTTGTTTAAGATGATCAAGAATGTCAACATACCAGCACCGAAGTCATCAATCCAAGAGATCCAAAACCTGCAGAACCAACCGAAAAGTTTATATAAGATTCTCCTAATTAATGGAGCACAAGCAAAACCAAGCAATCAGCACAAAGATTCAACAAGAGAATCCAAACTCCTTAGCTTGACTGAAGCTTAATCATTTCTTAAGTTGGTCAAATAGAGACATCAGATAGGTAGGTTTTACATGCCTTGGGCTAACATATCGCTCTGCACATCTCCATCATAATTCTTGCAAGCCCATACATAGCCCCCTTCACTCTTAAGGGCATAGGCTACCATATCATCAATGAGCCGATGTTCATACCTACAAGTCCAAGCATTTCAAGTAGATTTAAGTATCAAGCGAACGAAGATAGATTATACTCGGAACCAAAAGTTTTATAAGTCGCACTACTCACCATATACCCGCAGCCTCGTACTTGGTCTTCCAGCTGGCTTCATATACTTCTTGGAATATGTCCTTGAATCTTCATTGAAAAAAACAAAAATGAGTTCAAGTAATAACCTGAAGAAATGAAGGGTAAACCGTACAATGACCAATACACTCTCCAGATGATAAGAAGTGATTGAAGGAACATACCTTCCATCATACTTCTTGAGAATTGTATTTTTTGTGCTAAGATAAAGCGGCCACTTCTTCTCATAAGCAGTGGTCATAGAAGCCTCAGCAAATGCACGGATTGACTGCATTCCATGGTATGTTAAGAGTACAGCATTTCACCTTAGTAAAAATAAACTTAAGGAACTCAAAAGACACATGTACCTCATCAGTGTTGTACATGGACAAAGCTACCCCACCAGCACCTGTGAAATTGTAGACTTCTATATCTTGATTCTCACCTTCGCCTTCTGGAACTGGAGCATTTTGGACAAGTTACTTAAGTATTCATGGATAAAGGAAAAACAGAAAGCAATGATCTCAACATAATGCAAAGGGTTATTCTGTAAAAAAAAGTTGCAAAGCTGCTCATAAATGAGTTAATACACCTCTTTAAGCTCCTACATTCTTGTTGAAGAAGAACCGGAAGTAAGCTATGCGGAAAAGAATGAATTAATTCAACACAATAGTATGAAACGGCAAGGACAAGAATATACCAAACACCAATTTGAGTTTGCCAGGCCCCTTAATAACAGAATCTGTTGCTCTGTATTGATCACCAAAAGCATGCCTACCAATGCAGATAGGCTTAGTCCAACCTTTCGCATGTCAGCAGCAGAAACAGGTTAGTCAAACTCCACAGGATTGGCACAAAAATGATAAATATCTAGAGAGAATAAAAGGAAGTACCTGGAATTAGCCGAGGGACGTTTTTACATATAATTGGTTCTCTGAATACAGTACCTAAAACCAAACGCATATACCACATATTAGAGGAGCTCAACAGAACAGGTATAACTGTAAACATTTTAAGTATTTAACCAATAGGATCTAGTTAATTTGTTTGGTAAAATATTTTTAGCTAATTTAGCTTAAGTGGTTCTGTCTGGCCTATAGACAATGTTACCCATAAAAATTGCATTATAATGGGTAGCTAATTAACTGAACTAATTTAGATTTGGACACGGTAATTAGTGTTTGGTGTAAATTTGCTTGGTTTGTTTAATTATTATGTTTAATTGTTTATTAATTCCAATGCTTAATTGGTTCAATCACAACCAAACTAACTGTTGGAACAACCCTACGTCCCGACCACATTCTAAAATATGAAAGTCACTGACTACACGAATGCAAGTATCAGAGAAAGTAGGAGAACAGGTACCATTCAAAATGTTCCTGATTGTCCCATTTGGGCTCCTCCACATGCTTTTCAAACTGTATTCCTTGACTCGATCTTCGTCTGCCAATCATAAGTCAAGTTATAATCCTTCTCCAATTAAAGAATCCACAAGTGCAGTAGGAGTGAACAGATGTTTATGACGAGCAGATCATTCTTTCCAGCCATATGGAAGCATACCAGGTGTAATAGTTGCACACTTGATTGCAACATTATACCTAATAAAGGGGAGAGAAGAATTCAGCCAACACAAACTTAATAAGAGAAACACAAAAAGTCATAAGTAGGGATGGCAAAAATATCCGTAACCGTGGATATCTACCCGAATCCGACCTAATAGGGTAGGGTAAAATCCGAACCCGAAGAACTTTTAGTGGGTACGGGTAAAACCCGAACCCGAATATTGCGGGTAATGGGTGGGCATGATTTTCTTATTATCCAACCCGAACCCGCCCGATTATACATATGCATATATATTTTGTCTACAAATAATTATTATTTTTCTTTAACATATTTTATATTTAGCATACAAATATAATATTTTCATGAAATTTTATTGTTTTAATTAATTTTCTTCATTCTAGTGATTTATCATCGTATGTTTCCTTTGTGCATTGTGAATATATGTGTGAATGTTAACATATTAGTTGGAGTTATAAAGAGAAATTACTATCCATGGATAACCGTGGATATCCGAAACCCGAACGGGTATGGGCATGGTTTGAATTTTCTACCCGTTTCTTATGTGGGTATGGGTATGGGTAAAACCCGAACTACTTTGGGTAGGGTAACGGATATGCACTATCCGCCCCCGACCCATTGCCATCCCTTTATAAGTCCAATAACAGGAAGATGACCAATGTGATATTATCCAATCCACAACACAAAGACAAGCAGCAAGGCTGGAAGGTAGCCCATAGAAAGCTCTTGTACCACTGCATATAAGTACCTTCATTCATTTTAATGCTTAGTTTTGACATTGTTAGTATCAGGGTACCAATAGACATTAGAAACCTTATCCATGATCAACCTAGCCCACTTGCACAAGAATGGTAGTAATACATCCAGACTAAACAGAGGATATAAAATGCACATAAGAAGAACTAGTGGTTTAATTTGGAATTTTTTATTCAAACTGCAAACAAAGGAAAGGAATGAAAAATAGACAGAATATTTAAGCAAGACTAATAAAGATCTTGATCTCTGATACAAATTTTCATATAAGAGATACTTCATAAAAACTATGCAGGAAAACTTACTTGAGAGTAGCCTCGGCACTCTCGACTGTAACCTTATCATCAGTTGCATCACGATGTGGAAGGCCAAGGTCAAAGTACTTAATGTCCAATTCCACAAAGGGAAGAATAAGCTGGACAAGGAATCAAAACCAAGAGTTCAAAGGTAGCAAAACATAATGCATTGTGTTGAGAATGATAAGGAATTTCTTCCTGAATGACCAGAACAAATGTTCTTAAGTACCTTATCCTTAATTGACTTCCAGATAATTCGAGTCATTTCATCTCCTGTTAAAGAAAAAAAAAAAACATGCAAGTGAATCACTCATTCATTACACATCAATTGGAGCGACCAAATTGCAACCAACATGTAACATTTCAGTGCATAGAATCAATTTGGCAAAATGCAAAACCATGAAAATTTATTTTATAATGATGAAAACGTGACCAACAAATAACAAGAACCAGTAGCCAGGTCCCAATAAAGCAGCATCAGGACCCACTAGCAGGTACCAGAAACAAAACTGAGAAATCAAAGAAGAAAGAGAAAAAGTCAAACCATGAAAAAATGTTGGAAGAACATTTTCTTCTACATGATTAGGATAACATTAAGATCAACAAAACCATGAAAAATTCGCTTCTACAGAGTACAGACTACCAAGTGTTTACACAAAAATCGACATATGCCATGAAAATCTTTGTATGCGAAAAACCCAAATCGGAGGCATGTGTACTATGAGAATATACAGAAGCTTCACCTCATTCCACTGAATCTCAAGAATTTTACTATAACCCCACCAAGAATTTTATATCTGGAGCATAGTAGTCACAGTCACTGAACAGAAAAGGAAATGAAGATTTGACGCAACCCTCACAAAGATCTGTCAACTGGATCAGTGACCCCATTTGAATACGATATCAAACAGAAATCAAGGACCAATTACACTGCGTACCGAATGCAGACTTTCATCACATGGAATGTCCTTCACATATGTCCACCACATAACGAATAAAAGAAATTCCCATTACTAGATAGCGCATCTAGGATAAGAATCCCCTTGGTTAATGCCTTAGTCATTCCCGTTTCTCAGTATGACAGTACTGACAATAAAACACCGAGTCTCGTTCTCAATCTCTCAGGACCCGGTTCGCACATCACAAATTAGGAAAAAACATTTCAGCTGATCAAACTCACGAACACAATTCAACACAAACAAATAGATCAAAGAAAATGAAACAAACAGAGGAAACGATCGCATGACGATCAAACAGGATGAGAAGAAGATCTCACCGTCTATCTCGACGATGGGGTTTGTGACCTTGATCTTCTCGAAAGCCATGGCTGGTTCCAGTAGGAGGAGGAGCTATGGATTTAGGACTAAGATCCGGGAATCGTTGGTTTAGGGATTGTTGTTCGTCTCCCGGTAGTGGAAGATGGAAGGTGGCAACCGAGAACCCGCCCACTGAAAACAGCAGTAGCGGTAAGCGAGAACTGTTGAGAAATGTGGAATCCCGAAATCGGATCTGTTTAGGGGTTTGAGACCCTATTTAACGAGAATTGTGACTAGCAATGCTTGGATTTAAATTGTTCGGATTATTAAATTGATGTTATTTGGATTTGAGGTTGAAAATTGATACTCTTATGGAAAATTTAGCGATAGAGTATTTGTCAATCGAAATGAAATTGTGGTTTAATCGTAGTTAAATCGTTTCATACCATTAAATATTGCTATCAATTTTGATGTCGAAACAAAAACTTAAGTAATGGTTAGTCAAATTTTTTATAACCTAGGAAGTAGGAACACACATACCGCTTGAGAGATGGCAAAACGAGATCAGACCTAAGGGTTCACCTACTTGAGCCCTCTACTAATATAACCTTTTGATACCTCCTGGAACACCAAAACTGCCCTCGAGATGGATCGAACAGTCGAACGCAAGACCTCACACTTCCCGGTCGAGGGTCTCTTGGTGAGGGTTTTACTGTAGTTTTAGATACTCTTATCTAGCTGGAACTGTATCACATTAACAACAACAACAAAAACATAACACCTTTCCCCAAAAGTTTGACCTTGCAGTTAAAAGGTAAACTTCCTTCCATCTCAGTTCTTCAAAGATGGGCATCTGTATCTTAGATAAGAAGTCATAACTTAGATTGAACATGAGCTTCAAACACTTCCCAGAAGGCTTTACAAACAAAAGAGACTGATAAAAGAAGGGATTACTACACAATCTCCTCCCTAAACCCCAAAAATGGCTGCCCTGCCCAGCCCCCGACCAACTTCTGTGCAACTAAGCTTTAAGATACTGCTACCATTTCTACAAAATGAAAGAATCAGAGGTGATGATTTGATAGGTACATCATCACATGACGATATTTACTCTCTGATTCTCCAGCTTCATGTCATCCAATAAGGTCAGCTCTGCCATAAGCCGATCGTATTCAGCATTTTCTTCTTCCAGTTCCCTAGTAAGCTTTATCACCTGCATCACCAAAAGTCTTATCTGTTTATCATTTAATACGAGAGTCTCTGGACATTACAAATTCATGAAAGATAAAAACCGATCCTGTACCAATCTATACTACAGAAGAAACTGCTGATATTGCTTTTGTATCAACTACCTGTAGATTGAGCTCTTCCTTCCGCATCTCGTATTCAAATAAGCTGGAAAAAGGATAACGAAACACACACAAAAGTTGAGTACAATGAAGTATTAAGAAAAACTCGTGGCTTCCTTGGTCTTTCAAAGTGCAATCATAAATATCAAGAAGTGGATCTATACTCAAATAAAGTGTGGATATGGGTGACAAACGGAATCTAAACCATGTCAAACAAACCGGTAAGCTAGTAGCATTGCAATGTAGTGACCAGTGAGTGATGCTTACTCTGCTCTGAGTTTTTGGTTGTCTTGCATCAAAACTGCAACCGCATTTTGCTGCTGCTGCTGCTCCAGGAAATCACCGTAAATGAGAAAATAGGGGGAAATTAACACTTGCTTTCAATTCAGAATAAAACATGAGGTTTTAAGGGCAGAATAGTATAATCAATTCATGCACTCGACAACTCATTCATATTAAACAAATACCATGCGGAAAGGTACACAAACACTCAAGGGAGACTAAAGAAAGCTCCAGAGATTTCAAAATTGCAAGGAAGCATGAAAAAGCTATAACCATTTGGCATAATGTGTGTATCAATGGGGTGACACACTCACACCCCTCATAGGGTAACAGAAAACAAGTACAATATTGTATCAGTATGTAGATGCATTCTTACAGAGATATGTCTGCTAGAACTGGATGCTGAAGTAACTGCTACACCTTCCCCAAGTCTTGGCAGCTTTCTAACAGCGTCGGGTGTAACTGAATTGCTATGCTCCTTCCTTTTAACGCCTAACCCTGATAGAGAGACAACGTTGTATCGTATCATAAACCTTCTTAATTTCCTACCAAACCACAAAAGCTTATTATTCATGTTATTTACCAGGAGAAGCTGCCTGTTCGGTGCCAACAGTAGGGAAGGTTTGATTTGACATGGCAGGAGGATCAGATGGAGAGCTCACTGCTCTAACCTTCTTTGTTACATGGTATCCTATTAGCCCACAATGATAGTCCCTGCCAAACTACATCAACTAAGTGGATGCATAGTAAAAGAAACTACTACTCAAAGGATAAAATCCACATGTTTCTTGCAGAGAGAGAAATGTAGCAGTACGAAGAGATCCAACCACGCAGATCTTTCTAACATAAACTTGGAACATCATTGAGCACAACAAACAGCAAGGTAAAAAATTTCTTCCGTGCTGGGAAGAGTTCTTCATAAACCTACAGCAAAGAGTCAGATGCCACTAAAGTGCATATTCAAAATTATTATGGTAGCAACACACTTTTCATGCAAACCACTTGGAAGTTGAAACAAGTGGAGCATGTCTATCCTGCCTTCCAGTTCATCTTCTCATTAGTTCACAAAATACCTTCTGATGTTCACTTATGCAGTTTTTGGGCTCAATAGCATTCCAATTGTTAAAACTTCAGAATACCCCATTATTTACGCAGCCATGTAAATTTGCATCATATACTTCACATGGCTACTCTGTTCCAAAATTTAAATGAAATAGGTTGCAATATTAAATGAATGTTACCAGTATTCCCATGCCATCTCCTTCAATCGAACTTCAAGCTTTTGGAAAATGGAAGTTCTCTCGAAGTCCTGTTTACTATGAGTTGGTTGGATATAGTTTGCTTCTAGAATACCTACACAATCAATAAAAATGTCACTTTTGTTGTCTATCATTACTAGCGCCAATCAAATACACTGAGAAAGTCGGAAAGGAGATGCTCCGACAGACTCCTCACCTACGACTCCTCTGCTCCTAGTGCTAGTAAGATTCATAGCCTGCATAAAAGGCTACAAAAGGCATGTTTACACGTCAGAGACATGGTGACACAAAGGTAGCACTAAAAATACGCGTGTTAATCTCATATTCTAAACTTAAAGAATGTGTACCATGATGAAAAAATCAGACCCGGTTAAAAACATATATATCGTTATATTTTTCATGTGTGGACCTAGGAGAACACAACTGAGTGGCTTGCCTAGAGACAGTTCCCCTAAGGAAGTCAGAGTGATAGCTCTCTAACTACCATTTTATTCATGTCAAATGCAGAGATGCTAAAACAGTGGGCGTAGGGTTCCGAACACTCCTAACCAGTGCCAACAGAACACTGCACAGAAACTTCATCAACAAATGGGCTGGGAGTTGGATTTATTTAGATTTCTAGAGAGATGAGGTTAGAGAGGTTTTGTGAGGTTTTATAAGAAGTCGAGCAATAGATTACAATGAATGGATAAATTTACCTTTATTAGACGGTTCTTGTGATAAATATTGAAGCCATGGATATTGACATGTGGAGCATCTTTCACAAACCCAATTGTAGTTATCACGTTAACCTAGAAAGTGAATTAAGAGGAATACAAACTCCATCACTATATGGTAGCTATGCTTTGCAGTGTAGTGGGCAGCAAATAACAAATGAAACAAGGTGCAAATACAAGCCATGAAAAACAGACATATGCATCACAGCTTCATTTATTGTGATGCACATAGGCAAACCACCTTCTTCATCGTACTAGATAAAGGTATATGATTTAAACAAGTTCCAGTGTTCAACGATCAGAAATTTAGACTTCTGTCTAATGAATAGTTCCAAAATCAGTCCCTACTACAACTCTTCACCACACGAAAACATATCTAATAGGAAGCATAGTAAAATCACAATTTAAACAATGAAACAACCACAACAATCTGAACTAAAAGATTAGAAATAGCATGACAAAGTGCAACCCATCAGATATTTGTGGTATCACTTAGATTTTTAACTGCAAAGTAGAGGTTGTCTAAAATGGCCCCGAACAGGCATCTCCAATCTAGAGACACATGGGTGGGAATAATAAGAGCCAAGACTTGAGAAAATAAGCACGAATAGAAAAGATAGCATACCTCTCTTAACCCCCCAGCCTGAGGTTTATACAAGATATATTCTGGAAACTTGAGGTCATCAGCAAGATTATGGGGCATAACAACTTGGCCACGCAATTTAATACAGAAAGTTTCAGGAATTCGCAGGTACAATATGGACATATATGCCTACGAAGCAAATTAGATAGATTAAAAAACTCACATGGTAAATGCAAGGAGTGTGTTTCACAATTAACTTACACGTAGAGAGTAATGTAAGCGATTGGCAATGTGCTGTTCCTTTACTGTCCTCCAAGCAGGAAGCGATTCTACCTTTCTTGTATCTCCTTCAATACAAATGTCCTAAAATGTAACACCAAACAACAATTTAAGCCTGGAAGGTTCTCTTATAACCTCATAGTTATGGAAATTCTGGATTTACTGATCTCCCGCGGTCATTCAAGTGATGATAATATTAAAAGCGAACAGCTGCATGTCTGTTGCATTTACATAAGTTTTTATTGATTTTTTTTTTTCTGTATGTGGAAAATTTTCTATCAGATTAAGGTTTAAGGATGAAATAAATGCCTAGTACTGCAAGAGGTCAAGACATATTAAAGTTTGATGGAGAAGCAAGAATTAAGGAAAAGGGACTGACTTCATCATTCTCCTGTTGCCTTATGGATATAGGACAAGTACACAATAGGCCGCTATGTTCTAGGAAAACTCAAGAATAACAAGAAACAGGAGAAAATGTTCAAGACTATAATCGAATTACAAGCCATGCATACTTTCTAAATAAGCTCCATAAATGCATTGTATTGTTTCGTTCAGGACCTTTTCAAATATGCTTAAGAAATACTTGCAGTGACTTCCCATTTATGACACATCCTTTCTTCGACCATTCACTTTGTGATCACTTTGACTAGTTATTAATAGTTGTCTGAAGTTCCCAAAAAGCTTGAACTGCCATTTCATTAAAATGAAAAAGTGAATGATGCTAACACAAAAACCACTTCTAGCAATATCAGTTTTGTACACAGCCTAAGAAGCTTCAATTCATTGGGAGAAAGCAACAAAGGCAAACCTGAGGATCTTTATTAAAGTCTAACTCCAAGTTGCCATCATCATTGTACCACAGGTTATAGATCACAACTTTTGTCCCATGTAATCCAACATCATCAAACTGCAACGAATAATGTTTGGTTACTAAATTTAGAGTGTGAGAATGAAAGTGGCTGATCACTCGATGATTGTAAAAGAAGAGCTATAGCGTAGGCATTCACAAAATTTGAGAAGAGAGGTTTCGAAGGCTGCACTCTGTTCAAATTTTCAAATTCCCTCACTAGAGACCAAACTTCATGCCTTCCATCAGATAATAGATTTATATAGTTCCCCTACTGGGCACCCAAACGAGGTGTGAGATGATATAGATATTGAACTGCCAACAAAATCTCCAATGTAATTTAGTAGTAAGTTCTTAAAAATGAGATTCACCTGCTTCAACAGCTCTGTTTCGCTTGAATATGGAGACCATTGCAAAAGTAATGAAAGATTAGCCTGGAAAGACTCATTGGTATGCCGCCTAGAAATTCCGAACTTCCCAATATCTGTATTGAACTCATAATCCACCTGCATAACAAGAGATACAAAGTAAAATTTTCAGAGAAAAGATTGCTCGCTGGTCAAATTTCTAAGTGGAACCTGAAGGGTGGCGTGCCCCATCTAGCAGAACAATATATGTCACCCACTCACATATTTAAGCACCATAAACACCTTATCCACATGATACAGTTCCTAACATAAAGTAGGAAGAAGCAAGTAGACTAACGTATCTCAAGTATGATGCTGGCACTCACCATTGGAACTATTATTCGGTCATGACCCATCCGCATCAAAAATGAATATGAGAGGAGACCAATACTTTGAGTCGCAGACCTGTATAGAACGCATGGAATAAAAAGATTAGATGGGTCTAACGATGAATACCAGACAACACAATTTTTTTTGGCACACAACTACAGTCTATTACAACATAATAAAGCACAATTATGGGGCCACCCGTACTTGCTTTGTACATTATTTGACCAAAACAAATTGCCAAAAAGTGGCTAGTATCACTGTACAAAGAAGAATTGTAAGTGAAATTCAGAAGCTTATCATGAATCCATATCAGAGAACCCTTCAAGATAAACAACTTCCATATTGCATGCCAGCTACGGAAAACTTATCCATTTGATTTCATGGAATATACAATTCTAAAGGTGCTCCTCAAAGTGAAAGGATAAATACTAATATCTATCACCACCAGATCTTTTAGAGGTATCATTTAGTGGCCCTTTTGCCTCACTACAGCTAGAATGTTGACAACAGATTCTAATTGGAAAAAGGTACTCTACCAAACTAGATCCTAACTTGATTAGTTGATTACTCCTATGCATAACACAAGTTGTAATGTGCTTTCAATGATTTGGTCTAACCTTTCTTCCATATGGCGAGTAAAGACAATAACATCAGCTCCAAGCCTCATGCTGCTGGTTTTAAAGCCATTACCATCTGCAACACCGCATTCAACAGCAATAACTAAAAGATACAAAGGAAACTTTCCGAGATACATAGAATTGTCATTTAAAATGCATACATTGTCCAATAGCTTCTGAAGATTTTTTATCAGAGAACCCAAAACTGATGCATTGCCGGATTGCTTCAGGGTCCATTCCCCCACCATCATCTAGTTTCCAGGGATACCAAGTCATTGAAAAGAAGTAAGAAACGTTCATCATCCACAAAATATTTTCATTAAGAAAGACAGGAAAGAGCACATGAACATGAAGGAGTATGCGCCATTAAGAAAGACAAGGAGTACCTTGGATTAACAATGCTGAACTTCCATCTCTTGGATTTGAGATTTTGTCTACCATGACAAAAGTGGCCCCGTTTTGGATCTATCCAATAAAAGGAAAGATTAAAGCAGCTAGGAAGTCCACATTATTATTGAGCAGTTCTCGCCAAATACTCGGCTGCTCGAAACAGTTACTAGCCCTCTTCTACTATTAATAAATTCAATTCACAGTTATCCAAAAAATAAAGTTACTAGCAATTAGTGTACCCACAGGCCTACTGGCAGCAGCTCAGCCATCTAAAAGTATCAGCATAGCAAGGTTTAGGTAGTTCAACCATGAAGCATGTATAAGCCAAGGAGCTTTCCTATGAATTTCATTGAGAAGATGAAAAATGATCTAATATTTTAACCTTTCAACCTATTCCAAAACGCTATGCATCACAAGTTCAATTACTAAACCACATCCTTGAGACAATTGTGGTTTTTAAGTATAGACTATAGTTCACAATGTCTTTCGTAAAGTATAGCAAGACTGTAAAGAACCAGTTGCTCCCAATAACTCGACTTGATGAGAGAGGTTCAATCGTGGATCATATACCACAACACTAACACGCCCCCTCAAATGAAAGCCACTCACAAGGGCTTGAAATTTGCACAGGTCTGAAGACAAGAATACCATGTGCTTAACAAATGGGGGTCACCGGGAATCGAACACAAGACCTCTCGGTCACAGAAGGCTCTGATACCATGTAAAGAACCAGTTGCTCCCAATAACTCGAGTTGTTGGGAGAGGTTCAATCGTGGATCATATACCACAACACTAACAAAGACAATCTTATGAAAGCTAGTCAATCATCTTAATGCACGTGTTCAGTTTATGCTGAACTATAAATGACTTGTGACTAAAACAAGGTCACAACTAAAAAGGTCAAACATGTTTTTAACTAAGTAATTAGGGTGAAAATATTACCTCGTCAATGGCATTGTCAAGCAATTCCGCAATTGCTGAAAGTGGTCATATAGAGGAAAGTTAGATACAGACAAATTGGTAAACTAACACAAAAGCAACGAAAAGTGATTGAAAAACTGCTTCAACCATACATACCACCAAATGCCCACGTATGCGAAGTGGCGTTTGAATGAAGAAACATAGGGTGAACATGAAGGTAGGTTTTTCCACCTAGCATCCAACAGATTGAAAGAACGTCAGCTAGAAAGATTAGGGTGACAATGGAATGTAGCTGCTTAATGAATATATCACTCTGTAACTCAACATTAAAGGAAACCGCAAAAGGCAGCCTCCAGTTGCTAGGAAAAAGGCACAAATCAGAAATGCATCACTCATCAATGGTTTTACATAAGTGCAGGGAATAGCTTTCTGGCAGCAATTAAGGAGTAAAAACCTAGTGTTCAATGGCCTTGATCATGTAATATAAGTATTTTTGCAGCATACTCTGAAGATTGACTCTGGAGCCATGTGCATCACTATAGTTCCCAGCCTTCCAAAACTGCCGACAAATTGGTGCTGAAGGCAAGGCAGAGGTAGATGAAACTCGAGCATCATCCACTGCAGACTGTCCCTGCTCCAACAAAGTAGACCCAGTTTGGGCAGCATTTGAGGTATTTCGGCTTCTATTATCCTCAAACACGTCATTTCCTGCATATTGGCTCGTGTACTTCTCCTGTTGTACTTGTTCAACCATCCGGTTAATACTTCCCCGAGATCCAACCCTCAGACGATCTGGCTCCAAGTTAACAGCTATCATGCTCGCCATCCCTACTTAACAGCTTCACTGCACAAGTGCATAAATCAGAATTAATCTAGCTTCACATACAATACAATAACTAAATAAACCCAACACATTTCTAAAGGCAAGAACCAAAGATGGCAAAGGAAGGACTCAAAAGGCAAGCCAGCATGAAGAAATCAGAATCATTAGCATCTTTCTACACAGGTTGAACCGCACTGCGACACGCCCTTGCAACCTATGATCCTAACAATATCATCTATAGCAAAAGCCCCAAATTAGCAAGAACAAAAAACACCTGAAGCACTAAGAAGTGAAGGACCAGCAACAGGGGTATTAGATTCATGAGAACATACAAAATCTAACCCAACACAACCTCCCAGTCCGGAAGAACACCCACTGAAGCCCACCCACCTTCTCAAAATTGTCATCAACGCAGAAAAGATTGAACAACAAAGAAGCTACTAGTTATGACAGCATGCAGCTCCATCTCCGCCTTCCCACACCTTGGTGAAATTTTTTTCCAATAACACAGTCCAGTAGGGAAAAGGAGAATGAAGAGGAAGAAGAAAATTGAAATACAATCCAACCGAGCGAGCCAATGCTGCATGCGATGCTAACGATGACACCATTGACAGCCAATGAGACCGATCATCAGAAGATCAAAATTCAGGTAAAAGCAGACCCCAAGGGGTCGTCGGGTTCAGTCGTAACGAGCGGTAAGAGCTGATCAACTCTCTGAGTAGGTAAAGTTCGGGGCAGCAGCACCATTTGAACGGAAACAAATAACGGAGAAGCACTGACCTGTCTGAAGCAGGCGGCGAGCTGAATTTCGGTTTTCCAATTTCAGGTTTGAAGCTGATTCCCAACTCCAGGAAATGCACGAAAACTTGAAGGTGTGGCTGCAGATTGCTTCAGGGGAAAGAGACATCAGTGAACTCTCGAATGACGGCAAACGGAGGAGAATGGCCGGCCGCTGCCGCTGATTTCTAGTTTCTCTCGTCCCGTTCTTCGACGTTGGTATCACGCAGAACAGCTACTTCACGAGCAAGGCATAGGCTACTAGGCTGGAGAGGAGAGAAAATGAAAAATGAGACAAAATCCTCTCACTGACAACCAATGGCAATTTGGTTACATCTTAAAAGAATTTAAGTAATTATTTCTTGTATTTATTATACTTTGGAAATTAAAAAACTCATATTCAATGCATTGTTTTTTTAGTTTAAATCATATAATAAATACATTTCTCTCTTTATCTCTCTTCCTACAATAAAGAGTTTAAATCCAACTAACATAGTTTCTACGGGAACCGTCAGACTCCCTCCGACAACTTGCAAAAATAGTCAATGCGTTCAAAAATGTACCACTCTCATCTGGTAACATTACCATTGCGTTAAAACATTTACAACTACATCTGGTAGTGTTATCAGTGCAGTGGTAAACGTTACCAGATGGAGCGGTAGTGCTACCACTCCATCGATAACGCTACCACTAGACGAAAAAACTATCACTCGAGATAAACAAAAAAAATCAGATTTGAAAATAAAAATATCACAATTCTAAAAAAGCAAAGGGGAGGGGAGAAAGAGTAGTGACGGAGGGACGCACACCAAGAGAGGCGACGACGACGTCAGTGGAGGAGGGCGACGGGAGAGAGGATGGCAACTGGCGGGATAGAGGCGATGACTGTGTCAATGGATGACGTCGACGACGCGAGATTGGAAAACAACAGGCGACCTCGTCGTGGTCGGGAGGAGATTCGGCGGGAAGGGAACACAATGATGAGGAGGAGATGAGGAGGGAGAAGGGAGGAATTAGCAGCGTGAGGACAACGGCGGAAGGGAGGGATGGAGGAAGGGAAGGCGGCTAGGGTTTTGTGTGGGAGGGAAGAGAGAGGAGAGTTGGGGGAGAGGACGTGAGGAGGGGGGTTGTTACTTGTGAGAAATGAATAAATAATAGGGAGAGATCACATGTGGCATTATTTTTGTTCCAAAATTACCCTTCATGCGATCTTGTCTATCAATTTAAAAAAGGGAGGAAAGTTAATGGATATTATGGCTAGAAGGTAGGTTGTGAAAATGACAACCCCTTAGAGGTTGTGATGGAATATCATTGGCTAGTGATTCGGGTCCAATTGTACATATTTTTTCCCTCATATATTGATCGTTTGCCTTTGCATTTCATCGTAGCTCGACATATTTCACGCTAGGTTGTGCTTGTTTTGATACATTTCGGGTCCTAGCATGCGTGGAAGGGTCGAGGATTAATTTTGGGACAATTGGAGGTCGAAAAGCGCAAAAAGACAGAAGAAAAGTCCAAAGTCACTGTTTGGACGCAATTGTCACGATCGCTAGACCGTGACAATTGCCCCGTAACAGTGAAGCGCGGGCATCCAAGAATCAATTGCATTTTACGGTCTGTCATTGGAGTTCATGGCCTCTAAGACCTTGAACTGGATCCGCAAACCGTGAACAACGAGGTGTCTAGGGCAAATTCTGATGTTACTAGCGCCGACTAAGTTCACGGTCACCAAGACCGTGAACTTTGAGCACAAACCGTGAATCTAGGAGAGTGAAGCGGTGCGTTTTGGAGACGACACTAAGTTCACGAACGCGTTTAGGTGTTCAAGGCCGTGAACTAGTCACTTTCGGGCAAATATGAAGGCAGCAGCGGGGAGAGAGAAAAAGGAGCTGGTTTTTGGAGAAGGAACACTTTCTTTCTCTAGGGTTTCAACCCAAAACACCAAAGGAGAGTTCTAGTGAGAGAGGGAGTGGTCTTGGAGCTTAATTGAAGGCATTGATCAAGTTTGGAAGCTAGGAATCAAGTCCAGAAGAAGAAGATGAAGATCTAGAGGTTTCTTTGTAATCTCTCATCTCTCTCTCTAGAAACTCACCCTCTTCTCTTGGGTTAAGAACCCTAGGTCTAGATTTGGGTTTTATGTTGATGTATGTGACACATTACATGTTTGTTTGATGATTTTACTTAATTGATGGATGTTTTCATGAGTGGCATGAGTGTGGTTTCCATTTTCATGCTTTGAGCTTTTGACCTAGGAGTGGGATAATCCCCTTAGAGCCCCTTCCTTGGCGTCTTCGGGTCACTCCTATCATAGATTGTTCGGGTAGTCCCCGGGGGAGTTGATTCGATCGGTCGCCTAGAATTATACGAAACCCTAGGTTGAATAGAGCACTACCCATCCATCGATTCGCCGTTTTGGGTCATTCCCGAGGGATTCCATCTCCAAATGGTAGTGTATTTGAGTCGATCGAGCTAGGAGGATACCCAACATCGATCAAAGAACGGACCTAGGACGATTCAACCCAAGAGAGCTCCCAACCTTGTAAATAGCTCGGTTAGTGGTTAGCTAAGTTAGTTAGTTTAATTCTTCTAATCACCATCCTAGGTTGGCTAGATAACGAACCCTGAACCTGAAGTAGGGTAAACCTAGATCCCCATGGTACGATAAATTCTTATTGCTTACTTACCCTATGCTACACCCGATCGACGGTTAAACTTGACCGTCGATTGGGATGTTGTAGTTAGAACGAGTCAGCTAGCATGGACATCTAGCCATAGAAGGTCTTACAACTACAAACACTAAGTACTACACTTACCAAAACAATGACTAGAACTCAAAATACAACCATTACAATTAGTTTGGTATAAAGCCGCGTATGAAAGCGCAATAACGTACGTTTTTACTCTTCAGTTTCATAAACACTCATAAGTTTCAAAGCATGTAGTGTGCAAAAACATTCAAAGTCAAAAGTATTAAAAACTATGAAAAGTGCACAAAAACACGTTTTTGCATATTTCTTTTCAAGGAAAATGGTTAATTATGCAGTCAAAACACTTCTTTATTTCACAGTCCAATCGACAATGACGTTTTCCTTCTGAGATGATCGCTAGCTATTGTGCTGCTAGCCTGCCACGAAAGAAGAAATCGAATTTGGTCACCTAATTATAGTTTTCCTCGTGGGTCCCAAATAATTTTTTGATATTTTCCCTTGTCGCAAATGTAACAGTCAGTTGTCTAAGTTTTGGTGGGCAGGGCAAGACAAGAAGAATGGCATCCACTGGATATCTTTGAGTGCTATCTGTCAGAGTAAGTTTGAAGGAGAATTAGTTTTCGGGATTTTAATCGTTTTAATTTTGCTTTGCTAGCTAAGCAGGCGTGGTGCATCCTCTGGAATCCATCCAGCTATCTAGCCCGGATCTATCAAGCTCGGTACCATCCTCATCGACTATTTCTTGATGCTACAGCAGGCTCCGACCTTCGTGGGCATGGCAAGACATCTTGAAAGGGAGAGGCCTATTCCTCAGGGGCTATGATGGCAGGTTGTAGATTGATCTCGGATCCAAACTATACAGGATAACTGGCTTCCTTCGTCACCTCCTTCTTCCCCTATGTTACAACCAGGTTTGAGTGGCTGCCCTCCTTTTGTCTTGGATCTCATTTTTCATGTTTCTAATGCTTTGAAGAAGGATCTATTAACCACTCTGTTTATTCAATAGAGTGTTGACCTCATTTTGTCCAATCCCCCCCCCCCCCCTCTCTTTCTTACTCGACTTATCGTTTGGTATGGCATTACTCTCCTTCCAGTATTTACACTGTTAAGTCAAGATATCATCTTCTGTCTTCTGAATTCAACCTTCGACATCCCCCGGTGGTTCTACCTTTTGACACTCGATTCTGGAAACTCCTTTGGAGCATTATCGTGCCGCCCAAACTGAAGTTCTTCTTTTGGAGAGTCGTCCGTGGATTTTTGTCTCTGTAGATAGTGTTATTCACTAAAACCCTTGTTCCTAACACAATATGTCCTATTTTCTCCAGGGATCCAGAATCTTTTTCCCACCTTTTCTTTACCTGCAGCATAGCTCGAGGACTTTGGAAATTGGCACACCTTGAAGGCATGAGTAATATTCTTGGTGGAATGGCTCCCGACGAGGCCTGGCCACATCTTTTCTTTTCCATGAACCTTTCTAAAAGTGATCTAGCTAACATTGTTTTCATTCTTTGGAGAATTTGGAAGGGACGATGTTGGGCCGTTCATGATCACATTCTCCCACATGCATTATTTCGGCAGTATCAACGATAAGTAGATGAGTGGAGGTAGCCGGTAGTAATCTTCAATTACCTACTGCCACAACCGGTGTTAGCATCACCCCGGCTACATGCATATCTCCCTCAGGCATAATCAATGTATGGTTTGATGGTGCGGTCAAGCGTGGTCAAGGAGGAAGTATCGGCTTTGTAGGCTTCCAAGTGACAGGTAATGTTCTATTTTCATTTGAAAAATATTATGATGGGATTCAAGATCCGTTTATTATGGAATGTTTAGTTTTACGTGATGCTTTACAGTGGTGTCTAACCCATTCCTTTCTTCCTGTTAAATTTCATGGTGACTCTCAACTCTTGATCCAACGGATGGTTGGAGGTGATATGCATCATGATCGGAGAGGAGCTATATTGGAGGACGCTCGGAGTTTAGCTTCCTCATTTAGCATAGTTTCTTACGGTTTTGTTTCTCGTCAACTCAATAGGGCTTCTCATCATGTGGCACGCCCTCTCATCGGGAGTTCGACTATTGGTCGACTCCCGCTCTTTTCTTTCTTCCTCATTGTGACTATCTTTTCAACACTGACTTTGCAACAAAAAAAAAAACTGAACACTACTTTCCATCGATTTTTGTTGCTCTTGGTCTTTAAGAACTACCCCTCGACAGAAGAAGAATCAACAGAATTGGAGTAGAAACTTCGTAATTTTGTGTGGTAAGAGAAGAAGAATCAACATAATTGAGAAGAGGAATCGAGAGGATGTTGCGGTTACTTAAACCGTGTTAGTATTGGGTCTTGTTGCGCCTCGTCTGATTCGTTGGATTAGGGTTTTAACCCTAAGTCTTTCTCTATATAAGCTTAGCTATCGACTTGTGTGATAATAAGCCGTCAAGATGTAATCCTAATAACAAATAAGTCGTGAGCTCTTACGAGCTCACCGTAGATTAATCATGTTCACATCGAACAGGGATACCACGTAAAACTCTTGTGTACAGTGTTCGTTTCCTTTTGCATCATCAAATTTTACAGAGGAAGAAAAGGGAATTTGGGAATTAGAGATTCAAGTATTGTTCTTTCTTATTCCCAAAAATATTCATGGTAAAGGAAACCGTACCGGACATCATATCGGATTTCTTTCTGGTATGGTATTTTGTGGTACGACCATGGTTCAACCGTTTTGTACCGGTAAATACCGTTTTTCACTATTGATAGAGAAATGAAATGCGACAGTATAAAAAATATAATCCATCAAAAAAAGAACCAAATAGAGCATTATACAACCACGGTGACCCATTTTCAACATAGAAAAATAGCAAAATAATATTCGCTTTTAATTATTTTCCACATATTGGACGAGAATACGTAGAAATGAAGCTGAATCATAGACCAGGAAATCGGATCGTACCGGCCGGTTCAACCGGTCAAACCGAAAAAACCGGCCGGCACGGTAAAATCAGCACAAACAGCCCACCGTACCGCTTTTGGTCCAATTTCCGGTTGAACCGGCCGGTACGATCCGGTTTCCTGGTCTATGAAAATATTGCAAAACTTTAAATAGTTCAATACAACCAAATCAAATAAAAAATAATTATTTTAATTATGGTACTTGTGATTTGGTTTAGAAACCTCGTATAAGGCTCTCGACAAACCAAGCTCGCTTTGGCTGAGCGTATTTCTAACAGAAAGTGATGACTCGACTTGTTTCAAGTGACTAATTCTTTTTATCATTATCCAAAAACTAGTGTCATATGTATAATAGTAGGGATAAGAATAACTCATTATCATGGGTATCCAACCAAACTACAATCAATTTTATCAGAAAAAAATTCAACTCGCATTACTTTCGAGTATCAGATGAGTTTTCCCAGAATCCAACGTGGAGAGTTATGAATGGTGTGATTTTTTATATTTTAAGTATTTCAAGTAACATGTGTTACACACCTATATTTTAGATTTTATTGCTTCACCATTTCAGTCATCAATATCTTTCAAGCATTGTGATTATCTTTGATGTAATAAAAGGATGATTCTAAGTAATTTGATTAAGATTACATGTAATTTTAGGCAAAAACGGATCGAGAATGAGTCGGGTCAGGGCAGGTCGGGTCGATGAGAGGTGGAGCCCCAAAACAGGTCAAACAGGTCAGGTAAACGGATCAGGTTAAAATTGGCATCCCTACTTCCATGTCGGCGTCAGCGTCGTCTCCACCTCCCGCTGCCACCAACAATGACGACGCCTCCGCAGCCACCCTACGACCCTCCGCCTCCCTCCAGCCCCCGCTGCACCCTCCACCTCCCTCCAGCCCCCACCATCGTTGCGCCCTCCACCATCCCACGACCTTTTGCCTCCCTCCACTCTTTGTCGCTGCCATCTCTCTCCTGCCGCTCTCATTCACTGTCGGTCTGTCGCTGCCGCCGCGAGGTAACGACCTCTCCCCTACCTTCTCCTTTCATCATCACTTGATATATTTTTTCCAGATTTGAGATTTTTCAGATTCCAAATCTTTTTTTTTATGTTATTCTCTGGTAGTACTGATTTTTAACTAGTAGAGCACTAGTGGTAGTGGTAGTGTACCATTACCAATGGTACCGTACCACTTACCACTAGTAGCGTACCACCAGACTAAAATCGATACCACTAGTGCACTGTCTAAAATATCCCTAATAATTTCACTTTTAATTTTTTTTTGTCTTTTGTATAGCCAAATAATTCAAATAATTTCACTTTGAAGACACCCAGAGAAATACAACGGTAGATAAAACTGACATTTTCTCTCCCATTTGCCGATGTCGGGTCGTCTAAATCTCGGTTCAACCATGATTGACGATTTTTTCAATGAAATTTTTAACATAAGGGCATGTTTGATAATTTTTCAAAGTACAGGGGCATGTTTGATGTAAAAAATAGTAGAGGGGCATGTTTGATAAAACGTCATAGTAGAGGGGCATATTATACCTATAACCCTTAATTAAATTAGGGTTTTAAATAGATATTCTAATATTAATTTTAATTTTTTTATTATCTTTTAGTATATTATTATTCTTTCTTGATGTTCGTTTATATTTTTTTACTAATTTATCTATTATATTGAAAAAACTTCATTAGTCATTCTAGTAGTACTATGTTTAGAAGGTTTTCTAATTTTTATATTAGATAATACTTGTTGAAATATAACTTTTGATGTTTTCATAAGTTTTGGGTATCAAAAGGTAATTAAAAGTTTGGGTTGGATGGAAAACTAACGGATGCACTTTTTGTGGACTTTAATGATACACGGCGCCCTATTCAAACTTAAGTGGTATGTCTATTCAAATTCTCAAACTTAAATCCCTAAAAAAAAATCTCAAACTTAAATGATACCCGAGATATTTTACCCGGTTCCCATATGCTTGGGGAATTGTTAAAGGTCTTAATGTTTTGTAATTTTCTTTATTAGTTTGGTTAACAAAGTTGGCAGATTAGGTTATATAATAAATCGCTTGGTATTCTTGTTTAAGTGGAATCTACTCTTTGAATTTAAGCATATTCTTATAATATTATTGTTTGTAAGGTATTGGTTCATTAACGAATTTTTAACGGTCTCTAACCGATTGAACCATTAAAACTTGAATCACTTGCTATATTGGTTCGTGCTTCAATTCGATTCTCACAACATTAGTATCAACCAATAAAGTGATAAGTAGAGTAACCGATTCCACAAGCACTAGATTACTACCATTTATCTAGAACTTAATCTCTTCAAGTCAAAGAAACTCATTTAATTTCATAATTATATGATCAAGATGATCTCAAAATGATGACTCTCCCTACTATAATTCATCATGTACTATTCAAAGAATCCCATTTCTCTTGTCGATAGTTTGATTAGTTGTCGATCATCGTTCATTTTTCTTATATGTATTATCACGTGATGCGTTTATGCAGCCGAGCCTCTGGACCCCTTTTCATCATAATTATTATTATGTTTATTTTGGGATATTACTTTAGTTTATCGAGTTATTATTATCCCTGTTTAGGTAGTAGTCAATTAGGAGTCGGATTGTGATTAGCTTTCCTTGTTTGGAGGGAAAAGGGTTTATGGGATGCGTCCTATAAATACGTACTTAACCCTTGCGTTTTATTTATCGAAAAAGAATAAACCCTAGCATATTTAGTTTCCTTTAGTTTTTTTTTTTTTTGTTTTTTTTGTTTCAAGTTTCCAACGATGTGAGCCTCTCACGCGTCATCACGATTATATGAAAAGACTTCCAATTCATGCTACATTCTCAATACATAGCATATATATACAAAGGGAAGTCGTAACATAACATTACCTACCCAGAAATAAATGTTGTCTCCTTCGCAGCTTGGCCTGACGCGTCAAATTATGGCACCTCTCATTCCAGTTTGCCAACCATTTTTGTTGTCCCACTATCTACCAACCAGTAGTTAAATTCTAGCTAGCTTGCATCAACAGTTATACATCCAGCCGGCCGACTTGGAAATTGAAAACAGATGAGAACAAAACCGATGATAACACAGAAGGATTTATGTAGTATCCTTGATCAATGGGTAAGGGTGGGTGAGTATTGGATGGCTAAGCACATGAATTTCACTCGCAATTGATCTACTCATAGTGTTGTGCGTGATTTAAATGGGCGGATGTGAGTTCTACAATAGGTGACCCATTAAAAATTGGGTGGGTGGAGGACGGATTGTGAATGTAGTGAATTTGAACTTTAATGTGCTTGTTACGATCACCAACCACCAGATTAACTGCTATATGAATAGCACTAGTATTGCCAACATGGAGATCCATAGGTGACGGACAAGTGACCCCCTAAATCGTGCAGTATGCAATGTAACCATTTCAGTTCAGAACTCATATAAGACACCGGTCAAAATTCTGCTTTGGTGGAGGAGTGGAGACCTTAATTATCATGTTTCTTGCATCTCTAGGAGATGACACAACGACATGTCACCTGCAGTAGACCGACGCATGTCAATATAGCCTACCTCTTCTTCTGCTATTAGTATGGTGGGAATTGGGTCGGTCGGATGAGTTTCAACCTCAAACTAACTCACTCACTTTTTAAAGGGTGATATAGGTTTTCACTTTTTGTCATTAAAGTACTATTTAAGGTATTCGAACCTGAAACATCAGGTTGTAGGTTTGTGGTATTGTCATTAAATCAAGCATTTGTTCATACTAACTCACTGGCTTATTAATGAAGTAATTGGACCCAATTATTACATAATGCAATAATTGGGTTAAAAATCCACGTTTGGGAGAGCAAAAATTGTATGGAAATTGGCTTCAATTACCACATTCATGGTAATTGAGAATACTACACCTCCCCCTAGTAATTTGACATTACCACGTTTTCTTACTTCTTTTTTCAAATTCCATACCATCAATTCCCACAAAACTAAACCCTATTCAAACGTGAATTTTTTTTTTCAATTTCCACAAGTCAATTCCTTGGTTTTGTAAAACATGGAAATTCAGACAAATTTCAACGTTTTAAAATTTCCACATCCAAACGACCCCTTAATGAAGCATTTGTTGTGAGAGAGAAAAAAGCCTGTAGTTACAATGGGTAAAATACCTCGGGTACCATTTAAGTTTGAGAATTGGGGTAGACATACCACTTAATTTTGAATAGGGCGTCGAGTACCATTAAAGTCAGCAAAATGTGCATCCGTCAACTTTTCCATCCAACCCAAACTTTTAATTACTTTTGGGTACCCAAAAATTTTGAAAACATTCAAAACTATATTTCAACAAGTTTTATCTAATATAAAAATTAGAAAACCTTCTAAACATATTATTACTAAAATGGCTAATCAAAAATTTTCATAATATAGAGGTTAAAATACCTCAGGTACCACTTAAGTTTGAGAATTGGGATAGACATACCACTTAATTTTGAATAGGGCGTCGGATACCATTAAAGTCAACAAAATGTGCATCCGTCAACTTTTCATCCAACACAAGCTTTTAATTACTTTTTTGTACCCAAAATTTTTAAAAACATTCAAAACTATATTTCAACAATTTTTATCTAATATAAAAATTAGAAAACCTTCTAAACATATTATTACTAAAATGGCTAATCGAAATTTTTCATAAAATAGATAAATTAGTACAAATATTAAATGAACATAAGAAAAATAATAAGTACACTAGAATATAATAATAAATATTTAAAATTAATATTAGAATATCCATTTAAACACCCTAATTCAATTAGAAGCACCATTAGAAATAGTTAAAATAGAACATAATCGATCATCAATACATCAAAACCAAAGAAAGATAAATAGAACACAATCATAAGGAATAAAAATATATTCCAGTAATTAAAAAAACATTTAGAACAAAAAGAGACGGAAAGTAACCAAGTAATAGATGAATTATAAAAGCTACAACATTCAGTAAAAAAATATAGAAAATAAAATATGATTATAGGAAGAGAATTAGAATTACTAAATTTAACTAATATGAAACATCTACAAATATAATATTAGAGAATTAAAAGAAAATTCAACATGGAAAATTACACAACATCATTCTGATGTAAGAGAACTAAATATAACATTCTCAGATTATTTATATCGAGATAGAATTCATAAAATATATTTGCTTGAGAAAATTATTCAATTATAATTTACATGAACATATAATGATGATTAAAAATACTTATAATAATAATTGATTCTAAATTTTATATTGAATTATTGATTTTCTATCAAGTATTCAAAAGAGGATTCTAATTAAACAATAAAAAATTATGTTTTCCATAAGTCCAAATGATTTTTTACAATAAGAAAAGTAGAAGGACAAATATTGAAATTTAGAAAACGGAATATTCTAAGAATATTCTGTCAACTTTAACACAATGCACATAACAGTAAACTTAAGTGGTACAGGGTGCACATATAATAGAGTTCAGTGGTACCCGACGCCCTATTCAAGCTTAAGTGGTATGTCTACCCCAATTCTCAAACTTAAGTGCTACCCGAGGTATTTTACCCTAGTTACAATTTACAAATGCCTAGAGACCAAGTCCTTTAACACATATGAATTTCACTTCTTTGGCAGATGTATCAATCTTTCATTACTTCATCAACTAATTATAGAAAAATATGATGTTTTCTTTTCAATTTTGATAAAATTAATTGTTTGTAATAGGCATCTCAATATCCAATGAACAATATTAACCAATAATAATACTTCCATTATATTATTTGTTTGTCACAATTAGGGATGTGTACTCTCTTCGACGTGACTTGTCATGAGCCATCCATTCTCGATCCATTTTTGCCTAAATTGCATGTAATTTTACTCAAATTACATAGGATTTTGCTTTTATTGCCTTATATTTTAGCTCTAATAAAATTATAAATATGTGAAAATATCAATTTATCAAATAATTTAATTATATTTATCATGCTATAATTTGTTTCTCGATTGTTTAATAAAATATGAAGATTTCTTGTGTTTCCCTTTAAATTACATACCCATATGGGTCGACCTATCATGATCCGTGACACATGATAAATTACTCAACTTGCAACGGGACGTGCATGAGTATTAAGATACCCCGACCTGCTTCATTGTCATTCCTCGCTGCAATTAGATAGATAATTAATTATCCAATTGATAGTATAAAAAATAAACATTTTTTTCATTTGAAAACTGAGGTGCAGGTCATTCAAGTTACTCGAGATTCACCCACCATCCACCCTAATATATACGGGTAGGAGATTTACTACCCCACAATCCACCCACATCAATCATTCACCCTACGACAATTCGACTTATTTGCATGTAGGTCATTAAACCGCTGGTGAACCATCCACATGCTCATTCTAGCTATTATGGTTGTCGATTCGGTTAATCAAACTGTTAAGATGAAAAATTGGGAACCAAAATTTGCATCTAGAGGCTTAGGTTTTCAATTTCTGGAAATCGGTAAGCCCTTTAACTGTTCGGTTTCTATTTGGATAAACCGAGAGAAGAAATCGAACCACTAGCGAGACAATAGACCTGTTATCAGTTCCTTCATTGATTTTCGATTTTAAGTGAAACCGAAACCGTTTATCGCATTATGAATTTCTAACCGCTCATGAAAACATTAAGGGCATGTAATCGATTCGATTTCAATTAAAACTGCAAACCCAAAACCTAACCAACACCCCTACTAGCTTTTAGTGACTCAAAGGTTTTCTCCCATTTCAAATTTCGTGGCCTAAGATTGATTTTAGAAAGATCATTTTTGTCATTGCACCCAATTCATATTTATATATAAAAAATGTTATCATTGGAGTTCGAACCTTGGTCACTTAAATGACGAAACAACTATTTGCATGTAGGTCATTAAACTGCTGGTGAACCATCCACATGCTCATTCTAGCTATTATGGTTGTCGATTCGGTTAATCAAACTGTTAAGATGAAAAATTGGGAACCAAAATTTGCATCTAGAGGCTTAGGTTTTCAATTTCTGGAAATCGGTAAGCCCTTTAACTGTTCGGTTTCTATTTGGATAAACCGAGAGAAGAAATCGAATCACTAGCAAGACAATAGACCTGTTATCAGTTCCTTCATTGATTTTCGATTTTAAGTGAAACCGAAACCGTTTATCGCATTATGAATTTCTAACCGCTCATGAAAACATTAAGGGCATGTAATCGATTCGATTTCAATTAAAACTGCAAACCCAAAACCTAACCAACACCCCTACTAGCTTTTAGTGACTCAAAGGTTTTCTCCCATTTCAAATTTCGTGGCCTAAGATTGATTTTAGAAAGATCATTTTTGTCATTGCACCCAATTCATATTTATATATAAAAAATGTTATCATTGGAGTTCGAACCTTGGTCACTTAAATGACGAAACAACTATTTGCATGTAGGTCATTAAACTGCTGGTGAACCATCCACATGCTCATTCTAGCTATTATGGTTGTCGATTCGGTTAATCAAACTGTTAAGATGAAAAATTGGGAACCAAAATTTGCATCTAGAGGCTTAGGTTTTCAATTTCTGGAAATCGGTAAGCCCTTTAACTGTTCGGTTTCTATTTGGATAAACCGAGAGAAGAAATCGAATCACTAGCAAGACAATAGACCTGTTATCAGTTCCTTCATTGATTTTCGATTTTAAGTGAAACCGAAACCGTTTATCGCATTATGAATTTCTAACCGCTCATGAAAACATTAAGGGCATGTAATCGATTCGATTTCAATTAAAACTGCAAACCCAAAACCTAACCAACACCCCTACTAGCTTTTAGTGACTCAAAGGTTTTCTCCCATTTCAAATTTCGTGGCCTAAGATTGATTTTAGAAAGATCATTTTTGTCATTGCACCCAATTCATATTTATATATAAAAAATGTTATCATTGGAGTTCGAACCTTGGTCACTTAAATGACGAAACAACTAGGCTACATTTTATTTATTGTTGTTTCTTTGATTAAACTCTAAAAATATGTTTGGTGATGATGCTTCTATATTTATATTTTATCTTAAGTTATTTGTATTTCTACATAATATATAAAGGCAAAACATGGGTTGGATTTCCATGAATTTGAATTTCCGGGCATGTGAGGGTTTCACGGAAGGGTAATTTGGGCAATTTACCTGTCATTTTAGGTAATTCGTTTTTGGCTATCAATCCGCAACGTGCCCTTTCAAATCATGCAATTTCATATCTATAATCTATGTCGTGATCAACAAATATGATACATATTGGAAAACATTTTCATTGATATGTTGGACTATATCACAGATCAATTATAAACGCTTTATTTGTAAACATGTATATCGCTATCAGTTCTATATCTTTGCTATTTACACGCATTATAAGTAGTAACAACACATAAAAAATGCATAATAATCTTCACTATTTACACATTATAAGTTGTTACAACACATACAACATACATAATAATCAAACTCCCCAGCCAACAGGCCGGGCATGGTGCTAGGGATTCTCAGATTGGTGAGGATGAAGAGATAGGTTTAGAAGTAATCCCTGGAGAACCCGGGGAAAATGAAGTGGAACTATTGAGAATCTGAGATAGTATTAGAAACCAGAAGGAAGTCGATCGATTGTTGGTGAAGGACGGATACAAGTTTTGGCTTTGGTTCCACTTCCCTGCCATTCAATTTGGTGGCCCAGTATTCGCTCATTCTTTTGTTGGCTGGAAATCAATCAGACTGTTGAATTGATGGTCAATTATTTATTTCCAATTACTTTTTTTTACGTTCATCTCATATAACATTTTTTCAACACATTTTTTTACGTTCATCTCATTTAATATTATTATTATTATTTGTAAAATTACAAATCAATTCTTTTAATTCATCTTCATAATAAACATTAAGTTGCTCTATCCGCATGGATAGTTTAATTTCAGCTTCTCCCATAAACACTTCCTTTCAACAATTTTTAGATAAAATTTTCTTAGGTATTAATAACACATTTTTTTGGCTAAACTTTGGTACAAACACGATTTTATTACCAAAGTTATCAAAACAATGAACTATTATCAATTGGATTTATATTTCAATTTTTATCAAATAATACGATTGTGAGTAGCTTACCCGCCCAACGAGGCGGGCCCGGTGCTAGTGAAAACATTAAGGGCATGTAATCGCTTCGATTTCAATTAAAACTGCAAACCCAAAACCTAACTTACATCCCTACTAGCTTTTAGTGACTCAAAGGTTTTCTCCTCTGCCTAATTGGCTAAAGGTGTCGCTCATATCTATATCTCATTTCAGGAACGAAATCTCAACCATTCCATACAAATAAAATAAGGAAGAACATTGTAGCGCTCGCTGAAGTTTTGCTGATCAACTATGATGTCAGTCTGCTTACTGCTACCATTTTAGTACCTTTGAACTACAAATCTAGGGAAAAATAGAATAACTACTATGTGAACCAAATGATACCTTTGTATCAATTCATCTCAAAACCATTCGTTCTTACGGACAAACTGAAAATTCCTTTCTCTTTTGCTTATACTTTTCAGTGGAATTTCCTTTATTTAATCAATCAGCAGTAATGTGGTGGTAACCTGGTTAAGCATAATACATGAACAAGCTACTTCCAGCGGAACAGGCAATCAAGTTACTGGTAGGGTTCCATGCCAGATGAAGCAACTTGGAGCTCAGATCACATGCAAATTCATGACTGCTTGCACCCGAATTGGAATTCCCTGGGTGGCAAACAGAAATCATATCAGTGCATATGGAACACAATGTGAGGTGAGAGCATGCAGAAAAAAAAAAGAAGGATTTTCAGAACCCCAACCTTGCCGGTAAAATCCACGCGTTAGGTTGCTCAAGGATGACCTTCGAGGCCTTGATGCAGAATGGACGGCTGGCTTCCTGATTTTTCGAAGAACAGTACACTCCGTTAGTTGAAGACATTTGCCCAAAGTGTTAGTCACTATAGAACACACGATCATCAAACATGATCGTTGAGAGGAATGATTCAGGTGGTAGGATTTGGGCTTTCAGCATGTAGTTAGGAGAAGGGAGGGGAGGGGAGGGGAGCCAACCTGCTTGGGTTTTTGCCAGCCTCTACTGTCATGTGCTCTTCAGTCGAATCACCGTTCGAGAATACATGTAAAAGGTTGCTGTGTACATAAAAGAAGAGAACTGTCATTGAATTAGGGATGCAAAACGTTTAAGCAGGGACTATGTAGTTAAATGCGTGCCCAGGAGAGTTCGAAGTGTGTGGTGAAACCTGTAAGATCCAGTTGCAAAATGTGAACCACTTCCATTGACGCAGCATTCAAATTTATCAAATATTGAATCATTATTGTACAACTCACACAACTGCAGGAAACATGGTAAATCAACGAGTGAAGAGGCAATATATCATGGATCAACTTCTAGGAAAACATAAAGGGGAAAATTCAAGCACTGAACAACTTAAAGTGTATAACTCCTGAAATTACAAAGGGCACAACGACTTTCGAGAAACAACTATAAGAACCATCATCAGTTACATCAGCTACAGAGTTTTATCTTCATAAGGGAACAGCCTTACCTTAGGGCGTAGGTGCTCATGAACCTTGAATACCTTCACTGGCATAGAGTCCTTTCGAATGTCCCATAGCTGAACCAATAAAAGAACAGGAATCAACTTACATCAAAAGCTTTCAAGACGCCAGAGACAAAAGAAGAAGAAAAAACCCCACAGGTTGAATGCTCCATTTCAAATGCAGTTCCACTCATTCTAGCACGACAAATAGGTTGGGCTCTGTAACTTGAGCAGACAATATATAGGATTTACCAAAAGAAAGGAATGCCCATCACAGAAGAAAATCATGTGCAGAACCTTTCCTTAAACTGACAAAGGGGACAAGAGGAGAAGAGCTAAAATAAATAAAAAGAGGGCCCTCCTGACATGTAAAGGAACTAGATCAGGCACAGAAATCATGAGACCAACATTTCCTTGTACAAGACAAACTCATCATCATATCACAAAACCCTTCAACAATACAAATAATAGAGCTGCACAATTAGTGAGAATTAGGATCGACAACCTTTAAGTTCATAAAATCACGACTTAAGATGCACTGTCCATCATTTACAAACTTGATATCTGAAATAGAGGCTATAATCTCTGTAAAGAATGACTTAGACCCTGGTTGATGCTCAGTTTCCTGTAATCTGGCAAAAATAAAAAAGGCGTCATTCTCACTGTTTTGAGATGATTTGTAACAGGTGTAAAATAAGATCGGAAGGAGTTAACAGTGCACTTGAAGCATGAACTACTCTCACATTGTTGCGCTTTTATCACATAATGCTGATTGCCGCATGTCAATTAGATGAATAAAACCTCTCGAGCTACTGTATGCCAGCAGATTACAATGACTTGGATGGAACTCTGCTGATGTTATAACCTCTGAACATAAGGCCAAGATAAAATTAGGGCACAGTAACTCGTGCATAGTTACAGCTGTGACATGGTATATAAACTACACCGCAGATGGAACAACATTCTCTACAAGCACAAGCATCCATCTTAATTTGTTGTTCCAATCATCGCACCAATAAAACAATGCCCTGGATATTAGTCATTCTTGCTCCATCATTATAAAAATAAAGGGTCTACAGGAAAGAGGGTAAGTAGCTGAGGAAGTTGGTCAGGGAAAGAAAAAGCAAGAGACTTGTCAGTAACAATTCACTACAGGATTACCAGTAAGATCTTCCATGTTTGACGGCTTTATGTCAATGATATTGAAACACTGATCTTTGACATCAAGGTTCCATAAGTTTATTCTAAGGTCATCTGCAGAAATAAAGGTCTCACCATCACTGCATGGAAATGATGAACATCTTAGAAGCAGAGGAAAGAGATCCAGAATGTTATGCGCCGAAGACGCAGTCAACTCAAGATTCGCCTAGCATGACAAAAGTGATGAGTGACCAGTATTGAATTGCACATTCAGCACAAGAACATGATGGCAAGTAAATATTTACCTATTGTTTGAAACTGAATTGATATTGAAATCATGTGCATGAGCATAAACCTTTCGGCAACTTGCACGGACAGAATCTTCGAGCGAAGAAATCTAATTACACAAGAAGCAGAGTAAACAAAACACTTATCCAGAAAGAACGTGTATTGAACAAACTTCAAAGGATTTCAACTAAAAGTGCAAGACTTTTACCTTGGCTTGCGCTTCTTGAACTGGGGAAATGTTCTTAACTGCATTTGTTGTCCATTCCATATCATGGCCGTTAGGAACAGTTGGTTTTCCTTGCAAGCTTATGTAACTCGCTTCAGCCAAAAGACCATTCTCTGAATGCACAGCTGAACTATGGTCCGTTTCTTTTACTTGCTTCACCTTATGTTCCTTGAGCTAGAGACAACAACCATCGAATGAAGCACTTCACACCTCAGGTTACAAGATGTAAGGAAACACCCACGACTAATGCCAGCAAAGAAGAACAAGCACCAACAACTTCAACTCGTACCTTCCAAAGTTTAACCGTCTTATCATTTGCAGAAAGCAGAAACATCGATCCACCATGCGTCATACACCACCTTACTCTATTGATCTTCTCTTCAATCTCCAAGCTTTTCAAGTAGTCAAACTATACAAGCCAGCAGAAACAACATCGGCACCACACACAAAAAAAAAAGCATTAATCGAGGAAGAATCCAGAAACACACAACAACAACTGAGAGTAGCTGTGACAAACAATCACCACACCTCCGGTTCATGACTCTGAAATTCAGCCTTGTACTGATAAATAGGCCGGCGATGTGCCTTGGAACTAAAATCTACCGCCTCCAATTCGATTCGAGAACGTTGCTCCTAATTACAGAGAAAAGAGCTCAATTCAACCCGATTCAGAAGTGCTTCTGCATCATTCAAATGGGAAAACAACACCATTTCATACTTACATTCGTCTCCTCCGCCTCCTTGCTCTCGAAGATTATCACACGGCCGCCGCGATCTCCAACGGCGAGGTGACGGCCGCTCTTGTCGAATTCGATAGCAGATATTAGGTCACCTGCAGACGGGAGCTGAACATTCACGAAAACGAAGAAACTCCGATCGACAAATCCAAGCAAACGCACACCGTCAAAGAGAGATAGAGAGATAGAGAGAGGGGAAGCTAACTGTTCTGGACGTCTTCGCCGGGAGCTTTCTCGCCGAAGACCTGCGAGAAGTTCCAGTGGAGAGGAGCGGAAAGTGAAGAATCCGGGGAGCTGGAACTCATGGCGCTGCTTCGTTTAGGCGTTAGAGGTTTCGGCTAGTCGTCGTCGTCATCTTCATATGCTGCTGCTTTGCAGTCCCAGCTGGCCGGGGGGAGTTCTGGCTTTGCTGTAATCGGAATTTCCGGGGGGAATCGCCGAATCACGGACGGGGAAAGGCGTGGAAGAAGACAGAGAAGGGGGAAAGCCGGAAAGGGGAATTGAGAAATTGGGTTGTGAAATTTGAGAGATTCTGATTCTTTCTTGTTGTTCTTCGTCTAGGGGATGGCGTGGCTGCCTGGCTGGCTGCAAGCTTCACATCAGCTGTCGCTGTAACTGTAAGCTTTGGTGGTGGCGGTGCCAGCCTTATCCGGTCGCTCCCGAATTTACTGTGCCGGAAAATGGCTAAATTAGACGTTTAGTCACTCATTTTGTTAAAATGTCACATTTATCATCCAAATTATTTTTCTTTGTTAATGTCAAATTGACTTGGGGATTATTTGTTTGCACTTGGCACTTTCCCAAACGGCTAATGAAGGTGGAAATTTTAAACTAATAATTTTTTATTTGTTAATTATCATGGTATCAATTTAACGATCAATGGTCACAGTTGACTTTCACGTAGAATGAACTTAATTGGATGAACAGTGAGCAACAAAAAACAAGATTTAAAGCGAGTGCGTAATAAGGATATGGAAATTTTTATGGCAAATGTGAGAGAATTGATAAAATGAGTGACCAAACACTTAATTTAGCCATTTTTCGCCCTAAAATAAATAAAAAATCGCCCTAAACCATACTAAATTGACACATATACCCCTAACTTCAAACCTAAACCATCGTCCCCAACCACAAAGCCGCCGTTCGCCCAAAACTGCTCTCCGCCGCCGACCCAATCACTGCTCCCGTCGCACTGTCCTGCTGTTGGATTCACTCCTTGCCGCTCTCTATTCTAGTTGTTGCTGTCGAGAAGAAGGAGAAAGGAGGACAAAGAAGAAAGGTTGTTGCCCGCCACCGCTGCTATTTGTCGTTGCTGTCGACCAGGAGGACGGCGACCCCTTGATCCGCCGCCAAAAGGAAGAAGAAGACGCAGCACAGCAAAACAATTTTTACTTTTTGGTTGGCTTCCTCCCGGAGATAGCCGACGTTGGTGTGTAGGCGATTTTGAATTGGTTTCTTTTTTTTTTAATAAATATTGTTGATCCTTGTAAACATAATCAAATAGTGTGATTTATTTAGTGTTTGACGAGCAGATGAAAGGAATAAGGCTTCGCCTCTACTTTCGCTTTCTGGTAATGGACGACGGTTATTCTTTTGGCCGACGGCAGCTTAAACCCTTCCGTCCCTATTAATTTGAAGGATAATTATGGGCATTAGAGTAAATTTAATATAATTAGGGCGACGAATAAGAATATTTAGGGCGACGAATAGCAATCCCTTTTTTTATAATTATATTAGTAGCAATCTTAAGGTTTGTGCATATTTACTTATTTAGCCTATTAAACAGCTGCATTGCTCGTGAAATAATTTTTGCTTTAGTCTATTGCTATATCCCATCTTCCACCAATATAATAGCAAGCCATTGCTGTCGAGATGTCTAATTATGAGAAATAAAAATACTAAGGAGAGTTTGAACCCTTCAAAGATATGTGTAAAATTACATGTGTTTTTTCGAGTTTTTTCCATTGGTGTACAATATGCATTTTGTTCGTTAACCATGATAATATCATGCAAAAAAAAAAAAAAATGTTCATCACTTTGTACTCTTTGTAAAAATCTCGTGCAAAATTAGACATGAGTTCAATAGCGAGTGTCACAAGGAAACAAACCGTATCTAAGAGATACCATTTAGACATATATCATATGTGAGATCATGGTACAAAGGCATGAATTCAAACTATGTCTACATTTTGTAGAAGACCAATAGGCTGAGTATCCAAAGGAAACAAGCTTAAAGTTATCATTTTATAGTTGATCATAGTACACTACAAACTCTGACATGAATTCAAACTACGTCAAATTTTTATACACCAACTACAAGTAGCACAAGGGAACTTGCCAAATCTCATAGATACCGTTTAAAAACCCATCAAATTTGATACCATGGTAGACAATTGAGTAATCAATTATGAGCATTTTGTTCCGCGTACACTATATGAAATTCAGAGACAAGACAAATATAACACCGAAAGCAAGAATCGCGTAGACTATTTTTTCCCATAACAATGAGCTCGCCAAGCCGTTGTCAGTATCGTGCAACATATGGAGAAAAAAAAAAGTTACGTACTACTCCTTCCGAAACACGCGAACCAAATCACTAGTACTCTTTCTTTATTTAGTGAAAGACACAAATTAAAGCTGTCCGAAATCATACAACAACGATGATGTGGCGGGTTAATTTAATCATCAATCATCCACTGTAATCGGATAAATGTGGACATGGTACATAAGTAGAGAGAGGATTAGTGAATGCTCGTCTCGTTACGTTAAAAGTAGCAAGGATTTTTTTTTGGTTAATGATGGTAGTCGGAGATGAAGAACGGAGGATCATCAGAGGAGTAGAGGGAGTCGATGACGGAGGATTGCATGTTGTCAGTGGGTTTCCAGTGCCGCTTCCGCTGGTTGATGAACCAGTTGTTTATCTGCTTCTGGTCCAGCCCCGTCGACTCCGCCAGCGCCACCTTGTCCGCTTCCTACGTGTTCAGATATAAATGATTTAATAATAATATCATTTGTCGTACACGTACGAATATTATAGATTAATTAATTTAATTTACCGTGGGGTAGGGCCATTTGTAGTGCAGGTTCCACCAGTTGAGAAGGATGAGGCGGCCTTCTTTGGGGAGCTTCCCTTTCTTCTTCTTCTTGGAGAACTCCTGCTTCAGGCTGCTCAAGTACCCGCCGTACTTGTGCATCAGCCTGTCCTTCAGCTCCCGGTCCTCTTCCGATATCATCAGGCGCTGGCCGCGGATGTCGTTGCGGCCTGCTGATGATGATGATCCCAAGTGATCAGCTTCTCCGCTGCTCATGTCCTCGTCGGAAGAGCCCGAGCCACCACCACCATTCATGTTACCGTTGTTGTTGATTACAACCTTCTGCTGATCTGTTTTAGCAAAAGTGCAAAAGGATTCAACACATCAAACACACACAGAAAAAGAGAGTGGAGGGATTGGCCCAGTGGAATATTATTAGTTGTTGAAATCTTAGGCATATAGAAAATGAATATAAATGTAGTAGGGTTAAGTCGTATCCCAGTCAGAGTACAGAGAGGAAGGGGAAGCCCGCAAGGCACGCACTGTCCTCTGGGATGGCATTGGAAAAGCCGAAACAAAAGCGGCTCAGTAAACACCACAACCCATGCATTGACAGTAGCAGTAGACCGACCGAACCAGTGGGCAGTGACTGGCAACTAAAAGCTAGATTGGCTAATGACAGTTTGCCCAAAGAATAAAAAGAGAGAAATGGGTTATGGGTTTGGTCAGGTCAGGTCTGGTCAGTACGGTGGTCTGACGTTTGAGCTGTGGTGAGCTATATATAGGGTTAAGAAAGCTTGTTAAAGAGGGATTTGTTGGCAGTGGGAGATCTCAATCTCATAAATAGCAGCTAGCTAGAGCTAGGGCTAGAGGTAAAGGTAGAAAGGGATGACAAGAAAATACTTGGGATCAAGCAACCAAACTAGCTACCTACCTTGCTTTATCTATCAGAGCAGCTGCATGCAATGGATTCGACCAATCAATCAACTTTTTAGCTACTTCTCCACTATACTGATGATATATATGACCTCCACTATACTGATGATATATATGACGGATAGATGATGCTGGAAGCCGGCGTTTTAAGCAAACCCGGCCACTATGGGACACTTTTTTACTGCTGATGAATGAACCCATCAATCTAAAAGCAGGAGAGAGATTATAACTCCTGGATATTTCACTCTTCACTACTTAGTTGAGTGGTCATTTGATTTGGATCTACAAGTAGAGGTGTACTGCAGTTTCAGCAGTCACCTATGGAACCAATATAAGCTTAACAAAGAAGATGACGACACACACAATTCTTGAAGCTGCAAAATGCCAATACGTTAGGTGCAAGACCTGACCTGACCTGACCATCAGATGTCCTTGAAGCTACTACCACTACATTACCTGGTAACTTGTTATCAAAGCTACCTAACTATATCATATTTGCCATCTAAAGTTTGCAGTGTGGCTTTCTTAATTACTAAAACCCTAAAAACACAATGCCTGCTCAAACTTGGTGTATGAAGTTAATTTCTTCCCTAAATAAGCACCTGATCAACCATATGGAAGTAAATGGGTTGTGCACAACCAGGTGCAGGTGGTTATCTATCTAAACTAAAAAGCAATCTCTGAAAAGGAGCATGCAAAGCAAACTAATCTCTCCAGGCAGTTCTCTGAAAAGGATTGCAAAACCTGGTCACTCACTACAGCTTTAACCTTGCGCATGCCACAAACATAACAACACTAATTTTTAACTATATCTATCGCCCAATCAAACCCACATCCTTAAAAAGCTTTTATTCCCAGACAAAACCCACAGCCCCCCCAACCCCAAAGAAACTAGTCACAATTGTACGTCTGGCCTCTATATATAAATGTCAACTTACTATTTCTGCCAAATCTTGCAGCCTTTCTGCATGATAACAATTGTAAAGCAATTGCTTCTTTTTAAACTCTAATCAAGATCGAGCAAGCCAGCCTCAAAAGCAGAAGAAGATCATCATGAACAGTACTGATGATCAGGCGTGTTAAAGTTAATCTAACATTATAAAGAGGAGAGAGAAGGCATGGACCGGACAAACATCGATCTGAACACGAGCTAAGTGTTCTCCAACACTCCACTTTAACCCAAAAAAGCTACCAAAAGAAAGTCTGCAAGCTTGTACTTGCACCCTGACATGATACGAAGATTCATTGGCTGGTTTAGTTTATACAGTTGGAACTGCGCCTGCCCCGCAACTCTTCCCGATGATTTCTTTATTAATGTGCAAATGATTCTCAGGTAGTCAAGTGCAAGACATTAGTTTAATCCCATTCGTCCAACTCAACACACAACTTATCACCAGTTCACCACATTGAAAAATGAAAGGAGAACAAGGGGGAAAAGGAAAACAAATTTTCTCAAGAAAGAAAAAAAAAAGGAAAACAAATGAATATTAGGTTGTAAATTGTAATGTAGGTAGTAGTACCACTACCATTGGTCATGTGGGTTTGTCCACCTAAATTTGCTCCTAGGTCCTTCTGTTTCTAAGCTCCTCATCCAATGACCCATGTCTCGTGATGCCACACCAAAACAATCGGTCATGTCGCCGACTGGACGAACTATGTATCGATAATCAGGTTCGTACGCTTTGCAACCGCATAGTATAACGATTTCGCTATTGTATCTTAAATCTTTCATGTTAAGAGATGGAGACAACCCACAAGTAAAGAAAGGGTTGAAGAAATAATGGAATTCCAAGTTCAAAGCCATGTGGTTTCATCAACATATATATATACCTGGAGGATGTAGTGGTGGTGGCGTAGTGAAAGCTGGAGGAGGGCCGCAGAGAGCATGAAATTGAGATTGAATGTCTGTCAGGAAAGCCGTGGCTTCGTCAAACGGCCTCCACATCTCCCATTTATACTTCACCAATACCTCGTAGTAACTCTCCTGCCCCACACACACACAAACGTATTTATTAGTTATAAATACTGTTTGGTAGACTAGGGTTTGCGCCCTAATTAAGAAAAAGTGAGGAGAAAAGCCTAGAGACCATGAAGTCGTCAAGCTCAGGATCTGCGCCCAAGCGAGAGGTAGAAGACGACATCTGGGTCTGCTGGGAGACATCAGCACTGATGATACTGCTTTGTTGCCTCATCATCTCATCCAGAATAGAGGACATCTCAGCTGGAGCTCCAACCTGCAAAACCAACCATAACCATATATATATATAGGATTAAGTCGGACTCAAAATTAATGTGCATCTCTAATATCATCAAAGAAAGAGAGATCGAAGGCTGGATTTTATTTAAAGCGGCTGCAATTTCCAAGACAAACACCAAAAACCCCACTTCCCCTTGCTCACCATAAAAGCCGGGAGAGAGTTTCGAAACAGGGTAAAAAGCAGTGAAAGAAAGAAAGAAAGAAGGAGAGAGAGAGAGGCTTCCTTTTCTCCGGGAGTAAAACGGCCGAGGCCTCAAAACAGTAGTACTACTGCTGCTGACAAAGAAAGCAGCTGAATCCCTTTTTTGACGAATACTACTTCATCTCACAGATTATTTCACTTCCACATTTCATCATACACATGGAGGGCACGCCACAGAACTAACAGACGGAGACACTTTAGCGAGTAATTATACCCACCTTGTGGCAATCAATGTAAGCCTGAAGCAACTTAGGGTAGAGCGGGTGGGCAGCGATTCTCGCCCTCATCATCATCATCCCACCGCCCTCTTCCTCCGCCGCCGATGCCGCATCCGACACCGAGGAGCCACCGCCTTCGGACGGGCAAAACGTAACCTGGCCGCCCCCGCCACTTGCCGCCTCCCACGACGACGGCGGCGGTGAGGGAATCGCTCCGGTCCCACCGGGAGGGGAAAAGTGACCGGGATCGGCGTAACCGTAGTTGTAGTAGTAATTGTTACTGTCGTCATGATCATCATCGTGATTTATATTAAGCTGATGATTGTCAACCCGATTGTAATTAGAAAGCAGTGCCGCCATATCGGCGGGGAGTTGGAGGGAGTAGCAGTAGTCGTCGTCGTTAGAGGAAGCTTTGGTGGTGGCGGCGGCGGCGCTGGTAGTTGTGTAGAGGCAGTAGGGTGCGTCCATGGTGGTGAGATGATGAGAAGAAGTGGAAATTGAGCTGGAGAAGAAGGAAGGAGAGAGGTTTGCAGCAGACGTGTATAATGTGTGTTTTGTGTATATGGAGGCCGGGGAGAAGAGAGAGGGAGAGAGTCGGTGCCTGGTAGTACTGAGATACTGAATGGCAAACAGACGATTGGTTTTTATATAGAAAAAGCAGTTTCTCTCCCTCTACCATAGCAAAAGCCAAAAGTACTTTATGCTGAGGGGTTTTTTGAAAAATTAAGGTTTTGGTATAATTTGGGTTTTGAGAATGCAAAATACAATTTTATGGCCACAATTTTTATGTTTGTGACGGTTATAGTCGCAACTTTCGAAACACACAAAATAATTCCTTCCGTCTATCCCTTTAATGGTGTCACTTAACAGTATGACTGGATTGACGGAAATGTTGAGTTGGCGATCCACGTGGATTAACAAAGGAAAATCAAAATACACTTCTATAGCCACAACTTTCACCTTTTGAGATTCACAAAATATCAACTTTCGCTCATCTTTTTAAAGGTGTTACTTAACAGTATGACTGGAGAATGAGGCCTTATTTCCCGAATTGATGATTCGGATCCTCAATCGCTAGATTGAAGGAGAAGGCCTCGAACGCTTGGCAGAGTCACAAAAAAAAAACAGTGAGAAAGAAGGAAAAATGGCTATTGGGAAGATGCTGACGACGACCGCGAAGAAGAAGGCATCGGAAGCGACGGTGAAAGAGGAGACAGTGTCTCCGGTGGAGACAAAAAACGATGGGTCGGTAAGGAAGGACGTAGCGGCTCGTAGTGTATTTTCACCTCGAAATCGTTGCGGGTGCAGCTGTTCTTGTTTCCGGTGAAGCTCGATTCATCAGTATCAATTGGCCCGATTCGTTGCATTCCCTCTCAAACATAGCCCTGAGAAGAAATCGAGGACAAGGTCGCGACTATTTCATGTATTTCAAAAGTTTGTAACATAAATGACTAGATTTGTCGGAAAAAAAAAACATCAAAATTCTGGTCATTTCTTGTATTTCAAAAGTTGTGGCTATCACTGTCACAAATGTGAAAGTTGTGGCTATGGAAGTGTATTTTGCCTAAAATATTTTTAAAGAAAATTATGACGTGGCAAGTGAGGCTAAGCCGTCACTAACGTGTGCGTCAATTTGGCATCCTAGTCAGCATGCTGTTAATCTCACTAACGAAATCTCTAATCTAACACCGTTAAAGTTTGTAACTGAAATGACTAGATTTTTCAAACAACTATCAAAATTCTGGCTATTACGTGTATTTCGAAAGTTGTGGTTATATCTGTCACAAACGTGAAAGTTGTGGCTATGGAAGTGTATTTTGCCTTTCAAAACTTATGGATATATGAGGGTTTTGGGTTCATTATGAATTTGAAAAAAAAATCATTGTTTGTTTCATTGATTTCATTATGGATTTTGTTAATTAAATTTGTATATATGAAATATAATTTACCTTTTATTGTCCTCAATGATATAAGAAGAGAAAGAAAATATGAGGGATAGGTTGGTAAAAAAATGATGCACTTCAAAGTCCATGATCAATTCTCATCTAAAGATGTGTGATTTTCAAGTTAGTGGGCCCACGGATTTGGACCCTCAAAGTCCATGTGTACCACGGATTTTTTACCTCTAAATACTTGAAGCAAATAATGGATTTTGGACAAATTTTATCATGAACCCAAATCCATCATCAAATATTTTACCAAATCCATCAAGCGCAAACAAGCCCAAAAGTGGTTCCAAAGGTGGTATTTTTTCCTCGTATTCATAATCGAGTAGGATGTTGAGTTTGAAAAGCTAGTGGTTAATAGTTGAACGACTAACCCTTATAGAATTATTGATGGAATCGTTCATTCGTTATAACAAAAATACATATATAATGCACTCATTTTAGATTTATCACTAACCATAAATAATTTCAACTCTGTACCATCCATCACCAAAAGCTGTAACAAATATCTCATAAAAGAAATCACAAATTTCTTTAATATTTATTTCAAGTTAGCGACTAAGGTTGCAATCCATAGTAGACCACATAAAACCGACAATAAGGTCTGAACAAAAGTAGCCAGATAAAATTAGTACTTCAAGTTCGATGATCTTAGTTTACGTTAAAGTTTTTTCTTTCATTTTCTGTGATTAAGATAGTGAATCAGTGGACCGGTTAAACCAAAGTAGTTTATCCAGTATCGTGTCAAACTGTTAGAAACCGTTTAGTCAATCAATAACCATCCAAACAAACGAACCAAACTGTTATTATAAATGTTTTGATGGTTCCATTGGTTTAGTCCCTAATACGGTTCGGTCCATTCATAGTCGTCCTGACTCCTTACCTGAATCTATGGATTACCAAATTCACATATTACAAGTCACATAGGTCATAGCCATTAAAGCTAACCAAAATATGACTAACAGTTCATATATTTCCATAAAGTCAGATCAAGTTAAAACTAGCGTTACTAGTATAAACTGTCACTCTATTACCCCCTAAACTTGCCTAAAATATTTTTAAAGAAAATTATGACGTGGCAAGTGAGGCTGAGTCGTCGCTGACGTGGCAAGTGGGGCTGAGTCGTCGCTGACGTGTGCGTCAATTTGGCATCCTAGTCAGCATGTTGTTAATCTCACTAACAAAATCTCTAATCTAACACCGTTAAAGTTTGTAACTGAAATGACTAGATTTTTCAAACAACTATCAAAATTCTGGCTATTACATGTATTTCGAAAGTTGTGGCTATATCTGTCACAAACGTGAGAGTTGTGTCTATGGAAGTGTATTTTGATTTTCAAAACTCATGGATATGTGAGGGTTTTGGGTTCATTATGAATTTGAAAAAAAAATCATTGTTTGTTTCATGGATTTCATTATGGATTTTTTTAATTAAATTTGTATATATGAAATATAATTTACCTTTTATTGCCTCAATGATATAAGAAGAGAAAAAAAAAATATGAGGGATAGGTTGGTAAAAAATGATGCACTTCAAAGTCCATGATCAATTCTCATCTAAAGAGGTGTGATTTTCAAGTTAGTGGGCCCAGGAATTTGGACCCTCAAAGTCCATGGGTACCACCGATTTGTTACCTCTAAATACTTGAAACAAATAATGGATTTTGGACAAATTCTATCATGGACCCAAATCCATCATTAATGGGTCGTTTGGATGGATCAATTGTAGAACGAGACAATTTGACCAATTGTTTCATTTTACAAAACGAATCATTTAAAACGAGTCAATTCAGATTACCTGCCCCCACCCCAGAAAATTGTAATTGGCTCAAAATGAGTCAATTCAGAATTCCCCAGCTCAAATTGCTTCATCCAAATTTTCTGCTGCCAAACGGATCAATCTAGCACAATTGACTCATAACGAGACAATTGTGTCAGATTGATCCATTAGAATTCCTCATCCAAATCTTTTACCAAACCCATCAAGCAAACAAGCCCTAAAGTGGTTACAAAGGTGGTGTTTTTTTCTCAGTATTCATAATCGGGTCGGATGTTGAGTTTGAAAAGCTAGTTGTTAATAGTTGAACGACTAAGCCTTATAGAATTATTGATGGAATCGTTCATTCGTTATAACAAAAAGACATATATAATGCACTCATTTTGAATTAGATTGATCACTAACCATAAATAATTTCAACTCTGTATCATCCATCACCAAAACTGCAACTAATTATTTATACTATATATCTCATAAAAGAAATCACAAAATTTTTTAATATTAATTTCAAGTTAGTGACTAAGGTTGCAATCCATAGTATACCACATAAAACCGACAATAAGGTCTGAAAAAAGGTAGCGAAATAAAATTAGTACCTCAAGTTCGATGATCTTAGTTTTTTTCTTTCATTTTCTGTGATTAAGATAGTGAATCAGTGGACCTGTTAAACCAAAGTAGTTTATCCAGTATCGTGTCAAACTGTTAGAAATCGTTTAGTCAATCAATAACCATCCAAACAAACGAACCGAATGGTTATTATAAATGTTTTGATGGTTCTATTGGTTTAGTCCCTAATACGATTCAGTCCATTCATAGTCGTCCTTATTCCTTACCTGAATCTATGGATTACCAAATCCACATATTACAAGTCTCATAGGTCATAGCCATTAAAGCTAACCAAAATATGACTAACAGTTCATATATTTCCATAAAGTCAGATCAAGTTAAAACCAGCGTTACTAGTATAAGCTGTCACTCTATTACGGGTCCCCCCTCCTCTCAAACTTGCACTCCTGTTACGATTCACGTCAAATTTGTCCCTCTAATATAATCATGTTCTCAAACTTGTCATTCCGTGACAAATATCGTCAACCACAGTTGGACCCACGACCTAACCAAAGCAAAATGGGAGGGGAAAGTAAACATGTATTTGATAGTGATACCTAGTAGTTCAATGATACCAAGTCAACTATGGAAATTGATAGTGGTTTGTTATTTATGCCAGAACGTTTATTTTACTCCATAAAAGGTATAATGCATATATTTGACGGCTCTGGTCGTGAAAGCAACATGCACTCACTCGTGGAAATTCTAAGATGATAACGGGAAAAAGGAATACGACGACATCCATATATACTTAACCAAAACTAACTAAGCGGCCGAATTAGGGTGGAGAAACGTGATCAAAACCCTACTTTAATTGCGATTCTCCCACCAATTCATAACATATATATATATATATTCATTCTCCTGCCCAAAGAATATTAATTAGACCAAATTATAACACATTTATCCCTTCTCTAGTGATAAGTTTGTTTGTCCCACTTACTCAATCTACCCATAAGTTATTAATTAAACAAAACCAAAGGCCAACAAACGGAATCTTGAGGTAATTGTATTTGTAACATTCCGATCTTTTCTAATAAAAGATATTATTCGTTTTGAGTTTATCCCGTACGGTTTTATTTTCGAGTGTATTGTGATTACCTCTCGAGAGGTTATTTTTATGCTGTTTCATATTGAATGTGTTTAACTTCAAAAATTTTACAAGAATTCATATCTCTCTCTAAAAAATGCATCTTATCGGTTAATATTGGATGGTTTTCAGTAAATCCTGGATTTCTTTATTGCTTTTGTGAATGTAGAATTTGTTTGAAGTGCTACAATATTTTTCAACATTTTCCAACCTTTTCTACCCAAAAAGAGGATCTAAAAAAAAGTATCTTTGACCTCTGGACGAGGATTGTACCTACTGAGAATTTGCGGGCCAAGGCCCAGCTCAAAACTGGGACCGACCGAATGAAAAACTCGAAACTAGGGTCCAAGCTAGCGAAGATTAAAGGACGGAAGCTGAGAGTTTAGTGCATTGCCCATAACTTTTTTTATCTATTAAAATTATTACCAGTAAAAAAAATTAAATTAATATGACCATTGTATATCTTGATTGTAACATAGATTAGATTAGATTAGATTATGGTGGTATGGATATATTATAGTGTCGAATGAATATATATATATTTAGTATGAATATACTAACTACTTTTTATCGATGTTTCGTATTGGGTGATATATTTGGTCATAATTCTTTGTAGATATATATTAGATTTTATAGATCACAATGAATTTGTTCATTTTCATTTGTGAAAAAAAAGGAGTTAAAATCAAAGGTGCTACATAGTGGTATAAAAAATGGAGATAGTTTTAATGATCACAATGAATCCGTTCCATCTTATATAAAAATATTAAAATTAAAACAAAAAAGATACAAGCCAATTAAAAAAGTAGAGAAAATAAAAAGTTTAATTAATCTCATCTCTTACATATGACCCCACTAAAACCAAAGAACCGCATATCTGGTTATTCACAAATGTATAACCAAGAATTATACACTCTACCTCGACTCGTGCTAGAGTCATCAAAGCGACAAGATCGTTTGGGTCCACAACGATTTAGTTGAAATTTCTTTCTTACTGATTTCGCTAAAATGTCACAACACATTTGTAAGAACGTGCTCATAGACACATGGATGCCTCATATCGTCCCTGTATGTTATCTATTTTTTTATAGTTATTTTTCCTTATCAAAATACACAGAAACCTAGTTTCGGCCAAACTTGTGACCCAGAGAAACAATGCAACTTATCAAGTCGGTAAATCCATACACACAGAACTGGTAGAGGTTGCCCTTGCCTAGCTTTATATGAAGTAAGATGCTCTAGATGTAGAGATATAGTCTTGCCTACTTTAGACTTAATTTTTTTTTATGTATCCTAATTAATTAAGTAGCTAGTTCCAAACCTGTGATGTGCAGTGACTACACTACTACTTTTCCTTTTCAATAATGAACATAGTTTTAGTATAATACAAGTGCGCAAGATTGGAGGGGTTTTTTTTTAGTTCATAAAGGAATAGGATTAGGCGCTTGGGTGAAAATGGTATGGTTTGTTCATTTGATGGGGCAATTCATGTCGGGGTTTCCTTCTGGTGTAAAGTTTGCCCTTGAGGGATGCTCAAGAAGACTCCAGGTGTAGGGTAGGTGTTGGAGTTCTGTCTAGCAGATAGTATACTTAGGTGGTGTTTTAGACGTTTGAAGTGAAAATAACAATTTTTAGTAGAAATAATAAGTTTTACAACATTTTGTATTTACATTTTACATTCAAATGATTAAAATTGGTGATTCTTATTCCAAATGGAGGGAGTGATAAGAAGGAATAAAGACATTTATTGAGGGTAGTTTGAGATGGTGTCATTTTGGAAAGACAATTACAATATTTTATCTCCTTTTCTTTGTCCATCAGTTGAGTTTAAGCACGCCTCCAATTGTCTAATTGTGTCTCAAGCCGTTTATTCACAACTAGGCACCGTTTAGATGTTATGAATGCCTTAGTTGCTAACTATGATTTAGGTGAGATGTTTTGTTGTCACATAGTGCCTAGACGCGTCTTTGCACATGCTAAATTATGTCTTTTTGAACCCTGACATGGTGCCCTCTAAAGATTTAATTTAGTATCTTGTTATATGGCTAGAGAGTAGGCGTCACATTGGACTTATTGATGTCACGTCCTTATGATGAGTCATTCAATAATAACATCGTTGGTACGATAAAATGTGTATGCAATTATTGATAGAGTAATACAATGAAAGTGAAATTATCATCCCTCGAGGATTTATATAACTCTAGATTTAATAGATTAAAATCTTGGATCATAAAAGAAACATAAGTTATTTTGTAGAAAATACATGTAAATAATCAAATTGTGAATATAAATTGAGAAAAAACTATGGGAAGAAGCTTTGGGGATAGACGATCACAATTTATTATCTAATTATCTCATTCAAGCCGTTTATTAATCAGATAATTCCAAAACAAATGACCAAATTTATCATGAAAGTATTATCATTTTCTTTAAGAATCATTACGCACTAACTAGTCAATTAATTGTTTACTCTTGTACAATCAATTAATTAATGACATAGGTTGAAGTCAGATAATCCCCCTAATAATCAAATGACTCCCGCTTTCCACTCTCGTGCTCAATTGAATGTTATGATGTATGCAGGAGTGTTCTATTATAAATATCTTCTCTGTGTCTTAACAAGAACAACATTTCAATAGGCATGGGTTCCTGTGCTTAAGCCCAAAAGTTTAAGCATATGCTTAAACTAATCCTATTGGTTGTTAGTAGATTGGGTGGTTAATTAGTAGTTATTAGTTGATAATTGGTTAAGGGTATTGAGGTAAATTGTGTATTTTATTTATTTAAAATTTAACATATTTTCATAATTAAATAAAAACTTAACGTAAACCCTAAAACCAACCATAGAGCTGCTGGTTAGGTTTTTATTTTTTAAATTCGTCTTCTTCCCAGCCGCGTTCGACGAGACCACTTCCGGCCACGGCCAGCGCAGCCAGCCACCGTCGTCTCCTTCCTTATTGCCACCGGCGTTCCTCTTTCCTCCAACACAAATGATAGGTAATCCTTGTCGGGAAAAAGCTGCAAACCCTTTGGTTGTCGTCTTACTTACGATTGCACGTTTCTTGTTTATTATAATCACCGGGAAAAAGATGTCGGAGTTGACTTGTGGTTTCGGGTACCCGCCGCACGGAAAGATGGCATGGCGGCCTTTTTACTTTGACCTTGGTCGTTTGTCATCGTTGAACCTTGTCTTCGCCGGTCTTCATTGTTCTTTTTTCTTCTTACGCAGCTAGGACCCGTCATCGCCGGCGTGAAGGTATGTTACTGTTTTGTTTTTGTTTTTGGTTTCAATGGGTTTTTTTTTACGATGCCAGCAACGGTCATCACCGGCCCACGGGTAGGTATGTTCTTGTGCTATTAATAAATCTCCATTTAATTGTTAACGATTTTGATATGTACTTGTCTTACAATAGTTTCAACGTCATCAAACTAGTAATAGTTTTCTGTCCATCCGCGTGATTACGATATTTGAGTTATTAATAAATCCCCATTTAATTGTTAACGATTTTGATTGGAACTATCAATTTTGTTATGGTCGAATGGTAAGCGGCTTATGCATGTATGTGATTAAGTCATGTTTTTATTTCCGACCACTATATAATCATTATCAATATATTTATATGCCTTTTTTGTAATTATTGACAGTTTTATTATCAATCTCGTTCATTATTAACAATTTTAAATCATGTTTGACTAAATCAGACATTAGTAACAATTTTATCTATGTTTATTAGCTAATTTGAAGGGTGTGTTAAAGTTCTAGAATATATAAACTTGAAGCCAATCACTATTAATTATCAACTGGATACAACCTCGTTATCAATATTTTTGTGTTTATTGACAATTAATGGGGAATCAAGTATTAGTAACAAGTATTCTTACATCATCAACGAAACACATATAAGATATTAAGGATTTACAATAGCATTATTAACGGTTTGCTATCGCTAAAGAAATTAAGCAAATCCTTTTTAATGTTTATTTATTTTTGTTTGAATGGAAACCAACAGTTCTTTAAAGAAATTGATGGTACTTGACACTTAATATTGCATCGATTCATCATTCATGCTAGTGGTTTGACTATTATCAATTTTCAATTTCGTAAGCAATAATTTTTTGTTACGTTATTAACGTTTTGTTGCATCTCTATCAACTTACAAGCATAGTTTATTACATGGTTATTGTTACATAAAATCTAGTTGATCGATTATGTAATTTTCACAAATTTGTTGTGCATCTTTCTTTGTGTAGTTTGACGGCATGACATGAACACGTCACGTAAGACTGTTCTACCTGGAAACAAGCCCAAGATCGAGCAGCCATAAGTTGAGGGCAATAATTGCAATAGGTCAAATCACATATCCATTATGTAGCAAATGTCAAAGTCGCAGATGGTGAAGAATATCAGTCCCCGTCAATATGCAAGATCAATATTTTTTATATTAATGTAATTGCTAATTATAGAGAAAAAAAATGTTAATGTTTTCCAATTTGCATGTGAGGTTTATAAACTCGTTGATATAGTGTATTATATGTTTTTATTATTGTTATCAATCAAAGGTAATGTTACCAACTTTTCTGCTTGAATTATCAATGTTATACAAAAGCATTATCATCTTCTCATAAATAATTTTGTTGTTGTTTGTTTATGATTTTATACTCATTGTTAACGATATAATGTAATGTTATCAACCTTGATGTAATGTAATTGTTATTAGCATTAACAATAATGAAAATTTTAAATATTAACATTTTTAGGCTCAACGTTAACAATCTGATACAATATTATCAATGCTAATGAGATGTATCATTAACAAAATACAAAATCATTATTAATGCTACATTAATAATTATTTACTTATGAAAATATTGTTAATGGTATATCGTCGTGTTTTTTTTCGTAAATCATATAAATTTAACATTTACCAATAATTCAAAGATTAAGAGTTCATTGCTAACAATCTTATGTTCTCTTATCAATGTTTCTGGGATGCATCATTAACATTTAACAAAACAAATTATTAGTATTAATGTTAAACTATTATTTACAATATTAGCAACATAAAAAATCATTGAAAATGTTAATAATCACCTGTTATTAACTTTTCTTAATACACCCGTCAACAAAATACTATGAGTTATTATCAATATCATGCACTATAATTATCAACACTTTAGCGACGTATCAATAACGCAATGCATAACCATTGTTATAATACGTAAATAATAAATGCTGAACGTTCGCAGGACGTGGGCTCCGTCAGGATGGCGGCGTGAAGGGTGACACTTTGTGTTGTCGGGATGCTGGTGTCGGTTTTGTTTTAGGAGGTGATGAATTACTCGCTGTCGGCGGCGGCTGGGGCCGGGTTCGACGAGGGGACGACGGTGTCGTTCGATGATGCATTTGGTGGAGGAAAGGGGTCTCTGCGGCGGCAGGGATGGCGGAGGAGGTGGAGGATGGAATAATGGAGGGATGGCAGCGGAGTGATCTGGTCACTTTTCGCGGACGGCTGGATATGGAAAAAATATGTTAGGTTTTTATTTTCTCTTTCTATTAACTATTATTTTTCCCCTTAATACCTAGTTTACCCTTACTAACTACCTAACTAATAACCTACCATAAACAAACTAAAATTATTTTAGCCAATAGGAAAGCTTTAAGCATATGCTTAAGTTTTTAGGCTTAAGCACCAGATCTGACCCGATTTCAATATGCATATTACTTGTTAACACCAAGTATTAAGAATCAATACACAATATGAACAAGAAATTCAAAAAAATTTGCATTAAATTACAAAAATTTGATCGCTACATCGTAAGGTCTTCCCCAACAAAATTTGGGTTTAGTTCATAATTATAGAAAGTAAACAAAAAAAAAATTGTTATAGGTTTAACATCTTGAAATATAAGAAATAAAAGAAGATGATACAAATAACTCATTTCTCTAACTTTAAACTCTTATACTCTAATCTCTAATAGATAAACTCGTCGAAGTACATCTATATGTGTAATGAAGAGGGTTTGATCCCAATCATCATAAATAAATATATTAGGGCCATATAGGTGATACATATAGCATTGGTGATCAAACTGAAAAAGAAGGGGGGGGGGGGACCAAACTAGAATTATGCGTTTCTTCGTGCGAAACGTTTGATTTTCGGAAACGTAAATCCCTCGAATTCGGCGGCCTGTTGTGTTGCTTGCTGCTCAATCAGACAATCCTGATTCCTGAATAACACACGCAGACGCAGTGAAACATTCACGATTTCGGCTAACAAAAACGAAACCGTCATTCTCTCCCCTCCAGCCCGCGCTTTCTTTCTCTCAATTTTGTTCCCCCTGAGCCTCCCCTCAATCGACTGTCATACCTTCAACAGGAGGAGGAGAACCCCCTTTTATCTATACCGACGGTCTCGAACTCACGGGCTTGCCCTAACTTTGGTGTCCGCAAGCTGTTCGACGAAATGCCTCATCCAGTCTAAATCACTCTAAACTAGCTATAGTCTCCTCCACAAGCTCTCGGCATCTTTTTTTTTTCTATTCAAGTATGGAAGTGGGCCACTGCTATTTGGACGGCAACGCCGATGCAGTGGAGTTCTGTCCGCACCAGCCCTACCACCACGTTCTAGCGGCGGCTACTTACAACTTGCAGGAAGGTGATCAGCCTACTCGAATGGGCAGCATTTCACTCTTTCTGGTCGATGCTCAAGAGGGCCAGTTTGAGCTGGTTCACCAAGTTGAAACTGCTGGGATATTCGATGTTAAGTGGAGCCCGGTTGGTGGGAGTGCGAGCCCGCTTCTTGGGCAAGCTGACGCTGATGGTTACTTGAGAATTCATGGCCTGCAGAGCTCCTCAGATGCACCAAAAGGTAAATGCCTAGTAGTAAAAAGTTACAGCTTGTGCCTTGTAGCGTAATGAAGTGTAACGAATGCGTACCATATGGTTATGATTTGTGAATGCAGTTTACTCACTGGAAGAGGTAGCAAGTCAAAAGATTAGCTCTTCCTCTATGTGTCTCTGCTTGGATTGGAATCCATCAGCCACTTCCATTTCGCTGGGGCTTTCAGATGGCTCTGTCTCAGTAGTTTCAATCTCAGAATCCCAACTGGCAGTAGCTCAAGAGTGGCAAGCACATGCCTTCGAGTTGTGGACTGCTTCCTTCGATATTCACCAGCCTCATTTGGTATATACTGGGTCGGATGACTGCAAATTCAGTTGCTGGGATTTGAGGGATGACCCTTCTTCCAATTCGGTATTCCAGAACTCCAAGGTTCATAAGATGGGCGTTTGTTGCATTGCAAAGAGTCCCACTGACCCCAATGCATTGCTGACGGGGAGTTATGACGAGCATCTCCGAGTATGGGATGTCAGATCGATCTCAAAACCGGTGAACCAAGTCTCCCTGCGCTTAGGGGGAGGAGTTTGGAGAGTTAAGTACCATCCATTTGTTGCAGATGTTGCATTAGCAGCATGTATGCATAATGGATTTGCTATTGTTAAGATCAATGATGGGGGAAGTGAGATAATTGAGACGTATGATAAGCACAAGTCGCTGGCTTATGGTGCTGATTGGCAGAGAGGTGGCCTTTGTGGGGAAGGCAGAGGAATGAGCGCTGCAGTTGCAACCTGCTCCTTTTATGACAAGCTTGTGCGGGCATGGATTCCTCAAAATACCATTGTTTAACAAGTGACTTTCAGCATGCTTTTGAAAATGCTTCTTGTGAGCACACTTCCTGAATTCACTCATCAATTGCCTGCTTCTGCGGGTGCTTTATCAGTGTACTTTATGAGGCCAATGTATCATTATCATCTGCAACAAAACAATTGTTTTGGATGGGATTCCCTGTTCTTCTTTTTATATGCCATTAAATACCTGATCTTTGGCATATGCTCTTGATCTCAGACAGAAATCCTCGAAACAGGGGATGAGGTCGGGCTTTGTATATGTTTTCCAACTCAGGAACAGGTTTTCGCTACTTGGCTTGTATCGTTGAACTTGTTGTGCTCTGTTTTCTAGTTTATTTGATCAATTTGCTTCCATGGTTGTGGACGGTTGAGCCTTTGGTCTCTGCTACAGGAAAAATTGTATCGTACAGCACAATAAAGTTTGTTTTTACCAGATGCAGTAAAGTTCTTCCATTAATGTTCCCTTCACTACATGCAATTGCAAAGGAACAATCAAGGACATTGAAAAGTTCATAAACTCAGGGGGGGACTGGCCTCAACTACTACACATTTACATTGCAGGACACTACACAATGTCCTGGAAACCCTCTCCATGATTACTGTGGCCATTTTTGAAGAATTGGTAGAAAAACCAAAGCAGTGTGGGGCTCTCTCTGTCCCTTTCAATGTTACAAAAGGAGCCCAGCTTTTCAATTCCTACTGCTACAAAAGTAATTTGTGAAGCAGGGGATGCTTATTGCTATTGGTTTCAAACCCAAAAGTCCTCCAGCCTTCTTCACTTGCTGACAAGAAACACTTGTGACTGCCACTTACTGCTGCTGCTTTCACTGTCTGTCTTTCTCACGAAGAATCTCCCTTCTCACTTCTTTCTCATCTTCTTATCTTCACAAAAATTACACTTGTACTGCTCTTGAGTCTCACATGCACTATCCTGAGCCAAAAAAAAAAAAAAAAAAAGAAGAAGAAGAAGAAGAAGAAAAGACTGAATCTTTTTTTCTTTTCTTTCTATATATCAATCATAAAATTCCAAATTTGTAATATTCATTCATTCCTTCCATTACTTCTTGGCCACATTCTGCCTTACCCATTTCCAGACTCCTTTTGGATTCCACACATTGGCGCCACTAAATAGGCCGAGTTACCCAGAAAATGGGTGCCACTGGGTTGAAGTTGTAGGCTTTGAGACTTCAATTTTGGGGGTCCTTTCCTCACCTGAAATGAGTTTGCTCAAGCTTTCCTGGGCGATTTGGTTGCTCTCGATTTTGGGGTGTAGAGCTCTTCTCTGTTGTCATGCTGCTGATTTGTCTCTCAAGTTATTGAAGGCTCCACGTCAGTTTTCTCACTTGAGTAGAGCTACATTTGAGTTGCAAGCCTTTTTGGGTGAGGATGAGAGTGCTGCTTGTGTTAACTGTACTTTCAGTTGCAGGGTAAGTTTTTTCCCCCTTCAGCTGATGGAAGTTGGTAGTTTCTGCTCTCGTAACTTCAATTCTTAAAAGTTAAAGAAATCACCATCCCTTTTCTGGAAATAAAATAAGAGAAAAATGAATCATGCATTTGCTGGCTGGCTCTCAATTTGTTGTCACTTACAGCTAGATGGTGGCAAACCAACAGATTGTGGATCCAGGAAGGTTTACTATGCAGGGCTGGAGGATGGCAATCATGGGTTTGAAGTCTGTAGCAGTGATGGAAGCTCTTCAGTTGTCTGTGCTGACTACAACTGGACTGTTGGTAAACCAATCGCTTCCTTCTCCAAGTTCTTTTCTTTTGAGTGTACAAGACTTGAATGTCCTTTCACTTCTCAGCCAATTTCCTCCATTGAATGATGCATGTTGTGGTATCTGGTATGAACCAATTTCAAGATTGAGCTTCTGAAGAAACCGTAGATTAACCTGGGTTCATTCTCCTTATTCTCTGCAGACACTATCCCTCCAAGTGCTTCCATTGCCACTTCATCATCTTTCACAAATTCCTTAAACGTGTCTGTAAATATTACTTTCACTGAGCCCTGCACCGGAGGAGCAGGTTTTCGATGTGCATCAGTGGACTCTTGCGATGTGAGTAGTGCTATTTGTTTGAACTTTAGTCAACATCTCGGTAATTTCAAACTTTGTACTGTACCTTAGATGCATATAATGAAGGCTGTAAGGTATCCAGATGCAATTCTTTTCTCCGATTAATCCTTTTTCAAACTCTGTATTGTAACTTAGATGCACATAACTATTTGCAGACTAGTTATTCTAGTGCTACTTTAAGTCTTTTTATCTTACTGTTACAGCTACTAGTCTATGGTGCTGGCCAAGTGATCCCATCTTCCTTTGCTGTTCTTGAACCAAACCTCAAGTATTCTCTAATGGTGACCTTATCGCGTAGTGTTGTATATGGTCGAGTTGTCTTGGTAATGAACAAGAACTTCTGTTCCGATAATGCTGGAAACATGTTTACCAGAACACAGAATTCTAGTTACTTTCTCCATTTTGGTGAGTTAAAGGATCATGTTCATTTTCTATTATCTAACTTTTATCAGTTCTGATTTCCTCTCGGTTGAATTTTTTGCTAATGAAGATTGGAGGAGTGTGTTCGTTGATATGAGGACTCGAATTCCTGAAAGGTTACTTCAACACCAAGGCGAAACTAGGACCGTTCAAGCAACTAACAACTATGATAACCTCAAGTTGTATCTCTACTTCTCCGAGCCTATCCTCAATTCATCAACTGAAGTTCTGAATTCTCTTAATGCAAGTGGAGGCTCACTCCGTCCATTAGGTGGAGAAAGCCTTGGCAACCGTAGATTTGGTTTCGAGGTAGCAAATGCAGATGGACAACCTTTTATTATTCAATTCTCTACTTTTGTTGTACTGTGCTTCATCTTATGTCTTCTTTTTCCCCTTTCAGGTTGTAAATGTTTCTGCCATTTCTATTGTTACAGTTGCAATGCATTCGGACTCGATTATAAGCAGACCAGGGACTCCCGTCTCTCCTATTGCACCAGCCACCTTCCTTTATGGTACCAGCTCTAAGCTTTTCCTTCTTGCATCACTACTACTTCCAGCTTTTGTCAGAAACAACTTTTACCATAAATGCATCAGATTCTGAGAAGCCTGCGGTGAGGCTAAGCACAACATCCAACACAAGGACGAGGGAGCACAACCTTCTGGTGTCTATAAAATTCATGAAACCGGTATTTGGTTTCAACTCTTCCCTTCTGTCAATCTCTGGAGGGCATTTGCAGAGGCAAGCTTACCCTCACAGTTACCTCATACTAGCAAAATAAAATTGACTATTTCACCATTTCTAACATTGATTTCTTCCATTGAATTCCAGCTTCCATGAATTAAGTAGGAGCAGCTACATTACAGAGGTACAAGCTGATGGTGACACAGTATCAGTTAGTGTTCCTGGCAACATCACTTCTGATATTGCTGGAAACAAGAATCTCCCATCCAATGTTCTACAAGTGAGACACTGTAAGAATTCTTCTTCTTTTTCTTTTTTTTTTAAAACTATTTCTTGTGTTGCAAACGCTCGAGATAAGATGTATTAAGGATATAATTGCGCTTCTTGTAGCTCACATGCTCTAGTTTCTTCACAGATTCCGTACCTAGAATCTCGTGCATAGTATCCACATTTGCAGCTGCTTGCTTCATTGCTACATGTCTAGTTGCTGGACTGCTTACTCTGTCAACAGCAAGCCTTCAGGCCATTGGAGCATTTTCAAGGCCATCACCCCTCCTGACATCCGAGCCAACACGGAGTCTTTTCGTACGTAGCCTATGCTTATCGCAACTACAATTTTACTGCTTCCAATAGCTCTAAAGATCTGCCTTTTTGCCTATCAACAGAGAATTGCATGCTACGTTCAGATCTTCGCACTATCTAGGTGGTTGGCTGTCACTCTCCCAGTCGAATATTATGAAGTCTCGAGAGGCTTACAGTGGAGTATTCCATACTTCACACTCCCTTGGGAAACCAGGGGTATTCACTCAGCAACTCTACTCCCAAATTCATCTGCTGTAGTTCCGCATTCTTCTACCATTTCTAGATTCCACAACCCAGAAATTCCCAAGCAAATGCATAAGGGAAAGGAAAGATTGAGCATGGCTGCTTCGGTATATGGCTTGCCTCTTACTCCAATTGAGTACAAATTCTTCTTCGAGGTATTTCAACTCGTCTGGCTCCATTTTACTTAGTAAATCAAATGATCAATGCTCTCATGTTAAAGAGATGATCACTTGTGATGTGCAGAGCCAAGACATGAAGCCAGAAGCAGATTATATCATGGAAACACAGCGTTCCAATGGGTGGAAAGATTTTCACAGAACCATGTTCTGGTTAGCAGTAATCTGTGGTGGTCTAATACTGCTGCATGCCATAGCTATCCTGATCCTCAAGTACAAGAAGAGAGAAGAAGAATCTCAAAAGCCCAGCAGCAATGGAGCATTGGTATTTCCAAGATTCGAAATATTTCTTCTCATTCTCTTATTGCCTGGCATCTGTAAGGCATCTGCAGTGTTGGTGAAAGGTATGTTATAGGTTGCATAATTACTTAACTACTAAATTGAAAATGAGTTGGCTAATAATTTGACTTCCTAAACAACTATTCATCCCCAATCCAACAAATTGTTGAGCTACTAAAGTGTTGTTTTCGCATAAACTTTTATGTAAATGTATGGAAGTTTCTGCTGATGTTCTTGCTCTTGCTTTTTATGATTTACAGGTAAAACAGTCTCAGGCACTATAGTCGGAAGTCTGCTGCTTTCAGCAGTTGGCATGTCGCTTCTAGCCTTGCTATTATTCCTCTCAATTGGGATCACTTTAGGGAAGTTACTCCAGTACAAGGAAGTCCATCAAGTAGGGCAGATCTTCCACTGGTATCAGGAGCTGGTTCGTGTCACATTAGGCCCAGGGAAGAGAGGCCAATGGACATGGAAAGATCAACCCATCAACTCAGCCCAGCTGACGAAGCTCGGCCCATTGTTCGAAGATCTCAGAGGCCCGCCAAAGTACATGCTTTCCCAGATAGGAGTTGCCAGCAACAAGTACAGGGACAGAATCATTGCATCAGATGACGAGACAGAAGATGCAGAAGCTCCCTTCATTCAGAAACTCTTTGGAATCCTCAGGATTTACTACACATTGCTCGAATCCATCAAAAGAGTCACCCTAGGGTTCGTCGCTGGTTCATATGCCAATACCTGGTCTTCCAAAACTCCGAGCACTGTCTTACTATCCATCACTGCTTTCCAGCTCTTCTTTGTGGTTCTGAAGAAGCCATTCATCAAGAAGAAAGTGCAGCTAGTCGAGATCATCTCCCTTTCCTGCCAAGTCCTGAATTTCGCCACGTGTTTGATTCTGTCCAAGATGGAACCTTTGTCGACGAGAAACGAAACCCGAGTGGGGATCTTCATGGTTGTGGTGTTCTTGACAGGTTTCTTGGCTCATACGGCAAATGAATGGTATGCACTGTACAGACAGACGAAAAATCTGGACCCTGCATTGAAGTCGTTCTCCACAGGGTTGAAGATGGCAGCAGTTGGGTTGCTGGCTTTCTTGGGCACCAAGAAGATGTGCACTAGCTTGCTCTCCAAGCTACCGAAGAAAGACAGAGAGACAGGCGGAGGGGAAATGGCTGGTTCGTCTTCTGCTGAAAGGAACAAGAATTCGGGAAGCTCGGGGACTCCAATGGTGGACAAACCGTGGATGAGACAGCTGAGAGAAATGGCAAAGGCGAGTTTTACGAGAGAAGGAAGCAGCACAGGTGGAAGAGGTGCAAGCGTTCCGACGGATCCTTCCAGCAGTAGGACCAAGTGGAGTGGGTTTTGGGGCAGCAAGAAGAGCGAGAGCTCGTCTCAGCAATCCTCTGCTGATTTCAAATCCAGACCAAACCGCTTGTACAAAGATTTAGAAGCCATCTTTGCAGCAAAATGATGAACGTTCCTGTCTTTCTTTCTTGATAAACAAGAGCGTGAAAGTTCAACAGGGAATGCAGACAATCAATTCCTCAGATCAGTCTTTCTTCAATTTGAAACTTAACTCTTACTTACGACTGTAAATCATTCTTTTACGCAATTCATTGATGGTTCATGCAAAGTAAAAAAAGTTGCAAATTGGCTGGCAACTTTCGAAGTGTGATGGCGCCATGTAACAAATTCTGGAAAGAAACCAATTGCAGCAAGTAACAAACGCTCTATTAAGTAATCAGTCGCACTCCCCTGATCCTTACCAGAAACAAAATCCGCCATTAAAGAAGCAATATGACAGTTCAAGTTCAGGTGAGCAAGTAGTTGAGAACACGAAAAGAAGACCTACAAAACACCACTCTGCCACTCCCTCTTTCCATCAAGAAATTCCCCTGCCTCCATCCATCGCGCCCAACATTCCACAATGTCTACAACCCAATTCCACCGCTACTGGACGCAGCTGAAGAGAATGTGGGAGCTAGCAGGCCCGGCCATGGTAATCGAAGTCTCCCAATTCTCCATCGCCCTCGTCACTTCTGCCTTCGTGGGCCACATCGGCCCATTGGAGCTCGCCGCCGTCTCCATCGTCCTCAACGTCCTCGAAGAATTCGCTCTCGGTTTCATGGTCCTCTGTTTTCCTCTACCGATTCAATTCAAGTTCACAGTTTGATTAAATTGGTAATTAAATTAACCAACTCTCATTTCCATCAGTTGGGCATCGGTAGCGCGACGGAGACGCTATCGGGGCAAGCCGTGGGGGCAGAGAAGCTCCACCTGCTGGGCATCTACATGCAGAGGTCGTGGCTGCTTTCGATGGCGACGGCTCTGCTTCTTGCCCCCTTTTACGCCCTGGCGGCGCCGATCTTCCACAAGCTGCTGCGGCAGGACGCAAAGATCTCGGAGCTCGCCGGGAGATTCTCGATGTGGATGCTGCCGCAGCTGTTCTTTTTCGCGATGAACTTCCCGCTGCAGAAGTTTCTGCAGGCGCAGAGCAGAGTGTGGGTTCTGGCGGCGATTTCGAGCTCGGTGCTGCTGATTCACGTCGTGCTCAGCTGGGGTTTCGTTTCCAGGCTAGGGTTTGGTGTCGTCGGGGCGGCTGTCGCCGGCGACGTTTCGTGGTTTTTGCTCGTCGTCGCCCAAGCAGGGTACGTGGCGTTTGGCAGTTTCGAGTCGTGGAACGGTTTCTCTGTTCAAGCTTTCTCGTCTTTTCCTGGTTTTGCCAGGCTCTCCCTTGCTTCTGCCGTTTTATCGTGGTGAGGTTCTGTGGCTTGTTTGTTCTTCCTTCCCTTTTTCTGGTTTTGTACGATGGAATGCTCAAATCGGGAAATTGGGTATGGATTACTGTAGTCAAAATCGCGTTTTAAAACACAAACACGTATTGTGACAAAAACGGTAAAAAACAGGCAAAAACGCGCTTCTGATCCATTTTTGTACGATTCTGGTGTTGAACAGCTTGGAGATATGGTACCCAACAGTGGTGATTGTGATGGTGGGGTGGTTAAAGAACCCTGAAATTGCAGTTGGCGCTGCTTCCATTTGGTAACCAATCAATTCCCTTGATCTCAAGATTAGTACTCTATGTTCATCAAAGTAGAAACGATTTTGTTGCGTGCAGCTTGAACATTCAGTACTGGTCATGGATCATTGCTGCAGGATTCAATACCGCTGTAAGGTGAGTGATATCAATTTACATAAACAGTAATCAACCAGTCTTCAAATTGATGCTAATTCGACGCGAATGAATCGATTTTCGCCAATTTGTAGCATTCGAGTGTCGAACGAGCTAGGAGCAGGGAACCACGAAGCAGCCAAACTGTCGGTCGTGGTGACGATCGTGACAGCAACGGTACTCGGCCTGACATTCTCGGCAGTGGTGGTGGCAGCTAAGAACCAGGTCCCGAAGCTCTTCTCTTCGGACCCTCAAGTCATCCACGAAGCAGCGAATCTCGCGTACTTCTCTGCTGCCGCGATATTCCTCGACATCATCATCCCAGTGCTCCATGGTACTGCCAACCTAGCAGCTTGTTAAACTATAAAGTAGTATGTTGCAATGTAATCTACCAGACTTGTTTCTGTGGGGCGACAGGGGTGGCGGTCGGAGCAGGGTGGCAGGTCCAGGTCGCGGTGGTTAACGTCGTGTGTTACTACGTGGTGGGACTCCCATTGACGGCTGTGCTCGGTTTCGGATTCGAGCTCGGGGTTAAGGGGATATGGTCAGGGATGGTGGCTGGCTATGTGCTGCAGATGGCCTTCCTGTTGTTTGTTATTTACAGGACGAATTGGGAAAAGGAAGTGAGTTGCGCTTTTTGCTAGTTGCTTTTTTTTGTTGCTGCAACCCTGAGGATTCGTTGCAGTTCGATTTGAGAATGTCATGGAATGTATTTAACAAGGATTAGTATAAGTGCAGGCTTCGAAAAGTGAGGAGAGGATGAAGAACTGGGGAGAGATCTCAGGAGAGTAGGGCAGTGGAAGCCAGGAGAAATGGATTGGAAGGAAGTAACTCCTACTTCTGTATAAATTCATATTCTTTAGTTTTTTTTTACTGTTATTTCACTTTATTAACGTTTTGAATATACAATTATCCGAAAATAGATATTCTGTTGTTCTAGCTCTCTCTTCCGTTCCACAAGTCAGTAACTTAAAGTGATCCGGCCACCGGACCGAGTTAAAAGCTGGTACATTTGTATAGCCAAACCTTTACGGGTTGTTTGTTTAATGGATTTGAAAAATACGGGCTTTGGTAAAATCCGAGTTTTGAAAAACCATGAATATATGATGGATTTGGTGGCATTATGGATTTGAACAAGTCTATTGTTTGCTTGTTGGATTTGATTATGGATTTTGTTTGATTAGATTTGTGGATATGAAATGTAAATTACCTTGTTACCATTGTCTAATTATATTTCTATATTATAATCCAAAATTTTCATTAAAAACAAATCCAACATATACAAAGAAATTTTACTTTTTACCACTACTTTGTGAACTAGTAATTCAACTATAAATATAGAAATGTATCACAATTTGGCACGAATTAACAATTCATCTAATAATGTACACAATATTACGTATAAGTTGCAACCAGTTGCTCGCCTTATTGACACAACTCAACATCTTCTTGCTATCTCCCCCGGTTTTGAATCCGACAATCATACAAATAATAATGCACAAGATGAGCATAAGGTGTTTATAGTTGAATCCAACAAATCTCATACACATTCATATTTAAATAAAACAAGACATTACAAATGAAATGATAAAGTATCATACTTATGATAGTTATAGCCAAAACATTTCATAATGAAAAATCTAGCCAATTTTAAAACATTTGTCTGGAAATTTAATCATTTTCGTTACAAATTTTAACACTATTACCACCTAGCTGAAATAGATGTACACGTCATCACACGTGAATTTCATGTTAATTATGAGTCATAGCCTTATAGGTAAAACCATGTGACATGCCACATCAACTTAAAATGTTATTTTTTTATAATAAAAAATAATTTTAAAAACCCCACCCCATATAATATGACAAGTTGTCCTTAATAATGCCACATCTTTTTTATAAGACTAAGAGTGATATAGTTTTACATTTTTGTTATTTAGGTACTATTTAAGAGATTTGAACTCGAGATTTTCAAGTTCAAGACTAGTAGTATTATTACTAGATCAAATCTTTGTGTGTTAATGCCACATCATCATAGTCTATTGGTCCAATCATCAATGTCAAAAGATGTGTCAAATTTAGTAGATTATATGTCATTATTAAATCTACCATTGTCATATAGGCTTAAGGTTAGACTATACATGTGTGTTTCTTCTTATTAGTATTTGGTTTATTATTACAAATACCACATTACACAACATGCATTCCAAACGTCCCATATATAAATTGATAATTTGAATTGAATCGGATTATCTGTCATCGACTAGAAGTCACATGAATCTCACTGCTTGTGAATGTAGCTAACACACATTGTATTAGTAAATCACTTAAATATGTGTTTTTTTAGTTTCATACATTGTCGATTATCTCAATCTGTTCTAAGTCCAGTGATTGAAATATCGTATCGTAACGGCGGGTCAACCAGAAAAATCTCTTACCGGAGACTAACCGGGCAGTCGGTATTTAGTGGTATGAAGCGATTGAAGTACGGTTAAACGACAATTTAGTATAAAATACCATATCACCGACTTTTCTGGTTCAACCTCCGGTATGATATTTCAATCCTTGGTTCTAACATAAATTATAGTCAACAGAATGTCAACCAAAATAAAATGTCAACTAATAAACAATTAAGACAACGGGAAAGTCGAGTAAGAGTAAGACAAAGGAAAGATAGCCGGACAGGGAAAGGACCAATGGTCCATGGAGAACAAAATGGAAGAAAAACAATTAAGACAACGGGAAAGTCGAGTAAGAGTAAGACAAAGGAAAGATAGCCGGACAGGGAAAGGACCAATGGTCCATGGAGAACAAAATGGAAGAAAAACATAAAAAGAAAGGAAAATTAAAGCAGAGCTCGTCGATCCAAATATCCAACCTCACAAAGCCAGAACGGCAGAACCCTACTCAAAGTTTATACTCTATACCCTACTCGAAACAAAGCAAGAAAACAGAGCAAACGGCAAATGCAAGAAACAAAAAAAGCTGCATAGGTCCAAGGCCGCAGCAGCAAACAGAGATTGGATTATGAAGGCTCCAGACTGAAAGTGATTCTAGCAAAAGCTTCATCCTGCAGTTCAGACCAACGCTACTTCCCGAAGACGCAGAGCCAGACAGGAACAAGCCAGCAATCATCGGAGCAAACCAGCACACCTTTAGACCCCATCAAACACCTCCATTATGAAAGCTCCAAGCTGAAAGTGATTCTAGCAAAAGCTTCATCTTGCCGTTCAGACCAACGCTTCTTCCTGAAGACGCAAATCACAACAGGAACAGACCAGCAATCATAGGAGCAAACCAACACACCTTTAGACCCCATCAAAAACCTCCAGCTTCACTTGACAAGATCTCCGAATCAATCCAAAGGAAATGCTGCAGATTCTGGTGTTTACTACTCCATAATGCTGGATTGGATACCCAAAGTAGAGGATTGGCTGCCTGGGTTGAGGTTGCTCAAAAAGCAACTAGGTCAACAAAGCATGTCTAGGAGCGGGAAGGCATACCACATAGTCAGGTTCGTTCTTCTGAACAGGTGGCTTTGGATGGCTATTGGTATCTTATGAGATATTGTGGGTCTTTATCTATTTCAGACTCAGACTTCCATACCTAAATCCCAAAAACCTCTAGTTACCTGTATGTTTTGGGCTGCATTGCTTGTTTGTACGATCCTTCCCACCCTCAACCTTTGCACGAGTTGCATGGACATTGTCCTTGACTTCCACTGGATTTTCCTAGTTCCTGTTTTCATTGCTCTAGCGATATTGGCTATATTAGTTGATACGTTAACTTCTACTCGTTAGTGGTGGTTCAAAGCTATCAATCCAAACACCATTTCGGATTTGCTTTCACTTGGTTCTGGTAAGTTTTCATTTTTTACCCGCTACTTTTGGTTTAATGCTTTCCTTTCAAGCCTCGGTAGCTTTGCTGTTTTAGTTTGTTAGATAGAGATAGAGTCCGAGTTGTGTATATATACTGTTTTACAGCTTTCTAAATAAAACTGTAAGTTTACGTCATTGAGTTTTATCATTGTGGTATAAAAGCTCTTTGCAAGCTGTAACCAAACTTAGTTAAGTGTGCATGGCTGTGTGAGTGTGAGTAAGAGTAAATTTGCAGAACAGAGTTAGATCTTTGGGTGGGAAGCACGAGTGTACTGGAACGGATCTGCAAGAGGGGGAAACACATCGGGTGAGTGTAAACAGAGAATTGTGAGTGTGAGAAATAAAATGAGCGAGTCTAGTAGTTTTGCAAAAGTGTGCATACTGAAATTTGATAGAGACTTTGAGCAGTGGAGTCTTATCATGGAGAACCTTCTTCGGTCAAAGGAGTATTGGCAAGTGGTGAGTGATGGATTCAGGGAACAAGGACAAGGAGAGGAGTTGTCAGCAGTTGAAACAAAGAAGCTAAATGATTTGATGGTATAATGTAATGGTGATGTCTGGTGGTATGATGGGAGAAGATGGAGGTTCTTGGTATCTTGAACAAGGTGGGAAAGAAGAGAGAGGGATGGAAGCAATAAATATGGAATTACAGTATGTTAAGAGTTTCAGTTTATATAGTGAACTGATGATGAATGTTTATGCAAAGCAGCCACAAATCCTTGTGGTTGCAGGGGACGAAAATAAGAACATGCTAGCTTAGAAGAAGGAAGTTGTTAGTAGTTGGGTACTGACACGAAAGAATATGGAGCAAGACCAACCTCCTCAGTTGTCAAAAACTGAGGACAATTGTCTTACCTGTCTATATGCAGAAGAATTAACTCGTGGGGAAGTATATGCACCTCAATTTAGTGCAATGTTGTCTCAAAATGAAGAAGCAGTTGCAGTGGAGACTAATGTGCTTGGGATTCATGATGTGAATTCATTGGCATCCAAACCAGGATAAATGTGACCAGCATAAAGTGGCAGCACATTTATCCTGTTTTAGGAGCTAAAGGGGTAGGTGTCAAGAAAAATACTGAAGTGAAGCAACCACAAGATTCTGGGGTTGCAGGGGAAGAAAAGAAGAGGTACAACATGGTTTTCGGAGCTAGGTTGGGGAACGCTACAGAATTCAAGCAGATGGCTGGTATCTTGCTTTATATTCTTAGCATGTACTTGGATAGATCAACCATTACTAAATTGTATGGTCAAATCAGTGTTCATGTGTTGGTGGTCAAGACAGCGTTCAAAAGTATCCTGGGCTCTAGTATTCAGTATGAAGGAGGCCAAAAGGACAATTATTATGCTTGGCTTACAGTTTGTTTGGTCAGTCTAAAAGTTGGTTTTGCAGTTGTTGTGTTGCTTGCATCAAGAATTCAATAACTTACTTTGGAGCTGGTTTTGACGTGATGAAGACTGGCTATGGCTATATTAAAGTTGTGTTTGAGGAATTTAAAGCATGTTGTGAGTCTTTAATATCAGGGGTTGTATCATATTTTCTCAAGAAACAACAAGCAATCACATTGATTGCAGTTGAGGGTGAACTTGTGGGAGACTTTGACTGTACTACTCAGAGCTTTTGGCTTCAAAGAGTTCTAGACGAGTTGAAATGGAAGGCTGGTGTGAGGGGAGAAATAGAAATTCACAACCATGTTTTGAATGGAGAAAGCGGATGTATGAATGCAAATCTTCGATTTCTAAGGAGCTCGGATAAGTAAAGATTTGTGCAACTTGAGCTTCATGGGGCTTAAAATAAGGTGGTTGATATCTTGAAAAGGCTGTCAAGTTGGATGCATTTGAAGAGTTGGGATGGAAGCCTAGAGTGAGTGAGCTGACTGCTGAAATTTCTGAAATTGCAGCTACTGTTGTTGTTGCAGATTAAACTGAAGTTCGAAACACTTCAGTTTAGGGGAGGCATTGTTGAATAAGTAATCACATGAGTGATCACGTGAGTTCTAGTGAGAGTTGGCCATTTTGGGTTTTGAGTTGTGGTTAATTAATTCTGCCGTTTAAGCTAGTGGTGTCGCAGGAACGTGAGTGAGCTGGTAGTTGTGTGTGGACGAATTTAGTGTTGAGATAGAGTCCGAGTTGGGTATATATACTGTTTTACAGCTTTCTAAATACAACTGTCGTTTGCCTCATTGACTTTTATCATGTTTTGTGATGAAAATTTGGCCATATGCTTACTTTGTCTTGATTGCCTATATGTTTTCAATGCGGTTACAGTTAGCCTTTGAAGATTTTCCAAAATCAAAGACCTACTTGCACATTTGAATTCATTGAAAACGTGGGGGTATACAGCTTTGGTGCTGCTAGCTCTTGGTTTAATGATGTGGTTCGATAGTATGAAGAAAGAGCAAGCCAAGGAGGAATTAGAAGAGGAAGAAAGAGAAAGGGAAGCTAGGGCGGCTCAAGAACGGCATGATGTTGAGAACCAGATTCTAACCGGTAATGAAGCGCCAGGTGTACGTGGAGCGGTGCATGGGTCAAGGACTGGTGATTTTATGAAAGAAGCAAGAGATGCAGAAAAGAAGGAATGGAGGAAAGTAATGGAAACAACATCAGTAACATCTACTTCTACAGCCAACGAGTTCACATAAATAACAGAGTTTCCAGAAGAACAAAGACAGAAAGAATGGGGAAACAATACAGCCTACGCCGAGGACGACGAAGAAGAAGAAGTTGAAGTACAACTTAAGCGCCGTCCGAAATAGTGATGGCAATTTCAACCCGCCCCGCTGGTATTACCCGACCTGACCCGCGATGGGGTGGGTATTACCCGACCCGCAGTAGCGTGGGGCGGGGCACGGGTATCGACTTCCGACCTGCCCTCCCCCCCGCCCCGTTCTAGACTCATTTTATCTCAATTTCTTACAATATCTATACATATTTCTTCTATTTTGACTTTTCATCAACTAGTTAGAGTCGATCTTTCAACTTGTTAGACTCATTATCCATTCTATTATCAATATTTTTCATTTTTAAAGTGTTTTCCCCTACGTTTTATTGTAAAAAGTAAAGTTTACTTGTATTTTTTTTGAACAACATGTAAGAGTGGGTCGACCTGCTCCGTCCCATACCCGCGCGGGTTTTACCCGCCCTGACCCGTAGTAGGGTGGGGCGGGGCATGAGAATTGAGGTACTCGCCCCGCCCTGCCCCATTGCCATTACTAGTCCGAAATGATTACATCTTGAGAAAGAAAGAACAGATTTATCGGAAGAAGAACAAAGGCAGAAGAAAGGGGGAGAGTCCTCGAAGGAATCAAACAGCGAAATCAGTAACAAGGGAAAACTAATATTGGTCAATCAGCCACTTTCTATCAATCTGGACTTGATATACCGTCAGATTCCTCAAGCCCCCTGGCTATCAGAATTAAGAAAACAAAGAGAGTGGCAGATCGTGGTATATAAACCTCAACCCCAGCCTAATATTTCCCTGGCAGATGAAGAGGTGAAGGAGGATGGAGAAGAGGGCAAAGTAGGGGTGTCAACAGAGGTGAAGGAGGAAGGAGAAGAGGGCGAAGCAGGGATGTCAACAGAGGTGAAGGAGGATGTTGAGAACCAGACTCTAAATGGTAATGAAGCGTCAGGTGTACGTGGAGCGGTGCATGGGTCAAGGACTCCAGGTGATTTTCTGAAAGAAGCAAGAGATGCAGAAGAGAAGGAATGGGGGAAAGTAATGGAAACAACATCAGTGACATCTACTTCTGTAGCCAATGAGTTCATAGAAAAAAACAGAGTTTCCAGAAGAACAAAGCCAGAAAGAATGGGGAAACAATAAAACCTACATCGAGGATAAGGAAGAAGAAGAAGAAGTACAACTTAAGCATCGACCGAAACGATTAAATCTCGAGAATGAAAGAACAAATTTATAGGAAGAAGAACAAAGGCAGAAGGAAGGGGGAGAGTCCTTAAAGGAATCAAACAGCGAAATCAGTAACGAGGGAAAACTAATATTGGTCAATCAGCCACTTTCTATCAACCTAGACTTGATATACCGTCAGATTCCTCAAGCCCCCTGGCTATCAGAATTAAGAAAACAAAGAGAGTGGCAGATCGTGGTATATAAACCTCAACCCCAACCTATTCTTTCCTTGGCAGATGAAAAGGTGAAGGAGGATGGAGAAGAGGGCGAAGCAGGGGTATCAACAGAGGTGAAGGAGGAGGTAGAATGGGCGAAGCAGGGGTGTCAACAGAGGTGAGGAAGAATATTGAGAACCAGACTCTAAATGGTAATGAAGCGTCAGGTGTATGTGGAACGGTGCGTGGGTCAATGACTCTAGGTGATTTTCTGAAAGAAGCAAAAGATGCAGAAGAGAAGGAATGGGGGAAAGTAATGGAAACAATATCAGTGACATCTACTTCTACAGCTAATGAGTCTACCGACACGTCAGGTGTACGTGGAGCGGTGCATTGTTCAAGGACTCTAGGTGATTTTCTGAAAGAAGCAAGAGATGCAGAAGATAAGGAATGTGGGAAAGTAATGGAAACAACATCAGCGACATCTACTTCTGCAGCCAATGAGTTCACAGAAATAACAGAGTTTCCAGAAAAACAAAGATAGAAGGAATGGGGAAACAATAAAGCCTACGTCGAGGACGAAGAAGAAGAAGAAGAAGTTGAAGTACAACTTAAGCGTCGTCCGAAACGATTACATCTCGAGAAAGAAAGAACAGATTTATCGAAAGAAGAACAAAGGCAGAAGTAAGGGGGAGAGTCCTCAAAGGAATCAAACAGCGAAATCAGTAGCGAGGGAAAACTAATATTGGTCAATCAGCTACTTTCTATCAACCTGGACTTGATATACCGACAGATTCCTCAAACCCCCTGGCTATCAGAATTAAGAAAACAAATAGAGTGGCAGATCGTGGTATATAAACCTCAACTCCAGCCTATTCTTTCCCTGGCAGATGAAGAGGTGAAGGAGGATGGAGAAGAGGGCGAAGCAGGGGTGTCAACAGAGGTGAAGGAGGAGGGTGAAGAGGGCGAAGGAGGGGTGTCAACAGAGGTGAAGGAGGATGTTGAGAACCAGACTCTAAATGGTAATGAAGCGTCGGGTGTACGTGGAGCGGTGCATGGATCAAGGACTCTAGGTGATTTTCTGAAAGAAGCAAAAGATGCAGAAGAGAAGGAATGAGGGGAAAGTCATGGAAACAACATCGGTGATATCTACTTCTGCAGCTAATGAGTCTACCGACACGTCAGGTGTACGTGGAGCGGTGCATGGTTCAAGGACTATAGGTGATTTTCTTAAAGAAGCAAGAGATGCAAAGGAGAAGGAATGTGGTAAAGTAATGGAAACAACATCAGCGACATCTACTTCTGCAGCCAATGAGTTCACAGAAATAACAGAGTTTCCAGAAAAACAAAGATAGAAGGAATGGGGAAACAATAAAGCCTACGTCGAGGACGAAGAAGAAGAAGAAGAAGTTGAAGTACAACTTAAGCGTCGTCCGAATTCGAGAAAGAAAGAACAGATTTATCGAAAGAAGAACAAAGGCAGAAGTAAGGGGGAGAGTCCTCAAAGGAATCAAACAGCGAAATCAGTAGCGAGGGAAAACTAATATTGGTCAATCAGCTACTTTCTATCAACCTGGACTTGATATACCGACAGATTCCTCAAGCCTCCTAGCTATCCGAATTAAGAAAACAAATAGAGTGGCAGATCGTGGTATATACACCTCAACCCCAATCTATTCTTTCCATGGCAGATGAAGAGGTGAAGGAGGATGGAGAAGAGGGCGAAGCAGGGGTGTCAACAGAGGTGAAGGAGGATGGAGAAGAGGGCGAAGCAGGGGTGTCAACACAGGTGAAGGAGGATGTTGTTAACCGGGCTCTAAAGGGTAATGAAGCGTGAGGTGTACGTGGAGCGGTTCATGGTTCAAGGACTCTAGGGGATTTTCTGAAAGAAGCAAAAGATGCAGAAGAGAAGGAATGAGGGAAAGTAATGAAAAAAAATTAGCGACATCTACTTCTGAAGCCAATGAGTTCACAAAAATAACAGAGTTTTCAAAAGAACAAAGACAGAAGGAATGCGGAAACAATACAGCCTACGTCGAGGATGACGAAGAAGAAGAATTTGAAGTACAACTTAGCGCCGTCCGAAACGATTACATCTCGAGAAAAAAAGAACGGATTTATCGGAAAAAGAACAAAGACAGAAAGAAGGGGAGAGTCCTCAAAGGAATCAAATAGCGAAATCAGTAACGAGTAAAAACTAATATTGGTCAATCAGCCACTTTCTATCAACCTGGACTTGATATACCGTTAGATTCCTCAAGCCCCCTGGCTATCAGAATTAAGAAACTGAAGAGAGTAGAAGATCTTGGTTTATAAACCTCAACCCCAGCCTATTCTTTCCCTGGCAGATGAAGAGGTGAAGGAGGATGAAGCAGAGGGTGAAGCAGAGGTTTCAACAGAGGTGAAGGAGGATGGAGAAGAGGGCGAAGCAGGGGTGTCAACAGAGGTGAAGGAGGATGTTGAGAACCAGACTCTAAATGGTAATGAAGCGTCAAGTGTACGTGGAGTGGTGCATGGGTCATGAACTCTAGGTAATTTTTTGAAAGAAGCAAAAGATGCAGTAGAGAAGGAATGGGGGAAAAGTAATGGAAACAACATCTGTGACATCTATTTCTGCAGCTAATGAATCTACCGACACGTCAGGTGTACGTGAAGCAGTGCATGGTTCAAGGACTCTAGGTGATTTTATGAAATAAGCAAGAGATGTATAAGAGAAAGAATGGGGTTAAGTAATCGAAACAACATCAGCGACATCTACTTCTGTAGCCAATGAGTTCACAGAAATTACAGAGTTTCCAGAAAAACAAGGATAGAAGGAATGGGGAAACAATACAGGCTACGTCGAGGACGACGAAGAAGAAGAAGTTGAAGTACAACTTAAGCGTCGTCCGAAACGATTATATCTTGAGAAAGAAAGAAAAAATTTATCGAAAGAAGAACAAAGGCAGAAGAAAGGGACAGAGTCCTCGAAGGAATCAAACAGCGAAATCAGTAACAAGGAAAAACCAATATTGGTCAATCATCCACTTTCTATCAACCTGGACTTGATATACCGTTAGATTCCTCAAGCCCCCTGGCTATCAGAATTAAAAAAACAAATAGAGTGGCAGATCGTGGTATATAAACCTCAACCCCAACCTATTCTTTCCATGGCAAATGAAGAGGTGAAGGAGGATGGAGAAGAGGGCGAAGCAATTGTGTCAACAGAGGTGAAGGAGGAGGGAGAAGAGGGCGAAGCAGGGGTGTCAACAAAGGTGAAGGAGGATGTTGTTAACCGGACTCTAAATGGTAATGAAGCGTCAGGTGTACGTGGAGCGGTGTATTGTTCAAGGACTCTAGGTGATTTTCTGAAAGAAGTAAAAGATGCAGAAGAGAATGAATGAGAGAAAGTAATGGAAAAAACATTAGCTACATCTATTTCTGCAGCCAATGAGTTCACAAAAATAACAGAGTTTCCAAAAGAAAAAAGATAGAAGGAATGGGGAAACAATAAAACCTACGTCGTGGATGACGAAGAAGAAGAATAAGTTGAAGTACAACTTAAGCGTCGTCCGAAACGATTACATCTAGAGAAAGAAAGAACAGACTTATCGGAAGAAGAACAAAGGCAGAAGGAAGGGGGAGAGTCCTCAAAGGAATCAAACAGCGAATCAGTAACGAGTGAAAACTAATATTAGTCAGTCAACAACTTTCTATCAACCTGGACTTGATATACCGTTAGATTCCTCAAGCCCCCTGGCTATCAGAATTAAGAAAACAAAGAGAGTGGCAGATCGTGGTTTATAAACCTCAACCCTAGCCTATTCTTTCCTTGGCAGATGAAGAGGTGAAGGAGGACGGAGTAGAGGGCGAAACAATTGTGTCAACAGAGGTGAAGGAGGAGGGAGAAGAGGGCAAAGCAGGGGTGTCAACAAAGGTGAAGGAGGATGTTGTTAACCGGACTCTAAATGGTAATGAAGCGTCAGGTGTACGTGGAGCGATGCATTGTTAATGGACTCTAGGTGATTTTCTGAAAGAAGCAAAAGATGCAGAAGAGAAGGAATGAGGGAAAGTATTGGAAAAAACATCAGCGACATCTACTTCTGCAGCCAATGAGTTCACAAAAATAACAGAGTTTCCAAAAGAAAAAAGATAGAAGGAATGGGGAAACAATACTGCCTACGTCGTGGATGACGAAGAAGAAGTTGAAGTACAACTTAAGCGCCGTCCGAAACGATTACATCTCGAGAAAGAAAGAACAGACTTATCGGAAGAAGAACAAAGGCAGAAGGAAAGGGGAGAGTCCTCTAAAGAATCAAACAACGAATCAGTAACGAGTGAAAACTAATATTAGTCAATCCGCAACTTTCTATCTACCTGGACTTGATATACCGTCAGATTCCTCAAGCCCCCTGGCTATCGGAATTAAGAAAACAAATAGAGTGGCAGATCGTGGTATATACACCTCAACCCCAACCTATTCTTTCCATGGCAGATGAAGAGGTGAAGGAGGATGGAGCAGAGGGCGAAGCATGGGGAGAAGCGGGCGAAGCAGGGGTGTCAACAAAGGTGAAGGAGGATGTTGAGAACCAAACTCTAAATGGTAATGAAGCGTCAAGTGTACGTGGAGCGGTGTATGGGTCAAGGACTCTAGGTGGTTTTCTGAAAGAAGCAAAAGATGCAGAAGAGAAGGAATGGGGGATAGTAATGGAAACAACATCAGTGACATCTACTTCTGCAGCCAATGAGTTCACAGAAATAGTAGAGTTTCCAGAAGAACAAAGACAGAAGGAATGGGGAAATAATACAGCCTACGTCGAGGACGATGAAGAATAAGAAGAAGTTGAAGTACAACTTAAGCGCCGTCCGTAACGATTACATCTTGAGAAAGAAAGAACAGATTTATCGGAAAAAGAACAAAGGCAGAAGAAAGGGGGAGAGTCCTCAAAGGAATTAAACAACGAAATCAATAACGAGGGAAAACTAATATTGGTCAATCAACCACTTTCTATCAACCTTGACTTGATATACCGTCAGATTCCTCAAGCCCCCTGGCTATCAGAATTAAGAAAACAAAGAGAGTGGCAGATCGTGATATATAAACCTCAACCCCAGCCTATTCTTTCCCTGGCAGTTGAAGAGGTGAAGGAGGATGGAGAAGAGGGCGAAGAAGGGGTGTCAACGGAGGTGAAGGAGGAGGGAGAAGAGGGCGAAGCAGGGGTGTCAACAGAGGTGAAGGCGGAGGGAGAAGAGGGCGAAATATGGATGTCAACAAGCTGGGACCACTATTAGCTTTGAGTATTGTCCTTTTACATATCTGATCAGTGGCCTTTATGTTTGCATTTTGGTATTAGTTGTCATATAAGCTTTAATGTCTCATGAGATTTCAATTGTCGAGAGACTTCTAACAACATGTGTAGATCCTCGTATGGAATGATCTTTAGCTATTGTTTTCTAGTAAGTTTTCCTAATGGTTTTGTGGCATGCATATTCTACATGGAACTGCAGTTGATTCCATAAGTCTTTGGCAAAATTGAGCTTACACTAGAAGAAGTCGCTTAGCTTAGCTTTGAGCATATCTGATTGGCTATCTTCTCAGAGCCCTATGCCTCAAGTGAGTGAGACTCAGAGCTCTGATATCAAGTCTGGCTTCTCGGGCTTCCTCAATTCATTCATTAACCTAACCTAGTTCTACAAATATACCTGGATGCAATGGTAAATGAATAGATCTTCCACTAATCAATTTGGTGTTGGTTTTTCTCAGAGTTTTTACAGCATTGCCATCTATGATGGGCTTCATTCTTAAAATTGAGGTTGCTACAGATTGGTCAACAGTGATTCGTTGTACTTGGGATTTTGCTTCTATCTTCTCCTGTTCCTGGGAAGCCCAGGGTACCATTCTGAGTTAATGGAGCTGCATTTGTGCTCAGTATCTTTCACATTAGAGCCCATCATTTTGGTTGAGCTATTATCCATGGAGGTGGAAAGTATGTTGGTAATTCTAGAGATCCTGGTGTAATTTTTGTCTCTGTGGATGATATACACATGGTGAATTTACTGACAGTTAGAGGTGGCAATTAGGATCCAAATCCATGAATCCAATCCAATCCATCCACCAAATTATCCACTTAATCCAATCCATTTAAATCCAATCCATTTGATCCAAATCCAATTGGATTGGTGGATTCATGGATCAATCCATGGATCCAAATGGCAAATTACAATTTGGTACCTATATTTTTTATATTTTACATTTTGATACCTAAAATTTATATTTTTATACGAAAAAAATCATTGGAAAATTACATTTTGGTACCTAAAATTTTTCATTATGACATTTTAGTACGTAAACTTCTCAAAATTTACATTTTGGTCCAAGCCTTGGATGTCATTTGGATTCATGGATCAATCCACCAATCCATTTGATCCAATCCATAATCCACCAATCCATCCATGGATCCACCAATCCAATCCACGAATCCGATCCAATTGCCACCTCTACTGACAGTACCAAGTCACTGGCAGAAGCTTCATTGTCTGGCTAGCATATCATGATTTTTGCTGAAAATTACAGGCTAAAGATACTCAACAAGTCATTTTGTCAAAGCGTGCGTGCAGCGTGCGAGTATTATTTGCTTGCAACTTGAATTTCTGAGTTAACTGTGTTAAATTGTAGTGGTAAGGAATTTCACTCAGTAGCCCCGGCGGCAGCGGGTGGAGGAGGTGGTGGTGGATGCAGGATGCTTACCGACACTGGACTCGTCAGCATTCTTGCTGGACTATCACCGTCAGATTTAGCAGCAACAAACGGTTAGCGTCGATCATCCAGTTTCTTCTTCCGGAATAAAGTCGGCGATGGTGGCAGTTAGGCGGTTGGGAGGCCATCAGATAGTCTCTAGGCGCCTCAGTTGTGGAGAGGATAACTCTTCCCTTTCTTTTCCTTATCTGCTTATTAATTTTTACTTTAATTTGGCTATTTTCGCTTGATTTTTATAATTTATTTTTTACTCTTTGGTGGAAAGAATTGCAGAGGTGGTGGAGACGTGGAGTGAAGGGCGTTCGCCTGGCCGTATACCAATTCGAAATGAGATATTGCGTTGGGCCTTAAGCCTTAAGCCTTGTGGGCTTGGAGGAATTTTTTTATCCGTACGTACTCAACTAATTGGCTGGGCCTAGTTGGGGCTTTTTGCTTTGTTTGTTTTCCAGGGAGCAGATGGACTTTCCTCAAACTTTGGAGACGTTGAGGGATATGCTGCATTGCGGTCACTTGACAACCACAGTAGATTGGTCCATTACTTCTAACCTGAAAAGGTTGAAGCAAAGACATGGATCTGGTCAATGCGTAGGTATCTTAGGGATGTCCATATCGTGGCAAAAAAAACCCTTTTGTCTTTGGATCGTTCGACGCTTTTTCCTTATTTATCTTTTGTGAATTGACCTGAAAAGGTCTTGTACTTATATTTCGTATCTTGCTGTTTTCCCATTATGTGGGATACCTTTGGAAAAAAAAAAGGAATTTCACTCAATGGTTGTAGGCTTACTTGCCACCCTCATCATCCATGGCCTTATTCATTATCCAGTTCATGGCCGTGTGTAAATGTACTGTACTGCGAAGTATCAATTGTCCTGTCAGTACCAGCTAATTATGGCTCTAGCACCTTGATAGCAGTTGAATGAAATGAATGGTCGTTTCTCTTACAGGAAGGAGCAGAATGTGAATTTGGCTTTGGCGGTTCAAGTTGGAGGAGCAACCACAATTGTTATCTTCTTTGGGGAATCATTGCTAGAGGAAAATTAGCTGGTAGAATATGTATTTATATGTGTTACTTTTGAAATGCCATTCCTGCATTTTGTAGTAGTGATTACCTTTGAGACATTGATTATAGCATATTTGCCGCAGCTGGTTTCATCTGAATGGATGACATCCCTGTACTGGTTGCAAATGCTTCAGTAGGAAGTAATCCACAAATTGGATTGGAGGAGGCTGGGATGGTTGATTTACAGCAAATTGGTGATGCTTCTGTGGTATCAAATGTACATACTTCAAAGTGACAAAACAAGTTTCCTTCAGGTTGAGGCTGAGGCAAGCACCTCCTCGTTTCTCTTTCGGGTTAAAGACACATTTGGTCACTGAGATTACAAAATCGGGACATGCTTAGTCACTAGAAAAAATTAATATCAAATTTGGTCACTACAATTACTAAAACTGGACACATTTAGTCACTCGCTGTTAGTCTCCGTCCAACTCCGTTAATGAAGTCCGTTAAGTGATGATGTGGCAAACAGAATTGCCTAATCAGCCGGATATAACCCAACAAAAATAAAACCCGACCCGCCACGTCATTATAACCCGCCACGTCATTAAAACCAACCCATGACCCAACCCAACCCAACCCTTCTTCCTCCTTCCTCTCACCTCCTTCTTTCCCCAAAACCACCGCCGCTCTCCTCCTTCCTCCCACCACCTTCCAACCCACCCAGAAAACCAAAAAACCCCTTTCCCACTTCTCACCTTCTCCAACATCGAAACCAATCTCCACCACCCCCACCTCCGCCTCAATTAGGCAAAATGAGGCTTCATTACCTCTTCTTCTACCTCCTCCTCCTCTTCCACCTCCATATCTCTACTTCCTCCGCGCGGGTATTGTTCGAATCCCAAGCTCTCCTCTCCCTAAAAGCCACCGTAACCGACGACCCAGATTCCGTACTCACCGCCTGGAACTCTTCTGCCGCCGTCTGTACTTGGCCCGGAGTCACGTGAGACTTCTCCCGCCGTCACGTGACCTCCCTCGACCTCGGCCTCTCCGGTACCCTCTCGCCGGACGTCGCCCACCTCCGCTACCTCCAGAACCTCTCTCTCGCCGACAATCAGTTCTCCGGCCCTATCCTGCCCCAGCTCTCCGCCGTTTCGGGCCTCCGCCTCCTCAATCTCTCCAACAATGTCTTCGATTGCACTTTCCCCAGCCAGCTCGCCCAGCTCAAGAATCTCCAGGTTCTCGACCTGTACAACAACAATATGACCGGCGACTTGCCGTTGACCGTTACCGAAATGCCCAATCTCCTCCACTTACACCTCGGAGGCAACTTCTTCGCCGGGAAAATCCTGTTGGAGTACGGGAGGTGGGAGTTCATCCAATACCTAGCTGTCTCCGGTAACGAGCTGGTCAGGACTATTCCTCCGGAGCTGGGGAACTTAACCTCGCTGCAGCAGCTCTACATTGGTTTCGATGTTGGAGAAGGTGAGAAGTGGGAAAGGGGTTTTTTTGGTTTTCTGGGTGGGTTGGAAGGTGGTGGGAGGAAGGAGGAGAGCGGCGGTGGTTTTGGGGAAAGAAGGAGGTGAGAGGAAGGAGGAAGAAGGGTTTGGTGGGGTTGGGTCATGGGTTGGGTTGGGTTGGTTTTAATGACGTGGCGGGTCGGTTTTATTTTTGTTGGGTTATATCCGGCTGATTAAGCAATTCTGTTTGCCACATCATCACTTAACGGACTTCATTAACGGAGTTGGACGGAGACTAACGGCGAGTGACTAAATGTGTCCAGTTTTAGTAATTGTAGTGACCAAATTTGATATTAATTTTTTCTAGTGACTAAACATGTCCCGATTTTGTAATCTCAGTGACCAAATGTGTCTTTAACCCTTTCTCTTTCTTATAGTTTCTGTATGTCTGCCCTCTTCTCGCAACAGTTATGGTAAGGGCTTAATTGAAAAGGTCGTTGTGTGAGCTTTTCTTTACTGGAGAAATTTGACAATGTGGAAAGAAGCTCTTCCTTCCTTTCAGCAATACAAGAAGCCAGAGAAAGTTATGGAGAAGCTTGTAATGCTATGAGGTAATGGACACTGCAAGTTGTCCATCTCACATGAATTTTACTCGCCTGGGTCACTGAAGGGCCCAATAACTGCAGAATTTGGGCCTTCTGTCCGTTCTTCTAGCTACCCAATAACAATAGAAGTTAAACTATGCGTTTCTTCATCCATAGTCTTCTCTTCTCTTCTACAACAATTGATTCTTCTGCCCAATCTCTCCATATTTACATCAATTGGTTTCCATTACGACCTCAATTTAAAAACCTTATCATCAAGATAAGTAGTGGCTCTGCTGTTAGTCTATAACTCGAAATCCCTCTTCATAAAGATAGCGAGTTTGATGGTTGAGAGTATGGGGTGCCCAAACTTTCTACTTTGTATCTTAAAATCTCTAGAGAGGAATGGATGTGATTGTTGGTAGTTTATCCTTTTATCTCCCCACATTAATCAATTCCCTTCATTTTTTTATATATTTTCTACATGTCTATGTTTAGGAATTGTCAAATGTAATTTGAATGTTGATGTTATATGAGTGTGTTTTAATTTTCACCATATATTGAATTCAAGTATGAACTGCTATTTTGGTGCAAACAAGCTCATGTAATTTGAAAAAATTATCAAACATATCCTTTTGTTAAAGTTTTCATCCAAAGATCGTTAATCATGACCGAATCAACACATCCCCATTAATATATTGTACACTTTGGTGTACTTTTTCCCATTTCAAAATCCCTCTTCTCCCCGTAACTTTCGGTAAGGGCATTAGTGTCAATGCCCACTTCACAGTTGTTCGGGCGGAGGTTATATCGACAGTCTTTTAGCTGTTGAAATTGACAAAACTAGAACACGAACACACGATTTTACGTGGTATCCCCGTTCGATATGAACGGGACTAATCCACAGAGAGTTAAGACTCTCGGCTTTAGGTTTTATTGATTTTCTTTCTAGGTTACAGAACTTGACGGCAGCAGCACTTATTCAACATATATATACAAGTTGCTGCATAAACCCTACGTGCACAAGGAAGAGAAATTAATGGGGAAAATTACAAGTCGATCCCCCATTAATTGAAATGTAACACGCCCCCTCAAGCGGAGGCGTGGATATCAACCATGCCAAGCTTGGAAACGAGATATGCAAATTGATCGACCCCCAATCCTTTTGTGAAAATGTCGGCAGGCTGCTGTGCGGTAGGGATCTTGAGCGGAGTAATCTCAGACGACTAGACACGCTCGCGGACGAAGTGACAATCCATTTCCACATGTTTGGTACGCTCGTGGAAAACCGGATTGGCTGCAATATGAAGGGCAGCCTGATTGTCACAGAAAAGAGGAGTAGGACCAGCAGAAGGAACACCAAGATCAGTGAGCAACCAACGGAGCCAGAGAACCTCGCTAACAGTGCTAGCCATGGATCGGTACTCAGCCTCAGCAGAAGAGCGGGCAACCACTGTCTGTTCTCTTGGCGCGCCAAGAGATAGGGGCCGCACCAAGCCGAATGAAATACCCTGTGGTAGATCGTCTAGTCAAAGGACAACCAGCCCAGTCGGCGTCGCAGTAGGCAACTAGACGGATATTACTCGTGGCAGGAAAGAAGAGACCGTAACCGGGAGATTGATTTAGGTAGCGTAACACCCGCTGAGCAGCATCAAAATGGGCCTGAGTATGAGAATTGACGCCCTAGCTGAGGAGGTTGACAGTGTAGGTGATGTCGGGGCTAGTAACGGTGAGATAGTGCAGGCGCCCAACTAATCGTCGATAAGAACCAGGATCAGAAAACGGTGGAGACTCCGTACGACCTAACTGGTGGTTCTGCTCAATCGGGGAGGAGCTAGGACGCGCCCCCTCAAGCCCAGAATCGGCTAAGATATCATGTACTTTCTTGCGTTGGTTCAGTACGACCCCACGAGAGGAGCGAGCAACCTCAATTCCCAAAAAATATTTGAGAGGACCGAGATCTTTGATGGTGAACTTAGCATGAAGGAAATCCTTAACATGTTGAATGAATGGGAGATCATTGCCGGTGAGAATAACATCATCAACATAGATGAGAGCCACGATGAACACCGAGCCCTTCTGGTAGATGAAGAGTGAATGATCTGCTCTGCTCTGCCGAAAATGAAGGGAAAGTAAGGCAACCGAAAATTTATGATACTAGTTGCGGGAAGCCTGACGAAGACCATAGATGGACTTGTGAAGGCGGCAGACACGGGTGTCACCCGGACGGGCAAAGCCTTGAGGAATTTCCATGTAAACTTCTTCCTCGAGGTCACCATGAAGAAATGCGTTGTTGACATCCAGTTGGTGAAGATGCCATCCGCGAGTGGCAGCAACAGCAATGACACAGCGAACAATGACGAGCTTGGCTACTGGGACGAAAGTGTCATGGTAATCAATGCCTTTGACCTGGGTGAAGCCTTTCGCAACGAGACGAGCCTTGTAGCGCTCAATAGACCCATCAGGGTTGAACTTGATCTTGAAGACCCATTTACACTTGATAACCTTTTTACCCGGAGGAAGGAAAGTGAGAGTCCAGGTGCCATTTGCTTCCCCATTAATTGAAATGTAACACTAGCTTCTGTTTTTTTTTTCCTTCTCGTGCCCTAGCCTTCCTTCCCATGTGTGCACTCACTCTCAATGAAGTGTGATTTTCCTTTCATCCAACTCATTGAATTGTAATTCCTTTTGTATGATCAATCTGTCGCTTATGGCGGTTGATTTTACTACTATCTGGCTTGGGGAGGAAGCTCATTGGCTACTTACCTTTTCATTCTCAATCCCAAGACCGTAAGTTTCGAACTGGTAGGCTATGGTGATCGAGGGTTCCTTAATGATAGAAATTCTGTTTTATTTATTTCTCTATCTTCTTATTTCCAGTTCCAAGGGACGGGATACGATGACGACCCTTAGATTCACAACCAAGGGTATTTTGGGTATGAAAAAAGGAATATATTAATTACCTTTTGTGTATTAATTATATTGAGAATTAAAAACCCATACTAAATACAAGTTTTTTGAAATTTAAATCCTATACATTAATATCTCTATCTATCTCTCTCTTCCTTTCTCCAGCGGCCACTCCCATCGACGGACAGACTTTTTCTCCGGCGAATTCTCTCCGTCAGACTCTCTCCGGCAACCTGAAAAAATGTACAAGTGCTTTAAAAAGTGTACCAATCCATTAGTCTACTGGTAATTAATATACCAGTGCTAGTGGTACGCTACCAGTGAGTTAAAAAATGTACCAGTACATGTGGTACGCTACCAGTACAGCGCTACCACTACCATATTGTATCGTACCACTAGCACTGGTAGCGGTACCACTAGCATTGGTAGCGGTACCAGTAGAGAATAACACAAAAAAACAGATGACAGTGGTACCAGATGATAGTGGTATGCTACCACTACCAGCTACCTTATGGTAGTGGTAGATACCACTATCACTGGTACGCTACCAGAAGAAAAATGGTACCACTAAAAAACCAGATCTAGAAAAGGGGAGTCGGTGACGGGAGAGAGAGGTAGGGGAAGAGGGTGAACTCGCGACGGCGCAGTGGTGGGGGACGAAGGGCGGCGAGAGGGCTCCGACGGGGAGCGGATGATTGTGCCGCGGTGTGGGAGGCGGACGTTGCGACGGGCCGGCGGGAGAGATTTGCAACAACAGGGTGTGGAGGGAGGCAGAGGATGGCGGAGACGACGACGGTGGAAGGCTCGACAGGCGGCTGCAGGAGACAGGGGCGCCGACGCCGGCGGTGGAGGGCTGTGGCGGCGGAGGGCTCTGCGAGAGAGAGGGAGGAGAGACGATGATGGCTACTGGAGAGAGGGAGGAGAGAGAGAGAGAGAGAGAGAGAGAGAGAGAGGACGGAGGAGTTAGGGTTTTTTTTCTTTTTATATGGTAGGGTGAATGATTGGGTGTGGTAAATTTTTACCCTTCCAAAAATACCCTTCCTTTAATCTTAACCGTTAATTTAAAAAGGAAAAAAGAGACAGGAGAGAGAGCATATCCAAAAGCTATAAAGTCCCAAGTGTGTAAAGAATGGAACGTGTAGCTAGGTTACCCATTGCTATCGATTTGTGATGGTTGCATTTTCTAATTGTTTGGGTAATTTAGGAAGCATTTTTCAGCAGTTGGTTCAGAACTTCAGATTGTCATCCACTTTGCTACGGAGATGGCCGGCTCATAAGTTAATAGCTAGCTCTAAGGTTTTTATTGCACTCCAACCTACGCCTACGCATTGCACGAAAAGAAGAGAGGTGCGTGAGCGTTTCGTCGAAAGGGGTCTAAAGCGTTTCGTTCAGTATTGATTTCTTATTGGTTTTTATTGGTTTTCTGATTTTAACCAAACAAAAACCATTAAGTTTCTAAATGGTTTAAAACCAAAATACTGAAACCATCACCTTTCCAATAGGTTTAGTTTCGGGTAAAACCGAAAAAACAAAACCAAATGGACAACCCTACTCTTAAGAGTAAACGTGGCAGCGCTTGGGAGCTCTGGTCAAGTTCCCCGAGCCACCATTGCCGGCGAGAGATATACTGTGATCGTCGCAGTTCACCTTAAGCAGACGCCGCCTGGCTCTCAGCTCGCCGACCTTAAACCCTACATTTTAATCAAAGAAATAAATCATAAAATTATAATTACCAAAATGGAAATGAAAATAAAAATTTGCTGGATGGAAAAATTACCAAATTGTTACAATCCAACCACAATAAATTATATAAATTAATTTTACCTGCTAATTTCTACATTAGTATAGTCTAGTTTATCAAAATGGATAAGAGGATGCAAATTATTAGAGGAGATCATTTAACTTTCTTTGATAACAGCCGTGAGAGAATATTGGTTCTCATCAATGTATTTGCTTGTGAAACTTTGTTTAGTTTGCTACTACGTAGCTTTTGTCAACACACATGTTTGTATAAATTTTTCTGCAATGAAACAGTTGACCAAACTACTTGACAAACGAATTCTCTAGATATTGGGAAGATATACAAGTAAATCGTTTTATTCAACCAGAAGAATAGTGTCGCAGAACAAAATCTCTTTCTTCATATGTTTCTACAAACCTCAAATACGTGGAATACTTGTACCAAAAACAGAAGGCGCAAAATATCGCCGTACCGACTATTTTCACAGTCCCACCAATCACCTGTAGGCCACATATGCACGCATTCACCATAGAATCTATTACCAGATCGGCCAAATTGTAGTCCAAAAGTCTCCATCTTAACTTTATAAAGCAGTGGAACTGCGTGATGAAGCCTATCGTGCTCAGCGTTGCGAATCCCATTTCACCGAAATCGACCTCGACATTGATCATAGCAACATAAGATATATAAAAACAGGTAATCATGTCAACAAGTTTTCCGGGACGCCCAAGCTTGTACTCGCCGGCACCGATATCTTTGCCGAGTTGATACACCGCGAAAGTTACCATGAGTGCTAGGCAGCCGAAAACAATGGCTAGTATAACTTGAGCAATGATCTTATGTTCCCTAAATAAAGGGACAAGTAACATTATTGATTTGATGGGACATACTAACAAAGGGGGCCAACTTAATACAGATAGTAGCACCCATAAAAGGAAGGGAACTCCTAAGATTCCTGAAAAAAAAAATAGTAATTACGTAAGATATCGCGGTGTCCAGTTTGATTAATTTCCTAAATCAAATAAATTTTTCACAAATAGATAACATATTTAAGCAGCAATCAACGCAAGATGAATGAATTTTCTTTTATAACCCATGAACATCTCCACACACACCGCTTAGATCGATGGCGAAGCGCGAACACCAAGAATGAATGAGCCTCGAGACGGGTTCGAAGTCGAACTCATGACCTGCCATGTCCGGATCGACCGCCCAGCCGAGGGTTTCACCAATCCCCGCTATGTGACATTTTGGCAAGATGAATGAAACTTAAATGCATCGAATGTCAAACATAAGGTTGACAATCAAGCATCAATCGGACTTTAAATTAAAGAATAAAGATGCATGAGAAAGTAATCCAAATAGAAAGCTAGCTAATAGATGCTCTACTTACGGACACTATTCTCCTGGTTTCTGTCCATCTTGGGAGAATTACGATAGACTGTTCTCTAATGTTGCCACCAATGGTAGCTGTGAATGAAAACTCTCTTGAAGGATTCTTCTCCTTTTAAGTATTTATCATGACAAAGTCATAACAAATAGACCTAAACAATGGGTTGGTCGTTAACAAAAATTCATGGAAAATGAATACTAGCATTCTATGGCTATTTTTATGAAGTGAGGGGGGAAAAAAGAACAAATTCACAACCGGTTCTCTAAATATTAGGAAGATAAATATTTTTTTTTTCAAATCCTTCCTACCACTAATTTATAGAGTTTCTTCGTGAGAATATGCTACATTCAGAATTTCCGGTCATGAGAATGTCATATTTTTATTTTTTCATTCTCGTTATTAAAAAACAAATCAGTAAGAATCTTTCGTAGCTTTTACGCCATGTAAATAAGTTTTGACTTCTACATCTCTTCTACACACTAATATATAGAGATTCAGCATGATAAGTGGGTTAAAACAAAAATTGGAGCCTCCACCTTATCTCATGGAAGGCTAAAGGTGTCTTTCCATCTTATTAAAAAAATTGTTTATTTTATAATCACTCATTTTGAGTTATTCGTTGAGGAAGGTTAAACTTTTTTTTATAATTTGTTTCTAGCATTTTTCTTTACATACTTATTACTATTAATATGGTAATAAAAAAATTGTTATAGCAATTAAATCTAAACTAAGTAAACCTTATATGTGGTTTGTCGTTGGTCAACAAAAATAATGTTTCTAGCATTTTATTTTTACATATTACTATTACTATGACAATCTAAAAGAATTTGCTACAATGACTTTATCTAAACTCTAAGTAAAACTTACATATAGTTCGTCAAGTAGATCTTTATAGTTGATAACAAAATCAGTAAAGGTGATACCTAGCTTAAACAGGTCAATCTACACGCCCAATTGGTGGATGTAATCAACTGCAATGTCTACCATTTGATATCCCAACAGACCTTATCTCATATAAAATCCATTGCTATGAATTTTATTTGTATAAACATGTTTCCCTGAGACCGTCAATCTAATGATGAGAAATGTGATCGACTCACACAAAGCATATCACATACTAGCACTATTTTAATCAACCTTATCGATCAAAGTTTTTTGCTAGACTCTCATTATATTTTATTTGGAGTTTGGCCAAATCATCATAGACATGCCCGCGTGAAAATATAAACTTTTTGTTTGGTAACTCTGGTTGTAAGCAAAAAAAAACTTGCAATCACATTCAAATTAACTTTAAAAGGTTTTAGTGATTCATTTAGATGAACGTTTATTTGTGCATGTGATATGTAGCAATAAGTAAGATAGTATGAACAAAAATTTAGGAAGATGTTTTCTTTCTAATTTGATAAAAAAATGGTGTTTCATATTTTTGTAAATATAATACAATTAAGTTCTTGATTGCAATGAAATTAAATTTAGGGGAAGAAGGAATAATCTTCTAATAATGATCAAGGTTGTACATTCTGTGATAGAGATAAGATGTTGTGGAGAATAAAGGAGGGACAATTATTAGTGAGAAAGAGCAAATATCATATATTTGCTTTCATTGAAATGTAGAAGAGGAAGGAAGAAACCGGTATTGGTGAGGATAATAATGATAATGATGAAGCAATTGCGAAATCCAAAACAAAATATGTAGTAATTTCTAATTGGAGTGTGATTTGGAAGAATTTTTTGGAGTTGATTCTCTTACAAGACTTAGTTGATGAATCAGTTAGGATGTCAGAAAAATTTATGATCCATTTTCAATTTATGATCCATGTGTTTTTATTTGTGCAATATTTAAAAATTACTCTTTTATAAACTAAAATGAAAATGTATTTTGTTTCAAAAAATTACTATTGTTGTTTGTATCATGATAAAACGTATCCGGCCAACTGTTATGATAAAAAAAAAGGTCCTTATACTTTATAATAAAAAACATCAATAAACACCACGGTAAACAATATAATAATAGTCCTCCTAATTCAACTATAGTAATATCAATAAGAGTCTTTTTGACTTTAGAATGCAATATTTATAATATATACGAATATTAAGAAACTTCATATATTATTTATAATCTCTTTATAAAGGTCATTAGCAATCTTAAATTGTAATAACCTTTTCCATGTAAGATTTAGTAAACTCCATAGTATTTTACTTCTTATTTTTCATTTTAATTTTTTTTTTAATAAAGAAGGTAAGAGTCGGTGATGGAGATTTAGTTACAATATTGAGAAGAAATAAAATGTTTATGGGCTAGATAGTGGAGTAGTTGATGGCGTTTGTTACTGGTGAAAATAATGAAGCGGGTGAAGGTGAAGCAATAGTATAGGAACCCAAAATGAAATTTGTTGTAATTTTTTATGGTGATAAGTAAATTAAAGTGTGATTTGATTGTATATTTAGGAATTGATACCCTGGAATATGTTTTTTTTTTCTTCTTTCAATTGCGAAATTTGTTGATGAATTGGTTAGAACAGTGATAACTCTAATTTAACCAATAATGAAAACTCTGTTCATGTTCATTTCAATTTTATAACCTGATTTTACGTTGCAAGCCAACATGACACGCCCACTAGACTTTCATCTAGGTCGTATTCAAAATTGGACGTACCTTCCTCTATTTCTTTCAAGTTTCGATTGCACTGGAAATTGAGTTGCATGTTTCTTTTCATTGTTATCTTTCGATATTGAATTTTGGGTTCTGATTTGTTAAGAGTCTTAAGACAGAGTAAGAATTTTGAGGACTATATTTAACTTTTTTGTGACGGAAATTACTCAATTGTTTTTTTTTTTTGACAAAAGATAATCATATATTGATACCAAAACATAGATAGTTAAATCCTGGACCCCAGCCAGGCTCGAAAATCAAAGAAACGACTCGTAGTCGGGTACAAAGAGGGGGCTTTTCTAGCCACCAAATGGGCTACCCTATTACTACGCCGACCTACAAATCGCACACTAAGCCCAGGGTTGCTACAAAATTATTGTAAAACTTCTTCCAAAACAGCACCCATCCGGCTATCACTAGCATCCTTACAGTTGGTTTTATCAATAATGACCTTGGCATCCCCTTCAAACCTCATCCCCGTGAAGCCCTGGCCTAAACACCAAGCGATAGCCTCCCGGAGCACAAGCAGCTCCACCATGGTTGGGTCATCAATCCCCGGGAACTGGATCCCTTTAGCCATAAGCACACCCCCAGACGGAGACCGAAGAACCATACCACCTGCTGAATGTGATCCCTTCCTGGTAGCCCCATCCCACAGACAAACAACCCCAGCAGCCTGGCCCAACACACCTGGTGGAGAGCTCATCGGGGGGAAGGCATGGAGGGCGCATCCGCCGGCAACCCCACCCATTCCTCATACTGCTGGGAAAACTGTCTCATCAAAGCGGGGAATCCAAACTGCTTTCCTTCAAACACCACCCAATTTCTAGACCTCCAGATGCGCCAAAGGACCGAGACAACTGCCATGAGGAGCGTCGGCTGCTGAATTAAGGGCAGCAAACGCTTAAGAAACAGAGGGAAAGTATGCCGAGGCAACCCCTCCCCTAAGTATTCGAGCCCCGCATAACCCCAAAGCACACGCGCAACAGGACAATCCAGAAACAGATGCTCCATGGTTTCCGGGCCACCCCAACAGACAGGACACCGAGGAAGGATAGGGACCTTACGATCTATAAGGGCCTCAGTGGTGGGGAGGATTCGATTCAAAATTTGCCAAACAAAGACCTTCAGCTTCGGGGGAATATTCGCCTCCCACAAACGAATCCAACTGGATCTATCCATCCAACTAGCCGACGCCTTCCACCGCCCCTTTCTCTTATCAAGGGAGACGGCCAGATGGTAGGCTGACTTGACCGAAAACATCCCATCCCGAGTATTGTGCCAAATCAGTTTATCCTCAAGATTCTGCCGGGGTAGGGGAATAGTTTTTATAATACGGCAAGTAGGTGGATCAAACCACTGACTGAGTTTGAGATCACACCAACGCCCCTCCCCCTGACAAATTACATCGGCCACCACAGGATCACCCCCCTCCGGTAGAACCATCGGATTATATCGCGGAGGATCAAGCTGCAGCTGAGGAATCCATGGGGACCGAAGCAGAGACTCCGATTGCCCATTTCCAATCTGCCATCTAAGGCCCATTTCCAACAAATTCCGCCCATACAAGATGCTTTGCCAACCCCAAGATGGGCGCGACCTAGCCTTAGCATTGAGGAAGTGCTCAAATGGGAAGTACTTACCCTTATAGACTTGGGCTAAAAGAGACTGGGGCTCCTCCAATATACGCCAGCCAATCTTGGCTAAGAAAGCTTGATTGAAATTCTCAAACCGGCGGAAGCCCATTCCCCCCTCATGTTTACTACGACACATGTCTCGCCAGGCCATCCATCTGATCCTCGAGTGTCCCTCCTCATCCCCCCACCAAAAGCGAGCAACATGCTTGTCCAATAGGCAACACAACGAGAGAGGCAGCTTGAAACAAGATATTACATGCAACGGGAGAGCTAAGGCAATGGATTTAATTAGTGTTTCCTTCGCAGCCCATGACAAAGTCCTCCGTTTCCACCCCTGAAGCCTCTCTAACAGTTTCTCCTCCAGACAACGGAACGTCTCCAATTTAGAACGAGCAATCAAAGTGGGGAGCCCCAGATATTTATCCTGCACCCAACTTCTCCAACTCCCAGAATCGTAGCTAAGAATTCCTGGTCTGGCTGAGCAATATTCTTGCTAAAGCAAACCGCCGACTTCGCCAAATTGACGCGCTGCCCACTCAGTTCCTCGTATTCGTTCAATATCGTGATCAAATTCTCACATTCCTAAAGAGTGCCCCACAAGAACAGATAAGAATCATCGGCAAAGAATAAATGCGAGATTCGGGGAGCACGCGGAGCCACCTTAACCCCTGCCAGACGCTTATCCACAATCGCCTTACACAGGAGAGCAGCGAACCCCTCTGTGCAGAGCACAAAAAGAAGAGGGGATAAAGGATCTCATTGCCGTAATCCCCGCGAAGGTCTGAAGAACCCAGACGGAGTACCATTCATTAGCACCGAGAACGACGAGGACCGAAGGCATTCAAGTACCCAACCCTGCCAAACTGAGTTAAAACCCATCTTGTTCAAAATCGCAAGAAGAAACGGCCATTCAACTCTGTCATAGGACTTTTCCATGTCAACCTTAAGAGCCATGTACCCCTTCTTACCTTGCTTTTTGATTTTCAAGTAATGCATTAACTCATGTCCCAGGAGGATATTCTCGACAATTTGGCGATCCCGAAAGAAAGCAATTTGGCCTGCTGAGACAACATGAGGTAGGAGGCCCGATAGCCGTTCAGCCATGATGTTGGTTATAATTTTATACACAAATTGGCATAAACTGATCGAACGCAACTGCCTCATAGACTTCACATTATCCACCTTGGGGACCAAAGTGAGCCAGGTGTGATTGAAGCCACGGAGCATCCTACTCGTCGTAAAAAACGAGCAGACGGCGTCTACCACTGACTCCCCCACAATACCCCAAAAGGCCTTAAAGAACTTGCCCGTGAACCCATCAGAGCCAGGGGCTTGCTTAGAACCCATCGCAAAAACAGTTTTACGAACCTCTTCCGGGAGGACAGCAGCCGTCAGGCCAGCATTCATTTCCGGGGTAACACTACGAGCGATAGGTAGAACATCAACCCACTCCCCCATATTAAGAACCTGGTTCTCAGAAGTGAAAAGCTGGCCATAGAAATTGGTAGCAATATCAGCCTTACCTTTCTCATCAATAATCCACTCGCCAGCCTCATCTCTTAAACCTGCCACAAAATTCCGTTTACGACGCGCCCTAGTCACCGTATGGAAGTACGACGTGTTTTTGTCTCCCTTCTTCAACCAGTGAACTCTGGATTTTTGCTGCCAGCAAACTTCTTCCGCCTCCCATTGTCTAGTCAATTCAACTTCTAGGCAACGGATCGCATCCCAATCAATAGGGTGAATAAGTTTAAGCCGCTCAATTTCGCTCTGGAGAGTTCTGATATTTCGCAGGGAATTAGTGGTTCCAGCTCTACTCCAATCATATAACAAAAGACGCAGCTTCTTAAGGCGCTCCCAAAGGCCAAACATTGGAGTGCCTTGGACATCTTCCTTCCAAACATAAGAAACCATGGCCTTCACCTCAGGATTATCCGCCCAACGCGCATCAAAAAGGAAAAGCGGACGACAACTTCGCACATAGGGTTTATCCGAGAGGAGGAGCGCCCGATGGTCCGATCCCTGATCCGTAAAGTGCTTGACCAAGGTATCAGGAAAATGATCCAGCCATGATTGCGAGCAAAGTGCTCTATCCAGCCGCTCCCTAACACAGGCCGCCCCCATTCGTTTATTAGTCCAGGTGAATTGATCCCCCTGGAACCCAGGATCGAGAAGGCCCAAATGCTGGACAAAGTTACGAAGGCTAAGCGCTTGCGTGGCATTCCATTGATTTCCCCCATCCTTCTCACTCTCATGGAGAGTCGTATTAAAATCACCTATAATAACATAGGGGACGTGTATACCCCCACAAATATCCTGGAGCTGGTCCAGCTGGGCAGCTCGGCGAGCTACATTACAACTAATGTAAACAAAGATCACCACATACGAAAAATCTATTTCATTAACTTGAACACAAACATAGAAGTCCGAATGAAAAAACACCGAAGCAGAAACTTCGGGGGCCCAAGCGACAACTAACCCACCAGATGCTTCAACTGCATCAACAAAAAAAAAACAAGAAGACTCAAACCCTAACCCACGCAAACGGCGGGACTCTACTCATTTGGTTCAGAAAATTTATTATTTAATAAAGCCTCATTATACATCATACACAATAAAAAATTACATGTTCTTTCAAAGCTAGTTAATAATTAAAGGCCTTTTCGGACCAGCACCTAAATCTGGCGACTTAGACCACTCGGCCAAACCGTCAGTAAGCGTTATTTGTTCATAAAATATTTTATACCACTGCGCAATTTGTCTGCTTCCGCTCCTTTAAACAAACTGAAGTTTCAAATTTCTTTAGAAATTCTATGCTACTTACACATGTTCAAACTATTATTAATGTCTGTGGTAGTACATTTAAGGACAAATGGACTTTTTTCTCTTTTCAATTCATTTTATTTCGAGCTTCAATATTAGTTTGGACATGCAAGATTGCTTGAGTATTTACACTAAACAAACTCATTTGTATGTCACCACTATCCAAGTCATCTTGTACTTTATAGACAAGCACATAAGTTTGTTCCTAAAATTCATTTTGATCTTATAATTTTGTGCTACAAATTGTCGTTTGTGTTGTGTAAAAGTTAATGTTTCCTGAAGCGTTTATTGATTTTCCTTTCAATTATATTGATTATCGAATATGAAGTACTGAAAATACTAGCTTATTACCTGTCCCGTTGACCGAAATTAAAGTTAGTTCCATAAATATGTTTTGGTGTTATTAAGTAACTAGCACATGACCCGGCCCGCTGGCCAGAAGAATTTTGTCGAGTAATTTGGTATATAATAATGGAGTTAACAGATGATTTGAAATGAATGAAATGATTATTTTCTATATGCACATAACATTTTTGAAAGTGATCCAACTATGCATAATGTGTTTAGACCTCCGTGAAAAGAGAAAAAAATATAATATAATATAATCATTACATATAATTATTGAATGAAAAAAATAAATATAACTAATTGTCATTCATTACTTAATTAAACCATATAGTTGAATATTAGAGTTATTTCTCATAATACATAAATAATCAATATTTAGGATGAAAGAAAATGTCTCATAGAGTTTAGTATGTTCTTTACCACACTGTTGGTAATGAATCTCAAGTTGCTTGATTTGAAATATATAGGACATGATGCCATGTTGTCGCTAACTGTTAGTTGGACAATGTGTTTTGTACGGACTTCCCAAATTATTCTCAGATCGCAGACACGCCTAGCAACAATGTAGTCATTTTCATGCAACAAATATTTTTTCATGAAATAATTCTATAAATAAAAACGTATAAAAATAATATTACATGAAATATATGTTACTCATTAAGTTGATGAATGAGCAACGGTATGAGTAGCATACATTTATTTTAGAAAGATATAAGTTGCAAAATGTCTTTTGGGTTGCATGAGATCGCATATTCTCATTATCGCTAACTGACTTATGCTTTTTGCAATAGATAATTCAAAATGTGCCTTAAAACTTTTGTTTCCGTCAGTCTAAAAGAATTATTTGAACCAAAGGATTGTAAAATCATATAGAAAAAGTTGTTAGTAAAGTATTTTATACTGAAGTCATTATTTCACTGTGGTTCAATCGTTTCATATTGCTAAATATCACCTATCAATTTAGCCTGTGATGATATGACAGCATGGCTACATATATGAATTGTTGAAAACAACATCATTTTGAAGTGGCCTGTTGCTCGAATCAGTTGGTTAACTCGGTCGGATTTCCCGTTGAGATAGATAAACTCGACTTTGACCGAGCCCGAGTAGACAACCAACTGGGCCTTCGGCACCCGCTGAGATACTCAGGTTTAGGTAGAATTGGTTTGACCAGTAGAGTCATACTCGAATTGACAATCATGGTCATGACTCTTGTTGTTTGTGTTTGAAGATACATTAGTTCAAATCCCAATACTTGTCTATTTTCTATACAAAATAAAGATAAATAATGGCGAAGACAAAAATGTCATTCATACTTTTGCTCTCATTGTATGAAATTTGAAATGAGACGACAAATTTTATTATGCCAATAGTATATATTGTGTAGAGTGTATATGTAGACATGTCTTTGCTCTACAATTCAATTTAATACATAAAAAAAGAGGAAATAAACCAACTTATTAAACTCAACCTCGTTTAATGATTGTTGAATCCAATCATGTCTATCATATTAGGTAGATGTTTAGAAGTTAACGGTTAGCCTAGCTAAAACGTCCAAAGAACTCATCCCCATATTGTTTGCAGCAAGATATGGATATAATTGTCTCACGGTAGTTCTATAAAGTAATACTAATGCAAGAGTTCAACATCGCTTATACAAATTCGATATGTAATATTGAACCAATGATAAATAGAACTTTAGTGACCTTATAAGATAGATAGAAAATTATAAGATAAATAGAAATTTAAATTAAGTATCAAAGTATTATTAAGATAATAAAATATAAAAATTAAAGTATAAAAATACCAATAAGTACCGAACGAAGATTTAGTGACCTTAGCTAACCGTTGAAAAGTTCTGTTATTTTTTAATGTTAGTTTCATGTATGTTTTTTATTTAAAATGGTACATCTAATATATGTAGCTTGATTGGTTAAGATTCTTGTCATTATTGAAAATGACCACGGTTCAAATCCTAGTATGTGTTTCTTTTTTAAAAATGACCACGGTTCAAATCCTAGTATGTGTTTCTTTTTTAAGGAATAAATGAGAAACAAATAGATCACTGTGAAGACAAAAAATACTCTTCCTACTTTCACTTTGGTTGCATGAAAATTTGAATGGGGTTGCAGAAAAAATATACAGCTACCTATATATTGTATACTAGCTCAGGCTTGTTGGCCGGAAAATTCATATTTTATTAATTATATTTTCATGTTACGTTTAAGTCTATCAACCCGTTTAATTTGATTGACAATTCTTCGATCGAGATAATACATAAAGAGAGAATATATAGATCGAACATTTGGAAAAATATACAACTATCTATATATTGTAGACTAGCTCATAACCTGGCTTGTTGGCCGGAAAATTCATATTTGATTAATTATATTTTCATGTCACGTTTAAGTCTATCAATCCGTTTAATTTGATTGACAATTCTTCGATCGAGATGATACATAAAGAGAGAATATATAGATTGAACATTTGGAGAAATATTAAAATGTATAATTGAACTCATTTTCATAATGATAATTAAGTCTCCGGTAAAATGTTGTTGGTTAGTTGATTGTCAAGAAAGATAGAGTATAAAAGCTCACTGAAATTCTCTCTTGAACCATAGATAGTTTGAAACTAAATCTTAAACCTCACAATCCTACATAAAGGTTCAATGCTCTCCTTTTAGGAATAATATGCCACTAATCAAAAATAAATGAAGAGTTGTTGATTCAAGTCAACTATATGCTAACAACTCAGCTAAGAGGGGATCATCACAACTTGAGAGCAAACGCCAAAATTAGAGTTATCTCCAATATGCTAATAGACTCGATCAAAGTAATAAGAAAGAAAATTAGACACTCTTCTCTATAAGTTCTAGTAGTTTGAATAAATAATCGACCGACCTACTTCAGTAAATCTATCAATGATTCGTCGTTTTAAGATAGAAGTAGGTTGCGATAGCTTCAAAAAGCATAAACCTAAAGATCCAATAGCCACCACTCTCCGTTGTACAATAAAAATTTTATCCACTCAATCTTCAATCTCAAGAGGTGTGTAAGTTTCAACCAAAAATTCAATTTTAATTCTCCTTCTACACCTCCATTTATTGAACTCTATTCTATTTGTCATGGATTGATATTGGAGTTGAAATCTTTTACTTGCCAAGTTTAAATCCGCAGGAATAAAATCGTAGTGCCAAGAGACTGGAAGATTGATTTTCAAAGGCAGCCTTGTACTATAAAGTGAAAGGAGCGCAAACTATAACACGAAGGAGGGAATTTCGGATTACAAATATGAATATAAATATAAATTGAAAAAAGCAATGACATAACACGTAGTAATAGAATTAGTTTCTTCCATGTTGGCCAATTACCAATTTACCTTTATCGAAAAATTAAGGAGGGAGCAGTGATTTTAGAATTGAGACACTACATGAAAATTGCAGTATCAAGCACCACTAAAATACATACGGTAGAGTTAGTGGACTTGCTAATCATGATGAAAAAGTCCTCTGATTTCCGGGGCCTCAGTTCGTGTATAGTGTAATTGGTTGCGATTGTTTGAAAAGACCCGATCGAGTTCAAATCCTGATATTGTATGGAATAAATAATTAATTAAACAAAAATGTCTTTCCTACTCTCACTCTCGTTTCACAGAAAATTTGAAATAGAGAAAAGTAGACAAAACTCTAGTATATAGTATTGGAGGAGATTATGTGTAGAGAGTTACAAGTCAATCATCATTGCCTCCATGTAATTAATCAACTCAAATATTGTATCAAAGTTATTGCAGTATGTCATAACTGAAGATACTTACAAAAGGTTCATTTTCTTAATGGGTAGAATTAAGCTGCCGCCGGTGTTGCAGCAGTCGTTGACGACGACGAGGCTGGCCGGCGGCAAACAGAGGCTCGACAGAGAGGGCAGATACAGTTTTTACCGAGCCACGCGTCGATGCATCGCTTGTGATAAAAATGGCGGCACACCGTCAGATCCACACACTCATCTCCTCCCTTGAACTCTTGCAAGCAAATGGGGCACCGATCATCTCGCGCCCCGCCGCCGGCGGCCTCCAACTTGAGAATCTCGCCTACGATGACTCCCGGGCCCGACGTTTGCGGCCAGCAGAGGGTCAAGTACAACCCCACCGCCGGCAACAGAATCACGAGCACTTCCAAGATGATTGGAATAGACGCCGGCACGTGACAGTAATATTCATCCATTTGTTAATTTTGCTTCCTTAATTACTCTTCTTGAACAATTAAATAGTTGCGGCGGTGGATGAGGAAGCGATTTTGCCGCGTTGAATATAATGCAATGTCAAAAAAAAAAAAAAAAAAAATTCTGCCACATTAATTAGTCAGTCGTTGTTCTCTAATCCGCACAATTCGTATGGGCGTTTTATTTATGTATTATTTTTATTTGTGCTTCGAGTCACGGAAATGGATTCTCTTCCTAAAAATAATGAGGGAGAGAGATTACCCAAAACAAATTCTGTTACTAATTAATGGGCGATGTATATATAGAGATTACGGGGAGAGATAATTGCTTTAATTACGGTGAGGATAATAAAAGTAAAGGAAAAATACTAGGAAAGAGAAATATTAACGGAAATTTAATGAAATTAGATAAAGAAAAATATATAAAACTACTCCAAGATGATGCAAAATATTGAATTTTTTTTATAGAATCAAAACATAAATCATCTGCGATTCTTAAACAAAAAAGGTAGATTATTTTTGGATTAAAAATATATCAATTCTACTACCTTTTTTTTATGAATCAATTGTACTACCCTTCTATTTCCACTATTTGTCAACTACCATGTTTGATTGCTCGATCTTCTGTAATTATCTATTTTGAACTACTATTTATAACCAAATAATTTAATGGGTTAATTTTTCCATTATATGAAGAAAGTGGAAAATAATTGGCATGAATAGGGCAAGATAATTATCTTTTAAGTAAACTCATATTTTTTTCCTATGGTTTAATCGAGTTCCCGAACCCCATATCAACTACCTTCTCCAATGATAACTTCTCCCACCGTGAGAATTTTCATTTGCCAAAGGAGTTTATTTTCAATAACTTCTTCATGTTTCTACAAAATAATTGTAAGCACTAACCAAATGACTTATAGTAACTAAAATTTTTTGGGTTGGCGATTGATAAAAAAAAAATGGTTAAATACTTCAATGCATGTAGGTTATCATAGTGTGTGCCAAAAAAGTAAGACAAACACCCACTTTGTAAGCTAATCTTTAAAAATTATTATTCGTCTTAAATTACACAAATTATTTAAATTTAACTCATTACCTACTTCACTTTCAGTCGATTTGAAATAAAATTTCATTCTTAAAATTACACTTATCATAGTCATTTCTCAAAAAAAATTCCATAATTTATTGTCAATCATATAATCTACCATAGCATAAAAATTAAAGATACATTTAAGAATACAAATCAAATAAAAAAGCATTCAATCCCATCAATTATTTGTGAGTATCCATGGAATAAAGATAAATAAATCTTCAATTAATAAGCAAACTTCGTACTTTTTTTATGATGGTGATAATGTCACCAGTGAAGTTAGGAGTTAGAATGAGGGTTAATTAATCAAAATGGTCACACAGGTTTGGGCAGTGGCGGTCTGGCGGATCCATGGGTTCTAGGGGTGTCTCAGGAACAGAATTATTCAACCCCCGATAATAGTTTGCATATCGGTAAAAAAATATTTAAGTGGTAGCTAAAATTTAGAAAAATGATTATGATCCCCCAATAGTAGTTTGTGTATGGGTAAATTTAAATATTTAAGTGGTTGTCTATGTGATCTGAGGGCTGGGTGTTTATAGGAATTTTGGGGCCTAATCACCGCGCTTGACAATAGCGGTGAACCATCACCGCTTTTGACCAAGACGGTGAATGCTAGGTCGCTGTTACCTAACTTCCAACCTACCAGGGTTGTAAAACGTGGGAAAAATCCCCATTTTGGACGACAGCGGTGAAGGGTTCATCGTTTTGGACGACAATGGTGAAGGGTTCACCGTTTTAAACAAAGGCGGTGATAGTTTCCCCGCCTTTGTCAAAAACGATGAACCCTTTGTCAAAAACGATGAACCCTTCACCGTTTTTGTCAACAACCGTGATGCAATTCACTGTCTTGGTCCGCAGCGATAATGCCCAAACTGCTGCATTTTGGAAAATATTTTCATAAGTACTGTATTTTGGGAATTTTTTTTAGGGTTATAGGTATAATATGCCCCTCTACTATGATGTTTTATCAAACATGCCCATCTACTATTTTTTACATCAAATATGCCCATGTACTTTGAAAAAATTATCAAACATGCCTTTCTGTTAAAATTTCCATTGAAAAAATCGTCAATCATGGTTGAATTGAGATTTAGACGACCCAACATCTTCAAATGGGAGGGAAAATGCTAGTTTTATCCTCTGTTTTATTTCCTTAGGTCTTTTCAAAGTGAAATTATTTGAACGATTTGATTATACAAAATAACCAAAAAAATTCTAAAGTGAATTTATTAGGGATATTTTAGTCATTTGTGTAGCCCAAACTAAAGTTTGGCTTTGGTTAACAGTTTTTGGATGAAAATTTTAATAAAATGGCATGTTTGATCATTTTTACAAAGCACAGGGGCATGTTTGATGTAAAAATTAGTAGAGGGATATGTTTAATAAAACGTCATAGACTCATAGTAGAGAAGCCTATTATACCTATAACTTTTTTACTAATTAGTGTTTTCGGGGATTTTTTCTATTTGAACACTGTAAAGTTATACGGCATCCTGCCAGGGAGCAGCAGTAGGAGGAAGGAATGCATACTAACCGACTGAGATACTTCAGTCGGCGCCGAATACAAGCTACTGAGCTAGTTCCCGTTTGATTTTTCGGCCAGCCGGAGCGAAGTTCCTAAAATTTCCGTCAAAGCGGGAGGGATTGAATTGCATCTATTAGTCTCACTCCTTCGTATCAATGGAGGCCTCGAACACGGCCGAACACGAGAAGCCATGGGTGAGATTTCCCTTCCCCTTCCTTCCTTATATATCGGGTCATGCTCCAATTAATTTGTCTAATTGCTCTTTGATTTGGGTCCTCGACTTTAGGTTTTAAGAACTTCCCATTTCATTATCCCCAATCTGTTTGATGTTCATGTTCTTTGTCTTGGAGTCTCGATCAGAACTCTGGAAAATTGGCCGGGACGGTGTCGTGGAGCACAGCAAGTATCATCGGATTTTTCACAGGGATGATATATGGAGGTACTAAAGAAGCTTCTGCATCGGCTGTAAGTTCTTTGCTGTGCTTTTTTCCGCTTTCCCTTTAAAGCCAGAGAACTAGAGTGTGTTTGTTGTGGCATTGGGCAGAGCATAGATGCAGACGTGATGCTGAAGCTAGGCAGCACGCCGAACAAGGCCAAGCAGTACAACTTGATGAGAGACGCGATGGAGAGGCGGTTCGTTAAGGTCAGTCGTGGCGCCCTGGTTGGTGGGGTGCGACTCGGCATGTTCACTGCCGCCTTCTGTGGACTGCAGAATCTGATGGCCGAGCACCGGGGTGGAGTGCACGATGTGTACAATGTTGTTGGAGCTGGTTCAGTCACTGCTGCTACATTTGGGCTGATCTGTAATGCTTCTTTCGACGCATTGTTTCATTTTTGTTTCGCATTCTTCGTTTTAGGTCCTGCAGAGCTTTACCGTGGAGTATAATTGATTTGATGAACTTGTTATCGAAGATGCATCTTAGGCTGCTGACTGACATTCAGATTTGGCTGTCGTTATACAGTGCCTGGATCTCTTAGGTGGCGTGCGAGGAATGTGCTACTTGGATCGGTTCTTGGTGCAGTAGTATGTTTCCCTCTAGGTACTTCTCATACCTATCTCCTATTCATTCGATGTCCGGTTTGAAGTAATCAATTCTTAGTTTTCGGCAAACTGAAGAACCGTACGTAAGGTAGAGGGTTGGTTCAGGTGAAGAGAGTTTTAACCATGAATAATGTGCAGGTTGGGTCCAAATGAAGCTGGTGGAGAAGGCAAATGAGGATGGTGGCAATTCGACCAGAGGGGGTGCTGCTGGCGGTGGTGGTGGTGGTGTTGGAGCTGCAATCGAGAGGCTTGAAGCAAGAGTGAAAAGGTGAGACGGAGGGACGACTGAAATCTGCTGTTTGAAGGAGCTACATAGGTGAGTGAGGGGCTAGGACAGGGAAAAACTGGTGTTCTGAATCTAACTACCGAGCAACGAAAGGAGGAACGTCTTAAGAGGTTTACTCAACGACAACGTTCTCCTGTTCCCGTGTTATTGGGGTTCGAGATTCAGAATAAATTGCTTGATAAAACTGTGAGGGTTCCTGTCTAGTTAGTTTGCAGGACTTCTTTAAATCGCTTAGTATAAAGGTTTTGGTTGTTGTACAGTCACTCTTGAAACCCTTTTTGTCATCTCCACTTGTGCAGTGATGATCATTACAGAAAGTAGCCTTATTACGATTTACGTGACCACTTGCGATGATGGCTATAACAATTTTCGATCGTAGTTTGCGTTACCAAACTACCAAGTACGAATTTCCCAGAATGTTATAGTTCATGAAATGTGTAACCTGTATTAAATTGTCACATGTCAAGCATATTCAAGTTTCCAAAACCTTCACCAAAAATGCATACAAAGCAATTACTAGTTCTCTAGATTACGGTCTATCCGATCGCGTCAAACGTCTCAGAATGATCAGCTTAGCCCTTTCAAGTTTCAATACTTGAGTCAAAAAGTTTCAATGTATCCATTGAAACCACACTATAACTTGGAAGGAAAGAAGGGTGGAAAAGTCGACGCAATGAGAGAGCCAAGAACTATATAATCAGCCCTGACATTTCATACACTAAATTACATATCAAAATTTTCCTCTTTCTATCGATTATATCCCAGAGATCGGTTTCTGCAGCTTCATATCAATAGAGAGCGCCCTTGAGTTGATGCTTCAGCAGTCCCCCTCCCTCCACGGGTATTTTTGTTTCGTTCACTGCTTCCACATGGTGAATTCAGCTGGAAACGATGCTGGGATGAGCTTCTGAAAGTTCGCCGAAATGAACGGAACAGCGCCATACACTCAGTAAAGAAGTTATTGTTCTTCTCCATTCCCTGCAGCTGAATTGAACTCGAGATTCAGAGCTTCTGGTTAAGCATCACGTTAATCTGACAGCACAAATGAGTTACTTGAACAACCAAAAATGTACCTTCTTTCTGCTTTCGCAGCTCGTCTTCTCTCGCCTTTTTACTTGCCATCTTTTTTGTTTCCACAGCTGTAACATGGATTTTTTTTTACAGTTCAGTTAGATAAGTCATTGACTTGCTTGAAAAGAGATACTATACAGTATATACTGCTCGAAGATGGTACACCAGAACACATCTGAACGGTATAAAAAAGCACATTCCTGGTTTAACAGACACTTACCCTTAAACTTTCGCTTCTTTTTGGCTCTCCTTCTCTTTCTTTCTGTTTGTGTAAGCTCTACTTCTGCTTTAACGTTCCCTTTTCCTGAAAAGACTTCCTCAGGAGCCAGCATAGCAGCATCTGAAACTGCAACTGGGGCAATCTATTCAAGGAAGACAATAACTTTATCAGAAAAGGACTGAGATCATCCACGAGTCTGGGGAAAGCAGGGAAAAAGCCTTCCTTTTTACCTCTTCCATGGCAAGAGCCGGGACATTTGATTGGATGGACATGTCCTCTATAATCTATTCATGCCAAACAACAAGAAATTGATGAAACCAGCAAACAAGGGGAAATCATACAGAAAATCAATATTAGGGAGGCATATCGAGGACAAGAAAACCATACAGGTTTTGGGGCGAAATGGAAGTGAGAAAGTGCATCCAACTTCAAGCAGAGCTTCTTGAACAAGGTGCTTGCCTGCCATAAGGTTTTCAAGGTTGGAGAAAGAAATCGAGTTAACAACATTGGCCAGATAGTGTACATTGATGATATGCGAAATGAAAAGATGCCATAATGAGAGATAAAAAAAATACCGAAACACAGGTTATTTACCTCCTTTTTCTGTTCGTCCGAGAAAGATAATGGAGCAGCAGCTGGATCTGTCTGCTGTACAAATTCCTCCTGGAAAAATTAGACGAAACAGTTGAGCCACAAGCAGAAGGAATGTTAAAAACAGCCAAAATCCAATCTAACTGACATCCAGCTAATAGATTAGAAAGCAAAAATAATTATATCTGTGCTGGACAAACCTCATAAACTTCAGCAAGACCCTTGTTGCTCTTATTTTCATCCTGCAGTTTTTGGGAAATGAAATTATTGTTAATTTCAGTTATGAAGAATGGTAAAGTGAAAAGGACAACAAGGTTACGAGATAAAGAAAATACATCCTTACCACTGGTTTCAATTCTCTTGGTGCTTTGGAGGGTAAACCAGGAGCCCTTTTAATGTCATCAAATTGTCCCTGTAACATAATACCAAACTACTTGTGAGCACAGGATGGTTCTAAAGCAAGTTGACACAACATTACACAGAGTTGTAGCATTTACATCCAATTTCAAAAGCCAAGTGTAGAGCAGAAACTCAATAACACATCTATTATGCTCGGCAAAGCCAGGTGTATAGCAGGATTGGCTTATGCATTAACCAAATAGGTTTTTGGCCACTAGGGTTTAAGTGCTTTTAATATATAGGCCAGATCAGTATGCTACAGAAGATCAGTCTTTCTGATATTTGCAATAGGCTATTAAACAATGCAACTAGAAGAAAACACTTCATTTAAACATAAGTTTAATAAACAATCCAAAAGAAAGATCTATCAGAAAAAATGTACGAAATAATTCATACCTCAATGATCCTTTTCTTAATAATCTCCTCAAGTGATTGAGTGACCTCCTCAGTGATTACAGGGACAGGCCTAACATTATGCTCAAAATCTAAATCAACTTCTAGTGCACTGTTCTTGGGCCTGTTTGCGGCTGTTACCTGTTGTTAATGCCATCATCACATAGTTTAGAGCTAAGCAAATTGACTGTTAAAGCCAAAAAGTAAAGGAGTGATTCCCTGAAATTGCATCACAACAAATTTGAAGTTACCTCTCCCTGCATGGTCCAGGTTTTTGGATCCAGATTTGCTTTCTCCATTTTCTCTATCTCAGATTTGATTTTCTGAACTTCTTTTTCATGGGTAGAAAGGAATTTCGGTTTCTGCAGTACAAAATTTAACCATGTAAGCATTTGTTTTTATACATGTATGTTATTCTGAAACTAACATAAATAGGATAAACCAGACACAGTAGGGAGAAAAAAACACAGTTCATCATAATACTTGCACAGCAAGGTGAGAATATATAAACAATCAACCTTATTCACATTCTCATTCTCATCATCATCTTCTTCTTCTTCTTCTTCATCATCTGAGCTTAATTCTTCCTCCTTTTCCTCCTCACCTGAGCTTGAATCTTCCCCCAACTCATCTTTAAATCTGGGCTTCGGTTCTGAGCCTCCTTTCTTTTTGCCAAAGAAGTCTTCATATCTGAACATTAGGAAGCATGAGAGGCAAAATTTAGCACAAGCAAAGCAATGCACTAGTTCAAGTTCTCAAAGGTAGAATTCATGTTTCCCATTGAATAATAGCTAGAATCAATCACAAGGAAGTTAAAATAACAAAACAAACTTCATGGTACTGCGTCAAACTCTTAAAGATGAAACTTTGCACTTCACTTGTGCCAGGGAGAGAAATCAATTGACTTAAATGCCTAAAGAGAACTACACCATATTCAAATAGCTAAAAAAAGTTTGCAGACCTGGCGTTTCCCATCTCGTCCTCTTCATCCTCATCGTCTCCTCCGGCAAAGAGATCGACCTGCATAAAACAGAATTCCAGAATCAGAAGAGGGAACAAAGTGGGAGCATAAAGAAAAAGCTTGAAGCTTGGTCCAAATAAATGAAGGGAAAAAGAAGATTGGGAAAACCCTTTACCTCTTCATCCTCGTCATCATCTTCCTCCTTGTCTTCTTCACCCTCTTCACTGTCATCATCTTCATCCTCCAATTTCTTGCTTCCACTTTTCTTCTTACTCTTCTTATTCTTTGCATCCAATCCATAATGCCGAGCTTCTTCATCCTCCAAATGCTCCTGCAATTCCTTTATCTTCAAAAACTTGTCTTCTATCCCTCCACTTTTCTCTTCCTCCTCTTCTTCACTTTCATCCCCTTCGTCTTTCCCACCATCCTGCTCTCCATCATTATCAACATCCATCTCCTCATCATCATCGTCATCATCATCATCATCATCCATGTCCATATCACCACCTTCATCATCATCGTCATCAATCTCTCCCATTTTCTTCCCCTGAGCAACCTTCCTACCTCCATCAGCAACCTCTGGGAGCAAATTCTCAATCTCCGTGGGATTCTTTTCCCAGTGCTTGACCCGTCGTCGGATGCTACGAACCAGTGGCTGCGTCAGCAGGTCTATCTGCTGCCAGATTTGCTCGGCGTCAAAATTATCGACCAACAGTTCATCGAACGGCGATTTCCGCACGTGAGGCCTGAGAGACGCGAACAGGTGCTGAGAGGCCGCCCGTGCTGAATCCGAGAGCGCTGCCGACGGCGCCAGCCATTGCAGAGGTTCAGTCGATTTCAGCCGGTGCAGCGCTTCCATCCCTGCTGCTTCGCTAGGTCTTCCCATGGCGGCAAGAGTGTAGCTCTGTGATTAGGGTTTAAGATTCGGGGGGAGAGGTTTAAACTGTTAACGTATAGCCGTTTTAATTTTTAAAGAGCTGCGAGCCAAACCGGAAATTAGGTAGAAAAGAAGGACCAATTTGCAATTATCCAAACTTAATTGTCAATTTATCTTATCGTAAATCTTAAAACGTCGCCGTCAAGGGCGGACATCAGGCCACCACCAAAAACGAACAGAAAGAGAACAAACAAACAAACAAAATTCCTACTCCGACGAAAATTCAATCGAAAAAACATTTTCCCGAATCCTCACGCCTCTGATCTTCTTTCCGTCTGTCATCTCTCTGTTTCCGCCCGACGCCTGTGGACGGTGGCTGACTGAATCGAATCAAACTTCCATGGATCCCTAATTTGTCTTCCGCATCCGATTCTTGGTTGTTTTTTAGGAGGTTCGTCTTTTGATCCGATTGGATCTTTGATTAGTTTGTTAAGAGCGTTTTTCCTCCTGAATTCGATTCAATTTTTCCGATTTCAAGTTTAAAAGACTGGGGAGACGGACTGCGATGACTAACGGTGAGGTGCCTGGAGGCGGGTGCGTCCCGTTGGGAACAACTGGCTCTCATGATCCGTTAAATTTGTCCCCGGCGAAGTCGGAAGCGGGTGATCTGTCGCCGGGTTCGTTGTCGGAGTACTCGTCGTGTGGGGAGTCGGAGTTCGAGAGGTATTGTAGTGCAAACTCGGTGATGGGGACACCCAGTATGTGTAGCTCGCTTGGACCGGCCAACGATTATCTGGAGTCTGAGTTTGGTTCTCTCAGGAGTTTGGAGAATTTTAGTTTGGGAGGGGGGATTGATAGGGATGTGGAAGGACGGAAGCTGTCGGATTCTGGTGTTGATTGTTTGAAAAGGGGAGCGGTTGATGTGGGGGATGATGGCCGTGGTGTGGGATTTCATGGTGGTGGAAGGGTGCTTGGAGAGACTAGTGGACTGACTGGAAAACTGGAAGGTTGGCAAGATGGTGTTCATGAGGGTAATGGTGAGGCTGGTAGTGATGATGCGCTTGGGAAGATGGTGAGTGAGGGGGGAAATGATGGTTTCTTAAGTGGGTTGGAGTCGGAGATGCATTTAAAGTCTTACAAAGAGAACGTAGGGTTAGAAGGGGAGGGCGATGGGGATTCTGATGATGAGGATGATTCCATGTATGGCTGTGGTTCAGATGATGAGAATAGGAAGAATTTGTACGTCCAGGGAAAAGTACAATATAGCAAGGACGTAACAGTAGACAGCGAGAATCCATTGCTCATCAATTCGTCTGTAGCTTTTGGTTCAGATGATTGGGATGATTTTGAGCCAGAAATCGCTGGTGGTAATCTAGCTTCTCTTACCCTGGATGAATTTCAGGAGCGGCATGGACAAGAATTAGGAGCTCAAAGAATGTTTCTTAGTTCCATGCCCATGACTGGGGTAGCGGTTGCTGGTCCAACTGAGGTGGGTGGACTTGTGACAGAGGCTCTCACTTGCAGTAAACGAATTGCAGGTTTTGGATCTGATGAAGATATTGGTGGCTGTTCTCTGGCTCCTATATGTCTTCAGAAGTCTGAACCAGAGCAATTGGAAGGGGTGAGAGATATTTCTGTAGCCAGTTGCCAGCTCAAAGTAACTGATGGACTGTCCAAGGATCATAGAAGCTCATCATCTGTTGCATCTGATCTTTCAAGCATTTGTGGACTAGACCAAGAGGATGTTAGGGATCACAGTCTTCCTTATAAAAATGGGGTTACTAACGTCACAGCCGAGCTTTTTAAGGACAGTTCAATAAGTGATTTGCATGAGCTGGAGCTTGATCCACTAGATGGAAAAGTTTTTGCAGGGCTACAATCGGAGAGTTTAAGTTCTGACAAGCAAATGGAATCCCAATATATGAGTAGGGGGAACATCGGTTTTATGAGTGATCACAAAGTCTCACAAAATCTAGAGACGAAGAGTGTCGAAGTAAAAGTTGATCCTCCCCTCACTCATCATTCTAAATATTCTGGGACACCTTACTTTGAAGATCATGAATGGACCTCCACTCATTCAGCAGTTCAGGATAACAGTGGTGAAACATCCAAAGTCACTTCAGACTTGACAGTTACCTCCGATTATCATCGAATGAAGATTGAGGTCAGTCTTAATCCTTTTGTTGCTTATGGATTTCAAGTGCTAGTATTACTATTATCCTTCAATCTAGAGATTGAAAAATAACTAAGCCTTTGAATTTGTACATCCCTTGCACTGAATAATCACTAGCTATTTTACGAAGAATATCATAACATATCTCAAGAGTATCACTAGCTATTAGCTAATGTGATTAGATTTTATCAACATATGGTGTTTGTGAATTTGAGCTACATTAATGTGTGTAAGTCAGATACTTTCTGAGTTAGTAACTGAGCATATATTGCTCATCCTTTTTGTGCTGACTACTCTGCCAGACAGGAAACCTTGAGCTCAATGAATTTTATGATGAGATTGTCAATGAGATGGAAGAAATCCTTCTTGATTCCCATGAATCTACAAGGCCGAAGTTCCTCCAGGGTAACTACAGTTTTCACTCACAACTAAGTTTGCCACAAAGAGATGGTGGAAGAACTGCCTCAACTTCTGGATCAGTTGATACTTACTCATTAACCAAGCAGTTGCAGAGAATTCATGGAGCTGATGTGATAGGTGCAAAGCAAAAGAGAGGAGATGTCTCATTCAGTGAAAGATTGGTCGGGGTCAAAGAGTACACAGTTTATATTATAAGGGTGTGGAGTGGTACAGATCAATGGGAGGTTGAACGTAGATACCGAGATTTTCTGACACTGCACCGTCAGCTCAAATCATTATCTGCTTATCAAGGCTGGTCTCTACCTTTGCCCTGGTCATCTGTGGGGAAGGAACCCACAAAATTGTTTGGCAGTGCCTCTCCAGATGTTGTTTCTGAGAGAAGTGCTCTAATTCAGGAGTGTTTGCATTCAATTCTACAGCCTGGGCTCTTTTCTAGTCCTCCCAGTGCATTGTTTTGGTTTTTGTGTCCTCACGATTCCTTGCCTAGTTCTCCTGTGTCGGAAACACAAGCAACTGGTTGTACAATTTGGAATGGTGGGGAAACTTCAGGAAGTCTAGCCAGTTTTGGGAAAACAATATCACTGGTTGTTGAAATTCGGCCTCAGAAATCTATGAAACAGTTGTTAGAAGCACAGTATGATACTTGCGCTGGATGCCACAAGCATTTTGATGTCGGTAAAACACTTATTCGTGATTTTGCCCAGACCCTTGGCTGGAGAAAGCCTAGGGTATGTGAATACACTGGTCGATTATTTTGTTCTTCTTGCCATACAAACGACACTGCAGTTTTGCCAGCACGAGTACTTCATTATTGGGAGTTCACCGAATATCCAGTCTCTCAGATGGCTAAGTCCTTCCTGGATTCCATACACGATCAGGTAAATTGATATTCACCTTTTCTCTTGGGTATGCGTATCCATATGTATCCATGTCTCGTTAGATATTGAAGCTGGGCTCTGAGGGCGTGAAAGATATGATTATTTACTTTTTAGCAAATGTGAAAATTGTGATATGTCAGTAGGAAAGTGGACATTGGTTAGTGTTAACTGCAGAATATTAGAATCTGCCTAGAGCTTGTGATACAGTTGCAGAAAGATTTTTAGTTCAAGATTTTCTAGATCATATGTTCTATGGATCTACTGCTCATACTTCAAATTTATTGGTTCATCATTCTGAGTTCACTGATCTGTTTGCAGCCAATGCTCTGTGTCAGTGCCGTTAATCCTTTCCTGTCCTCCAAGGTACCGGTCTTGCGCCATGTTATGAGTGTCAGGAAGAGAATAGGAAGCATGCTTCCTTTTCTTCGCTGCCCATTCCGCAGGACCATAAACAAGGGACTTGGTTCTCGAAGATATCTTCTTGAAAGCAATGACTTTTTTGCACTAAGAGATCTCATTGATCTCTCCAAAGGAGCTTTTGCAGGTTTTCATCTAATATGCATGCTTAAATATTATGTATGTTTGATATGCATTGTGCATCTGTGTTTGAAATATGAGATATCTTTTTGCAATTCTCTCCAAGGACCTATTTATCCTCTCCATTTGAGGAATGCTGTTGACAGCCTCAAACGTTATAGAACAATTCTTCTTCCCAGGACAGGTGGAAGCAGTTTGAACATTAATAGTTTGATCTTTGTTTATCTGATCTCCCAACCCTTCATCTGAGTGTCGAATCTATCACTGTACGTTCCCTCTTTAATGACATCAAAATTCGTTCAGCAGTCTGGTTGTAGCCGTAATTTGCCTTCCTCATTCATGTTTTACTCTCTCTTACTGATGTTTCCTTCGTAACTTGGAAGTTTTCCCCTCAGCTGTCTTTCTTCATTTTGTGTAACCATCCTAATTATCTCATGCTGTCTTTCTTTCTCCATCCCTCTTAATGTGTTTATACTTTGATGCAGCCCTCCCTGTGATGGTTGAAACAATGTCCTCCAAAATCCGCGAGCATATAACAGAGCAATGCCTTGTATGCTGTGATGTGGGAATCCCTTGTGGTGGTCGTCAAGCTTGCGATGACACATCTTCACTCATTTTTCCCTTCCAGGTTTACAGTCTTACGAGTACTTATTTTATGGTTTTTTTTATCAACCATATTAATGGATATGCTTGTAGGGAAGTTTGTGCTACTGAAAGCAGATAACATCAAGTTTTTGTTTGATAGTGATAGATACCTGAAATCACCCATGATAGTGCCGCTTTTTTTTTTTTTTTTTTTTTTTTTTTACGAATGATAGTGCCGATTTTATTAGACAAAATACTGTACTGCAGTAAATGTTTGCTGAGCTAATAGTTCTTTTTCACTATGCGAGTGGCTTACAAGTGTCCAGATTTCAACCGTCTTCGTTAGTGTAGTAACTTCCATCTCTAATTCGGACATGTTTTCTGTCGATGAAATGAAACCAGGAATCTGAGATTGAGAGGTGCTCCTCCTGTAACTTGGTGTTCCATAGATCCTGCTTCAGAAAGCTTCCAACCTGTTCTTGTGGAGCACGCCTGGGAGGCACTGATGCTGTGATTCTGGCTAGTAGATCAATCCAACCACAGGTCCATAACAGATCGCTGGGAAGATCAACATCCGGTTCAACTGCTCGGTTACTCTCTGGACTGTTCTCAAGGGGAAAGGCACACAAGGCGAGTGATCGCAAGGACAGTGACCCTGTGATCCCGATGGGTTCTTTGCCTACTTCAGCACTTCTTGACAACCTTTAAGGCATCATCAGCTGATTGAACTCCAAGTAACCATCTATCAAAGTAAGCAAAAAAAAAAAAAAAGAACAGGCTGGTTGAAAGAACTCCATTTTATTTTTGAAATCCAAACTTTCTGGGTGCATTCTTTGTTAAGATTTTCCACTTGTCTTTTCTGTCGCCATTAGAAAATAAAAGGAACAATTAGATACGAAATGTAAACTATCAAACTCAGTTTTGAAAGGCATCAGATCCTTGTTCAGAAGAATGAAATTTGGAGGGGGAAAAAATGGAAACTGATAAAGAAGAAGGAAGATCTTCAAATCCCTTTCTGCCATGTCGCCTGCAATTTTGCTTGCTGCTTTTGTTTAACTTTTCCTAACAATGGTATGCATCCGAAAGAGAAGAAAGAAAAGAGAGAGTGTCTGTCAGTTCGTTTCTTTCTTTGCACTCTGCAGTCTGCCCTGTTTTCATACTAGTACAATACGAACTTAGCATGCTCAAAGTAGGGCAAATATGCCCCTATGAGCTAGTGGTTCGGGACGTCTCTCTTTCAAGGAGGCAGCACGCAGTTCGACTTTGCTTGGGGTACGTTATTACGAAAGGAAGTCGTCATCGATCATTTAGCCATTAACAAGTTCGGAATTGATTCTTCTCGGGTTAATGGAGATGGGCAACAAGCTAGCTGAGGCCACTGCTGTAGGAGTCCTGGAACCAGGTGGTGAAGATTGAAGAGAGTATTGTGTTATTAGAAATTATTCTACAAATTTCACATCAAACTCCTGAAGATCAATCAACAAATATGCAAGTGATGATCTCACAAGATGTCTTCTAAAAAATTATTCGTGTTTGAATTAATTCGAACATCGAGTGCGAAGTATGAGATGATCGTCGCCGCCAGGAGATTCTCACAACTGAACAGCTGAAACTTATAATAAGTTATCTCAAGAACCTAAAAGGCGAGACATGACTGAAAAAGAATCTGTCGGTGGGTGATCCAAATATTGAAAGCATCGGATTAGATTAATTGTGGGAGGAGGATGAGATTATTAAGCTTTCCCATCTCAAAATCTTGCACTTGAAAAGTGCTGCAAAAGATGACATCTGGTGTTTCTTGACCTGTACTTTCCTAATTAACTATAGAATATCATTGTGTGGCCCTTTGGCTACGCTTTTGATTTGGCGAAGCCATTGGTTCTTTCCTACAAACTGATTCCCATGTCATTTTCATCTTGCCATTTTCATACAAAACCCACCTAGACAAGAAATGCATAGCACATGGTTCACTCTGTTTGATTCAATAGCTCGTGATTCACAAATACGCGCACTATAACTATTTACAATACTATCAAAACGCATAAGTTTACAAATCGAGTGAAATCGCAGAACACTGGATCCAACGACATAATCTCGCCGACTGAATTGTCTCAACTCAGACAATGAGTAGTCTTATCTTCATTTCCTTCTCAGGAATCTGATATTGCGTTATCTGCATGCAAAATATTCTGATGGGGTCCAAAATGTGCAGACCCATCAAACTTGTATCCAGAATGGTATTAGATCCTTCCCTTATAACTCAGGAGAATCAAACTGATAAAGGAGCAAAAAAAATAAAACAAGGAAGAAAGAATATCTGTCTTTAGTTTTCAAACCCTTTTGCCACCATATCTTCTCTGCAATTTAATTTACCTTGCTGCTTTTGTTCAATATGTTCCCTACATTTGCTATACATTCATTACCAATCGAATAAGAATAAAAGTATATGTTGTTGTTTCCCTTTCCTTTTCCTTTCCTTTGCTCTCCTTGCTTCCTCCAATCATCCCCAAAAAAAGAACTCAACTGGATCTTGAATTACTGTTGGTGGCTTCTTTAGAGTTGCAACTTTAGTCTCATTGTATACCTTGCTTCTCTTTAGTTTCTTCCCCTACTGTCTCTACAGCCTATCTTTCAACGCTAGCTACCTCAGGCCTCGGTAAGAATCGCGGAACCATCTGGTGAACAATGTGTTCTTCAGCTTCACAACAAAAGCAAACACTCCATAGCAAGGGATGTGCATCACCGCCACAGCGAAGTACCTGTGATCGTCACAAGACATGATGGCATTAGACTATCTGCAGAAATTTCTGAATGGATCAAAAGTGGTGGAAGGATGAAGAATGCTTGTTTACCATAAGGGAACAAAGGGAGATGAAATATCGAGGAACGGATATGGCCACCTGCAAGTTGACACACATTGTTGATTGTTCATACGATGTAACACGAGTGGGGACGAGATTCTAAAGCCGATAAAGCGCGAAAAAGAAGCAAAGATAGTTGAAGGTATTACCATATTTTGACAGAAGCGTGGAGAATCCACTGAAACAGCACATAAATGATTGTCCACATGATGAAATATGCTATCCTGAAAAATGGAAATGGCTGCACCAAAAGAGAAGATAATGAGATATGAACAGAAGACAGAAAACAGTACAGTAAAGCAGTTACAAGCTCACCAAGCAATTCATGGCAGTGTCTCCAAGCAGGAAGATGGCATTCATTGAATGCATGCTTACTATCAACTGTCACATCAAAACAATGAGCCCACCAAAATAAAACCAGAATTAGACTCAAACAAATACCAAACAAAATAAGTTAAAGCACGCAGAAAGCAGGGGAAACAGAGGGGGGTTGGGAAATGCTTACAGCATTGAGATGGTAATCTTTGATTGCAAGAAACGGTACAATAACGAACCAAAACACACAATCAGTCAGCATCACAGCTCCAGCATTGATCTATTTCCAATGGCAGAAAAAAAAAACATAAACAAAACGAAGCTTCCTTAAGAAACAATCCAAGAAAAGATCAAAACCCTCAACAGACAAACGAAGAAACAGAGGAAATTGTTTGGGTTGGTACCTGGAAAATGATCTGAAATGCATAAACCCATTTCCCAGCAGGCTGCCGATGCAGCTCAAGGTAGGAGGAATTCGAGCCTTTCATTGAACCATGTTCTGCATCTAACTCTGCATTACCGACTCTATCCCCACTTGCTCTTATGTGATACTTGTAACATCCACCCACCGAAATCAAGCTCCCCATCTACACACAAAAACCGTCATTAATGGTAAAGTTACAAACTTTAGTTGATTTGAGAAACCCAGAAAGCAAATGCAGGGGAAAACTCACAGCAAAATAGAGGGTGACCAGAGTAAATGTCCACCTGTTTCCACAAAACCCAAGAACCATCCATCAGAAAAATAACAAGAAGAGACAGAAAAGGCAGAGTTTTTATTGAGGGAAGAGTGAATAAAGATAGAGATTAGTGACTGACTGGGTATAGTAGTAAAAAATGGTGTTGCCATCGACGAGAACAGAGACGATGAGGAGAAGCAAGAGGACCAAGAATGCACAGAGCCTGAAAGCAAGAAGCCAAGCTGGATGAACTCCTTTCAACGACGGCATCCAAGCTTGATCATCATAGACAAAAGCTTCCCCTTTATTACTCCTTCCTTCTCCTCCTTCTTGCTCTGTTTCAATCCTGTTTGGAGGTTGCTCTTTTCTCCATATCAACACCAATGCAACGTTCATGGACACCAGAACCAACACCGCACAGAGGGAGAACCTCCAGTTGAGCCAGTAGCTGGCCAAGGTTGTGTCCCCGGACATCACCGGGTGCCACGTGTCCTCCGTTGATCCTGCTAGCAAGCTCATGATGGTGATCTCTTTTTGTCAAATCTCTTTTCGTTTTTGTTCTAAAATGAATGCTGAGCTCGAAGAGGAGATGGGTTCTATTCAAACAAGACCAGAAAACACTAAAAAGGTGGGTGGAAATCAAAATCTGGAAGAGGGAAAGGTAAAGTTGAGCATAATCAAATCCCAATGCAGCTGCATAACTGGGAACTCAGGCAAAAGCAGGGGAGGGTGAGAGGAAAAGGGGATTCAATGGAAGTTTGATTAAATATTATGGGGAAGGGTGTGTGTGAGAGAGAGAGGAAGAGGCTTGGAAACTACTTTAGGTGGGTGGGTTGTTTCAATTTGAGGGAAAGATTTGAACTTTTCGTTTTTGTGTTGAAAATGGCATGTATATATGCATGCAAATGGTATGTTGGTATGAAAACAGAGAAAATGGGTGGAGAAGGAGGAGAATTGTGAGGAAAGGAAAGGGTTAGATGCTTACAAGGGCAAGCAATAAGAGAAAGAAAGAGTGAGACAGCCTCTAGAGTCCTGCCAAGCAGTTTATGCTTTGCTTCTATGCTCTGTTTTCAGATAAGAAGAAGAAGAAGAAAACAAAACAGAGAGCTGGGGATGGAAAGGAAGGGAAGTACAAAGGGCAATGTTCTTTGGGCAGAAGACTTCCCTTCTTCTCTTCTTCTTCTTCTGGTTATCTCTTTATTAGTTTAAAATTCAGCATTTAGAGTCTTCTTTGGAGCAGCCTTTTTCGTCTCTGTTATTTTTAAGTGTATGGGAATTCTGAACATGCAATCGGGAGAAGGAAGCGTATTTGATTCTTCTTCGGAGCAGCTTTTTTCCGTCTTTCCTATTTAAAATGAAGCCTTGCGAGGGCGACCCTTTTTGCCATTTGTATAGGAAGGACGACAGATCTTCAATTTGCAAAGCGAAAGAAGTGTGTTTGGGAAGAGAGAAAGAGAGGGAAAGGGAAGAGGCAGCGGGGTGAAAGGGACATTTCACTGTTACAGTTTTTGGGATACTGTGAACAGAACAGAGACAGCACAGGACACAGGGAAAGGACAATTGTTTGTTTGGAGATTGTGTTCTGTGTTGGTCTCCTCTGGTCTTGTGACTAGTGGTCTTGTCTTGGAACGTACGAGTATGTGAATATGTATGACTTACCCTTTTTTTCTCTTTGGTAAATTTTGACCCACAATTCACTTCACTATCTTGGTGCTATGGCCTATGAGTCTATGACACACCTTTAATAAGGGCTGGTTTGGCAATTTATCCGGTTTCGGTTTCTTTTATGCAAACCTACTAAAGCTTCGTTGCTCCAAAACTGTAGTTACACACTTCCGTTGAAGCTGGTCGATCAGAATCATAAGTGACCTATCCAGCCAGACAATTGGCATATTCCGGTTTGTTACATTCAAATTGTTACCAGTTCCTAAAGCTTAATTCAATAAAATTATCCGAATTAACATAGTTCTTCAATTTCAGCTAAAAGCTTGGAAAAACAACTATGAATAGTTTTTAGTGAAAGATTGCTTTTTTTATATATACAAACACGTACTCAACAATGAATTATGTATCTCCTATCTATTAGATTGATAGATTCATAATCCTTCACACACGGACAAGACATAATAGTAACAATACTTGACCAACTGTAGACGATCACATCGAACTTGTATCAAACTACACCGTCCAACAACAAACAAACAAAAAAAACCCATACAAACACGATGTTGGTCAAAAGACTTTCTATTCGTGAGAGAGAAAGCTCTATGTAGGAGACAAGAAACATCATTCATGCAAACTCGAACACATATCCCTTGTTCCGCATAGATGGTGCATGCTACTAAAGGGAGGTCATATAAAGTGGACAGGCGCACGTAGGGATTCGAACATGAAATCTCCAAATTATAACTAGTGAGGATACCCTAAAGCCTAAACCAAATCACTCTCCGCACAACCCCCGAATAGGTTTATGGGCAAGAAAGTGGAAACCAAAATTTTCTACTTCCTCGGGGTTTCGTGGAGGAGAAGAAAATGGATTCTGTGTTTTAACGGTTGGTTAGGGTTTCAGACTTGCAGAGAGATCAAGTCGGCTGCCTGTACAAGAGTGAATCAGCTGGGATTGTGGGGTACAGTGAATCCTAGCTTATCAAGCAAGCTGTGGGCCCTTGTCGGCCCATCTCAACCGTCGATCAATCAAGAAGCCACTGTTCATGATTCAATCAACCATGGATTTGAGACCCAATCATCCGCGGCCGCAGCTGATCATGAAATATGATGATGTTAGCTTTTTAACGGGCCTTGGAAACCGGGCCCCAGGTGGCAAAATCTCTCCTGGACCCTACACTTTGACCTGTTGACTCGACTTGCTTGAACCCTAATCTCTCTTTCCCGTGCCGTGTGACGGTTTACTATAAATTACCCAGGATTGGCGGATTAGTGGATGACTAACAAACCCAGTCCCTTAAGCTATAGATTTTAACTAGCTTGTAACCCGACCCGTTGGTCGGAGGAGCTGAGCCGAATATTGAATTATTGGGATAACCCGTAGATTCAACCATTAAGCTAAATTGGTCTAATGGTGAGTACCGCCTAGCATATCCCTAATAATCATACCAAAGTGAATATATTGGAACATAAACAGTACATCAAAAGTTGGTACAACCATGAAGTTAGACCATTAAAAACATACCAATGAAATTGAATAGCATCGAAAAACTTCAACTTCATTATATAATTACATGAGATCAGAAAGAGAACACCATTAATTTGATTTATAAAACTTTCATCTTGTCGTCATTGTGCTTTCTGGTTTTTGTCAGGCTATGATAAAATCTAAGGAAATCAAGAACGAACAACACGATTTGGGATAGGAACCGCCGTTGTCGTATTCCTAGAGAATGGTGGTAAACACGGACTCACCTGCCAAACTGGTTTGGATTGAGATTTTTATCGGGTATCAGGGAACCATGTGATTATAAATTAGACTTGATCAAAACGGGCTAAAACTTAAAATTCAGCCTGTTCGACCGACCCATGCAAAATTCTAATTATTCGTTACTTTTAAACTTTCTATTTGAAAATAAAAAATAGTGAAAGAAAATAGATGACTGCAATTCGCCATTTGCACATCACTTATTCGGGAATAAAACCATAGAAATTCAAAAGAAACTGAAAATGTTTAGGATCGTTTTAATGTTTAAAATAACCAAATAGATCTTTCTGTTTAGTTTTTTACTAACAAATACCAAACGATTCCCTATAAAATACACTATAATTTTATCATTATGATATCAAATAATTATATAATATATATTTGAAATGATAAAAATTGGACTAATTGGGTTGGTCGAGATTGAACCATTGAATAACTTTAAACTACATTATATTTTAGCCACTAAAATATAAAATAATATAATAATATATATTATGCTAGAGAAAATAGCTTGTTTTAAAATGTCAAACCAATGATGTTCATTTGTTTTACTTGATGGCCAAATCCGGTGTAGGTCAGGCCCATTCAACTCTTTTATTTTATGGTTAGTGGTTAGCCCTTTAGATACCATGCATTAGTTTATTGTTAATTTTTTTTTATTTTTAGCATAAAAAGAAGTATTTTTTTTGCCTTTTCATATATATTTTATCACCACGGAGAAATACAAGGGGTTAAAGAAAAAAATTGACACTCCTGAACCCGTTTAAATCCGCATGTGTACGGTAAGTTGGCCCGTTCCACAGAGGAAAGAGAAAAAAATTAACACTACCGATTCTACCCTTCCTACAAACGCTCATGGAGCAGGGAATTTGAAATGGGGGAAGGGGTTTTTCCTCCCTGCTATTATATGTTTTTGATTTAAAAGGATGCAACAAATGTACTTAGTGTGATTGGTTATGTTCCTTGCTTTTCTTTAAAATGGACATGGTTCGAATCCCAGTACGTGTCTTTTTAATGAATAAAAAAAATAATTGTGAAGACCAAAATGTCCTTCCTACTTTCACTCTCGTTGCAGGAAATTTGAAATGGGGCTCCCGTTTTTCCCTCCGGTGTATTATATTATGTGTAGACAAATTAAATTCGTCACCGAGTTGAGTTGGGAATAACCTTTATACAACTGCTGCTCTATTTGCATGGTTCATGAAATCGTATCGTACCGGTGGTTCAACCACAAAATACAAGTATTGCATACTAAATCGATAGGCGGTATTTAACGATACTAACGGTTGAACTACGATTAAATCACGATTTTGCCATAAAATACCCTACCACTAAATTTTCCGGTACGATTTCATGGACCATGTCTATTTGTCTTCTCGGTTTATTTGTATGATTCATCTACAAAATGGGTCATTGTTAGTATATAGACATTTGAGAAGTGCAGAAAGTGGCGGACCTAGGATTGTTGGAGAGGTGTGTCGCCGCTAATATAGAATAATAATTAAATAAAAATTAAGTAGAAATTAAAAGAAATTAATTTATGAAGTTCACAATGTCATTTTACAACGAATCACGACGACTTTTCATATGCTTAAATGTCTCTAAAATACATTCATCACTTATGCTGCAAAGCAAATGTTTTTCAATATACACAACTTAACAATCATTTATAAACAATAATATTATACTCTAACTCCCAATGTGTGAACCGCAATCCCCAATGCACTAACCTAAAATAAGATTCATTTAATCTTGAAAAATGAAAATCAATGATTCTGATTCGTCGAAATGATTGTTGAGTTTCATTTTAAGATTGACCAAATTTTGCAGTTTGGGTTAGAAAATTAGGGATTGGGGTTCACCCATTAGAGGTTAGGATATAGGATCATGCCTCAAAGTCCGGTTAATTATTTATCTAAATAGCAAAACCCAATTGGCGTGCGGTGGTCGGACGTACGCTAGCCTGAACTTATATTTATATATTTTGATAACTTATGACAATAAATTTCCATAAACACAATGGAGTTGTGTCGGATACAATGATCAGAGGTGTGTCGGAAATCCCGAGATCAAAATTTTAGTACTGACGAATTAGGGGTATTTCACAAAATTTTCGGGCGGAGGTGTGTCAGATGACACACCTCCCTTGTGCCTAGGTCCGCCCCTGTGCAGATAATTGTAAATGTAGAGTTCGTTTAAAAATTTTTAAACGAGTCATTGGTATAGTGTACCATTTTACCACTATATTTAGTATGTTTTTATTATCATGTTTCCTATCCCACTAAAATCAATCACGTAAAAATATATTTTTCACAAACAAAAAATTACTTGAGTAAGAGCTAGGTATAATACTACTTTTTAATTTCAAATAACATATTATATTAAATTTCTTTATTACCGTTCAATAAAACTCAAATTTAGGCTAATTATAAAGAATAATGGAGAATGCCCTATAAAATGCTGGTGTTTGTGAATGATAAAAGATGTGTCGCTAAGTAGATGACCAGAGAGAGCAAAACGTTCATATAGGCTGGTGTGCGTCAGTAGCTAACACTTGGGTCAAGAAATGTTAACCCATCATGAAACACAAGCCAAGGCGGTTTACAAATTGGTAGGGGTGTAAGTGTGACCCTAAAAACCCACAGACTCGTCCCGTCCTTGAGGGTCGGGACGGATCAGTTTGTCTATAGGGTCAGTTTAGGGAAGGATTAGCTTTTGACCCTAGACGGTCGGGACGGGTCGGGTCAACTTAGGGACGGGTCACCTTTTGACCTTGTGACAGCGGCGGATCCAGGACATAGTAAAGCATTGGGCCGCATTTCATTTGAAAATTAGATATCACAAAAAAATGGTAATTTTTTTTACAATATCAACTGTACATACGTCTATCTTTTAATATAGTGAATTCATTAATAAATGAGTCTACATCCATACTAATCGAATACTACTCTTTTTCAAATAAAATAGTTAATCAATAGGTGAGAAATTCATTGCTAATTTTGTTGCGCAAATCATTTTTCACCTGTTCCATTGTTGAAAAGGTTCTCTCCATAGTAGCTGTTGAAACGGACAATGTCAACACTAGACAAATCAATCGACTAATCAATTTGTATTGTGTATCCATCCCTATTCTCACCACCTGTTATAGTGATTTTTCAAGTGAATAAATCTCATATTTCTTTTAGCCTTTTACGTTTAGACGTTTAGACTTTTAGGTTTTATTGTTTGTTTTTCTTTAGACGAGACTCATTTGAGCTAGAATTTCTAGACTAAATTTAGAGTTATGATTTGAATATGTTTATCTTACCATTTTCCTAATTACACACAATTTTATTATAAAATAACACTGGGCTGAATGACTAAAATCGATAAACGCATAAGGGTTATACTAGTTCCGGATCCAGAGGAGGGCTGGGCCGTGTCTCGGGGTGGCCACCCCCTGAATCCGCCACTGCCCTGTGACCCTTAGCAACAACAAATATCTCATACCATATTGGACCTCTTTGTAAAAGTTTTAAAAGTTTAGGTACTAAATTGCAAAAATAAGAAGTTTTGGGTACCAGAATGTATTTTTACCATCAAAATTTTAGGACTTATTTGTAAAAAAATAAATTTTAGGTACTAAATTGAAGTAAAACTAATTTTGGGTACCAAAATGTAATTTGTAAACAAAGTAGTGCGTAGATTAGGGTCACCCACTGACCCGACCCGTCCCATCCCATCCCTTGAGCAGACAGGATCAAGAAGGAGACAGGGATGAGACGGGTTAGTTATACATCTTGTCTCTTCAGAGACAAGTCAGACAAGATCAGGGACGGGACAACAACAAGTCAGAACAATTTTCAATCCTACAAATTGGGGGTGAGTCGGGATACAAGTTTACTCGTCATTATTCCTAGAGAGTGTTAAACAATCAAATCAGCATATCAAAAGAGCAAAGACAAGAACACGAGATTTAACGTGGTTCGGCCTCTTAGAGAGACTTTACTCCACGGTGGCTAACGTTCTCCGTATTTCTTATTGATCAATCGGCCATAAACCCTAATGTAGGGATATATAGCTCGGCCATGCACAACTATAACCACTAGGCGTGTGCATTCTTTTCGTCCAGTCCACATATTGTTTCATATATACAAATAAGTCCCTTGCTACAACTATATTTACAAATAACACTTCAATACCCCCCCCCCCCCCTCAAACTGATGGTGCCTGGCGCAACATCAGTTTGTGTGAAAGAAACCAATGCCGACTAGTAGAGACCGCCTTTGTAAGTAAGTCTGCTGGTTGCTCTTCTGTTGTCAAATACTGTAGTTGAAGCCACCCATCTGAGACTAGTTGCCGTAAATAATGAACATGAACCTCGATGTGCTTAGTACGCTCATGAAGCACGGGGTTCATAGAAATCTGTATAGCACTAACATTGTCAGCAAAAAGGCGAACAGGTAGCTCACATTCAACCTGCAACTCGGCAAGCAGTCTATGGAGCAAACCAGCTCAGAACTCACATCCGACATTGACCGGTACTCAGCCTCTGTAGAAGACTTGGCAACACGATCCTGCTTCTTGCACCGCCACGAGATGATCAACGACCCCAGCTTAACACACCATCCAGAAGTGGATCGACGAGTATTCAGGCATCCCGCATAATTCGCATCTGCAAAAGCGATCGACGACGTAGAACCAGTAGAAGGGAAAAACAATCCAACCTGCGAAGTACCCTTGAGATACCGAAGAATCCGATGAACTGCATTCATGTGAAGAGTCCTGGGAGAAGACATAAATTGACTGACGATTTGAACAGCATAAGACAGATCTGGTCGAGTAGAAGTCAAGTAGATAAGACTGCCAACTATGCTCCTATATCGGGTACATTCAGAGGCCGCCAATGGGCTACCAGTCTGAGCCGACAATTTTAGATGTTGTTCCATGGGAGTCGATGTCGGGTTACAATCAGCAAATTCAGCTTCCTGAAGTAAATCCAAGATATACTAATGTTGACAAACAAAGAGTCCATGTGACGAGCGCTGAATTTCCAATCCTAGGAAGTAAGACAAATTACCCAACTCTTTCAACTTGAAAGCAGTGTGCAAAACCTGAGTAAGCTCACGAATTCCGTCTTGATCACTACCCGTAACAATCATGTCATCCACATAGAGGAGAAGAACCACAATCCCCTGCACCGTACGTCGAATAAACAAAGAAGGATCATTCTCGCTCTGGTCAAAACCAGCCTGAACTATAGTGTGATGGAACTTTTCAAACCATGCCTGTGGTGCCTGCTTCAGGCCATACAGAGATCGATTTAACTTACAAACCAGAGACCGATCACCTGTACCATAGCCAGGAGGAAGTTCCATATAAATGGTTTCCTTCAAATCACCATGCAGAAATGCATTTTTCACATCCAACTGCGTCAAGGGCCATTGACGAAGAGCTGCAACAGCAAGAATCGTCCGAACTGTTTGCATTTTGGCGACAGGAGCGAACGTTTCATCATAATCAATGCCAAATTGCTGACGAAACCCTTGAGCGACGACGCGGGCTTTAAAACGTTCAAGGGATCCATCCGAGTGTAACTTGATGTTATACACCCACCTACTGCCCACCACGGCTTGATCAAGCGGACGAGGAACGACGTCCCACGTTTGCTGAGCTTCCAAGGCTGAGACTTCTTCCCGCATAGCTGCGTTCCACCGCTCATCTTGACAAGCTTGCAAATAGGAGGAGGGAATAGGAATAGAGGAAGGATCAACGGAGAAAGCAATAAAGTCACCATGGCGCTGGGGAGGTTTCCCAAAGTTGATGCGAGAAGACTGCCTACGAATCACCACGCCCTCGTCAACATCGGGACCAGCAGAAGAACTCGAGGCGGAGGGGGAGGAGCTCGAGGAACTAGAAGCTGAGGAGGAACTCGAGACATGAGTGGAAGGAGAATGAGGACCCGATGAAGAGGATGAGGAAGTCAAGCTCCCAGGGGAGTCCAAGCCAATGCTCGATCCACTGCTCAAAGAAGCAGCCGACGAACTCGTCGAAGAAGAAACAGGATGGTCAGGCGCAAAAGAGGAAGGAGTGGAGCTCGAGATGTCTAAGAGAGTACTCAACGGAAGAGCATTCAGAAAGTCAAAATCCGCTACATTAGTAGTTTGCATCTCCCGATAGTGTAGAACCTGTTCCACGAAAACTACATTACAAGAGAGCCGCATCCGTCGAGAAACTGTATCGTAGCACATATATCCCTTTGACTTCTCACTATATCCGACGAAAACACATTTTGCAACTTTCGGCGCAAGTTTATGGCGTTCCTTTTTAGGTAGTAACACGTAGCAAGTACAGCCAAAAACCTTGAGCCAACTGTAGTTCGGATGTTTGCCAAACAATCGGAAATAAGGGGATTCCTGGCCCAGCACAGAAGTAACCTATCTGTTAATCAAATAGATGACAGTATGCACAGCTTTGACCCAGAATCCGGGTGGCACTTTGGAATGAATAAGAAGAGCACGAGTGAGATCGAGGACATGTCGATGCTTACGCTCCACTAAGCCATTTTGCTGCGATATGCCCGGACACGATTGTTGGGACATAATACCATTCTCCCGATAGAACGCCAATAGAGGATTCGAGGTGAACTTCCCCCCAGGATCTGAACGAACAATCTCAACTGTTCTGTCAAATTGAGTGCGGACCATTTGAACAAATTCAAAGGCAACCTGGCGCAATTCCGACTTTTGTTTCAGAAAGAAAACCCAACAGTAACGAGTAGCATGATCAATGAAGAGAGCAAAATACTTGAACCCAAGTCGCGAAGTAACCGGCGAAGGACCCCAGAGATCAGTATGAACAAGTTCAAAAGGTTCAGAATAAACAATCTCACTAGTACCAAAAGATGTTTGAATTGTCTTAGCCTCAATGCAACTGACACATGGAAGAGTAGGAATGGAACTACTAGTCAGACAACCGGGAAGTAATTTGTTCCGAAACATAGTCTGCAAACGACCAGTATGGGGGTGACCCAAACGACAATGCCGAAGGTCCCAATCCGATGGTTTAACAGAATAAACATTTAAATCCAAACCCGAACTACTCGAACAAGAAGGCCAACAATGACTACTACTACTCTCCAAAGACGACGAACAGCCAGCAACACCAAGTGTCTTCGAACGCAACGCCTGCAACGAGTCCAGGTGAAACGTTCTTCCAGACTTCCGACCACTACCCACTATCTTCCCTGTTCTCCGATCCTGCACCAGACAGCCAGCCGAATCAAAAACCACACGGCACCCATTATCAGTGAGTTGTCCTACAGAAACGAGATTAGGCACCAAGCCTGGAACATATAGGGTGTCCGAGAGAGTAATAGGAGACTATTCAACTGTACCAATAGCTCTAACTGGGAGACAAGCACCGTTAGCAACCTGTAACTCAATACTCGGACTAGGACGCAACTGCATGAAGCCATCACGATCACCTGACATATGATTATATGCCGCGGAGTCTAAATGCCATAAAGAGGATTTACCTGACGCATTGGAGTGAACGGAGAACACGGAATGAAGGGCCCCAGGGAGAACCTTCTGCAACGTAGCTTGTACCATTTGTTCCAAGGCTTCAGACGTCAAAAGAGGAGGTGACGCAGCTGGCGCAGCTCCAAGAACTCCCGAGGGCAGAGGCGGAGGGGTGGGCACCGACGTGGAACTACCAAAAACCGATGGCAGCTGAACGCCAAAAGCAGGAAGAGGAGTGGGACCATGGCTAGGGGCAGGGGGACTAGAACCAGTAGACTTACCACGCCGAGCCAAGGATGGACAGTCCAAAACAATGTGTCCGGAGGTTTTACAGTAGTTGCAATAGTTACGACGCCTACAATGAATCTGAACATGGCCCTTTTCGCGACAGTAGTGACATTCCACATGAGGAGGAATAGGACGTTGAAACTGTGGTTTTCCAGACCGGCCAACAGCAAACACAGTCTCAGGAGTAGAGGATGACCTGTCCAGTTGAGCTTGGTTGTGAAGCCTGATCTCCTCCCTAAGCAGTTCAGCCAAAACTTCATCCATAGAGGTCACATTCCGATGCAGAAGAGAGGCCCGTATTGGTTCAAAATCCGGGTGAAGCTTCATTATGAAATTCATTAACTGGGTGCGTTGTCGTTCAGCCATCATCGCCTGCAGAACAGCCCCTTTGAGCAAAGCAGCTGACAGCATATCCTCCTCAGTCCACAGGTGCAGAGCTTCCTGATAGTACGTACGTATATCTTTGTCGCCCTGATGCAACAAGGCCAAAGCATTCGAGACTTCAAATTGACACGACGCACTCTGCTGCGAATGAAGGGCAAATATATGCGTCCACATTTCATGAGCGGTAGCAAAAGAACGTAATCCAAGAGCTATATTTGGTTCAACAGCAGCCGACAACCAACTAATGACCTGGGCATTATTAGCCGCCCAGTCAGCCTGCTCCTTGTCATCGGCCGACGCAAGAGGCTTCTTGGCCGAGCCATCCAAATACGGGAACAATCTCTTCCCTTCAACAAAGACCCGAAATTGGAATTCCCAGAGCGGGAAATTCCGGCCATTCAAGCGAGAGGAAACAAGATCCTTAGCCTGATCCATATTGACCACAAAGAACAACCAGCGCCAAAACAAATAGAAGCAGTAGGGAGAAGTCCAAACAATAGAAGAATAGTCCAAGAATCAAACCACCTGAGCGCCGCCACAACAGAAGAAAATCCCAAGACCAGCACGAAGCAAATAACGACCCAAATAACAGCACCGATCACGAGAGCAGCACGAATCGATAGTCACGAGCAAACACGAAGAACCACGAGAGGCTCTAATACCATGTTAAACAATCAAATCAGCATATCAAAAGAGCAAAGACAAGAAACGAGATTTAGCGTGGTTCGGCCTCTTAGAGAGACTTTACTCCACGGTGGTTAACGTTCTCCGTATTTCTTATTGATCAATCGGCCATAAACCCTAATGTAGGGATATATAGCTCGGCCATGCACAACCCTAACCACTAGGCGTGTGCATTCTTTTCGTCCAGTCCACATATTGTTTCATATATACAAATAAGTCCCTTGCTACAACTATATTTACAAATAACACTTCAATAGAGAGTAGAGACCAAGAGGCAATCAAAACGATATCAACCCTGTGGGCTGTGCCAGCGTTGGCCCATGGCATTAGATGGCCAACAATCAGCAGCGATTGGGCCTTTGAGCTAGAACAAGGAGGGAAAGATTGGGCTTTCTCGATCCACACATTATAGGCTTTGAGCCCCTTGATTCTCAACGAACAATAAGAGGACACGCTTCTCTCGATTTATCCATGAAAAGAAAACGCAGCAAAATATCTCTATGGCTTCATTCAGCATCTCCTCCTCCGCGGGAAATCGAATCTTCCCTATCCATTTTCCAGAACTTCAGGCCGTAAGTTACCTTTCTGCCCTTCCTCTTTCCCCGTGAGTTTCACTCCTCCACCGCGTACCCCAAGGTTATTCCGGGTAATTGGAAAATCCCTGAAACTGAATTACTGAAATGAGAAATCCCTTTGTTTCTGTTTTCAGTTTTAAGATTTATCCCACGCCCAAAAATAGTCGAGTTCCCTCGCGCGCGGCCGCAGATCCCGCCGCTATTTATTTAATAATCATTGGTTTTGAGTTCATCAGAATCCCGATCGCCGGTGAACGGGGGGGCGGAGGGCTAACGGGATGAATGCGGTGAATCTCAAATTGTGTGCTGATTTTGGGGTCGGCGGCGCGAGGGCGAGGAGGAGTTGTTTCCCCGTTCGGAGCTCTGAATTGGAGAGAAGGCCGCAATCGCTGAGCTTAGGGTTTTCAGCCGGTGCCCGGAGCTGTCGCATTGTGGCATGCTCCGCCGAGCGTGATAGCAATGGCGGCGGCGGCGGAGGAGAAACGAGCTCGTCGTCTTCTTCTTCGAGTTCGGAGGCGGCCGGATCTTCAACGAAATCTTCCCTGTCGCGGAGTGAGACTTACGCTATGCTCAAGCAGCAGATGGTGGTTGCCGCACAAGCAGAGGTATTTTCATTCTTTTCCCCCTCTTCTTTTAGAATTTCCCTTTCCTTTCTCATCCCTCAAATTTTTTTTTTTGGTGCTTTAATGAAGGACTACAAGGAGGCTGCGAGAATCCGCGATTCTTTGAAAATCTTCGAGGAAGAGGAGCCGCTTCTTCGGCTCCGTCAGCAATTGAAGGACGCAATCCAGGAAGAACGTTTCGAGGTAACCTCTTTTGATTCAATTACTATTTCATCGTGGTTCTGTAGGGTTTTGACTCTAATTCACCGCTGGTTTTACTCGAATGAGATTGAGCAAGTTAATGGTGCTAGTTGCATTTGTATCTTTCGTTCCCACCCTTGATTTAGATGGTTAATCAGTTGCCATTTTTGGGTTATGATGGCGGGTAGGATGCAACTAAGTACCGTGATGAGCTTAACCAACTTGCCCCGCATTCTCTCTTGAAATGTTCAAGCGATACCACCACCCTGGTATGCGAGCTTTGTGATCATGCAATTCCACAGAAACTAAATGGGGAGAGAAAAAGGCCTGCTGTAATCTGGGTCTTTGTCTGCGTATATTGCAGGGGATAAGAGTTCAAGTTAGGAGTGTGTACATTGAGACTCGTAGTCAGCCATTGAAGGGGCAGTACTTCTTTGCATACAGAATAAGAATCACTAATAACTCGGACCGTCCAGTTCAACTTCTCAGAAGGCATTGGATCATCACCGATGCAAACGCCAAGACTGAGAATGTTTGGTGAGTTGCGTTGGATATCACATTTCTGTGTCACCAGCATTTTTTTGCCTATCTATCGCTTCTTTGTGTAGTAAGGCTTCCGACTCACCACCTGTCAATGTTTTGCAGGGGAATCGGGGTAATTGGTGAGCAGCCGGTAATACTTCCCAAGACGGGATTTGAATACTCTTCTGCCTGCCCGCTATCAACCCCAAATGGTCGTATGGTAAGCCCCTTCTGGGTTTCCCTTCTCCTTCTAGTTTACAGAAGTTGTGCTGTTATTTTCAATACAATCTTGAGCTCAGTGCCTAGATTGGGAAGCAAATGAACTATGCCTTAGTTGAGACTAGTAGTGAACTCAGAAAGCACTAATGCGCAGAGGTGTGTTCATGGCTATATGCCCGTCTTTGTGTTTGTTGGTATGCAATTGCAGGAAGGTGACTTTGAGATGAAGCATATAGACCAAGTAGGGTCACCGTCCTTCAATGTGGCTATCGCGCCATTTTCTCTATCAACGATGGGGGAAGAAAGTGATATTGTATGAAATGCGAGGCTGTGATTTATGGAAGCGAATATCAGCATGTTTGTTGTTCATCACCAAGTTTGCATCGTCAAATTGAAGGGTCGAATCCCGACTCGTGAGTTCCTTGTGCCGTTGTTTCGGGGGGGTGATCTCTCCAGTTTCTCGGTAGTAATCAAGGGAAGAAAGCGCATAGCAACCGTTGTAACATATGTATGTATAATTCTCCACAGTTCTTGGTAAGGAGGACTTCTGGGAAGTTGTATGTGTTTCACTTGTGTAAACTACCTGGCATCCATGGCCGTACAAACGGTACAATGAACACAATCTCTATGTGCTTGAAACAACATTTCTTTGTTGAGAGGTGTTGTAGCTGTATTTGAGAATATACTGAATATCATAATGAATTCACTATTGTTTAGAAGATGCAGATACCGTACCAAAATATTTTGGGATTTGGGATTGAGATTGTGATGATTGGAATTAAAATTATTTGCAAGGAATTTTCACCCCTAACCATGGGGGCATTAAAGCATCTTCAAGAGGGAAGAGAAGGCAGCCATGTATTTTGGCTCCTTCCGTTTAGGTGCATGGACACATCTATGTATCTTACAAGTCCCATCTCACCAAACTTGTGCTAGCACCCACCACCTAGACAACAAGACACATTTTGTCCTCGTTCCATCCCAACATCTAAACTTCAATTTTGCCTCTTCTTACTCTTTTTTTTTTTTTAATCCCTTTATTTCTTTGAACATATTTTTTTGAATGCATATCGATGGACCATAAGGAGAATCTAGTTGAAGTTTGTGTCTTTTAATTTCCACGGAATCCTTTCCTTTTTTCTCTTAGCCATGAAAATAGAAAATAATAATGGCCAACCCACTTACTGGCTCACTCCACACAGCTGGGTAGGATTGGCAATGGGCTGGTCCGGCGCGAGTTTTTTTGGTACTCAGACCCGTCTCGTGGCAGGTCGAGTAATTTATCACAGGTTGTGAGTCGGGGTAGGTCGACCCAATGAGTATGTAATTTATATGAATAACATTAGAAATATTCGTTATTTTTATTATAAGACCAAGAAAACAAAACAAGTTAAATTATTAGAGTGAGGTTTTCACTAATTTACAACTTTATTATAGCTAAATTATAATGTAATAAAAGAAAATTTCTAAGTAATTTGATTAAGATTACATGTAATTTAGCCAATAATGGGTCGAGAATGGGGCGGGTCAGGGCAGGTTGGGTCGATGAGAGTAACCATTCCCGTCCCGCCCTGCCTACGGGCGAATCGAATTCGCCCAAAACAAGCCAAGCAAATGGATAAAACGAGTCAGGTCGAAATTGTCATCTCTACTACTGGGAGTATAGTCGCAGCTAATCCTAGAAAAAGAAAATTGTACCCAAAATTACTAGAGACAAAATGCCACATTTTAAATAAAGAAAGTTGCTCCGAAATATCCGCCTCCTTTTCTTAAATTCCTAACCAAACGGACCCTTCCTTGCCAAAAGCCCAAAAATTCCAGTGGCCACGGCGGACTGTTACACCAAACTTCGACGGACTTCTCAACGCCCTTTCTTCAAACATCTCTCCCAAACTCCCAGCTACCGCCTTCCTTTCACTCCTCCCCTCTTCAGCTCTTCGCTTCCTTCAATCACCGGGGAAGAAATGCAGAGCGCCGCCTTCACCACCTCCCCTTCCTTCCTCCGTCCGCTCCGGACTTCCCCGCCCACCAACAACCCTAGGTTGGGCTTCCGCTTCAACCCAATTCGAGCTACCGGCCGGAACGATCTCGGCGCTGCTTCCTCCAGCAATGTCGTTTTCCCCCGCCGGTCCTGGTCCCTCGGCTCCCCTGCCTCCTCCAAGCTCCAACTCAGGCCATGGAACCCTCTGCCTCCGCTTGAGAAGAGGGCGGAACGGTTCGAGGTGAAGGCTACTGCTGAGGCCGCCGGTGAGGAAGACAAGTCCTCTAGCTTCACCAAGACTTTGGTGCTCGGATCGTTGTTTGGGCTTTGGTACCTGTTCAACATCTACTTCAACATCTACAACAAGCAGGTCCCGTTTTGGTTTTGATTCGTCTGTCTGTGTTCCCTTCAGCTTTGAATCTTGTTTTAGGATATATCAGTTTCTTTTATTGGTTGTGGAAATGCTTGAGAGTGATTGTTGTCAATATGGGAATTGGAATTTGCGGCGAAATGTTTATACCACCTGACCGAAATGGTGGTTGGTGAAGGATGATTTTGTAATGGGGCGAATTTGTTTAGTGTAGGTATAAAGAATCCCTTAGCAAGCCAAGCCAATTCGTGTGCAGTGAAGTTAGTCAAGGGATTTAATATTGTTTATAGTTAGACGAAGAATCCAATTCTTTCTTGACTTGGATGTTACATTCTCTAAAGTTGTTCTGATTTGTGATTCTATGCATTGTGCAGGTCTTGAAAGTCTTCCCTTATCCCGTAACGATTACCGCGATCCAGTTTGCTATGGGTACTGCTCTTGTTACTTTCATGTGGACTTTCAACCTCTACAAGAGGCCAAAAATTAGTGGCGCTCAGGTACTCTTTGAAATTTGGATGCTTTCTTTTGGTGCCGATGTATGGCGCACTGGACTGAATGCTTTGAGTTTGTGAGGTTTTGATGAGATAGCTTTTACTTGGAACAGCTTGCTGCAATCGTGCCTCTTGCGGTTGTACACACGCTTGGTAATCTCTTCACTAACATGAGTCTTGGGAAAGTGGCCGTTTCGTTCACTCACACTATCAAAGCTATGGAGCCATTCTTCTCGGTTCTTCTCTCTGCAATGTTCCTTGGTGAGGTATGTCTTGTATCCTAATTTTGTTTCGTTTTACTCAAACCACGAAACCTGATGGATACCCTTTAATGAAAGCAATGTATTAAACAACAAGAATTTAGTAGGTGGTATCTCTTTTGTTCCAATTTTTATGCTAAAACGATTCTTGACACTGTGCTTCTGCTTGTACAGTTTCCTAGTCTTTGGGTGGTTTCTTCTCTTTTACCAATTGTTGGCGGAGTGGCACTGGCATCTATGACTGAAGCCTCATTCAATTGGTAAGTACTGGCTGTACTGCAGATTTTACTATTTTTGGATCCCTGTTTACTTGAAGCATTTCTCTTTATAGTTATTTCTTGGCAGCGGCTTCTTTCCCTCTCGAAGGGACGATTTGTGTTATGGAATATGATTTGTCTATCTATTGTGTTGTTTGATATATATAGGGCTGGTTTTTGGACTGCAATGGCTTCCAATGTGACCAATCAATCTCGTAATGTCCTGAGCAAAAAAGTCATGGTGAAGAAAGAGGTACTTTCCCCCCTCATTTACTACTGCCTATATTCCAGTGAAGATATCTCTTGCTCGTATATGTAATATGTCCTATTGTTTGTCTTTGGGATGTGCTTTGATGCATTCCTATGTTGCTTGTTTACAGGATTCTATGGACAACATCACCCTCTTCTCAATCATAACAATTATGTCATTTATTTTGCTGGCTCCTGTGGCTCTCTTTATGGAAGGTGTCAAGTTCACTCCAGCTGCCCTCCAATCCGCTGTATGTTTCCCTATAGAAAGCTTTAGATTTCTGCACATTGACACAAATATGCTCGTTTTCTTAACAAAACAAAAAATTACCCTTTTGTTGCACAACAGGGATTAAACGTTAAACAAGTGTGCACTAGGTCACTTCTTGCTGCTCTATGTTTCCATGCCTATCAGCAGGTGAGAGCCCTTTGGTTTTCTTCATGATGGTTCCCGTTGGTCTCGATATATTCTTAGCTGCTCTTTATCTTCCTAATATTGCTATTTTTTTCTTCTGTTGCTAGTATGACTGTACGAGTTGTTCCACTTTTCCGCTTAACTTGCCCTTCGTTCAAATATATCTGCAGGTTTCCTATATGATATTGCAGAGGGTATCACCTGTAACCCACTCAGTCGGCAACTGTGTGAAGCGAGTGGTGGTCATTGTGAGCTCTGTTATATTCTTCCAGACACCTGTTTCACCTGTCAATTCTCTAGGTAACTACACACCTGTGTTTTCAAGAATTTCCCATCTCGTCCATTTCCTCGTATTCACAAACGATGTTGCGCTCTGCTTGCAGGCACCGGGATAGCTTTAGTTGGAGTGTTCCTATACTCGAGAGTGAAGAGCATTAAGCCAAAGCCAAAGCCAAAGGAAGCTTGAAAACGTGTTGTGGATAAATTTTGTTTTTGCGGAATTGGGGTTTCTTTCGTTCGTTCGTTGATAGCGCCATTGTTATATGTTTTCTTGCATTCGAAGGAACGCAACTGTTTCAGACCAAGCGAGGAACTTCAGGGTTAGGTTGTGTATGTGTGTTTTTCTTGCTCTGTTTTTTTTTTTTTTTTTTTTTTTTTTTTTGGTGTTTGATCCCCCATTTTGAGGACGAGGATATTGTGATGTGGAGGTGGCTTAGCTGGGTTAGGGTTTTTACTGAGAATAATTGTACACAACCTGGTTAGCGCAAATTTGAGTAGGGGAAATATCTCGGTTGGCAAATTTCTTTGGCAAGTTGTACGTTTGGTGTTATTGGACCACTGCACAGGCGTTGTTTTGTGTCTATTGGTTCTTGTCCTTGAATCTGGCCGGTAAAAGGTCCTGATTCATGCGTAGTTTCCATGCAAAATATTTTTTTCTAGAGGTGGGCAACGAGAAACGAGTATTTGGGTATACCCATACCCGTTCCTTTTTTTAAGGGTTACGGGTACACATATTACCCGTAATATTATAAACGGATGGGACTTTGGATTGTGCATTCCTAATATGGGTACCCGCAGGTTACCCGCGAATACCCGTTTAGGTAATATGGGTACCTGTTATACCCATTCAATACAAATGCAGAAATTTAATTTAGCCCAACCCAATTCAAAATCCATTGGTCATTTCGGCCCTTACCCTTTCAATTTCAATTCCATTTGGGCCCTTACCCTTTCACTGACATGTTTGGTGAATTCGTAGAGAGAGTTGGGATGTGTTTGAAATGAGGCAACGGGTGTCCATTTACAGTCTGGGATCATTGTGTACTTAATTAAGGAACTTGGATCATCCCAATATTGCTCCTAATTATTCTTCTTTGCAGGACAGCAACAAGTGAAGGACAGTTGCAACTGCAGAAGGGAGAATAGCAGCAGCCTGCAGAAGGGAGAACGACATTAGCAATAGCAGTCTGTAGAAGCAGCGGCGGATCCAGAACACAGAAGTGCACTAGGCTTCATTTTATTAGAAAAATAGAATAGTAAAAAAAATATAATGATTATAATTTTTTTACAATGTAAATTGTACACGACGGTATTTTAATTTAGCGAATGCATTAATAATAGAGTCTACGTCCATACCAATAGTATACACTATTTCAAATAAAATACTTGAGCAATCGACTAGAAATCCATCGCTCATTTTGTTGCGCAAATCAATTTTCACATGTTTCGTTGTTGAAAAGGTTCTATTCGTATTAGCTGTTGAAACGAGGAGCATCAACACTAGACAAATCAATCTACTAATCAATTTGCATTGTGTATCCATCTCTATATCCACCAGCTGCTCTAGTAAATTTTCCAAGGTAACAAACCTCATATATGTTTTAGTCTTTTACGTTTTAAACTTTTTGAATTTTTAGGTTTCATTATTTTTTTTAGACGAATAACCTTTGGGGTTAGAATTTATAAGCTAAATTTAGAGTAGTGAATTTGAATATGTTCATCTGAATTATTTTTCTAATTATACCCAATCTTATTTTAAAATAACAACGACCCGAATATCTAAAATCGAAAAATTCATAAGGCCTATACTAACTATGGATCCAGAGGAGGGCTGGGCCGGGGCCCGGGGTGGCCACCCCCTGGATCCGCCACTGTGTAGAAGGCAGAAATGTAGTAGCAGCAGCTTGCAGAAAGTAGCAGCATGCCTCCCATTTGGTTGTGTTGAATGAAACTTCTTTTTTGATAATTTGGTGCTTGGAATGATTTACTTCTATGTGTTGTGATTGTTCACGAATGTGTAATTTGCAAACCAAGTATTTGTGATTGGGATGTATTTTGTGTCTTGTGATTGTTAAGCAAATACAAGTTAAGTTTAAACTTTTGTTAAAATTTTAGTGGTTTAAACTTTGGGTATTTATGGGCAGTATGGGTACCCGTTATCCGTCTCGTACGGGTAATGAGTACCCGTTTCCCATATGGGTTTGGGATATGAGATGGACTTTTGTCTTCAAATAAGACTGGGTACCCATTTAAAACGGGATGGATATCCCGTCCCGTTGCCCACCCATATTTCCCCCCCCCCCCCCACCTAGTGTGTCAAATGGATTTAATAAATACTTTATAAATATTAAATCCCAACATCTAGTGCTTCAAATTGGTTTTTACAGGCCTTATACTTTATAAACTTCCAAACAACTCCCACTCCCACTAATGTATACTTCATGCCAACCATTAAACATCCAAAAAATAAACACAAACAAACAAGCAAAGAATTCAAGGCATGAAACTAAAGATACACTTGCAAGTAGGTAGTGCGATCTTTGTACGATCTATACGGTAATTGAGTTGCTTTCTTTTCGAAATTATTAGGTCTCACATGAACGTTCTTTCTATGCCTTCTTAGTTTTGTAAGAAAATTCATGGTGATCACCAAACAACCAGTATTGGACTCTTATGATGTCACTCAAGACACCATGTCCTTTCTACATCATAAAGACATCTAGAATTATATGTCTTCTTGGTTTTCCCTACGACATTGTTGATGCACTTGATAGTTTGCATATGTTCAATCCCCTATGTTGATACGTATATTTATATCAAGGGTTAATACCTTAGTTTGGCCCGAACTACACACATACTTTCTATTTTGGCCCGTGGTATTGGACATTGCTATTCTGGCATGAACTATGTAGCAAACTTCCTCATTTGGCCTGGAGGCGGGTTTGACCATCAAATTAGACGGTCAAACCTGTTGACCGTTAGTCAATGTACACCTCACCTGCCATGTCAGTTTTATGGACATGATTTTTTATTTATTTATGAATTTTGTTTTCTCTCGATAAATAAAAATAATAAATCTAAAAAAATAATTAAAAGAACAAAAAAAAAAAAAATGAAAAAACCCCCAAATTATCCCAGCCCCACTTCCCTTGTTTATAAAGGAATATCTGATTCATACAACGAGCTCAAAAGGAGCGGGGGAAGGAAGCCATGGCAACATACCCACAATCAACCAACTAGCACGAGGAAGAAAACGGCTAGCAGCAGCTAAACATTACCGACAAAACTTCCACAGCCCCTCCACATGAGATATATACAGAAGATCAAACTTGTGCGCAATCAACAGAGCAAAAGAAGAAGCAATCAAGCTCGTAGTAGTACTGCTTCTCACAAGATCCCTGGTGCTCCCCCGCCGTCTCCGTCGCTTCCTTGGCTCGCCTCCCAGCTTCGATCGAAATCTTCACAATCTCACGACGAAGAAGAAGAAGGGTTCAGAGACCTCCACGACCGCGCTCATTGGGTTCCAGAGACAACATTGAGCACTTCCAAGTTCAATCAATCAGGTGGGTTCATAAATTTCGAATCTTTTTGTGTTTGTTTCGAAGTTTCAGCATTGGATTCTGACTGGGATTTTGCTAATTAGATATGAGTTTGTGTTTGTTTGGCTATTTTCTTATTCTTCTATCAGGGATGCCCTTGACGACGGCGGTGGTTTTGATGATTGGTCTTATGGGAATGGTTTATCAGGCCACTCAGCTTACTCCCCGCCGCAGAGTGATCCTAAAAGGGGGAGGGATTTATTTCCCGATGAAGGCAATGCGGGAGGATAAGGGAAGTGGGGCAAGGATAATTTGGAGGTTTTTATTATTTTTTTCGTTTTTTAATTAATTTTTTAATTTTATTAATCGAAAGAAAACAAAATTCAGAAAAAAAAATAATTTTTTATGTCCTCAAAGCTGACGTGGCAGGTGAGGTGTACATTGGTCAAACCCGCCTCCCGGCCAAATGAGGAAGTTAGCTACATAGTTCAGGCCAGAATAACCATTTTTAATACCACGAGCCAAAGTAGAAAGTATGTGTATAGTTCGGGCCAAACTAAGGTATTAACCCTTATATCAACATGGACTTCTACAAACAAGAACCTAACTTTTAGGCTTAATTGCAAGTTTGGTCACTCGAATTGCTATAAAATTTTACGTTTGCCACTCAAATTAATTTATTCCATTTATAGTCACTTGAATTAGTTGAACAGTTCACGTTCGGTCACTCTCCGTTAACCTCCGTTAACTTTGACCGACGTGGCAGTCAACTCTGACCGTTGACCGTTAAATGTGTGACGTGGCAAATAAAAAATTATTAAAAAGTAAAAATTAAATTTTTAGAAATTACACATCATTATAAAAAAAATTATAAAAAATGAAAAAAAGAAATTACCGTTCTTCTCAGCTCCCCCATTGATTCCGGCGGCCGCCGAATGGCAGGAAATTGGCACCATCAAAATGACAATAAGGAAAATGCATACGTTTCAATACAATAAACCCAGGAAAACGGATACAAACACACCCCGATCTCAGACCCAATATCCTTCGTTCCGCAAAACTCAAAGCGACAAATCAGAATTCTTCGTTCCTCAAAACTCAAAGTGACAAATCAGAATTCTTCGTTCCTCAAAACTCAGAGCCAAAACCAGACCACGATTTATGCCTTTTTCTTGCTTTCTCTTCGCGTCTGCCTTCGCGCTTGTTTACGGCCTGATTGGGACGGTTGGGATTCTGAGGCGGCTGGTCGTCGGCCTGATAGGGACGGTTGGGATTCTGAGGCGGCTGGTCGTCGTCGTCGTTGTGACCAATTTCCAGATCATCTGCAGGTGGCGGTGGAGACGGCTTGAAGGCGCCGAGGAAATTTCCGAGCACAAGAAGACAGATCAGTGCAGCAGAAATTTTAAGTGCTTCATTCCTGGCAGACGGGTTCCATGGCGTCTTGGACCAAGCGAGTATGGCCGTCGAGCTGTGCGGCAAAGAACAAAATTAACCCAACGATTCGCCAATCAACCCAATCGCAAATGCAAGGAAAACAGAGCATTCAATTTCATACACAATGCATCATCCCTAAGCTAAGGTTCGCCTAGCTAATTCTGACAGATCATTCATCGGATTCTAAACATCCAAACAGAAGGAAGGAAAGATCTGCAAGCAACTTACCCGATCCACATTATTGACAGCTCCAGCTTGGCTGGGAGCCCAAGGAGCATGGACGAAGAAAATGCATAAACTGTGAGCAGGAGCAAGAATCCAGCAGGAAGCTGGTTCTTGATGACGAAATCGTTGAGGCCCACCGCCGCCGCCACCGCAAGAATCTGGATGATCGATCGGAACCCCCAATGCTCCAGCCACTTGAACTTGTCCTTTGCCGACTCCTCCTTGATCCACTCCCTCGCCCAACAGTCAAAGACGACGATCACCAAGACAGCATGGACCAGCAATAGAGTCGCAATCCCTTCCCACCCCTCATGGCGGAACTCACCCTTCTCGTTCTCAGCGGTACGCAGAAGATGAGGTGGAGGACTTGGTCGCTGTGTAGAATTTCTTTTTTTCTTATAATTTTTTTTATAATGATGTGTAATTTCTAAAAATTTAATTTTTATTTTTTAATTATTTTTTATTTGCCACGTCACACATTTAACGGTCAACGGTCAGAGTTGACTGCCACGTCAGTCAAAGTTAACGGAGGTTAACGGAGAGTGACCGAACTTGAACTGTTCAACTAATTCGAGTGACTATAAATGGAATAAATTAATTTGAATGGCAAACGTGAAATTTTATAGCAATTCGAGTGACCAAACTTGCAATTAAGCCCTAACTTTTATGAGTCTGTATGACATTTCCGTACATGATATTGAAGTCGCGACTGGCCAAATGGAATCATCCATACCATTTATCGTGAATATTCTTAGTCTTTCCGATCACATTGGTATACCATTCAAGCAATAATTAGGATCCAAATCCTAGAACCCTAGGCAATGGATATCAAGGGAAACCTCAAATGAAGGCAATTTTTAACTAAGAAACTCACAAAATCAAATCAACGAGTGATGCATCTTAATTATCTTCCGTGGGTCAACACAATAAAATGATAACTTGCATGACATGAGCATCCTCCATTAATATATGGTAGAGTTTTGTGTAATTTTCTCCATTTTAAATTTCCTGTAACGAGAGTGAAAGTAGGAAGGACATTTTCGTCTTTACAATTAATTATTTATTTCAAATAAAAATATCAATATCAAGATTTGAACCTGGGTCTCTTCAAACAAAGACAACAATCATAACCAACTACACCAAACGAATTTGTTGTTTCTATTTGATACAAAACATACACTAAGTTAAACTCTGGAAAGTTAATGACTTTTACATCATGATCAACAAGCCCACTAAGTCTACCATATATATTTTTATGGTGCTTAATACTTCAATTTCCATAGTAGAGTTTCATGTAATTTTATCCATTTTAAAATTCATGCTCTCTTTAATTTTCGCTTAGGTGAATTTGGCTAAAAGAAACTATTTCCTTTACTATGTGTTGTGTCATTGCATTTTTCAATTTAAATTTAAATTTTGTGCTTTTTTGTCTTTGTTCTTATCTCTTTATAACTTCCTCCGAAAGTCCCTTCATCGTGCAATAATTTGGGTCTTTCACTTCCCAGTACAAGGACGCGTTTGAAAATTAATCTTCCGGTTTCTCTTGGTATGACAGATTTATTTTTGGGATTTAAGCTAGGCAAATAGAAAATTTCAAATCCGATATCAATCCATAGCGAATAGAATGGAGTTCAATCAAGTAGTTATGAATTTAAACTTGGAGTAGAAGAGTTGGAATTGAGTTTGAGAATGGAAATGGTGGGGGGAAGAAGTTGTGTTTGGATTTGGTAGTAGGTAAAGTTCCATTGCAGCAGGTGAAGGCAGAGAAGAGGGAGTTGGAGAGGGTAGTGAATGAATTGAGGTGGGTGTTGAAAGACATGGAAGGGAAACTGGAGCAGTTAAAGAGAGAGAAGTGGGAGATAATGAGGATAATAATGAAAATGGAGAGGTTATTGAAGGGCATGGAAGTGGACTAAAGCAGGTGAAGGTAGACAAGGGGGAGATGAACATATTGATGGAATTGGAGATGAGTGTTGGTTTTAGCGAACTTATTACAAGTGTCCCGAGGAAATGAAGTTGTTTGGTTGAAACATATGCCTCTTGAGATTAAAGATAGAGTGGATAAAATTTTGGTCGTTCAACGGAGAGTGGTGGCTATTGGCTCTTTAGGTTTATGGTTTTTGCAGCTACCACAACCTATTTCTATCTTAAACGAGAAATCATTGATTGATTTACTGAATTAGGTCAATTCTTTATTCAACCTATTGAAACTAATAGAAAAGGAGTGTCTAATTTTGTGTCTTATGACTTTGATCAAGTCTATTAGTATATTGGAGATAACCCTAATTTTGTCGTTTGCTCTCAAATTTTGATGGTTCCCTCTTAGCTTAGTTTGTAGTATATAGTTGACTTGAACCAACAACTCTCATTTTCTTTTTTATTAGTGGCACGTTGTTCCTAAAAGGAGAGCATTGAAGCCTTTATGTAGGATTGTGAGGTTTTAGATTCAGTTTCAAACTATATATGGGTCGTGTGGTAATTCCAATGAACTTTTATATTCTATCTTTCTTGACAATCAACTAACCAATATAATATTATCGTTATGAAAATGAAATCAATGATACATTTTTATATTTTATATTCTTAAAAGATGATGGTATTTCTTTGAGTGTTCAACCTATATATTATTTCTTTATGTATCATCTCGATCGAAAGATTGTAAAAAAAAATTAAATAGGTTGATAAACTTAAACTTAACATAAAATTATAAATAATTAAATATGAACATTCCGGCCAACGGGCCGGGTTATAAGCTAGTATGCATATAGCGGGATTCCATCCAAATGAGTTACTTCCTCGAAATTCTCCCACTTAATTCAGTTGGATTTGAATTTCGCTCATGGAGCATATGTCATCCATGTCATAGGAGGCCAAAGTACTACTTTAGAACTTGTTTGTGCCACGTACTCCCCCCGCCTCGGATAGCTCCCTCGCTCTTAGGGCTCCCTCTGTGCCTTGGCTTCACGTCCGTCACCTGCACACCATGGCGCCCAGCGAGCCCCTTGGCTGGGGTTCGTTAGCACTCCGACGCCCAAGTCAGGTCGATCTTTCTAGAGAGAGAAGTACCATGTAAGTTTAGAGAGAAGTTGGAACCTGAGTAAATGAGCTCCACCCACTTCACTATTTATACTCGGGGTAGGGCCGACCAGTGCCCCCCAAATCCGCCCCACGTCATCACCTCATTAAATGCACTGTACCTTCCTTTCCCCAGGCGCCCTGCCATTCTGACACCAATCTTGACCCTGAAGGCGCATGGCCCCACCTCTTGTCCCCTCCGTACGTCCCTGCCCGTTACTTCCCCTTTTGTCATTATGCGCCCTGTTTCAGACCCGGTTCCACCACCTGGGCCATGGCCTTTAGCCCTTTTCTCGGCCCAGGCCCACACTCCGGGCCCAAGCCTACTTCTTAGTTCCTTGCTTGGGCCACTCACTATATGTCCCCCAACAATTGCCCGCCAGTTAGGCGCCTACCGCGAGGTGGGGGCTTAACTAACCCAGTCGTTTTCCGTGACGCCTACCTGTTTCATTACGCCCTCTTTGGCTCCTTCTTTGGCTCCCTGGATCTTTCCAGAGCGCGCGCCCTGCCGACGCTCCTCCTTTCATGGTACGCTTTAGGTTCTTTCCCCCATCCTGCCAACTAACGCGTTCTTCTCTCCTCCTTTCTTTCTTAAAAAATTCTACGCTCTTTGTGGGCCGACCGTTGGGCTCCCGCCTCGATCACCGGTCCATTCCCCCCTCCCCCCAGGCTAAAGCGATTTCAAACTTTTGAATTTTGAATTCGCCTCAGCCTAGGCGACGGTACGGTTCCCCTACTCCGCTCTCTCTCTCTCTTCTTCGCCTATAAATTGCCCCCCACCATCTCTTCCTTCCTCACTTTGTCAGATTTCCCCTTCTCTCTACTTTCTCTCTCTAAGCTCTCGCTGCTCTGCCCTCCAGTGTTCCTCGCATCCCTCGGCCACATTCCTCGGCCACTTGTGCTAGGCGCCTTACCTCTCTTCGCAAATCTCGCTAATCACCCTTGTTCACCTCATGTCCTCCTCAAACCAGCCAGGGTCTCCCAAGACGGCGCCTACAGATGTTGCGCCTCCCCATGTCGCGCCTCAAAATGTGGCGCCTGCCAACGCGGAGCCTGCGAACGCCCCGCCCTCCAACGCAGCGCCTTCAGCTACATCTGCCGCTGCTCCAGGTACCTACACGCCTTTCCCCTCTTTATGCGCTTTTTAAGTTTCGTGCGCGTTACGCCTTACACTGGCTATTCCGTAAGTAGAATCGCTTATCCCCCTCATCTCCCAAGTTCCTTCCTCCTCGTGTTTTGAGCGTCTCCTTTCATTCTAGCCTCCTTCCTCATGAGCGCCCCTCTTGACCTCCTCCTTTTCTTCTTACTTAGGCACCGGCGCGCCTCGCGAGTTTGGGATAAGCCAGTGGGGCAACATGTGGCCGCCTGGGTATATGCCCACGGACATCGACCGAATGTCCGAGGAAGACGCCGGGCCGCCGCACGTCTCCAAAATCTTATATTCCCGCTTCACTTCCCTAATTCGAGCGGCGCAGATGCCCGCCGACTGGAGGTACGCGCATCCCTCACCTATCGCGCGCGTGGGGGTTTGCGGCGAAGGTTGGATCGGTGTGTACCAAGAGTACGCACGCTTCGGTCTCAGGTTCCCCATCGACCCCATCCTGGAGGGCGTGCTGCATCTAGCCCGGTGCTCCCTTGGGCGTCTGTCGCCAGTTATCATCCTATACACCGTCCTCTTCCGCCTTAAGTGCCGCCAACACAATATCCTACCCTCCTTCAAGCTTTTCCAACACTTCTTTACCATGATTAGAAGCCCGAATTGCTTCAGCCTACAAAGGCGCCCAAAACTGGGGTACCATTTCATAAGCAAGGGCAAGAAAATGGGGCGCTCGTGGTTTGAGAGT